GGCGACATGCATATTGCGGCGAATGATGAACATATGTGGCATTTACGGACGATTGATGACGAGGAGGTAAGGCAGCCGGATGCCCTGCGTTTCCGACCGACGATGGCTTCTTGAGGAATTTCCGGGCTATGGATTGGGCTTTGCGCCACCTTGCCGAGTATAGTCCACACTGAGCGTAAGACCTGTACTCTAGATTGTTTTTGAGAGTATCATCAATGTCCACTTCCCTATGGAAGGTGGCGGTATGTTATATGTATGTGAGTAAACAAGGAAATCCATGTTATAGGTATATGACCACAGCTTTGAACACAATATCCTTTAAGTCATCTCCATGAGTGTAGTGAGCGATCAAATTATAGCTGGTGTAAGAAGTGAATATGGTAACAGTAAGCGGGTCGATCTCTGGTCCTTTATCATGATGTTCCCATTCAGAACCGGGTGCTGTGATGTCGAAAGATTGCTCATCATGTCCTGAATGTATCAAAGTTATGCGAATTGTTAAGCTCGTCTCTTATTGCATGGTTTCGACGACACCGCATTGCAAGTCGTAGTACCCTTGAATACTGAGGGGTCAGAATTGCTGCCGGAAAAGGGGGCCGGCGTACATGCTGGGGGTATTTAGAAAAGGTCTACCTTGAAAGATTCTGCATTAGCTAGGGTTATGCAATCGGTTATACCCCTCTTAGATACTGGAGCAAACCTCGATGCATATGTCTATGCTCACCCCGGCCTCGCCGTAGCAAAACCAGCGACATGGTCTGGGAATATCGAGCTTTTTGCGATATCAGTGATCCGGTGTCACAGTTTGGATGTCGCCTTTCTGGATGAAGTATCAAACTAGCTATTATCAAAGTGCACGCCATCAGTGACAGTGTCGGGACATGGTGATGACAATTGATTTACGAGGTTTCAGAATTGAACGAGTATGACCTGACTTCAGTCCTAGGAAGTAGTATCATATCGTTCATTGAAACGTCCAAATGTGACTTTCCAACTCAGTTATTGCTGGCCAAAATTCAGCTGTAATGATGGATTTCACCCTGGGTTGTGCAAATCGGCCTAAAGACTGCAAACTCTGATCATCTCCTGGATGTCTACTACTGCCACGGAAGTAGACTGCGTGTTGCAGCGGGTCACCAGAAGTCGCCTCTCCGAATCAGTTTCTCCGGAGCCTCTAGCTTTATACAGCGGTGGCAGATGCATCGGGGTAAGATGGTCAGAAATAGCGGTGAGATTGAGGCTTGCTATCCTGTGCAGACTCAAGAGTTTTGTTGGACGTGGGGCGATCTAGGTACCGGAAAGTTGGAACGTACGATCAGCCTGCCACAATGAACTGATGGATGTGAGGGAGGCCATCCGGCCACCGCAGAGTCTAGGTAGTAGGAGTACAACTCTTTGCACAAATGAGCATTGGTAGATATTTATTATGCAGTATTACAGTGCAATTCCTTAAATGTCGTAATATATCTGTTTATCGTGGTCTCGAAGGTAGCAAACGCGGTTAGGGGATTGCTTGGGCTACTTGCTGCCTGCAATACGAGAAGACATGCCTCCGAGAAATACCAACGACTTCCGTGGTCGCATCATTGTCTTCAATTTAGGTTGTAGTCCAATGGTATCCTAGTATTAAACTGCAGTGTAACAGCCTAATCTCGCGTGTTAGGCACAGCAAACAAATCCGGCTAGTTGATTTGGTATGCAAAGCAACCAGTGCCAAAGTTGTTTAGCTAAGCCACCCCCGCAACACAACCTTGTCTCTATCAGGAAAACCTCGAGCCTTTTTATAGTATCTGTGGCCTCCTACTGTTGCGAAACTCTAGTCTTCTTTAGTGAAACTGTATGCTTTGTTGTTTAGCTCGATAAACAACTACTAAGAATGGCGAGTGTTGCAGCAGAGGCTGGCCATCCTATCGGAGCGACCGGGGACATAATTGACAACACGCGCGGGGAAGAGGATCATGTGGCTCAGTACATGCAAGGATGGGCTCTCGCTTCTCTGACTTTGGCTTTCACGTCCATTTGCTTCGTACTGGCACTTGACAATACCATTCTAGGTGGGTGTTCATTCCCATTAGCCTGCACAAATAGGAGTATAGCTAATGTACACATGAAGCCACCGCGATACCCCAGATCACCAGCGACTTCCAGAGTCTCAACGATATCGGATGGTATGGCTCTTCCTACTTGATTGCGCAGATGGCACTGCTGCCGACCTGCGGTCGCTTCTACACATTCTACAACATCAAGTGGACATACTGCATCTCGCTCGTTGTTTTCGAGCTCGGTTCTGTCATCGCTGCAGTTGCACCAAATTCGATGGCACTCATAATCGGGAGAGCGGTATCTGGCTTGGGCGCAGCTGGCTTAGTGAGCGGATCAACAACTATCATGTCGTATTGCATCGCCTTGAAACAACAGGCGCTCGTGATGGCCGTTGTTCTGGGGATGTACGGCATTGGATCTGCCGTGGGACCACTGGTCGGTGGTGCCATAACTGACAACAAGACGCTTACGTGGCGATTCATATTTTGGATCAATCTCCGTAAGTTTTTATCGCGTGAAGAAGCGCATTATAATTGTTGCCAACTGACGTTCTCTAGCATTTGGGGCTGTAGGATTGCTTCTGGTTTGGATCAGCTTAAGGGACCCTCCGCCAGCCGTTAAAGGAGGGCTTCCAGGGATCCAAAAGCTACGTGAGCTTGGTATCCCAGGCGCTGTTTTGCTTCTGGGTGCGACTTCTTGTTTGAATCTAGCTCTACAGTGGGGCGGAATCGTCTATCCATGGTCCGATGCAAAAGTGTTCGGCTGTTTGATTGGGTTCGGTGCGCTCTCGGTTGCGTTCTCGCTCTTACAGGCCCGAGGGAAAGAGAGGTTGGTGCAATGCGTTTACACTGTCTTGGATATGAATAGGCACTATCCTTGCTAATATTTTCCCAGTGCTAGTATTCCTCTTCACATCTTCCGAAGCCGTACTGTATCTGCGTCATGCGGTTTCATGATGCTCGTTCAGGTGGCGATAGTGCTGCAAACCTACTTTTGGCCAATATACTTCCAGTCAGTGAGGAATACTAGCGCTAGGGACTCCGGCATATATCTACTCCCGATCATCGTGTCCAACAGCCTCGGTACGGTCTGCGCTGGCTGGATCGCATCCAAGTCTGGACACTACGTGCCGTTAATGTGGATCGGCGCCCCCGTATTGGCCACCGGTGGTGGTCTGTACCAACTCATTCGCACTGATAGTCCGCGCGCACAATGGATAGGATTTCAGTTGCTTTCTGGGTTTGGGTACGGAATTTGCAGTCAGATGCCGATACTAGCGGTTCAAGTCGTCCTTGGGAAAGCAGATGTACCAACTGGCCTCGTGATGGTCATGTTTTTCCAGTTTCTTGGAGGCGCTTTAGCTCCCAGCGTTGGGCAAAACCTCTTCAATGACCGGCTTCTACGAAAGCTCGGTGAAGTGCGGGGTATAGATGGTGCAGCCGTGGTGGCGGCTGGTGGGAGGGAATTCAGGAAGATCGTCCCTCCAGAACTGATGGATGCGGTTGTCGAGGCCTTTGGTTCTGCTCTGAAGAACGTTTTCTGGGTTGGCCTTGCTACTCCAGCACTTGCTTGGATTGTGAGCTGGGCAATAGAATGGAGAAAACTGCCCGATTCAGCGGGAAAGGCCGTCCAAGTTCCGGATCCACAAGTCGTAGAGAAGTGATTAATTAGTGCCAGGTTGGAAGCATTAAGCATATTTAAGGAAGCTGCATGAGGCGCTGGTTGTGAAAGTCTGTGCATTTATCAAATACTTCAGTGGACAGCTACCATCGATAAGACAGCTAGAGCCATTGTAGATAGCTGGGGAACTCAGGCCCCGTCCTGAGCCCTGTTAGAAATTAGGATTTCTACACATGCTTTTCACCCCTTACATATCGTACTGGCACTGTTACTTCAATGACAATTGCAACTTGATATATATTCATTGGAAAGAGAAAGTGCGACGGTTGTCATGCTGCCGTAGTACGTAAGTTAAGCACCTGATGCACACTCTCAGGCCTTAAACTGCTTCAACCTCACGCCGAAGCAGGTTGCCAGTGTCCCCCATGGTATCTAGTAAGCGGTTACGAATGTGTTCACCAACAACGGTCTCGACGCCTGACCCATCCAGAGCCGATGCTCTCAACTTGAGATTGCCGTTGAGGAAGAATGCAATGCTGTGGCGATGCTTGTTCAAGTTGGTCTGAACCCTGTGGCGAGCACTGTGGTAGTATCCGCCCGTGTATTTCTGCATCATATCGCCCATGTTGATCACGAACGCATCCTCTATGACTGGGACTGGAATCCAAGTATCGGCTGGCGCGTAGTAGGCTTCGAGTCCGCTTGTCTCAGGCTCTTGTAGTAGAATAGACACACACCCAAAGTCGGTGTGGTCGGCAACTGAGCAACGTCTCGGTCAATGAACGTAATGGAAAACGTGGCCAGAGAGGCCGAATGGAGTTTGGTCGCCTTCCAGAGGGGTAATATTGACTTACCTCCAAATTGGCGATCATCTCGAGCCTGGACAGGACCATAGTGGAGAAATCGCATGGGGATAGATGGCTTATCGAGCAGTGAGTCAAACACATTGGGTGGGCATTTCCATTCCTTAGGGAGTCCTAGAGCCAGAATATCTAGGATTGTCTTCACGAGATTCAACATCCGCCCCTGGTATGCCATGATACGGTTCTGGAATTTTTCTTTGGGCAGACTAGAAGGCCAGAGGTTCGGTCCGGTGGAGAATGACCCGCAATCTGGATCGGTTTCAGGGACCTCCCGGCCGACCATGAAAGTCTTAATGCATCAATATGTTAGCCCGCAGAGAAAGTGGCAAATATGAACCATTTTCCGTCAATCATCACTCACCTCCTTGATATCGGGGAGCAAGCCCTTGTGGTGGGTCTGGATGCCGGAAGGTTCGTATCCCCTAAATGACCGTCCCACAGAGTTTTTGATCCAGACTTCCATCTTCTTGTCTTCGGGCAAAGCGAAAAACATCTTGTTCACATCAAACACCTCGTTCAAGACATCCCTGGGGATTCTGTGTCCGGCAAGATTGAAGAAGCCGTAAGTGTGACAAGCATCGCTCATATTTTCGACTACAGCGCGACGAGCATCATCGGATGAGCTGGGGTCAAGGAAAGGTTCAATGTCGATTTTAGGAATGGCATATAGCTTTTCAGGGATTCCCATTTTGGTGTGTATGCGGTCCGTGATTTTTCTGTCCGGTTGTCAGAATAACGATTAATTTATCACTCTTGCGTGACATGCCTCCAAGCTTCGTTGTTGCAATTAGACCAAGAATAAAAATGATGTTTGCACTCACCCTAATTCGATTTAAATGTGCCTTGTGATGGGCAAATCAGTGAGTATAGTCACATACTGCGTGGTTTAGGATCATGTCTAGATCAGGTGACCGGACACTTTTAGGAGCCACCCAGTCACACAATTGGTTGGGATTCTCGGAAAGTATTTTTCATACTCACTCTAACCACTAGACCGGATGATATATTTCAGTATACGCCATAGAGCTTACTCAGAGGCGACATGGAGGTCGTCTCTGCTCCGTGCCAACGGCCGATGGCGCCGGATCAGTCGGCGTTTATAAAATTGTCTCCCTGATTATCGGTCGATGGCAGCGCAAGAGAAGACAACACATGATTTGTAGGGTTATGGAGATAGAAATTATCTGATGTTTGTATCGCAGCTCACAGATAGGTTTGTTAAGGCCAGCAGCAGGTGAAACCTACAGGGTTGTGCTTGTTGCGTCAGCCAATATTGGACTTACATTCTGACATGTTTGGATTATTCTCAGCAGTCGACAAACCAGTATTAACTTGCTGAATATAACACGATAAGAGATTCAACTGAAAGATTGGAAGCCACTGTCACACACACACACACAGCACTGGAAATGTCACCCAGTAACAACTGCGCTAGCAGTGCCAAAATGAAGGTCCACTTGACCTAGCGCCTAATTAGGTATATTTTGGTGCGACAGGAAGGAACTGGTAATGGATTTTTGCTAGCAATGCTTTGCCGTTTCAGTACGTTAACCATGAGTCTTCCTCTTTCGTTTTAGTTTTTGTTTGCGATAGTGGGGATCCTCGGTCGGTAGAGTGCACCAAAGTAATAATAAGACGTCGGAATAGAAGTACTTCCGATTGTATCTATCTACAACGATAAAGAAAACATTTAATGCTTATTAGAAAGAGTCGGCGACTGTAGCCCATTACATGAAAAAGATCTTCAGTATTCCGAGGCAACATTGGCTTACAGCAGTTGTGAAAAATTGCCCAACGTGAAACCTATGAGAAGTGGAAGCCAGTAGTGTCAATGGCTCTGACCCATCCACCCATGACCAAGTTCAGGAGGTTGTCGGGGACCGAGTACAAATTTCCAGTGACGTACAGGATGTGACAGTCGTCCTGAGTCCTGCCAAATTGGGCCGCAGTCGGGCCAGGAAAGGTCAGATTATCGCTCGTCCCGACACCGTCAACAACCATAGCCGTACCGTTGTCGATTGAAACAGCCCAGATGGAGTTATAACCAGTCGCCCAGATTATTTTCTCGTCACCAGGGCCGAAGGCAAAGTCATCCCACAGCTGATCGTCGACCTTTGACACAAGCTCAGCCTTGCCGGGAGCCAGGGGGACACCGTCCTCATCAATCTGTAACTTGTAGATACCACCGTCGTCCTGGTTTACCCAATACAGATAGTCGTCAAGAATCTTGATTCCGTCGATACCAACATCCTCGCCGTGGTGATAAGTGGTGTTCATCTCAGAGTAGTTGGTGGCAACGATAGTATGATCTCCTGTATTGGTATCCAGGCGCCAAATCTGTCCAGGGCTAGGTGTCCAGTCGATCTGCTCATATCGACCACGGATGACATACTGGTCGGATATGAGCACAGTTGAGTGGTTCCAGGGCAGGGCAGCAACAGATTGGAGAAGGGTCGCCTCCGGGAACCAGGCGATCAGTCGCGCCTTAGGAGCACCTTTCGGATCTGCGCTGTAGTCGAGTTCCATGGCACAGAAGGTTCTGTCCACCTGGCTGGAAAAAGGGCCAGGGCTGTAGAATCGCGAGCCTACGACTACATACTTGTCCGGAGTTGACTCGCCAATACCAATCAGACGGTCGACCCACTCGTCAAAGTTATAGGCCAACTCCACCTCGGGTTCATTGTCCCAAGGGTTCTTGACATGCCAGACAGTGCCATTGGGGGTGGAGGTCGTCAGCAGGAGGTTACCATTCGGTCGGACAGAGATATTTTCCACCCAGGTACCATTAGGCCAATGATGCAACAGGCGTGATGGAAGGGGGACGGACCCCGTGTTGTAGCCGTCACGCGGGAGAACATACGAGACTGCCTCTGTGGCCAGGACAGATCCGGCGGCAAGGTACAAGGTGGCGAAGCGCATAATGAAGGTGAAACTATTGAAGCAACCAGTATTGGACTAATTAAACTTGCAGGAGACAGCGCTAGCTTGAAGATGTTACACTGATGATATTTGAAACTTCCATACTTCCGAAGCACTGGCTGGTTATATAAGTGAGATGAAGTTGATATCCGGGGATGTTTCCAATTCACCAAGATCAAGCTGTTTGCTGGTTGGTCATGCGCCTCCAGCTGAAATGGAATGGGCCTGAATCAGGGTAGGCAAGCTGTACCATCTTGGAATACAGTGCTGAAGCAGGGTAGTAGAAAGTAACCGGAACTAAAGCACAACTAGCATGATTCCTTTACGTCAGCCTCCCCTCAACGTGACTGCTTCTCTGTCCAGATTGTTATTGCCTCATTGCTCAACCACAAACCGGTGGGACCCCGTGCACAGATACAAGCTTACACAACTAGAAAGTGCCCGATTTAGATCCCGATAAAAAATAAGCTCAGTCACTCGATTGCGTAGATAAGTTCCGTGGAACTCAGTCATACGTTACAGTGACCGACTACATTTAATGTCCGTGCACTTACCGTTCCTTCGCAAGAAATATCGTGCTCTCACTGTAATCGATGGGGGTAAAGAGAGGGGGAAAGGCGACATTGGAAACACTGCTTCAACTTTAATTGCACGAATTTCCCCATGTCGAATATATTGATCAGACTTTTGTTGTTTCTTAGCACGTAAATTGAATGGGCCACGTCTCTGATTAATACATCATGCACGAGGCACGGAGTACGAACAACGAATGATTATATCGATAAGTAGACCGGCCAGTATTATCAGCAACTGTCGCATTGAACCTTGGTGAATCCCCTTTCAAAATACCTCCTCACTTCGTCCCTCATTACCTGTCCTTACCCGAGTCACACACCTTTCCCAATCCAGCATCCGCCATGACGACCAAACAGATGTGGGAGACCATCAAGCGGTACTTTGGGGATGGCCACGTCCCTGGATCTGCTCCGCTGCGCTACAATATACACATCTGCGAGATGATACCGTCGAGCCCTTTTACTGCCAGTGGCAGCTCTCGCTACGGAATAGAGCTGAGCGAGGCTGCGATGCCCCTATACTCTGTCCTCGGAGATACGTGCCCCCCACCTTGCACATGTTTCGAGATGCCAGCCGTTGTCAAGCACATTGAGGAGTGGTTGGAGAATAACCCGGATGATATCCACCCAGATGACATGGCCATTACCAGTGGAAAGAATGACACTGACGCCGATGAGGTCTCGCTCTTCATCATGCGAGACGTACTTAGTTGGTGGGTGCATTGGGGCGGAGCTCTGCGCCCAGAAGACTATTGGAAGCAAATATACGTCGCCTTCGCCGCCATCCCCGATGACATACAGCTAAGCCCGGCGGCGTTCTTCGACGGGACCTACCGTTTTCTTGGTCACACCTGGAACGACTGTCGCGAGGGTTTGTTGAAAGAAGGCATGACCCCAGACAAGGTGGAGTTTGTCGAAATGTGCCTGTGGCGCCAGATTCTCACGCAATACTTTGAGAAGGTGGACCCAGCCCTATACCCGCTCCTAAAGTCCAAGACGACCTTGATGACACAGTACCGAGTTCATACGGGCAACACATTGGGATGCGCGGCGTTAGTTTTGGCAACCATGGACATGGCCCCTGGAGTAGAGGGCGTACAGGACCATGCGCTGGAGGCGGCCTCGATCGCGCAGTGCCTGTCCATGGACATGGCCAAGGAGGCGCTAGGGATCCTTAAGGGTGAGAAGACGGAGACGGTGGCCGGGAACCGAGTGCAGCTCAAGAGGGAATTGCGATGGGTCTACGCTCGATGCATGGAGCAGCTCAACGCACACGAGGAACAGGCCTTTCTATTGCGCCGATTCGCCTCAGCTGGCTTGCACTATGTGCCCATGATGGACAGGTACCTTGAGAGGGTCAATGGCAACTCCCGCTTCCCGATTACCGAACTGCAGGCCAAAATCCTTGCCCCTTTCATTAATAGTCGATCGGTACCCCCATCCCTGAATAAGACTCTGGTTCTGTCTGGTGCGGTTTCCGGGATGAATATGGACGAGCTGGGGATCGTCGGTACTACCAATGGACTCAATGCTAACGGCCCAGAAAGTGTTGAAGCATGATTTATTACGTAGTTTTATTCAATTATACATTTGGGGCAACCTTTGTCTGCTTAAGAGTCCGGCTGGTCGTTGGAGGGCTTGGAGATGATCTTGTTTTCGTTTGTCTTTTATTCACTTAGGTAACTTATTTTCACTGTCCTACATGAATATATAATGTACCGGAACTTAATGAAGTGTTAGAGCTTCACTCTTGCGCTATGGCCAAGCGGTATCTTCGTAAAATCCTGTTTATTCCGACGGCCTTCCGAGGTAACTCTTGTTTTCTATCGAGCTTACAGCTTAACGGTTTTGGCTTCTTGCGCCGCTTGGGATTTTTAATTCTTCAGTACGTTGAATCCTAATAGTATAACACATATTAATTCCAGTCTTTGTCTGACTTACCTGCCTGTTTCTCCAATGGTCTTCCGCCACATTTTTTAAAGTCCACACCAGTGCCCGGTCAACAATGCTGAGACCAAGTTCGATGTATGCTAAAACTCAGTGCTAAAGCACCTCGAAAAGGATAGGAACATGGTTCCGTTTAGATTATACAAGGCTAATGTTTTAGAATGGAGAAACATACTAAAGATATCGAAAGGGAATATCATGACCGAGCAGTATGCATATAATGAATAGTCGCCTTTTTCCTCTAATCAAAACCCCATGTCAGATATGACAGACTCCCAGTACAGGTCCAACCCAATGGATCCTAGCCCCTGGCCCATATCCATCCCCGCTACCATGAGGTCGGCTTCAAACGGCGACCCTGTGTCAATGTGAGCCGCTCTTGTTTTTAACAGACCAAGGCAGAACTCAAGACTGTCTCTCGCGGCTCGCGCAACCTCTAACTCGACGGGTTTACCGTTCTCCAACGCACCGACCTGAGCGAGGATCATTTTTAAGAACATGTGGCTCTTGACATTGGTTTCTCCTGACCGGATGCGCTCCTCTGACAATTTGACAAGGTCCTTGACGGCTTGCTTCATTACCTCCCGAGACTGGAAATTGCGGCGCATGGTCCCTTCCAGATGCTGCTCCTGCGCCAGCACGAGCAAGTTCAATGTGACGGCTGACATGGCAGAGCGAATACCTTCACGAAATAGCCCACCGCCCATGGCCATCAGCTTCGAAAAGTGGGCGTCAGGGCCTGCGTCAGATCCTTCAGGACTGATAAGAGCGATGCCGGCGTCAACACTCAACTTTAGGGAGTAGTAATATATGCGGTTTTCTCGCGTCTGGTTGCTGAATGAATAATGCAGGGGAATCATGAACCGTCGTATGAGATAGTCAAGCATATTTTTGTGAAATAATGTGGCACCGCTCGTGCGTTCCATCCAATAGTGACTGGTCTGAATTGCATCAGTGAGTCGCGAGCTGAGGTGCAGCGCATGGTTGTAGGTAAGCTCTCGTTGAAGGTTGCTCAGCGCCTGCACAATGGAGAGGCGGACCGGAAGCGACTCAAATAGACAGATCTGGACTGAAGTTGCAGTGAAGGTGTCTGTGGAGTGAGATTGCGCCATCACAATCGACTCGTCTATCTCATCATCGTTAACGTTGAGTGGTGGACCAGTGTCAAACTCGTCCACGGAGATCCGGGGTGGCATCCGGGAATCCAGAGCAGACTGAACAACAAAGTCAAGTATGGTAGCCCATAGCCTTCGGCGTAGTTCTGCCTGCAAAGACGACATTGGCGGAAGGTGCTGTGGGTCCCGATGCAAGCCCAACTGCATGGCTGTGTGAATAAGGGAACCCATTGATGCCCAAATGGTGTCCCCTCCGATGGAGAAAATCTGTCGTGCCAGGATGGTCAGACAGTATATCTGCAGCCCAGCGATTGACAGCCGGTCTTTTTCCAGCGGTCCGGCCAACCAAATCTCGGCATCGTAGATCCTATGATGGACCATCTCTATATTGCTAAGAGCAGCATCCTCAGCTCCATGATCGTAGAGACTTGATCCTATGCTCACGGCGAGAAGGACCTTGAGACGTAGAGCAAGCGGAGTGCTCTCGGGCTGCTCCCAAAATATGCGGTATTCAGTCCAGAACGAAGGTGTGTGAAGAATACGGTGAGTTGACTCGAATGCCGTAAAATACAGCTTGACCATGGCGTCGGCCGTCTGGCGAGGTGGCAGAGCAAGACCAATATCAGCTGGTTGGAGACCGCGAGTAGGCCTGCCGATCTTGATCCCCTTGGCGGCATTCTTGCATTGGCCAAGAAATCCTGCGGCCTGTGTAATCAACTGCGCCACTTCCGGTTGTTGAAATGAAACATTTCCGCTGTCCTTGCCTGTGATCTCGCCGTAGCATGATATTATGGAAGAAAGCTCCGGTGCTGTGCCAGTCGTGCGGTTTTTCCCCAGGTCTCGCGTTTTATTCAACACGACCTGCCATTCTTGAGTTACGACAGAGGATTGCTGACTGTAGTTGCCATTTTCATTAATAATTCGTGACGGCGCTTGAAGGGTTGAACTGCGGCTTCCCCGCGAGACGGACTCGGCAGAGCCTGCAAGGCTCTGAGAACGATGCAGGTGATCATATGGGCCGGCGGCTGCGCTATGCTCACGCACTGGCTGCGATGGCAGCCGATTCCAAGGGACGCGGTCGTGACCACCACTGATGGAGGCGACGCTGGGCACATTGTGGGCTTGCTCTGTAACTAATTGTCTGTCAACACCGACAGCCGCAGAGGAGAGCGGAAGTGCGTGCAGAGACGCGGTGGCGTAGTGTGTCGAAGATAGGCCATAGCTGTGTTCATCACCCGATGTACACGGGGTTATGTCCGCGGGCTCCCGTCTGCCCGGAGGGTTTAGCTGCGATGGCGCTGGTGACAGCGGAGGAGACTGCGCCGACAGGCCGGACGCCCTTTTGTTCGGCTCATCAATGGAGCGTTGATAGGTGCATCGCCTCTTGTATTGTACGCACCCTGCGCACGGGTTGTTGTGGTCGCATTTGATCTTGCGCCGCCGACACTCGCGGCATGACAACACTGGCCGACGGCGTTGGCGAGGAGCCATCTCAGTGTCTGGCTGATCCGCCCGAAGCATCGAATGCGCTCGTTCCATGTTAAACTATGGTAGCTGGCAGGCAGTATAGGGGTCCTTTGGGCTAACCCGATCTTCTCGGCCGTACATTGGTATGCAAAGGGCTTGGTTTCATCGTGTGATTCTGTGAAGCTGCTGCGGCGGCCGACAGCGTACCTAGACAACGGAGAAGAGCGACGCTCTCACCCGGCGCTCAGCTCTCAGCTTACGGCCGTGGCCACCATCGCTCTCGGCCGAAGTGACACCACAGCCCATGGGCCGAGCCAATCACATCACACCCAAACACATACCATTCAACAGGCATCCTAGACAAAGCTTTGGAAAGCTACTTATTAGAAAACCACACCTTTCTAAGCCACTAGACTTGGCAATGTATCTGTCTCATTTCTCACGTTTCGCCAGATACTCAATTGTTCCTCCAATCATCACTCTTCGCAAATCCCGTCAAGAATTAGTAGCTCCAACGACCATGCGTCCTCCGCTGAAGGTCCTTATCAACGGTGGCGGCATCGCAGGCAATGCCGTGGCCTTCTGGCTTTCGAGACTTGGTCATCACGTCACGGTCGTCGAACGCTTTCCCAGCCTGCGTGTCACAGGCTTGCAGCTAGACCTGCGCGGCCACGGCATCGATGTCATTAAGCAAATGGGCCTCGAACAGGCCATCCGCAACAAGTCTGCCCCAGAGGAAGGCATGCAGGTGGTCGACAGCTCAGGCAAACGGCGGGCGTATTTTCCGGTCAACAAATCTGGCAAGGGGAAACAAAGCCTGACCACCGAGTTCGAGATTGTCAGAGGCGACTTATGCCGTGTCTTGTACGATGCAGCTCTTGAGAGCAAGGTGAAGCCCGAATATATTTTCGGCACGGGCCCCCAAAGCCTTGTGCAAAAAGGAGAAGTGGTTGAGGTTCTTTTTGAGAACGGCCAAACGGACGAATTCGACCTGGTGGTCGGTGCAGACGGTCAGTGGTCGCGTACACGCAGACTGATGCACAAGTCTGAAACAAATGCCTCTTCCGACAGTATTCACATTATCCCGGATCTCTACTTCGCGTATTACACAATGCGACGGCCTATGGAGAATGGGGAACAGTACGCAGCAACTTCATACATGGCGCCGGGGAAAAGAGGAATCATGACACGCAGACACAGTCCAGGTGATCTACAGGTCATGTTGTCGTGTAGAAACAGTTCAGCACAAATGAGGAATGCCCGTCGTGGTAGTGTCAGTGAGGAGAAGGCAGCCTTGGCGGATATCTTCCGCAATGCAGGTTGGATATCAGAAGATCTCGTCAAGGGCATGATGGAAGCAGACGACTTCTACTGCGAGCGGCCCGGTGTTGTGAAACAAGAATCATGGTCGCAGGGCCATATCACGCTGGTCGGAGACGCTGCCTACTGCCCAACCATTCTCACGGGTATGGGCACCACGGCTGCAATGGTTGGCGCTTATATACTGGCTGGCGAGATTGCAAGACATGCGACTGACAACAAAGATGCTGGCAGCCTCAGGGTTGCACTTACGAACTACGAACTGAAATTTCGACCCTATATGGACAAAATCCAGGATGGTGTCGTGGAAAAAGCCACGTATCAGTACACAATGCCGGATTCACCACTCGCAATCTCCATAATGAATTGGGGACTTGGCCTCGCCTCCTATTTCAATCTCAATATCGCTGAGATTTGGGGTATAAAAGAGGTTGTCAAGGGATGGCAGCTCCCAGAGTACGAGGAGCTGCCAGGGATATCGTGAATAGAGAGCGGTTGAGCAGACATACCGGTAGATCCCTGTAATTAGGCAGTGCTTGCTTTGCAGCATGACAGCGATAATTTGTAGTCAAAATAGTTGACTCTATTTGGTATATGCTGACTGATCTGGGCACAGTGCTGAATAGGAGCCAAAGTCGGCGAGCCAGTAGCTGGGCTGAAACGTAAATTCCATGACGATTTCAGTCTTTACGCCAATGCTTCCATCATGTGGACCATTCGCTATTACTGAGTAATGCCCTGAAGGATGGCTTGTGCTCACGTAACACGAATGGAAGTTGTGTTATAGACCTAGAAGGATAGGCATCTCTACCTCTCCAATACGCACCCTTTAGCCCCACCCTGAACTGGCACTTACTACTCTAGACCTAACGGCTAGCCGCTAGCCCTATCGCATGATACTTGCTCATTTACAACGGGAACCCCATGTCATACAAACACCTGGAGCTTCAAGTTTGATGCTGTTTTCGCCGAATCTTAGTGACAGTGATCTGATCACGACTCAGTTGGGCTCACCGTGTCGTCTGATTCCCATCCTGCGGCCTTCAAGCTTAGTGCAAATGCACGCCACATACGGGGTCTTCCCGAACCCATAAGTTCTTTAAATACCACTCCAATCCCACTTGCGCGACTTATCATAAACCTAACCGATTCGATCATTACGGGCCGTGCTGTAACTTGTATTAAAGATGGAGATTGCAGCTGTGCGACGCCGCTTTTGTTGTGGAGTGGCTGATGTAAGTGGTTGCTGTGGTGGGGTACGAAAGGTGAGTGGTGGCCCACCCCACGTGTAGATAGCAAACACCACAGCTGTGAAGGGAGCTCTTTTTTCCTCTCCTCTCCCGTTTTAAATTTTCCCAATTCTATAGGATTTTGTAGCAGAGCCTCAATTGGCCTATGGAGTCTTCGCACCTTCGGGCTATTTATAGTAAGCACTTATCTCTTCTTTTATTAAACCACCAGCTTTAATAATCGGAACAAAAATTATCGAAAAGCTTCTTTGTCTAAGTTTATTCATGTGAAATAGGTTAACTGAAAGGAGCGGACTTCCGTTCTATGGTCTGGATGCATTGTTTTACTGTATCTTGTAGCGATGCTGCGCTCTCGGCCTCCTCCGCGAACATGACCGCTGGTGGTGAGTCGCCTGCCTTAAGAGGCTTCAGCAGAGCACCGGCATTGGTCGAGCTCTCATCCAAGTTCATTGTGTTGTCGCCAGTGCTGTTAGGTGTGCTGGAGGTCGGTGGGCGTCCAATACGGTCCCAGAGCTGCCTCAGTGCCACAATAATGGCTCGTAGCGACTGGCGTATCGCCAGGCTAATAATGTCGACCTTCCCTTCGCCTGCCAGCTCAAAGTTCCCAATCGAGACTGCAATACTCGAGACTGATGATGCCGCGTTGATGGTGGAGATGAGCATCGATACAGACGAGAGCAGAGAGCGGATGCTCATGGCGAACAGGAGGTTCACTTGGAGGCTTTCTTCTGTCCCATGTGCAGCACAGCCCCGGAGTCTTGCCCAGAGCTCCTCTGCGGCCTTGACATTTCTCAATACCGGGCCCATGGAAGGTGTGCCATGGTGTAAGGTACTAGTCACAGGCTTACCTGGGGTATGGGTAAGCTCGTCCAGCTGATAGAGGAGCCATACTAGCTGCTGAACACAAGAGCAGCTCACGCCTGATCCGGGTCCCACAAATGGCGGTCCCACCATAGACGATGACTTTGGCATTCCTGAGAAGGAATCTCTTTTGTTTCCGCTGCCAGAGGAATTATTTTGTTCTCCCTTGACCGAGCTAGATCTTAATCCTGTACCAACTGCACCGTTTATGGGTGACGGGTCCGAAGGGGAAGAGGCGGGCATGTCATCTGGAGCCTTTAGTGATGAAAAGATAAGAGTCAGTGGATCTAGCAAATAGAACGGGTTTGTCTGTGGGTGGACAATACACATACTTGAACGTGGAATGTATGCTGGTCTATGCTGGGGTTTGCCTTCTCGGTGCCAATTCCCATCGAGTTTGCTATGCTAAGGGCGGGATCCACCAAGACAGTCTGATTCTCTTCAACGCCAGTGAACATAACGGTGTCGCCAAAGGCATCCATGTTGGCGTCAAATGTGTAAGGCATATCGAAACCGGAAAGTATCGAGTCCAGAGACGCCGTTAGAGTCCTTTGCTGTTCTTCTTGTTGTTGCTGCTGCTGCTGTTGTTCTTGGTCTTGTTGCTGCTTTTTTTGCGTCTGGCTGTTTCCTATGCCCTTCTGATGTTTGCTCCCGGGACTTAGGCCCTGCTGCGTCAAAGTCCGCTTGTTCTTGCTGCCTTTCGGCCTTCCAAGCCGGCCACCTGGACTATAATTGCACTCAACTTCAGACCACTGACATGCCAAACAAGGATGGCCACCGATACACTTTATCTTAGAGTAGCGGCATGCTTCACAGGCCGAACGTAGTCGACCTGTAATTGTGTTTGAGTTCTTGATATGCGACATTGAATCTTGCAAACGTTGAGCTCGAGGGAAAACTACTAATCAGACACGGACTGGGGAATAGCGTTTCAGCTACAGGATTGAAGAGGATGGCTAGGTACTTTAGAGAAGATCAAGTATACTGTGGAATAGCTTCTTCCTAAATAGAGCCTCGTTCCGACCAAACAAGGAATACGTGGGATGGTACATCTTGTTACATGCGACATTATGCACCATTTAGGTACTTGATAGGCCGTGATTGAGGGTTCTCAACTCAGCTCGGCTGACTGCATTTAAAGGATGATATTCTGAGATCTGTGTCGGCCGAAAGCATGTCGCCTTGTCTATATTCTACCACTCAGGGCCTTGGACAGCCTTATACCGATGGTGGAGAAGCTGAGGAGGAGTGGGGGGGGTTCGCCCACTATGCCTCAAGCGGTAAAAACCTGAAGCCACATCTGTCACGGCTCGGTTTATCAGCCCACGTTTATCGTTCGATAGCGAATGATATCCCACACCGAAGTCTTTTCCTGCAAGGTGGCTGGTTTAGAGTTTATACGGACGCATGTTTCAAGCCATGACGTGGAGAGCACCCCAACGGTCCGTTGGTTCCTTGTGACCGGGCGGCAGGGCTGCAGACAGCCTGATGTGGGCAAGTCCGAAAGCCGCAGTCTGTACGCTGGACACAGCTGTGAGTAAGTAGAATTGCAGGATACCCACAGCAGTCGCGGGATGGTATAGCGACCTGTACCGTGTATTCGTCTCTCAAGACCCAGGCCTGTCCTGCTTCGACTTGATACAGAATCCCTATTCCTCAGTCATCCTCTTCCTCAAAGTTGAGTTGTCAAGCCCTCAGGGGTGAAATTGAAGATTAAGCAGTGCACGGGTCGACCCGCTTGGTTAGTTGCAGAAGGACGCTGAGTACGGGATCGTCGGTGGCGTCGTCTTCGCCGTATATCTCACATCCGGCAAGAAACATTGGCTTAGTACCGGCTCTCTTGGCAGTACATCAGGAACCAATCTTGCGCCATTCTCCCCGACACCATGTCCAAATCGTTGGGGCTTTTATCAGTGACCTGCCAGGACTGCGCACCAGTCCACGAATCGGTGAGATATCACCATGGATGACGTTTGTCCGTTGGCCGCTTTTTGTCAGGGGGCGGCGCCGACGCTTTGGTAGACGATGGCGCCGGTGGACGGTTTGCTCTACCATGGCTACCATGGCGGCGATAAGTTGATCATACCTTTCGCCAGGAGGCTGTTTCTTGAAGAGGAATGCAGTGGTGTCGAGTTGCGTATCTATCGCTTGCTTTTTTCTAAGGACTTGGAGCCGTTGTTGGTAATTTACCAAGGAAGGTGTCTTTCATCAAGGATGGTGATTGCAAGAATCACAACAGCGTGGCGCCATGTCGCCTATTTGTTGGACCTATAGCTGCCGGCCGACAAGCAAAACGGGCTTACAAAATCCCGCTTTCTAACGGACTTTGATTACTAGTACCCGTGGCACATGCATGGCAGACGCGAAGACCAAGCAACGGCACTGCTCAGGCACTAGTCAATTAGCGAGGGCGCAGGAAAATGCAGACCCAGCGAGGGACCTTTCTTTGTAGAGGCGGGATCCGTTTTTGGATCCCGTTCACACCGGCCAAAATAAGCTTTTATTGGCAAGCTTTCAGCGAATCGGACTATTTCTTGCTGTGCCTGGCGTGATTGCACCCCGTTGCCAAGCGCACACTGGTCATTCCTGTCGTCATTCCGGCGACTCCACATGTAGTTTCTCAAAGGGACCCCATTACGGCCGACAGCAAAGTTTGGTCGCACCTATCTCCGTCTAACGGCCACACCACGAACCATTGGATCCGTGTCTCGGCCGACAGAATTATATCACAGGAATGAACCAGATGCGTGCAGGGGCACTCCTGCTCACGGCCGCCGGACGGCTAACAATACGGGCGGACTCCTTAGTGCGGCCGAAAAGGGACTCGTGAGGGGAATTTGGGGTTGTCAATTGGCGCAGTGGCAAGAGTATTCTTACCGCATTTGTCGTTGTTCTGTACAGGGCCCTAAAGCAACGGACTAAGAGAAACATGAAATGCATCTCCGTCCGTCCCCTGCAAATGCGGGCGACGGAAGACGAATCTGTCATCTTGAATCTGTCGGCCGATGGCCACCATGCTATAACGATGTCAATGTTGTAATATCCGTGTCTTGGTCAAACATTTGAAGATGATACTGTCTGCGTTGGCCACTAATTTGGAATTGTGTCATAAGACAGGTTGTACTTCTGCGTAAACCTTTCACCTTTAAGTGAGAGATAAAACCCATTCCTGTTTGTGATCACATGAGTTTAGAATCTCCTTATGGTGCTTCACAGCAACCACGATCCGAAAGAGTTCTGATACTGAACTCCGTAGAAGTACAAACCCATAAGATGCCAGAAACAACGGCTTTGGGTCACTTTGGTGACACAGTACCTCCTAGGGCTCAGCCAAACATGGGGTTGTTGGCCGCCAATGAGAGCGACGCACAGGTCAAAGAGGAGCCCATGAAGTCACGCGACTCAACGGTTAAAAGACTGGCGATTGGGTTTTCCCGCCACAGTATCGACAACAATGAGGAGAAGCCTCTCTTTGGAAGCAATGACCCTCTCTCTCCCCTTAACCCGCTGGGGGAGAGATTCAGCGCTCGCGCCTGGGCCCAGAATATGGCTAAGGCGGTAAGAAACAGCGACCAGGAACAAAGAAGAGTTGGATTGTGTTTCGAAGACCTTGGAGTTTTTGGCTTTGGCACACCGACAGATTTTCAGAAAACTGTAGCCAACATCTGGTTTGCCTTGCCACAAATGGCAGCACGCGCTCTATTTCCACGCTCTATCATGTCTGGACAAAAGCGGCTTCAAATTCTGCGCCACTTCGATGGTATTATACGCCCTGGAGAGATGTGTGTTGTCCTGGGCCCACCTGGATCTGGCTGCTCGACATTCCTCAAGGCCATCTCGGGAGATCGAAATGGAGTCTACTTGAACGAGAAATCCTACCTCAACTATCAAGGAATTTCCGATGAAGAGATGCACACAATGCACCGAGGAGACGCGATATACACTGCCGAGATTGATGTCCACTTCCCCATGTTGACAGTTGGCGAGACATTGAGTTTTGCCTCACAGGCCCGCTGTCCCAGGGAACTGCCAGAGAATGTCACTCGCGAACAGTAAGACCCTTTCATATCCCCTTTCGCCGCGACTGATCCTCGATGCTAACATTCCCATCTGAAAGATATTGCGAACACATGCGCAATGTTGTCATGGCCATGTATGGTATCAGCCACACTGTTCACACTAAGGTTGGCGATGAGTTTGAACGAGGAGTTTCAGGCGGAGAACGCAAGCGTGTCAGTATTGCGGAAGCAACACTGTCCAATGCCCCATTTCAGTGTTGGGATAAGTGAGTGCATGCAGCTATCTTCGCCCATCACATGACTAATGCTGTACAACGTTCTGATTATAGTTCAACACGCGGTCTCGATTCAGCAAATGCAGTTGAGTTCTGCAAAACGTTACGACTTCAATCCGACCTGTTTGGCCAAGCTTGTGCAGTGTCACTGTACCAAGCACCCCAAAGTGCTTATGATCTTTTTGACAAATGCACGGTGCTCTACGAGGGACGCCAGATCTACTTTGGCAGTGCATCCCGTGCCAAGCAGTACTTTGTTGACCTTGGCTTCGAGTGTCCGGTGCGCCAGACAACATCAGACTTCCTCACCTCGATGACCTTTCCGGCGGAGCGTATCACCCGTCCCGGAGCCCACCCGCCCCAGACGGCGGATGACTTCGAAGCCGTATGGAGAGCCAGCGCAGAGTATCAAGCGCTGCGAGCCGAAATACACCAGTACAAAGCCCAGCATCCGATTAACGGAAGAGACGCGCAAGTATACCGTCAATTAAAGAGGGACTACCAGGCCAAGGGACAGCGCCTGGGCTCTCCATACACGCTCACTTACTCCCAGCAAGTGCGGCTGTGCATGTGGAGAGGATGGCGGCGTTTCTGGGCAGACCCGGGCCCTTCGCTCTGGGTCATGGTTGGCAACATCATGATGGCGCTGATAATGTCTTCACTTTTCTACGATATGAAGGAGTCCACCTCAACTTTCTATGGCCGGGCCGTCGTCCTGTTCATGGCTATCCTCTTCAATGCTTTCGCTTCTATTCTAGAGGTTATGACGCTGTATGCGCAACGTCCAATCGTGGAGAAACACTCGCGCTATGCCTTTTACCATCCGTCAGCCGAATCATATTCTTCTGTCCTTGTCGACCTACCGATGAAGATCACTGGGACAGTCTCATTCAACTTGGTTTTCTATTTCATGACCAATTTGAATCGCCAACCCGGAAACTTTTTCTTCTATCTGCTGGTGGTTTTCCTCATCGTCTTGGCCATGTCTGGTATCTTTAGGTTCATGTGAGTGTTGGATTGGAGCTATAACAAGAGTGTGACTAACTTTGGTCGACAGTGGCGCACTGTCTCGAACTGAGCAACAGGCTATGGTTCCTGCGTCGATCTTGATGCTCGCTCTGCTGGTCTTCACCGGATTTGTCGTTCCGATTCGTTACATGCTGTCTTGGTGTAGGTGGATCAACTACGTCAACCCAGTCGCCTACGGCTACGAAGCACTCATGGTTAACGAATATCACAATCGTAACTTCACGTGTTCCTCCTACATTCCTGATTATACTGGTCCGGGTGCCGGTGTCGTCACGTGCGATGCCGTTGGTGCCGTTCCTGGCCAGTCCTTTGTGAACGGAGACACGTACATCGGCTCTGCTTACAGCTACTACCACAGCCACAAGTGGCGAAATGTCGGCATCATCATTGCTATGGTGATTTTCAATCATATCGTATACTTCTTAGCCAGTGAGTATGTCACTGCTAAGAAGTCCAAAGGCGAAGTACTCGTCTTTCGCAGAGGTTTCGTTCCCAAACAGCCTGCCAACGACCTTGAGCATTCTCTCGAAGGCCCAGTCGCTACAATATTGGACAGACCTGGAACGATTAAAGAGTCCAAGGAAGCTGTCCTTGGTTCCAAAAGTGTGTTTCACTGGAGTAATGTGTGCTACGATATCAAAATCAAGGGAAAGCCTCGTCGTATTCTCGACAGCATCGACGGCTGGGTGAAGCCTGGCACTCTTACGGCATTGATGGGTGTGTCGGGTGCCGGAAAGACTACCCTACTTGACTGTCTAGCTGATCGCCGGACTGGTGTTGGCATTTTGACTGGTGAGATGTTGGTCGACGGGAAGATACGCGACGAGAGTTTTCAGCGCAAGACTGGCTACGCGCAGCAGCAGGACCTGCACCTAGATACAAGCACAGTTCGAGAGGTCAGTTCAGTTCTCTTTCCACTCGTGGCTTTTAATCCTACAATACCTATGCTGACTGGCTATATTATTGTATCGCAGGCTCTGGTTTTCTCGGCTCTCCTACGCCAGCCGGAGAATGTTCCAACAGAGGAGAAGCTCAAACACGTCGAGGAGGTTATCGAGCTCCTTGATATGCAGCAATATGCCGACGCTGTAGTCGGAGTCCTCGGTGAAGGCCTCAATGTTGAGCAGCGGAAGCGCTTGACAATAGGAGTTGAACTGGCTGCTAAGCCTCCGCTATTGCTCTTTGTTGATGAGCCTACCTCGGGTCTGGATTCTCAGACCAGCTGGGTCGTCCTAGATCTCCTGGAAAAGTTATCTCGGGCTGGTCAGTCTATTTTGTGTACGATCCATCAGCCCTCGGCGATGTTGTTTCAGTGGTTCGATCGGCTACTGCTTCTTGCGGAAGGAGGCAAAACAGTATATTTTGGTTAGTACTTTGTTCCGACGTGTCGTGCTCGGTTCAAAGGCCAAATGCTAACTTCCGATTCCCTTCGATAGGCGACGTTGGTGAAAATTCAAAAACCCTGATCGAATATTTTGAACGCAATGGCGCTGATCCGTGCCCACCTACCGACAACCCAGCCGAGTGGATGCTCAAGGTCATCGGGGCTGCACCCGGCAGCTATTCTGAGGTGGACTGGCACCAGACATGGCGCTCAAGCGTTGAATATAACCATGTTCAGGACGAGCTGTCCCGTCTCCGTTCCAAAGAACACAACAAGCGCCCGCGTGAGGACGATGATGAAAACTTCGACAAGCAATTCGCAACATCGCTAAAGTACCAATTCCGCGTCGTCACCAAGCGTGTCTTCCAGCAATCCTGGCGCTCGCCGTCCTACATCTACTCCAAATTAGTTCTCTGTATCGCAACCAGTCTTTTTATTGGCCTTGTCTTCTTAAACTCGCCTTTGAGTATCCAAGGTTTGCAGAACCAGATGTTTGCGATTTTCGAGTTGATGAGTATCGTCGGGCAGCTGGTGGATCAACAAATGCCGCATTTTATCAGCCAACGCTCACTCTATGAAGTACGCGAGAGACCAGCGAAGACATATAGCTGGAAAGTGTTTATACTGAGCCAAATATTGTCCGAAATTCCTTGGTATACACTCGCCTCGGTATTCATGTGGGTGCTCTTTTACTTCTTGATCGGCCTATACCAGAACACAGAGGGCACCGACCAAGGAGGCGAACGTGGAGTACTAATGTTACTGCTATTCTGGGTGTTCCTTATCTGGGTTTCTACCTTTGCGCACTTCTGTATCTCATTCGCCGGCTCTTCTGACGATGGTGGTAATATTGCCAACTTCATGTTCGTCCTGGCCTTCTTCTTTTGTGGCGTTCTGGCGTCACCAGACCAGATGCCCCGGTTCTGGATTTTTTTGTATCGCGCTTCACCACTGTCGTATTACGTCTCCGCGGTCCTGTCAACAGGTCTGGCGAACGCCAACGTTACCTGTGCTTCCAACGAGTTTACGGCGATCGCTCCGCCCCAAGGCCAAACTTGTGGCGAATACATGCAAAAGTACATCTCGACGGCCGGCGGGTACCTCCTCGACGCCAATGCGACGAGCGATTGCCAGTACTGCAGCATCAGCAACACCAATGTATATTTGTCCGCGTTGCATATCGATTATGGAAACAGGTGGCGCGACTTTGGCATCATGTGGGTGTACGTTGTTTTCAACGTCGCCGCTGCGTTGACGTTGTATTGGGTTGCGAGGATGCCCAAGGGAAAGAGAAAGTTGTAATAAGGCCATTGACAAGGCAGCATATATGCCAGAAGGATGACGGAACCATTGCCTCTGTCCATATGTTCATGCGCCACAGTTATACTGTTACTGTAAAAAAAAAAAAATAAAAAGTGTAACTATATTGGGAAATGGGCAGCATAGCCATGTAAGGATGATTGTTATCGTAAACTGTATAGTCAGCTCTCCTCTTTTTGCAGGGATTTCAGAATGATTGCTACTTTCTTTGACTTTTGATCCTCATATCTTGCTTTGGTATCAAGTCCTGATTTCTCGTAATAACTGGCTGCGGATACATCAAATTGAGCTTGCAACAATTATTCAAGTCTTGCCCGCATTCTTGGCGCACGGAATAACAAATCGTCCTACTCACTAGGCAAGTAGGGTTCATGGCGAACGCCAAGTTCTCGCTGTAGCGATTTCAAAGAGATGCAAAGTCCTCTTTGGAGGCCAACGGCATAGTCTTTGATATTTTCAACCTCTTCTACTCAGGCAGTCTCGATGAGATCATTACGATCGATATCGATTGTCCCGCACGACTAAGAGTAATGCCCTATCTAGTCGAGTAGGCTTGAGAGGAGGCTGCCCACGGTTCGTCTTGTCTGATCTTTTGCGCAAATCACGATTGACGCCGTAATAGATCAAGCCAAGGCCTATATGCCCTAGAAGATCAATAGCTTTGACCTGGATGCCATTAGACTGTATGGAGGACCTGAGTATGTAAGCCTTCCTAGGAGGCACGTCATTATAGCTGGGCACAAGATGTCTACTGACAAGCCTGACTCGTCACACACTTGTATCAAGTTAGTATACAAGGAGTCCTACCTTTAGCAAGGGACCGGAGACTCGAGAAGAGAGAACCGGGCGAAATGGTGTGTATAGTTTCAACTTGTGACTAGAGATTGTGACTCTTCCGGTGCTACTCAGGGAGCGGCGGAGCGCCGTAGAGCACATAGGCATTTGGGAAAGATGCATTATTTGGATCTCTTCATCCGGTCACAATCAATTTTGCGGCACCAAAGTTGAATACGGGGTAAGCCAAGTCTGAGATGATGCTTCGATACCGTATAAATACGGCATGATACATTTAGAAAGGTGTTCTAGAGAATGCTTTCTTTTCTAAAAGGAGTTTCCAATTGGAAAAACCTTCAGTTTAGAAAACCGCTTTCTTTCCAGCTCTGTACATAAGATCGGATCAATTCATCGCTGACTGGGCCCAATCGCGCCATCGTCGGCGAATGTTCTCTTGCCTTGGCTGTTGCCATGAGAAGCCCACCACAGCTGATGCGGACGAAATTATCCTTGAGGAAATCTACTAACATGAAGCCGGGGTTGGCGCCTTGTGGACCGTTGTCTTCTGACCGCGGCCAACTGCGTACGCGCTCCAGCCACTCCTGGAAAGGAATCTTGCTTAATTCGCAATTATCTTCGGCACCAGAGATACGTAGGGCGTCGATCAGTGTAGCAAGTGTATCTGACCAGGCTTGACGTATGGGATTTTCGATATGGTAGACAGGATACAGCTGGACACTACTAGGTTGCATCAAAATCTCGATCAGGGCACTTGCTATATCGTCGGATGGAGTCCATCCCAATGTGCCTGGGAGCTCGGGGACAGCGCCCAGACACTGAGAGGACTTGATCATAAAAGGTACGTGTTCCATGGGGTTCCAATGACCGTTTGTCTTGCTGCCAGCAATCTGACCAAGACGCACCACCGTGGCCTGGAAGCGCTCGGGGAACCTATGCAAGGTAGCGTCCAGCATGCGTTCGCATATATACTTGGCTTCGCCGTATCCGGTCGGCAACACGCTTTCGATAGGTACTCGTTCCTCAGGCACCATCGGGCTTCCCGTCCAGAAGGAGTGGTGGCCAATCGTTGCGATCGAAGAGACAAACTCGAACCACACCAAACGAGGATGTCGCGCTGAAATGTCGCGCGCCAGATTCAGCATGTTCGCCATGATTCGGAGCTGCGGCTCAAAGCGTTTGACCGGCCACTTAGAGTGCATAAGCCAAGCGTTGTGCACGATGCGTGTGACCCTATCAATAAGCGAAAGGTACTGTTCATGGGACAGGCCGAGTTCTACGGGCTGTGACAGGTCTGTCTCCCACACCTCGATTTTTGCCTTGGCGTCCGGCGGGAGCTCGATACACTTCTTTCGCAAGGCTTCTAGCTGTCGCGCTTTGGGCTCCTGTGCTTGTCGTGGGCGGTTCAGGCAGATGACCCTACTCACATCAGTGCGAAGCGCCGCCGATGCTACTAAGTGCGCCCCCAAGCCTCCCGTGCCACCAGTTATCAACACACAGTTGCTTTGTGATTCACAGGAAATACAAGCGTCATCCTCATGAAAGCTGGCATTGTTGATGCGCAATGGTGCGTCGAAGTCACGGGTAAATTCTTGCACGTATCCAGCGACAGTCTGCTCACGCGCCATACAGGCTACAGACGTCATCTTCTTCTTCGTCAGCGAAACTGGAGTTCGTTCAGACCTAGGTGTAATCAGAGACTGCTTCATTAGACCTTTGAGCCTATATACTACTTGGGCTGGGGCTCCGCTGCCAATCCTCGAACGTACCTGCTGGTGGAGCTGGCAGCAGCCATGATCACTCTCTGCAGCGCCGTCTCGGGCATCTCACCGTCTGTCCAGTCCACTTCACCATACCCAGCAGCATGTAGTTCCCGTTGCCAAATGAGCTCATTCGTCAAAGCGTGGTTCCGTTCATCAGCAAATAGCCACCACCCTTCGAAAAGACCAAAGATCAAATCAACCCAGTACGGAGTGCGTGTCATCTCTAACATCACAAGGATGCCGTCAGGCCGCAGAGCTTTGCGTACATTTCTCAAACTCTTGGATAGTGACTTAGTTGCATGGATGGCATTGCTGGCAATCACAAGGTCTTGCATGCCTTGAAGGTCTTGAGCTGGCTCACTCTCGATGTCATGAACTCGAAACTTCATCCACGAGTACTCCTTGGCCCACTTCTTGCGAGCAGCAGACACAAAAGAGGGTGCCAAGTCGGTAAAGGTGTATTCAATGGGTATCTGTGCTTGTGCCAAGAGCGGTACAAGCTGCCTCGTGGTGCCACCGGTCCCACCGCCCATTTCCAGGATCCGCAGTGGGCTATTCCTGTCAGTACCAGAGATGCGAGCAGTCTGGAGTTTTGAAAGCAGTCTTCGTACAAAGTCCGCTATCTGACCAATTAGGCACTTATTCAGTGGCCAATCTGCGTACCATTTGCTGACAAGCTCACGGCCTTCTTCATCTCCAAATATCACCTTGACACCGCTGGTTTCTCCTGAAAGCACACGTCTGAGACTCTTTCCCGCATAGTATATAAGCTTGTTGGCCGAGTGCTGGTCTTCGCCACGCTGCTGTAGCACCTGGAATAGATCCTTGCTGTTTATATCTGGAAGAGGCACTGCCGTCCTAGTGATAACACTCCCGTCTATCTTGATAATCTGTGTCTCCGCCTCCAGCATGTCATACAGGTGCGAAACGAACCGGTGATGTTCTGGGCAGTGCGGAATGCGTGAGAGCTTTTGGCCCGGTCGAGCGTGCTCAAACCCGGCACCCAGAGATTGGAGAACCTCAAGAGTCAAGGCCACGGTCAGGTTGTTCTGAATGGGCAGAGTCATTGTTGCGTATCTTTCTTGTCCTAGGCTAACCACACACATATCTGTCAATTTTTTAGTCTCATGGAAAGCCTGCAACGCGGCTCCAAGGGATAGCGTGGGATTCTGAGCTGATGCGTTGTGCTCCTCTTGTTCCTCAAATTGTTCGACGTCCAGCTCTGGGAATGGTGTGCTGATATCCGTGTTGGTCTGGCCCACCGAGCTATCTGAAGCTTCCATAACACTGGGATAATCGTCGCTGTCCGAGTCTTTGATGAGTTGCAAGCCCGAATCCGTGATGCACATGGCACCAGCTACGCATTTGACGAGCTCTGTAATGCTGACGACCAGCATCATTTCAGCTTCTGGAAGCTTCACCTTGAGGTTGGATTCAATTTGGTGCATCATTTCCATTCCGGTGAGAGAATCGATGCCGAGATCTGCCAGTTCGCTGTCGTCCTTGATCTCAGATACGTCTATGCCCGACAAATCGGAGATCACATCTTTGATCTTTTGAGCCATTACAAGAAATGCGTTACCCTCTGTGGCCGACGGTGCTGGCTCTCCTGTAGCGATACCCTGTTGGCTTGCTGATCCTGCCACCAATGGTACCTCATCCGCAATGGCCGTTGACAGGTTCTTCAGGGCAGAAACAGTAGTGGTGGGGATCACTGTGGCAGTCGCGGTAGACTCAGAAACATTACAAGAGAGACGACTTAACATCTTCTCCATGGAAAGTCTTGGAATCTTCACATAACAAATGCCAAGGATTACCTCCACCAACGCCCCATCGGCAGCATCAAAAATGAAAACGTCCGTCAAGCACAGCTGGGCAGACGGACGGTCATGCACGGCAAGTGCATGGAAATCACTCGGCCGCTTGCCAGAGTGATATGACCTGATCCAACGATCGATGCCATTTGCAAGGAACACATGATTTTGACCATGTTCTTCTGCCATATAGTTGATCCATATGCCGCCAAGCTGGCAGAAGGTGTCGGCCAAGTGTGGATCGAACCATTCTCGCTCGGGGCTTGTGTTGAGGCGCACAATATGGCCTGCATTGTCATTACCGCGCTTCGCCATTTTCACCATACCCCGGAATTCTTCGCCGTAATCCACAATGTCACTAAATAGGCGATAAATACTGCGCTTGCCTAGAATCTCCTCGGCGTCTGAGCTCTGGAGCAGCGAGGAAGCTCGATGATGTCTCAATAGTCTCTCGAAATGTGCCAGTTCACGCTTCAATGATGAATCGCCAGAACTGCTGAGAACTACTTTGCCCGTCGTGTGCACTGTCCGCTCGTTGGATTCCTTCCCGAAGCAGCTGAATACTTCAAAGGTCCACCCCTGTTGAACACGAGCCCGTTTCGAGGTGTCGTAACTGACCTCGACCCATAGGGTCCGGGCAGAATTGAAGCAAACCGGAGAGTGGTACTCGACCTCTTGTATTTGAGGCTGATATCCTTCGGATTTGTACTCGGGGTGGGCAGAGTCAATGGCGTCAATAACAAAGCTGATTTGCAGCGTCGCAGACAGTATTGGTGCTGTTTGCAAGGTGACATGACCTGAGAGAAGATTCTTGTACTTTTCGGCGGCTGTCTCGACCCGGAACAATGCCCGCTCATCCTCTGCCTCGGTGTTGAGATGGCCAATGAATGTTAGTAACCCCTGGGGCTTCTTTTCTGCCTCCGCAACAGCCTTGCGACCGGCATCCGCTGCTAACATAGCTTTAGGTAGCGTCTTAAGTGCCAACCAGTGTCGAGAATCCGGGTCAAACTGGTACGGCGGCAGGAACAAGGGCTGAAGGGTCAAAGACACGTGATGCCTCTGCATCGGGTGATGTGCCCAATGGTGTATTGCGAGCCGAGCAGTCTTCCATAGGGACATTGTGGTTTCGGTCAGCTTGTTCCAGCCGTCGTCTCCGCTAGCAATTTTTAGGCCGTGGAAGGAGAAGTTGCCCTTCACATTACCCAACGCGTGGGCGGCAATTGATGTAATTGATGTATTTGTGCCCGCCTCTAGGAAGACGCACGGCGAAGAAGTGTGACGACGTCGTACCAGGCGCTCGATGGCGTGGTGAAAGTAAACTGGGCTTCGGATATGCTTCGCAATAAATTGGATGTTATTGTGTTCTACACCCACTGCCTCATCTGGTACAGCTCGCTCGACATGGAATTTCGCCTCGCGGAAGGTCAGACCTTGAAAAGCTTCCACTAGCTTGCCAAGCAGAGGATCTGCGAGTACGGAATGGAAGGCGTGCGTCACGGCGAGTCTCTTGATTTGGTTTCCCTTCTTTTCGCCATCTGGTTGTTTCTTCTTAAACAACGCAACCACTGCGTCGATTGCCCGAGTCGGTCCTGCAATGGTGAAGCTCGACGGTCCATTGTAGCAGGCTATGCTTGCAGGTTCACCCGAGTGATCGGCGTTGGCCTCGGCCAACAACTTTGTCACGTCAGCAAGGGTTGCTTGGACGGCCAGCATGGCGCCTCTCTCAGGACCCCAGTGCTCTTTTATGACGGTTGCCCGGCGCAGGATCATCTTGACCGTGTCTTCAAGTGACAGCACCTGCGCAACGCATAATGCTGTAAGTTCGCCAAAACTGTGGCCGACCAGCGCACTTGGGCGAACTCCGACGTCGATCCAACTTTGGGCACACGCGTACTGCATCGCAAAGATCATTGCTTGCAGCTCAACGACGTCGTCTACTGGAGTACGCTGGAAGATACCAGGGAAGATGCAGGTTCCCTTCGACAGCGACTGTACCACAGCGTCGACTTGGTCGAGGTGCTTGCGTAGGATAGCGATGTTTTCGTACAGATAGCGATCGAGACCCACGAAGGGAGATGATTGGCCTCCAAAGCATAGGATCACGTTTGGAACCGTCATATGTGAAGCAATTTCGACCGAAGGTCCGTCAGTGCCATCGCTACCTATAAACGTCGCCAGTTTCTGGTCTAGTTCATTGACGGAGCTTGCCGTCAGCATCAAACTGGCAGCCAAGTTGCGATTGCTCTGGGTGGCAAGGTTGAATGACAGACCAGCGAGTGATATAGCAGCTGCTGGTCGTTGTAGGTACTTGCGGAAGACCATGAAATAGCGACGTATACTGTTCTTGTCGAACCCGGTGAACCAGAACGGATACTTGAGCCCACTCGGCTCTCGGACTGTGAATTCCTGCCTCTTTGATGCGCTCCGTGAGGGCGGTTGGATGACGACCACGGAGGCATTCGATCCAGACGCGCCGTAGTTATTGATGAGCGCCACACGGAAGTCGGAGTCCCACGCGAGCGCCCGGGTTGGAATGAACATTTGGTCACTGGGCGAGATCTTCAAGCTTGGATTCGCCTGATTAAAACTGGCTTGTGGCTGAATCGTGCCCTTTTGGATCATCAAAAGTACCTTTATAAGGCTGATCACACCGGAGGTACACTCCATGTGGCCGACCAGCCCCTTCACCGAGCCCACAGCCAACTGGTTGCCTGGTCCCCGTGTTGGCCCACCAAGAGCGCGCCGGATGCTGTCGTACTCAGCCGGATCGCCTACTGGCGTACCCGTACCGTGGCCCTCAACCACGGTGACCTGTGAGGGCTTGACGCGGGCTTTATCCATGACTTTAGTGAAGAGATTACCCAGCGAAGGTACGTTAGGGACGAAGATCGGAGTACAGTTTTGGTTCTGTTGAACACTGGTAGCGGCGATGACGCCCAAAATTGGATCTCCATCGGCGGCGGCCTTGCTCAACTTCTTGAGGAAAACAACCCCAGCACCCTCTCCTCGGCAATATCCGTCAGCCTTCTCATCAAATGGCTTGCACTGGCCGGTGGGGCTGAGGAATGAGCCTGCCGCGAGATTCTGGAACCACTCTGCCGAGGTCAAGATGTGCGTTCCACCGGCGAGAGCCGCTTCACACTCTCCTGTGAGAATGGACTGACAGGCCTGATGCACGGCAACTAGCGAGGAGCTGCAAGCAGTGTTGAGTGTAATGCTCGGACCTGTCCAGCCGAAGAAGTGGGAGACCTTGCCAGCGATGAAGCCCTGTAGATTGCCTGTGGCAGTGAGGGCGTTGGCAGGGTGGGAAGCCACGTTGTTATCATAGTCGCTTAGGCACACACCGACAAAGCAACCGATGCTTCTATTTGTGTGCTCTATCGTTGCCTGGTTGTGGAAGTAGCCACTTTGCTCGAGCGCCTGGTATGCCACTTGCAGGATATGGCGCTGCTGCGGGTCCATTGATGCGCTCTCACGGGCACTCTTCTTGAAGAAGCGGTGATCAAACTGATCATAACCATCAATGAGGTTGGCGAACCACTTACGGTTCATATTCGGGTCGTCAATAGTGCGGAATGGACCGTCATTGAAGGAGAAACGGTCAATTGATCGGCTGCCTGGGCCGATCTCCTGATGCTGAGACCTTGCCGCAGCAATCAGATCCCAAAACTCTTCAAGATCATTAGCTCCGGGAACCTTGCAAGACATGCCCACGACAGCAATGTCATTTTCCATTGAGATTCGGCCGGACTGCCGATCCGCTTTTCCCTTCGTGTCTGCGAGGTGCACAATCTTCATCGTCCGGGGCGGCTTCAGAGCAAGTGAAGTGGGTACACTTCTCTCCGTGCCCAGTTCGAAGACCGTCACCTGGGTGTCTGATAGTGGTGCTGTTGATTCTGAGAAGGAATCAAACCACTGGGCGGGCTCAACGAGGATAGCCCGGAGTGCATGGCCATGCAAAGAACCTTTGCGCATTAACGACCCTCCAATGTCGTTAGCTCTTGTGGGCATGGCCAAGGCTGCAACATTTGGAAGTTGGAACATAGCATGCGAATCGCAGAAGGCAACTAATTCATCCACAAGAGGCGAGTTATTCGAAGAGTGGAATCTTCCGTAAAGGTTAATCTCGGACGCGCTGATACCTGCAGCACGCAACCGACTGCTCAGCTCCGGTATTCTATCAGGAGAAACTGTAATTGTGACACAGTTCTTGTCATAATATACCGAAACATAAGCCTGTACCGTTCCTGTGTTAAAAAAGATTGAACTTGTCAGGAAGCAATGCATTGCAAAGGGTCTTACATCTCTGAACTCCTCCAAGATCGACTCCAAGATCTCTGGCGCCTTGTCTGAGCTCCAGGCAGCGGTTAGAGACTTTGACCTCCCCATACCCAAGGAGGCGTCCTGACCATCAACTACTAGGCCTATCAGGAGTCCTAGGCGTACAGCTACAGCTGCTAGTTGTTGAAATTCTTCGATATTGCGTGCGCTTGACGCAACAAAGGCACTCAACAAACCCGTGCACAAGCCCAAATTCTCATGGCGGCCGTGAAGAATGCCCTCAATTTTGTTTTCTTGCAATAATTCTCCATACTGAGCCAGTTGCCTGATAACTGTAATGGGAATAAGAAGGGAGTTTGGCAGTGGGTAAGAGGTCTTGTCGAGGGGTCGGCCGGTTGTAAAGGCATCTTCCAGGTCAGCAAGCTGCCTGAGCATGAGCTTTCCCGTGGCTTGATGTAGCACAGGGAGAGACCTTAAGGCCGTCTCGCACACTGACGGTAGTTCTCTGATCACGTCCAAGCCCCATTTGTTTTCCTCGTGCTCTATGAGAGCCTTTCGTACAAGTTCTAGAGCCGACGCGTCCAAGTTTAATGATAGACCGCCAAATAAAAGGACGCTGCGCTCCGCTCCAGTGCCGTAACGTGCCATGTTGAATGATTCGTGTGAGTACCTATATATGTGTGCTTATATGCAATACAAGGTCTCATAGAAGAAACTCAATGGTATCTATAACGAAGAGGTGTACTTTGATTAATGTAGGATACCCATAGGTTCTTAGCAAACCTAAAAGACTTGAACAGTTCAGCGTTTGGTGTATGGCTCAAAGGCAAAAATAGACGCAGCGGCACTGATACAAATCTGCTTAGGTACAATCGGATATCTAAACATGGTTATGCCTCCAAAGAATGTCAGACTAATGGACCTCAAGTCTACCAGGCCCAGTCGGCATGTACGCACGTTCATCTACTTGCTCTAGAACCCCTACTTGGGAATCCGTCCGGTGACGAAAGTTTCCACCTTTCTTGTCATATCGGAGAGATCCTGGTTATATAAATTCGGCGATTTTTATTGACTTCATGTCCGGTAGCGTGTGTTTTTCTTTCTTGAATAGGGCTATTTTCCCTTTCCTTTTCCAACAAAACAAAATACTGGCCGCATGCCACTGCTGACAGCCCAGGTATCCGCCGGCTACAAAAAAGTCCCCGAGCGGCGCAGCTCACATACTGACTCTAGTAGCTTGGGATTGTTGGCAGGAGATCAGTGTAAAGTGGCATGATTGCACAGTTTACCTTGTATGGAGGGATTCCCGTGACCGTGAGGAATCCTCCGGGTATTGAACTAAGTTAAGGTGATTTTTATATCTCAGTAGTACCAACTAAAGGCACACAATCATAATATGTGCTGCTGGTGTGATTAGAGATCATTCCCCACGATTCGGCCCTGATTCCACGCACAAGCTCATGATGACTGCATCAGCAGATCTTCCATATGCTGATAGGGATGTGGGCGGTTGTGGTGGCCCAAAGCCTCACATTGCCATCGTTGGAGGAGGAATTGTTGGCGTGGTTCTTACCCTCGGACTGATCAAACAGGCAATTCCAGTACAGCTTTACGAACAGGCGCAGGGATTCCGTGAGCTAGGGGCAGGTATCGCCTTTTCGGCTTGTGCACGTCGCTGCAGTACGTGATAAGTTCTCTAACGTTTCGCATACTCGTCCTATTCAGGGGTTGTGACCTGTTCTCCAGCAGTTACGCTAAGATGACAGTCAAATCTCAGTCCGTAAAGGCTAAGCAGAGAAATAAATACGTCACATTGAACTAATCATTTTCATGAGTAATAGTGGAGCTTATTGATCCAAGTATACCCCAAGCCTTGGTCCGCGGTGGCGCAGTGTCCATCTCGGACGTGGAAGATCAAGATTGCCTGCGCTGGATTGACGGTTATAACCAATACCGCCCTGATGAACCCGAATACCAAAAACCACTGGCTCAGATAGGCGGCGCGGGCTTCAGAGGTTGTCGACGAGATGAGTTCCTCGAAGAGCTGTCCAAAAGCCTACCTGCTGGCGTCATCAAGTTCGGCAAGCGATTAGAGACGATAGAGAATCAAGCCGATGGGAAGATAATCCTTGCTTTTGGTGATGGTACACAAGCTGAGGCGACTGCAGGTAAGCACTCAGATACCTGCTGGCCTTTCTGGTGATTCGTTTAAATTTTCTAATAGTTTTACTAGTTATCGGCTGTGACGGCATAAAGTCCCGTGTCCGCAAACACATGTATGGTGCCAAAAACGAGGCATCATACCCACAATTCACTCACAAAGTCGCCTACCGTGCCCTGCTGCCGATGACAGATGCGTTGGAGGTTCTTGGGACCTGGAAGGCGAACAACTTTCACCATCACGTAGGGCCCGGTGCTCACATGACACACTACCCTGTGGCGAATCATAAAGCCCTTAATGTAGTCATCGTCCTCTCGGACCCGCAGCCATGGCCGGACCACGACAACATGGTGGCCGAGGGCTCGCGCGAGAAGCTCGAGGCAGCTCTGCAAGACTGGCACCCGACCGTGCTGAAACTTGTCCGGCGCCTGCCCGATAAACTCAATACTTGGGCTCTATTCGACCTCGGCGATTACCCGTTACCGAGGTATAACGCGGGCCGAATCTGTGTTGCTGGGGACGCCGCTCATGCCACCACTCCTCACCATGGTGCTGGGGCATGCTTGGGAGTAAGTACATGGCCCGAATTGTTAAGGCGCTCGGTGCAATTGTGAAGGTGCCAGAAACTAACATGAGCGGCTGGCAGATTGAAGATGCACTGTGTCTCAACATTCTGCTAGGCCAGGTGTGCAGCAACAATAATGCAGATCTCAACCACGCCGTCGAGGTGGCATTTGGGGTATTCGACAAGATACGAAGGCCAAGAACCCAGTGGCTTGTGAACAGCAGCAGGCGGGCTTGTGACTTGTACCACCAGCAAGAATGGGCCGATCCAAGCCGGCGCGTCAAAGCAGAGACGTGCTTTGAAGAAATGCGAGACCGGTCCTACAAGATCTGGCACTTCGATGTGGATGACATGGTTAGACAGACCCAGGCCGAGTACAACAGGCGGCTGCTCGACTGCAGTGTAGAGAATGGCCCAGGGAGGAAGTTTGGTTACGTACTATGACGAACGTAGTCTTTGAGCTATCTTGTTATCAGAGGACCTATGCTTACGTACTGACTTGCACGATACGGACAGTAGACAACTAATTCAAGACATAGGTACGCAAAATTAACGGTGAGCATTTTGTTCCATCCAAATACGCAAGCTCAACGGCTTTCCCAGCTATGCAAATTACCAAATGCAAAACTTGCATTGCGTTGTGCTTCTGAATGACGTTACACTTGTTTCAGGACATGCAAATTCAATGCTGGACCTCAGTTCACCAAATTCGTCAGAGTGGGCGAGTTTGCTGATTTCAATATTTTGGTTATTTTATGCTCCGAGTCGGGGCATTGTTTTCGGTACATAGCATGCTTTGGATTCGCCTGCTGCGAAGGATTACGCCACGCCTCAGTGCAAGGTCACGCTATTGCGGCAAATCTCCCTCCTAGTGCAAGCTTTGGATGGACTCTGCAACCATGTATTTGCAACCATGTATTAGAATAGAATACCACCTTGTCCTTCTCAAGCCTCGCCTACGGTGAAATATACGTATAGTCAATTGCTGCCACGTTTGTACTGTTTGAACTTTGCGCATCCCAGGATCGATGGATTCTAGCTCAAAGACGGTAGTGCTCATCACTGGAGCCAATACTGGTCTAGGTTCGTCGCTTCGCCTTGTCAGTTTGTGCGAAAAAGGGTCTTATACTAAACGCCAGCATGATGCAAGTCAGGCTTGGAGACGGCAAAGTCGTTGTTTGCACGACCAGAGTCTTACCATGTTCTGATTGGATGTCGAGGGGATCTTGAGCGCGCCAAAACTGCCATCTTCGAGTTAAGAGAGTCCTCACCCGCGAGCACATCGTTGGCGGATGCGCTGTCGATCGACATCACATCTGACGAATCTATCGCCTCTGCTTTCCAGCAAGTTCAGGAGAAATATGGCCACATTGATGTTTTAGTTAATAATGCTGGTATGTGAACGAACTTGGCACCTCACCATAGCTCATCTGATGTACTTATCGAAGCATGATGCAGGCGCCGACCTCGAATCCGCTGTCGCTGCTGGCCAAATGACCCCTCGTGAGTGCTGGAACGAGATGTACAATGTCAACGTAACTGGCACGCATCTCTTTACTTCAGCGTTTGCTCCATTGCTTCTGGCTTCCAAAGCCTCGACCCCGCGCATGCTGTTCATCACCAGTGGTCTCTCGTCCCTGACAGAACTCGCGAACGGCGAAAGCCCGCGCTACACGAACCCCCCGGCAGGCTGGCCAAAGCCCATCGTGCCGTTCTTCCCATACAGAGTGAGCAAGAGTGGCATGAATATGGTGGCGACAGAATGGGCACGTCTACTCCGCAAGGACGGCGTCTGTGTATTTCTCATCTCACCCGGTTTGCTAAACACAGGGCTTGGCAGCAACCGAAAGACGGGCCAAGGGCCCAACTTGGGTGCTTTGGGGGCTATTGATCCGGCTATAGGTGCCGGATTCTGTGCCGATGTCATTGAAGGGAAGCGTGACGGGCAGGCCTGGCCTACGAACGTGCTTAGGAAAGACGCCGTGCAGCAGTGGTAGAGAGCACTGGCCTAGGACCGATTACATGTGCAGACATCTCAAGTCACAGCTCAACTTGTCCAGTTCCATGTTCAATGTAATCCCGTTACCCCAAGCAATTGACGTATGGCACAAGTCATTATCGATCAATTAATCATATTGGGGGCCGTCAGGCGTCAAAAGTCAGCCAACACTGATCGCAAACATTGCGAGCAGTACAACGATGGACATTCACACATGGCACTCTACGACAGGCCATTGTTGATCCTCACATCACCAATACAAACATGTTTTCCTGAAACCACGCGATGAGCAACGGGACCTTCGGCAAGTCATGACACCAACGTAGGGATGCCCGTATTGAAGCCATGGGCTAACCAACGGACAGAGGAAGTCTTGCTTTTGGGTACCCGTATTTAGTGATATAACCCTAGTGTATTAAACAGTAAGAATAGAAGATGCAAAACCTTCCTGCCCATTTTGTGGATTGAGGGGAGTGGGTTTGTAGGCCCAACATGTGTAACAAGGCTGCTGTGGCGCGGGCACTGGTGCCACCAGCCACTCCGTGGCGTATTACTTAGGTATGAATAGTTGAAATCGCGTTCGAGGATGCTTGGGAATCCTGGTTCATGACATCAAAGATGCCGCCATCCACAAAGGGGATTGAAAGGCTCCGAGCTTGCGAAAAGAAAGGTTCTCATGATTTTGTTCCACCTGGACCATTTCTAATTTTTGCACTGCTAATCAGACGTCGTTTATCCTGACATATTTAAGTTTACTAGCCGAGGAACATTACCGGCATATTATTTCAGTGTGCCCCCGGAAGTATTTTCTGCACTGTCCTACTTACAGGGCTCTTTTTGCAAAGTAAAGCCTTGCAGATCCTAGCAGTATATGGGTTACATCATAATCGTGCAATCTGGAAATCCACATATAACTAAAAAGGAGGTTAAAAGGGTCAGGAAGAGAGCCGGTTCACGTTTTGGCGTAGCACATTCACCCGCTGCTTTAACAAATGACCCTTGTCTTTGCATTTCTATACTTTCAAAATGGAGAAAAACTCGAGATGTACAGCCGAGCGTCTAAAGAGTGCTTCAGCTACCAAACAATATCTTTCTAGCCCATCTGCGCCAGCCCTCTCAGACCGGGCTCGCATGATTTCTTGTGCTCTCGGTATCCTGTTGCTTGGCTTGGCGATGTTACTAAACTCATCTTGGGATGCGATCATGGTCTACGCCGGCCTGTTTGGTGTTTTTTGCCACCAAGTAATCTTCCGATCCTACGAAGTAGACAGTCATGGGTGGGAGATGGTACTTGCCTACGTGAACATCAACGCTGGTTTGGTGGTAGGTTACGGTTTGATGGGCACCCATAACCTCATGGATGTTATCATGCACGTCTGTCTGGCAGGGGCCGTCTTTCTGGTGGGCCTGTACGGCAGCTTGCTACTGTACCGTGCCTTCTTCCATCGACTGCACCGATTCCCTGGCCCCTTTCTCGCACGCCTGTCCAAAGTCTATCAGTAAGCACTGCTCGGTACAAACAGCCTTTCTTCCGGCTCGCGTCCAGGTACTGACATTTTCACTTCCCCTGGCTTTAGGATCTCCTCCATTATTAATACCAAAATGCAATACCACATGCACGTGCCGAAACTGCAGAGGCAATATGGAGACTTCATTCGTACTGGGCCGCGTGAATTGACGGTGCTTCGCGCAGAAGCAATTGATCTCATTTACGGATCGTCATCGCCGTGCACCAAAGGCACCTGGTACGATCAGAACTCGGGGAATGCAGACAAGGTTGGCATAGAGAATGTGCGAGACAAGGAAAAGCACAGGGTTCGTCGCAAAGCTTGGGATCGGGGTTTAGGCCTAAGAGGTAATCTATCTTAACGATTCAGTTATGACAGCTGATGATCTAACTATCGATGGTCAAAGCTCTGTCAGTGTATGAGCCTCGGATCAAAGGCAAGCTCGACGCGCTTATGACCAGATATGAAGGGAAACAGTCAGTTAATGTCACGAGAAATAACATTTTATATGCATGGGATGTCATGGGCGACATTGCATTTTCAAAGGATTTTCACATGTTGAAGTAGGTTGGAAACCAAATCATATCCCCTTCAGGCGTTCCAAACAGGACAGATGAGTAATGCCTGACTCTGGTAGGACTGGCGTTGAGCACCCCGCCGTGGAAGGTCTTCATTGGGCCATGGCAATAGCTGGAGTTGTAACGACTCTCCCATGGCTTATGAACATGCTACGGGTCATCCCAGGTGCTACTGGTAAATTTGAAAAGTTTGCCAGTTGGTGTTCTGGTGAGGTTGATCTGAAGCGCGAAGCTCTAGCTTCGGAACAGGCCAAGGGTATGGATGAGGAGCCAAGCGATGTCATGTCTTGGATCATCAAGGCACAGCAGGAGAAGCAGCGGTCTGCGCCTCCGACAGAATCCGCGATCAGAGAGGATGCTCGAACCTTGATTTCTGCTGGCAGGTCTGTTGCGCGTCTTGTCAGGTCCCCTACCTCCGCCCATTGAGACTGACAATGATGATAGTGATACCATAGCTATCGCATTTACGAACTTGTAAGTTGGCCTCCTCTTTGGCCATGAGCTATGCACTTCAATGCAATAGCCAAACTGACATGAACTTCGAAAGCCTGTATTTAATGGTCAAAAACCCCGAGGCTTACAAGAAGCTCCAGAAGCTGCTAGACGCCGAGTTCCCAGGTGGCTACAACGACTGGGCCTATGACAACGTGAAGAGGATCCCTTACATAGATTGCCTTATTCATGAGACTCTACGGCTACGGCCACCAGTACCGATGGGATTCTTACGCGAGACACCTGATGCAGGCTTGCAGGTAGGCGATGTCTTCATCCCGGGCAAAATCAACGTCAATGTACCCATATGGGCGATGCAGAGGGATGAACGGTACTTCGACAGAGCCCTAGATTTCATCCCTGAGCGATGGGAGACCCTGTCGCCCGAGTCGTCGGCGTACTTTCCTTTCCAGCGAGGAGGGTTTAGCTGCGTGGGTAAAGCCAACGCTATGATGCAAATGCGAATGCTTATCAGCGCAACGGCGCTGCAGTACAATCTTGCGTTCGCTCCAGGAGAGGATGGTGAGCGTTTTGGGGAAGGGACAGAGGAAAGACTCACCCTGTGGATTCCTCCCCTGTACATGACATTTCACCCGAGATAGGCACCTCGCCTGGTCCACTCTGTTCACAACCTTCCCTCTGCATGTCTACTATACCTCGCGAAATAGTTATTTGTGGTGCAAGAGGGGCTTTTGCAACCTCTAAGTGATACAATGAAAGATTGTTTGATCGGGGGCGAGGAAGATCGGGGGACCGCTAAATCACATTGCTAGCATAAGTGCTGTGTTTATCTGAGAAACCATTCATATTCCGGACTACAAGTTCTGATGAAGTTCAAACATAATCGACATTGGTTCTTCTCGCTGGCGAAACGCGCGCCTAGTGACTAATCTTGAAACTTCCCCATCCCTCATCCAGTCATTGCCCGTCGAGTCATGCCTTGGAGCGCTACTGCCGACCAAGGTTTTTTTTTTATTTCTCTACCACATGACGGGTCCGTTGATCTGCTTGATCTCCTTGACGTTGATGCTCTCCCACATGAAGGTGCTGCCCCAGGTAATACTGTACATGCACGTCGCGGCGATCAACATCAGCTTCTGTGTCGCACCGTACGCCTTGTTGATGCCGTCGCGCGTCGGGCTGCCGATCGGGTACCCGGCCTGAACGGTAATGTCGGCGTAGATGGAGGCCAGATCGCCCTGGGCCTCAGCCGGCAGGAACTCGGCCAGCTTGCCAGGGAAGATGTTGGTCCACATGGCGGCGGCGATGGTGGAACCGATACTCTGGCCCATAGCAGCGACCATACCCTCCATGGCAAGGATGGCCGGGATGTCCTGGTGCTTCGACACGGCCATGACGGTCATCTGCTCACAGATAACCAGAGTACCACCTCCGAAGGCGATGAAGATCATGCACATGACAATGTATCCAACATTGCTATCGGGCTCACGGAATTGGATCATCAGGCCGACACCGAGGATGGTCATGGGCACACCGAAGAAAACGGAGGGCCACTTGAGGCGACCGTTGTAGCGGATCAAAATACCAACCACGAGGGCCCAGAAGGTACTGCCGACGGTGTAGATGTTGGTGATGTAGGTAGCCTTCTGGGCGTCGAGGTTGAAGACGACGACCAGGAACGAGTAGAAGTAGTTGTCCCATAGGTACCATGCGGTGTACAGAGAAGCCATCATGGTGTAGGTGAAGAAGACGGTGCGGTTCTTGATCAGTCTCCAGGGGATAAAGGTGACGGGAGCGAAATACTTCTCCCATACGACAAAGGCAATGATCAGGAGGCCACCGAAGACGATGAAGCAGATGATCAAAGGGGCGCGCCAACCCTCGGTCTGCAGTGCAAACAAGCTGAAAGAGAGTAGGAACAGGCCAATACCACCAGCAGCAAGAATAATACCAATCAGATCAAACTCCTTGACGTAGAAGACGAAGTTGGCCCAGGGTCCGCGACCGTGGGGTTTGACGTGAACAAGTCCTCGCTTGATGGCCTTTTGCTGGTTGATGAAGAACAGGAACCAGAGAGGCACGCAGACGACGGGGAAGATGATGGAGAAGATGCCAAAGGCCCATCGCCAGCCAATGCCGCCGTCTGCGATGATCAAATCACAAGCCAGGCCATAGACCCAGACAGTGATCAGCCAGGGCGAGGCGGCATAGGCAATCATGAAGGCCCGGTTGCGCAACTTAGACGTATCGGCAATGAAGATGGTGATGGTAAAGTCGAGCCACGAGTAGCCGGTGTAGTAGAAGACGGCAGCGGCGCAGTAGGTGGTTACATTGCCGCAGGCGGCCATCAGGATGAGACCAATGGTGATGACGCTGATGGCCAGGGCGAAACCCTGGGGCCGACCGAAGTTGTCGATGAACTTGGCGTAGGCCAGCTTGGTAAGACCGGGGATGAGACCGGCAATGATGCCCGTAGTCGAGGTGAGCGAGTGTGCCGCGAAATCACTGGTGACATAGGTGGTCAAGGTACCGACGACACCAGATGCGAAAGCTTGGAGGAAGTTGATCAACCAGATACTGCGATGAGAAGGAGCAATTAGATTCCCGGTTCAATCCAGATTCATGTCACAAGTGTCGGCTCATCCATAGCTGATGGCGCAGTGGTGCTTATACTTGGAGGATATATAGGCATGGTGTGTGTAACCGTGACTTACAGGACATAGGCGGCAATCAGGTGCTCTTTGGTCCAGACCTGGAGGGTGGCCTCGGCGACCTGAACGCCAAACTGCATATCTTTCTTCTCGTCATCGCTGTCCGAGGCGGAGGCAAAGGTGGCAGCCGTGTTCACTCCGGGGTAGGTTTCCTTGTCCTGGGGAAGCTGGCCCTCGGCGTCGTTTTGCTTCTCGCTCACTACGGGAACTTCGCTGCCCGTGTTCTTGGGGCCGAGAAGGCCGCCACGGAACTTCAAACCCATTGCTGCGAGATTTCAGAGGCCCGGGACCGAGAGGTCAGCTCAGCTCTGTCAGGCGAGGGGGGAGCGAGGTGTGGTGGGAGATAAGGCGATGGATAGCACGCACGGGTCGGAAAGGGAAAGGACGGGCAAGATCAGCGACGGGGCGGGCAAGGCTATATATGTATGTGTATCTACAGAGTACATACGGCGCAACGGCTGGCGAGCAGGGAGGGCCCTGGAGGGCCGAGATGCGACCCTGGATGCTGGGACACCTCAGCCGGTCGCGTATGCCCGTATCCAATGTCGCTCGCTCGCTCGGGTCGGGGAACATCGCACCATGCACAGGCACTAGTAGGACGAGCCCGCAGAAAAAGTTTTTGCAGTGAGCCCATCTCCGCGTGTCGTCCGGGGCGCTTCATTGGGCCCCGTCCAGGCGCAGGCCCCGTTTCTGCCCCCGTTTCTGCCCCGTCTGCCCCCATGCCCACCCGCGACAGGCGGACGACTCGCTATGTTGGGCAATAGCAGCGTGGCTAGTTATCTTATCAGATGATCAGAAGCGGGCCACCGGCCTTGATCATTATGCCATCGTTTCGTCGTGAAGTGGGGTAGCGTAGCGTCGCTTGGCCCGAAATCACCAGCGTCTGGCCTGTCTGGGCTGCCTGGCCCTGGCGGACTTGGGCCGTCTGCAAGCCTCAGCGCCCCTTGGTTCGCTCTGGCGGCGGGTGGGCTGCGTGTTCGGCTGGGTTGGGCGCGTGGGAGCACCGCTAAGGCGACGCCACAGCAGCGCTAGCCCGGGTTCGCGTCCCTGGAAATTATCTGATTAGATCGTCTAGATCATCAGATAAACCGGGATCAGCTGCGAACATCGGCGCATCGCATCCCGGCCATGAGGCCCTTTTTGGCCGGCGCACACCGTTTGGCCCAGCTTGCGTCAACCAACAGTGCCGCTAGCAATTTTATTGTGGTCCGATCACGATCTTTTTTCTACTCTGTCTCTCTCTCTTGCGCTGGTCCGGGTCCTGTTCTGAAGAGAATGGCTGAAGCCATTCTCCCCGCGCCGTCTCAGGACAGTCTCGAAAAAAAAAATTCTGTAATTCAATAGTTGCGTACTAAAGCTGCCCAGGCCCGTATACTGTTACGTGATCAGCCTTGCGATTGGACCCTGCGAGCCTCTGCTTCAGGCCCGATCGCATGGCTCCAGCGGCGCTTCTTTGCCGATTTGCTAAGTGCCCTGCGTCTTCGTGGCTCTCTTCTTCCTTATGCTAGGAGCTAGGCCCGCTCTCAGTGTTTGGTAAGTTGAGGCACGAGATCTAGCTCCGACGTCTTTGTGCGAGCCGAACCAGACGAATTTCGCCAGTAGGTAGATGAAACCTTCGGCTCTAGGCCTGCTTATTGACTTGGCCGTCGGAAATTCCCACTCGGCAAAATATACCTGGTAAATCACCCAGTTACTCGGGTCGTTGGGGAGGAGTCACTGGTGGCCAGGATCCCGTTCACCAGTGCCGGCACATGCCGCTTCGTGGTGCCAGCTGTTCGGTCTGCTGCAGAAATATCAAATTTTTATCTTCGTAGCTCGACTATAGCCGCTACCGTTGGCTGCGTTACGTGCCGGTCTGGATGCGCCGCCCGGGACGAAACTATTTGAAGGGTCTTCAGAGCTGAAACGCCACAAGCCTACCCAGGTTAGTGCGAATATGTTTGGCCCAGCAGGTTGGTTCCTATAATTACCGCGATAAGCTTGGCAGCAAGGACACAACCGAAGAGCCCGAGAGTTCTGCAAGTTGGCGGTCTGGACTGCACCGCACGAGAGCGCATGTCATGGGCGCTCAAATTGCGCCGTTGGCAGGCAGTTCATCTCTCATGGTCTGCGGGATCCTCAATCGATCTGCCAATATGGTCGGCATTCTCACAAACCTGGCTTGAATCTGAGCTTCGTCATACCATCTCCACAGTTAATGGAACAACTGGATACCACAATCACGGCCCGTTACTGCATTGCGCACTGCTGCATTGGTACATTACCCCGGCAGGTCGCGGAACGGAAATACCACGTAACAGATGCACAGGCATCCCTGTCCGAATGCACAGAGCTTCTTGACCGTAGGACACTGGGGCAGCTGTGGGCTCCACGAATATTTGTCTGAGCCGACAGCCGAAATCCGGCTGCTGTCGCTTTGAAAAGAGGGGAGATATTGTTCAATCACTAATAAAGCGACGTGACATATGTTGAACATATTTCCGCGAGTGGGAGGCAACCATCAATGCTACCTGCCAGCTCGACATACAAACAACATCGAGAACAAGCCCGGAATATTGATTGATCGATGTCACTTGCCAACGCATTCCATCGCTGATCATGCGGTTATTTCTGCAGAGACGATCTTCTTCAAGCGTGGGCATAGATCAGCAAACAAGGCCGTCAACGGTTTCAGCAGATGGGGAATCCTCGTTCACGCGATTCTAGTTGGCCTGGCTTGCCTCCGAGGAAACAGTGGATCAATTGTATTTGACTCCATCGCACGCCCTCTAAATCCCTCGTCCGAAGATTATGTTGTCGAAGCCGTGTTTGACTAGAGCTTCCTGTCTGTGACCATTGGAGATGTATGATTTACCCATACGAGTCTAGGAGATCAAGTCAGGCGGTAGAGATGAATTGATCTACCAAAGGGCCATTCCCATACTACTTCAATCAGTGCTAATCAGCAAGGGTCCTTAGCAGGTCTTAAAGAGAGTCTGGAATGTTGGAATAGTGGACCAGCCACTCTATTAACTACGTATATATCTACACTTCCAGGTGTACCACTCTGTTCCATTCCTTCTAGTCAATCAATTAACCTATTCCATCTATATCTTACCTCACATCTTGACATGGAGAACTATGATTTCAACTCTGAAAATGGACCTCACCATCAACATGCCACGGCCATTCCCCATTTCTGGTCTTCATGCGAAACGAACATGTCTCGGACGGCACACTGGCCTTTGATCAAAGCCAATATTACACGACAAAGACCATAATGATGACAGTGACTAGACAACTCGATATTAATACGGCGCCTTGTTGTGCTTTGTTGTAGGTGTCTTACGTATCTAGCGGCCGAGGTGGACAACTTTAGTGTGTAAGTTATATGCAGTTCGTGTAACGTAGTGGAAACGGGGACGGAACAGCTTAAGTCAAAGTTTCATAACTAATTCCTTAAGACTTGCAGTGATTCTTTCAGATCATGCCCGTTAAGCGGTCTCTTGTTCGTCTTTTAGAAATTCGAAGAATCTCGTACAGAACTTTTTTGAAGAACTCTACGTCCACCATCTCGTCCATTCTAATCACCTCCCGCCCGTCTTGCTGAACGCGAGAAAGACCGCATGAGCTCCTCCTTTTATATCTTCCCAGGGTGCGTCCCCTGACGAGGTAGCATAAACTGCAGCTGTGCCTTTTGCAGTGTCATGTACAACCTCAATTATCTCCATCTAATCAAACGGTGGGCTCATTTCTTCAGCTGACCCGGGCACTATGAATTGCGCGCAGAGTTATACATACCTTGTGACTGGATATCATATCCATCACCTGGGGCAGAAACTCCTCGATGTCTTTCCAACTTCTGGGCTTGATGCCAAGAGAAGCTGGTAGAACGGTCTGCTGAATGAATGTCGCGGGACCAGTTCGCCGTCCACTCTTCAAAGATGAACTCTTCCCAGCCTTCGATGAACTTGTTGACGGTGTCAAGTTGTACGTGAGATGGTGCAGGCATAGCTAAGACGTGCAGCACAAAGAGTGTCGATTTAACTTACGTTTCCGCATACCAAGAATTTGGTCCAGTCATGAGCGAAACGACTGACTGATGTCCCTAAGGATGCCACTGCCTAATGTCGAACATGCACCAAGTTCTATCTGCGACAAGTCCTCGTATAAAGCGGCTGGATATAGTTTTTGCATCCGGACAGACTAGATGACCGAAAAGACCGTGCTTAGAATACCTACCGCATATTTTGTCTCCTTGGTTGTATCTAACCTACCGTATATTCGACACAATGCTAATATTCCGTGGTGTAACGCCAAGGGCGATGTTTCGACATCCCCCCGCATTCGGGTTCACGTAACTCTTTTCGTGACACATCTCATATTGACAGTTAAGTGAATAGAAAGCAATACAGCTGACTGGTCATTTGCGACCCGATGTTCCACGGTCTAGGACTTGATCTAGATTTAAAGATCCTTTATTTCCAACGTTTTATCTTCTTATTCAGACTGCCTCCCCCTTCGGCATTTCTGTTGAGTTGTGAATGGTACCAACTTGGTGGGATAACAGTTGCTGCTGATTGGATAGCCGCACCTGATTTTGTCGGTTTTGCCCGGCCGCTCGAAGTGCTGCTTCTTTCTGCTTCTTCAACTCAATACAAAAGTGGGACCGGCCTCGTATTTGCTCTCCCTTCCAGATAAATATGAAAGGAATTGCACACATAAGAAGACTTAGTCCACCCAGCAGACTGCATGCGCCAGCTATGCCTAGTCTATGAAACATCGGCGTTGTAGCAAGTGGAAGAACAACGGCCAGAAGTGACCGCGTAGCACTTGCAGCCGCATTCGCACTTGCGGCGAAGACCTCATACGCATCGGTGAGATAGTTTAGCAGAGCCATGAATATCAACATGAATCCCATGCCAAAAGGTATTCCCCCAAGCAACGGAGCAATGAACGTCACGTTCGACCTTGCAGACCAGCCAAGCCAGAATAGCGCAATAACGAACATAGGCCCACCTAAGCATGCAAGTGGGACTCTGCGATATTCCTCTTGGCGACTCCAAGGTTTCTTCTGCAACTGGGCTCGGCGAAGGAACCCATCGTAAGCGTAGAAAATTGGTAAGGAGAGAAGAGCCCCAGCGCCAATAGGGAGGAAGCAAAGTCCAGTAACGCCAGGCGACAGACCGTAAACGCCCTGAAATATAAGCGGAAATGCCTGAAAGGACATATAAAATATCGCGTAACAAAGAGCTAGATACATGCATGAACTCGTAACTATCAGCTCCGTGATTAGCATGCGGATTGGGCGAGTGAGGACCCGTGTGATCAGTTGTTTTAAGCTTCTGTTCTCGAGCTCCGAGGCTGCATAGACCTCGCAATTCGGATGTTGCTTTCGAATCTTTTGCGCACGTCGACGAAGGAGTACAGGTTCGAATGTCTCGGGAAGCCAGAATAACGGGATGAACGAGAGGGCAGCATAGATGAGGCCAACCCAGAACGTCCAGCGCCACCCAATAGTGGTTGAGCAAAAGCCCTGCATTTCGTTAGACAGCAGTGAATAAAACTCATTTAAAGAAGACTGACAGATATGATTGGAGCAAATAGGGGCCCAAATACGGTCATCTAAATCTGGTGAGCTAGGTTCTTATATATGATTCAGTCAAGCTTACAGCCATGAACCATGCAAATGCACGCCCACGAGTGACAGGATCGTTGTAGATATCGGCTAGTTGGCCTGCCACTATAGCTATCGGAGAACTCGCGAAAGCACCGCACAGAAACCTAAAAATGAGTAGTGCTGGCCAGTTGGGAGCAAGAGCGCAGCCGAGTGTCCATATCATGAACATCGCGAATGTCACCAAAGTCAGATTCCGACGGCCAACATGCTCACTTAAAGGTCCCCCTTAGGAATTAACCGCAGTCAGCATCGCCTCTGATCAGGAGGAGAAAGAGGACGAGGAGAGCGCACATATTATCGGGCCAAATACATAACCTATCAGGTAGGTCGATATTGGTAACACTTCTTGATCTTGCGATGTTACTCCAAAGTCGGCGATGATATAAGGAATTGCCATGCTCGGAAGGGATGAACCCATGGTACTGTTCACGATGAGCACCATCGTAGTGACTACTATAGCCCACTTCTTGGTCTGCTAGAGTATCAGCGTTGACTTTTCTGTTAGAAAGGAGGAGCCTACGTTCGACCAATTGTATGGATTCTCTGGATCGCTCTCATCCCACGAAACAATTGTACGGGTATATTCTTCCGTATTGCTTGGCCCAATTACCAGGTCGCCACCTTGGACTCTATCGTTGGTCGCTTCCGCTCGATATATATCTTCTGCATCCTCCCTACTAATGCTGCGCGCTAATTTCGTGAGTCCGCCGAGCATGTTTTCGACGCCTATAAATCATCAGAGGAGGTATATCGCGTGTAGGTTGTCTTGGCTCTCGGCTTACGATTTGAATGTAGCGTGTCATCAGCCCCATGCTGACTTATTTTCTTCTCACTAGACATAATGCTTGGATAATGCCCGTTTGAAAAAAGAATTGAGTAATCCAGAAGTTGAAGAGGTTGCTAAAGAGGTGCTTCGTAATCTCGAGTCGACCGTAGGCTGTGGATGCGGTGTTAGAATGCGGAAGCTTGGCTTGCTCGGAGTTTTCAAGTACGGTGAGCCGCACATTGGGGAAATCTGAATCGGCACAGGCCGATATGGGGCCGATACTCAATCGCAGCAACGATCGACGTGGAGGGCGTGTTAATGACGCCCTGCAGCTGCTAGGTGCTGTAGAATATGTGACTGAGCCAAGTCGGGCCCACTATGGCGAGCAGGTCAGGCTAGCCTCCGCAGCCGGTTACCCCCAGTGCAGTCTTACTTCGCGTAGTGAAGGCCCGACCGCGGGGATGCGACGGGTCCTTTATGGGAATTATGAGGACCTTTGAAACCTCCGAAAGATGGACAAGAACCTTTCAGGAGAGGAATGAAGTTCTGCTCAGAACCAAATGCTGACCCATGATTGAATGTCCGAAGAGACATGATATTTATCGTGTTCATCGGACCAGTCTTCCTCCTAAGTGGGAGCTTGGCTACGTGAATGGTGCGGAGATGTTATCCCGAGCTAAGCTTCTATGATGCAGCAAGGCTTGCGAGGGCTTGAGGGCCTAGCGTACGGATATAATGGCTGCATTTTGATTTTTATATCCGCATTCCGATCACAGCCAATGGGCCAATGAGATGCTCATACACCCAGGCCGATAAACAGTCCCGTGTATGAAACCAAATTATAGGTGAGAGGATCCTAGGGATCAATTTCAAATCACCCCAGTTCAGTAGTGCTAGATTGAACATTAATATATTTCAAAATCATGGGTAACACCTGTACCGTGCCGGCGTCACCACTGCTTGTCTTAGGTTCAGCTCAAGTGTAACCTACCCTGAAGGGCGGCAAGATCAGTGAAGCCGTTATGTGTGATTTTCTATCGAGTAATATACTTCCACCTCTCATGTAATACGAAAAGGTACGATGGAGACTGTGAATTGGTTGTGAGTTCAAGGTTTGCACGAAGTCTGCAAGACAAGTCCCGTCCCAAACGATCTGGATAAACCCTTTTATATTCTCTTTCCTAGTTCGACCACCTCTAATATCGCGTCTACAAACACGTCTGGCTTCTCTAGCGGGATTGCCTCACCACAATCTTTCACAATATGGTGGCTTCTCGGGCCTTTGAAGAACTTCTGAGTTGAGCTTCCATTTGTCGCTGGAAACACAACAGTTTGGTCTGCATCCAGGGTCACGGCAGGTGAATTTATCGGAGGCTGTTTATCCAACTCGGCAGCAAGTTCTGTGTAGATTGGATCCCCAGGGGCATAGAGGAGGCGATTGCGATAGAAATTAGTTGCAATGTCGACATAATCTGGATTTCGCAGTGCCCCCGCAGCAACGTCAAGCTGGGCTTCGGTGAAAGTCCAATTGGGACTATTTCTAGACCACAGCGATCTTGCCCAGCTTTTCGTATCGCTCGCTAGAGAGCTGTATCCCTGGGGCGTGAGAAAAACGTAAAAGTACCACCTTGTTGCAAGTGAGTCTGGTAAAGCGACCGCCCACGCCGTATCTCGGTTCTGGATGAGGTAAGAATTTGCTGCAACCATCCCTGAACATCGCGCAGGCCATAAGGCTGCAGCCACGTTCACGGCAACTGTTCCCCAATCGTACCCAGCGAAGATAGCCTGATTAATACTCAGTGCGTCCATCAAGTCTATTATATCTTTTCCCAAAGCGGCCTGCTCAGCACTGCGTGGTGTTGTTCTTGAGTGGAAAGTAGTAGACCCAAAGCCGCGAATTGCAGGAACTATCACTCGAAACCCTTGTACCTTGAGCTTCGGTACCACGTACACGTACGAGTCAATCGAGTAAGGGAAGCCATGGACCAAAATAACAACCGGTAATGAATCGTTTCCAGGCGCGGAGTCATAGTATTCCACTGACAGAACCGTGGTATTGACTATTCCGGTGGCGGTTAGGGAAATTGGACTCAAGTCTTGACCGAATGCTCGGATTGCAAGGGTCAGATGGAATAAAAGCAGTATGAATTTTCGCATGGTGATTAAAAATTTGGGTCGTGTCAGCCAGGAAGACACACTATGGGGAGTAACCACTTCTCTCGAACACTACTTATAGGTTCGGAATCAGCAAGTCTTTGGCCCAAGGATAGCAATACCGGCGCTGATATAAGCAGCCATATATGCAGGCTTGTATCCAATGCAACTCGTCTTCTAATGAACCGCCGGGGAACTTCAGTGTTGCTTATGTATGGAAGTTGTGATTGGGCAATATTACGACTTGCACCTCAAAGGTCTTGAACGTACGTAATCATGTTACCTGGTTGTGGCAGTGCCAACTCGAATCTGCCTTAGTCCTAGGTGGGTTCCCTTGGTCACGGCATGCTCCCTTCTTTCCGCTTCCACGCAAGGCTGTACTCGGGAAAGGTGGCTATGTGGCTGGAAACATCATAAGGCACTCACTTTGCTTCCATTTGATGACAAACCTTTTCTTGGAGGCCTCAGGGATCAGTCTCGCAATGAAATATGGCAGTGTAACAACATATCTTGATAGTTATACTGTTTCTAAGACCAGCAAGGTAAGCCCAGTTCGGATGGACTCGCTCCTGGGTGGCATAACGCGCTGAAGTTACGTCATCTGGGCAATGTTTTTCTTTTCTTGCAAAGCCGAAAACGCATGTCCTGCAAGTTAAACAGCCATTCCAAAAATAACTACGACATAGGTAATACGACTATGTCATCTCAGGCTTATCTCTTCAGACAATTCCCTGTCTAACTCATAACCACCCCATTGTATTGGTCTCTAGATTTGGAGAAGCTAAGGTTGACGACCTTTTCCAAAAACTTATATCCAATGGAAGTACTGCTTGCTACTCATCTCAAGTTGATTCTCCGACCTCGACAAGATGTGCTAAACCAATTCGTGATGTCTCACTGGCCCAATCGTAGCAACTAAGACTGCCTGGGACATACCAATCTCAACGGCTCGTGTCGTGAAACTGTCATGCAGCGGGATCCAACTCTACAGTCGCCGTAAGACTGGAATCCAGGCGAGTGAGCCGATTCTTTGAAGAGACCCATTTTCGTCTATGGAAAAGACCAGAACTACAAGAGATCCTTTCCGAAAACAACAAATTCCAAGTCGTCTCGCAGAACACCTTTCCAATCGCCGTGGTACTCGTAAGGGAATGGCGTCGTCTCGCCAGTTGGTTCGAACCCACGGCGCTTGTACCAAGCAATCAGATCTGCCCGCGTGTTCACAACGTCAAATTCCAGCCTTTTGGAGTTCCATTCACGGCGGGCATAATCCTCAGCGTGGGCAAGAATCTTGCTGCCAACACCGCGGTTCTTGAGGCGGACATCGACGGCAAGCAGGCCGAACCAGGCGCGACTCTCATCTAGCTTTCGCACGCCGCAATGAGCGATGAGTGTGCCGTCTGAGTCAGTGCCAACAAATACGGCACTGTTGGGCTGCGCGATCTTGGCTTTGATGCCGGAGACGTCGGTGACATCTATGCGGCCATGGTCGGGGGACAGGAACACCTGAGTAGTTGTGTCGTCGCGAAAAGCTGTGTTGATGAGGCGCTCAAGTTGGACTGCGTCTTCTTCTGATGCGCGGCGAAAAGCCAAGTTGCCCGCAACCATTGTCAAAGGGTTGCACAGGTGTGCAACGCTTGGTAATTGCTATCTGTGCTCTTGGGAGAGTAGTGAAGGTATTTTTCAACAGTGGAAGTTGAGATGATGAGGCTGGTGGGAACCTTTTATAGTAACGAAGTTCGATCCAGCTGCAACGGATGCTCTGTTTATGGAGTATCTACAGCCAGGCCTCAATCCAATTGGGGGTGTGTATGACAGAAAGGGCGCGCTCTGAGGTATTTAGTGTTGTACGGTTTTTTGCTAAGGCTAGCGCTTATGTTCGGTGAGCTTGCACGCCTGTGACCAATCCCCGAATTTCAAGGCATTCCAATTGGTCTAAACATAGGTCGTTAGGCACTGAAGTCTGTATACCGATTATGAGAAATGCCATGAATTCTCAGCGCCCTGATGGACACATAATTTGACATGAGCCAGAGGAGGGGGTCGGTAACAGTAACAAAACCAGCCCCACTCCAATGGTACGAGGTGGTTGCCTCTACGGAGCAAATATTGATAACATTGACTGTGCACACTGTAAAGTTGACATTTACCGGTTCCACAACTATACCGGATTCCATGTCAGGGTACATCGCTTACTTCAAGTCAGCGACTGCATAATATCTTTTACCACTCAGCGCCGAGAGTAATAGGGCTGCCTGTTGGAGTTCACATGGATGATATTGCTGGCCATTTGATGGGTTGCCCCCCCGTAGATAAATGGAAGTCGTCCGTTGGTACGATCTGTTTTGCTTATCCTACATCATTCAGACTGAGGTGTATCCACACGCAACTACAGGATAGTTTTGCGAGACGATTAATTGCTATAAGTAGACGTCAAGAAATCAAACAGACAAACTAGCAGTGTTCATCAGAGACCCATGATCAAGATTGTGACATCTTTTGTCTTTAATGGGGAGATCACTATGACTATGGATGTCTTGGTCCTTACAAGTCTTTCCAACACAAGAGGTACGGCATGTATTTCTTGTCGTACTGTACACATTCAGCGTTGCATACCTTGACAGTATTCACAGACCTATACTTGATCTGATTGTGTCTCCGCGGCGGTCACTTTTGACTTGTATATAACACGTTGCGCAGTTAAAAGATTGGTTGTATTTAATATTATTCAGATATCCTTGCAATGCGGATCCCACTTATGCTATATATCTTTGGCCATTCGTCTAGCAAGATCCCGGGCAGCCTATAGAAGAGCCATGGACCGCACCACCGACGCCACCAAGGGTCAAAGCAGCGTTGATAACACCACCAAGTCCTTCTCCAGCAATCAGACCAGCAGCTATGGCGTAACAGTAAACCTCGAAGTTCTTGGGCCACTTCTTCTGCCACAGAGCAGCGATCCATGCACCCGTGAACATGGCTGTGGAGTAATGAGTGGCTGGCAATACGAAAGCGACACCGATTGCCATCCAGTTGGGCAGCCAATTGCGGTACTTCTCACGCTCTCCAACCAGATACTTGCGCTTTACGAAGACTTGCGCAATCGACCAGGCACCAATCACAACCGCAAAAATTCCAGACGATAGGGGAATCGGGATTTGTGGCAGTGTGACGGCCTCAGCAACTGCTCTCCATGCGGTTACAGAGGGAACGTCGAATGGGCATTCTGTTGCTTCAGCGTCGAGGATGCAAGGATAGGCCGAAGCAAACAGGAGGAAGATACTCGGGGCAAGGAACATGGCGACCAGTGTGCCGAAAGCCTGAGCGTAGAACTGGAGATTGGGAGCGACCTTAAGGAGGAATCCGGTGCGGAAGTCAGATGTCAGCGAGGTCGACATGTCCGCACCTGCTGACGCGATGGCTCCAGCAAGAAGATTGGTAGTCAAGGCCTTGGACTCAGGTTGCCCATGGGTGACGCCACCAAACACAAGTTGTGACGCCTTCGCAGAAGCAGTAAGAGGCGTAACATCGGTGACACCGGATCCATGAATTGACATGAATGAGAAGACTATGCCAAGGAGGGAAGCCAGAAGGCCAAGACCGGCACTGACACCTAATTGGACCTCAAAAACAACCATGGTTATGGCTAGGACAGCAATGCAGCCAGAGATCCAAATCCAGGGGGCGACTTGCTGTTCCTTGGTGGCAAAGTCTTCCACAATAGCAGAAGAATCGTTGCCTTTGGCAGCCTGCTTCTCCAGAAAAGCGCTCTTCTTACCCCGCTTGTTGAGAGAACCATTGGCAGACTTCGCCAGGCTGATCCATCCTTGCTTGAGAGCATACCAGATGATCTCATAGTTGAAGAAGAATTCAGCCATGGAGTAGCAGAGCAATACCATAACACCTGGCCAGAGAAACCAGTAGCGTGGGCTAGCCACGTAGCCAGGCTGTCTCATGCCGGTCATCGAGTTGTAAGTCACAACGTCCTGCCATGGCGGGTCCATTTTCGCATTCTTGCCAACGCACTCGCCAGTGTAAACAAGGAGCGGTCCAATGAGACCCCAGGCAAGAAAACTGCCGACAAAGTAGGAGATACCGACGTTAAGGCCGACGAGAAGCCCGGAACCAATGAAAGCCGGGGTCCATTCGATGAACCAGCCCCAGTTTTCGATTTGGATGGCGTAGTTGCTATATCCGCCCCAGATGTAGAACCAGGTAAAGATATGCCAGTCCCAGAGAATACCTAGGGCATAATCTGAGACAATGCGGAGGACAAAGGCGAAGAGGAATGAGTAGCCAAGCGCTTTGATCTTCTTAACCGCCTCCTGTGCACCGGCACCGATCGAATGCATAGACCGGATAGTGAAGGCTGTAGCTGTAGCTGTAGGGAAGATCAAACGGAGATCCCGAGCAACATTTATGATAAAGAACTTCCGCAGTGGCACGGCAAAGAACAATCCAAAGAAGGACCCGATGAGTGTCAATGTCAGGTATCTGCCGTAATCATCGATGGCTCTTGCGGAGAGCAAGTTCAGCTGGTACATGGCTGGAAGCGCAGCAACAAAGAGACCAGACAGTCCACCAGCGCCGGCGGCGGCGGCTTGGAGTATAGTGTGCTCCTGATAAGTTCTACAGTTAGACAAGATCTTGCAGCTATACAAACTAAGAGATGGGATTTCATACCTGTGGTCCAAAAGGCATACCCAGGAACGGCACGCCAGCAAATGATTTAGAAAGCAGTTTGACGAAACCATATCCGAAAATGGCCCTGCAAGTAGATCAATTAGTCACCGTCATATCACTGTTAACAACTAAGGCAACTGCGTCTTCACGTACCCGAACATACTAGAACCCATGGTAAACCCGGTCTTGAGACCGAGATACACATTCGAAGCGTTGACCAACGAACCAAGAATAGTGCCAATGATCACAGCGCGAAATGTGAGCGGCATGGGCTCATCAGGGACACCCTCCAGTGGTGGCAAGGGCTTGTAGATATCTTCCGGCCCCTGGTGTCCCTCGTCGGCATCGTCGCCCTTCTCACCATGGCTACTCGCAACTTCGCAAGTAGGATATTCTTTGCCGTGGCTCTCTTTCTCGAGAGCTGCAACGTCCACAGCAGGCGCGAGGCCGTCATGGCTTGGTTCGACCTTCTCCATGGCTGGTAGCGCGTATGGAAACTTATTGGGTAGGCACGATCATGGAGTTCGAGGCAAAAAGGTCGCCCTCGCCGTCGGAAATGCGGCAGGATTTTATACATTTCAGCCTGTGATGGCTGCTGGTCTGGATTGGTGGCCAAGAACATTGGCAGCGCATTGGCAACGCATTGGCAGCGCATTGGCATTGGGGAACAAGTCTTGGACCTGCCCTTATCTCTTAGGCGATAGCGCCACAAGCTGCTAGCTGAAGAAGATGTGCCAACGCTTGGCGCAGTTGGTTTGTGTCTAATCATAGCATGCGGCTGGGGGGACGATACACTACCAAAGGCACTGCTGGAGGTTTGAATGAGCTCTTCGCCGAGTTGATCGTACTATGTAACATCATGTCTGAGGTTACACGGATCTCTTTTAAGCCGCCATTTGCCTATATGCATAAGCGGCAGTCCCTCCTGGGTATTGACACATGCTGCATATGTTATATGCATACCGGAATCCGAAGGTTATCAGGTTAATGGGAGTTTCTTGGCGAGTATTGATTTAGGAAGGTGGTCAGAGTCCCAACTTGCCAGTGGCGTAGCTTGGGATTTTAGCGAGGGGCGAGTAGACCGGGAACACGCGCGATTGGCTAACTTCTTGATTACTCTGAACGGTTATCCACCAAAGGACCCCTCGTCAACTCGTCGCCGAGGCTCACAGGATTCACTTCCTCTGCACGTCTATCTTAGCGCACCGGTGGGTTGGTAAATTTGTATCCACATATTTCGTACAGGCCCACTTATCCCCAGATCACCCCGACACAGCGGCTATCCTGCATAATCTGTGTACTGAAGAGGCTATTGAGTGCTATGTATGACTCAAGTTATATGGATCCACTATATAGCAGAAACAAGTCAGGAGTCGGCTTTAGATATTGGCTCCTACGCATGGTTAACTGCTCAGCCGCTTCAGTTCAACGCGGTGATGTGCAATCCGAAGCTATCGCAAACGTCACCAGCCTGGTCAACGTAGAATCAGCAGGGCGAGTAACAGTTTCCATGGAATATAGGTGCTACGCTTGTTCTGATGAGTTTTAATACGAGTCCATTTCACCGCTTGGCCCATTTTACCCGTCAGTACTTAATTGTGCGCAGAACTTCCGGCCTGCAGACCACCTGGGACAGGTTCAGACGCAAACGCAAACGTAGGGCAAAGGGGTGCATCCAATCCCCGACATATATGCTCTCAGCCCTGAGGTTTTCCCTTTCTATACCACAGGTATAGGCTAACTTCAGCGTAGAAGTTATGACAACCTCCCGTGCCGCCATGATCGTCGACTTAACAGCTTAATGTGATGATGTACGTTGCAACAATGGTCTAACAATCCTTCGCACTACGGCGGCTGCCCAAAGGTCTAAGACTATTCAAAGGGGTACTGGAATGGCGCGTGGAAGGACCGCAAGGCATTCGTACTCGTGCGAATAGCGGTGTACAGGTTCCGTGTCGAGAGGTAGGAATAATTATTGCAGCAAGGTAGCGGTATATGACTGTCAGGGTGGACCTCTAGTAGGCTAGGTCCCGGGTGGTTTATCAAGGTATACTCTAGATATAAATGCCTTCCTAGCTACGGAGGCAAGATTTATTCTTTTCTTTACTATACCGACCCCATATTGCCTATCTCTGACTGCACTTAACCTACCGCTTGTACGGTAATGACCGTCAGGTCGTAGCCCTTGCTACGATCTACCGACATACGCCTCGTACTCCCAAGTCGTATTGGAGGCCCCTCAAGGCCATGCGTGGATTCACATTGTAGGTGCAGGCGATGCATATTCAACAGCTTGTTCTTGACAATATGGGGTACATCGCCGAGCGTTTAATCTCATATTACGCCAAGACAGATGAAGCACCAGTCGATAAGGAAAAAATAGCAAGGGCTACAAGTGCTGTCACAGCGCTGGCAAAGATGGGTGGACATTTTCTTCAACTTGGAGGATTCCAGCTCATTGGTAATTTACAACTTTGTAGTCTGTTCGTAAGGAATACACCACCTGAAATATACCCATAATGCCATACCACTATTGGCCGTCACAATATATTTGTGGGTACGATGCCCCGGCGAACGACTGGACTTGGGATGTCCGTACAAGTAATTCTATTATCACGGGGTTGGTTTGCAGAAACAAGTCACCGTGAGCTCCATTACATAAAGCCTAGAGATAGTTCAGAGTGAAAAAAGAAAGAGAGTATTTATTGGATAACATATGTCACGGTTAATATGGTAGCTTCTACCAGAACGATCCAGCAAAGGGCGGTCGCAACCACTATTACCTTCCACCCAATCTCGTTTTGTCGTGAAATTGAGGCTGCCAGAGAAGAACATGTGCCCGCCCGCTTGTTCATGTTGGCTCATTAACACTCTGATATGGGAAACTCCCGCCTCTTCCAAATTCCCCATATTCCAAGGCAATTAAGGCAACACGCTGAGCCATTCCGAATGGCGCTTAGCTATGTAGGGATCGCACCAATTGCCAAGCCTCTTTTGCGTTCTACATCCAATAACAACCCCGACTGCGTCGGCCGACTTAACCATCGGAGTCACAGACCCAATTATTTAAACACAGCTAAGTACGCAAATCTCAAGATGCAACGACAAATACACAGCCACATGCGACTCAGCTCTGTTTGACTCTGCAGACCTGTGCATCAACGTTTGAAGCATTAGAACAAGGATGATAGATGTATGCGTGCACGGTCGCCGGGTTATAGCCTCTAAAGTCCTAGAGGTCTCAAATCGCATTAATCCTCTCCGTCCGATGAAACTGGGGGCCAGGCGAACATCCCATGTCAGACACGTTGTCCTAAGTATCCTCTGGGACTTCTATGTCGCTTCCGTATGTACCCTGTAAGCACTCGTCCCGCCCAGCCAATAGCGGGCTGCTGCCCCGTTGACCATATACCCTGACACTCCAAAATCAGCGTAGTGTTGCGCTTGGTAGCCCAATCACAGCAAAATCTGCGCTCAGCCTTATGCAGAAGAAAACTATGTGGACGGGTTGACGAGAACAGCTTGTGAGGGATCAAACCATAAGCGCAACCCCTGCAACGCGATGGGCCGCAGCTTGGGCCCCCAAGGGCAATGGGGATGATCCCTCCCGGTAGATTTTCTCGTTCCTCCCAGGATGCTGGCCTCCAGACTTCACCCTCCATGCACTCCCTGTGAGCCAACTGTGACATTGGCTCACGATGGCCAACGACCACGACGCGCCTGAAGTGCTGCCGTCGACGTACTCAGACAAGTATATCGGGAGCCCACCTGTAGCCCAGATGGATCAGCACAGACCCTACGACTCGTCGACGACGCCGGCGGCTTCAACGCTCTACTCTGAGAGCCAGCAGCCCAAGGCTTGGGGGACGGGCGAGGGCTACGGCCACGACCAACACCAGTACGTGGCGACGGCCGTCACACCGGCACAGGCGCCTTCTCACTACGCCTATGCTGAGCATGTGCCCGAGAAGAAATCGAATAGGATATGTGGGCTTGCGCGCTCGACCTTGATATTGCTTGTGATCCTGGGAGTTGTTGTTATCGCCGCAGCCGTCGGTGGTGGCGTGGGTGGAACGTTAGCTGTACAGTGAGTAGAAGCGAGAATGTGGCACCCGTGCATCTTCACGGAAGATGGTACTGCTACAGACATGCTGATACACCTGCCGTATTAGAAAAGCCTACGCACAAGGGTCTAGCGCAACTACAAGTTCGACGACACCGGCGCCCACTTCTTCGGCTGTTGCTACAGCGAGCGGGGAGGCCGCCCAGACTCAGAGCCCGAGCAGCACCACCAACTCAGCGTCTGGCACTGCCACGTCGTCATCCTTCATCTCGGTACCGACCTATGGTCAACTCGCTCTGGACTGCCCGAATATAGACAGTCAGCAGCGAGAGATCAAGCTCGGCCAACAGACATGGAGCTTCACGCTGCATTGCGGTCAAGACTACAATGGGGCGGTGGATATCCTGGCAATGACCGTCTACAACCTTGATGATTGTTTAAGAGGGTGTGCCAGCTACAACCGGAACTCTGCGAGTTCCAACTGTGTAGGCGTGGAGTTTTCTGGCAGTAAGTTCTATCTGGCTTTCTTGCACTCCTGGTTTCCAGCAAGCCAGGCCGTGAAAACGTGTATGGGAGTATGTAGTACTGACACGGTGTAGACATGGCCTCGGAGGTATCTGCAAACTACGGCAATTGTTGGCTCAAGAACTCGACAGGGAAGCTGGGTTCCAAGGGCAATCGCTATGTAGGAGCATTGTTGAATACGTAAATCCAAACGCGTAATTGGTATCTCTATAAAACCCATAAACTATAATAATGAAAATCCTCCTGGTCATAAAGACCTCAAAACAATATAATGAACGGGTCTGTTGGTCTAGGTGCCTCCGTCAAGCACCGAGTAAGAATACTGTCTCTTTTTGTTTTACGCCGCCAACGCCTTGCTGCTAACTGCCTACCAGCAGCATAAGATACCGTCCGTTTTCGGTAAAGTCCAAGATCCAACTTCAAACTGCATCGTACATGTGCCTCAATCGGAGATGGAGCGCGCTACGATCTTCTTCGTAATGTGCGGCAAGCCTGGTCGTCCGGCTTTGCCGTATAGTTCGTTTAGGCGCAGAGTCGTTCGGGAAAACGTGCGAGATAGTCGAGCCGAAATATAGGTGCATAAGGCCGGGTCAACCACGTGCCGGTGGTGGCCAAACTGCCCGGGAGGCTGACCATTAGTCTACTGGCCTGGAGGAGGCCGGGCAGTGTCTACTGCTCTCGTTGGAAAGTCGACGCCCTGCTTAGGCCCTCAGCCATTCCAGGGAAGTATTCAGTCCCACTCGAGGATGTATAGGACGCCGAGTCGCCCATGGAGGACACTCCACGGCTCTCCAATTCCCGCGAGCCCGCCCCGAAACTAAGCAGTATGACTCTGCCGAGGTTCCGGTACCCCGGTAACAACTTGAGAATCTTCGTCTTGAACTCGCCAAACCAGGGCGGCATATCTTGAGTGTATCTCATCTCATCTAGGAGCCTGATCTTAGGGTGTATCCGCGTCATGACGTGAGGATCATCCACAGGCCAGAGAATCTTCATGCCCGACTTCTTCTGGGCGGTTGCCATCTTCATGTTGATCAGGTTTGCACAGAGGGATCCAAGGACATCGAAGACAATCTGACCATGTGGGAAGTGTTCTGCAATGGAGTAGAAGATGCCCTTGGCAACCTCTGGCTTGAGGTAGAACATGTTGCTCTCGGCGATGACCAGAGTAGGCCTGTTGCTCGGGAATGCCTGGATCCACGACGTGTCCGGGTCGGTAATGTCTACGGACGCCGTCTTGTAGTCGCCGGTGGGCCTCGGGAACACGCGTTTCCTAAATTCGATGACATCCGGGTGGTCGACGTCGATCCAGCGGACGCTCCGCGGTGGCTCCAGACGCTGTATCCGCGTGTCCAACCCACAGCTCAGATTTACCACTGTGCAGTCTGGGTTCTCGTTTATGAATTCTTGGCACCAGGTGTCGATTCTCTTGGCACGAAGACACCAGAATGTCACATATCGAACATCGGAACCCATGGTCTCGACGATATCGAGAGGGATCCTGTTGACCAGTTGCTTGGCGTAGATGTCGTTGAGAACCGACTCCGGATGATCCGCGTCAACGGCGCGGAAGTAAAGCAACGTCCGCTGAGCCTCGGTGACGAACTTGGGCGGCGTGTTCAGCTTCCTCTCCGCCCTGAGGGCCGAGGACCCCGAGGAGGAGGCGACCGATCTCGAGGTCATGGCTGCCAACTGCTCAAGGAAAGCAGGATCAAACAATCCCCGCGGGCATCAATTCTCGGAAAGTGGCGGCCTTCTTGAGGGTTTTAAACACTTTTTTTTTAAACCAAGGCAATGGACAAGGGGTCAGTCTACCTGCAGCGTTTACCACCCCTCAGCCGGCTTCCGGACGGCTACGAAATAATTGATCCTGGGGCTTTGGCGAAGCGAAGACATGGGTGCTTTTATCTTGGAGAGATATAGTTGACGTTTTCTTGCCCAAAAGCAATGGATTTGTATTTCCCCTCAGGAGAGTTGATCAATCTTTTGGATGAGAGTCTTAGCCTGAACTCAAAAGCTAAGTAGTTTGTTCTAGTGTTTGGACCATGGCGTGCCTCGCGCAGTAGCATCGACGGGCTTGACGTGCCCCGGGCCCATGATCCCTGCTTCTGACCCTGGTGTTTCTTGGAAGAGAGCCAGCCATAATTTCCATAGCGCTGTGCTGCTCCCTCCAGCTGCCATATCGTGTGCGCGTCCCCTGAGCGAGCTGGACGGGCTGGACGGTCGGTGGCGTGCCGGCCAACTTACGATCAGCAGGCCTGGAGCTTTCAATATTGGCCATTGCCCATGAGCCTGAACCGTGCTGCTAGCCGAACTCCAGAGAGGATGGACACCCTGTGTTGATTTGCCCATGGGTTGGCGACGTGATGCCCGATCGACCAGTGGTACCGCGCGATTGGGACCCGACATCGTGAGTAGGGGCAGCATTCGGGCCCATGCCAACCTTAGCTCCCCATCCGCGCGGCGGGGCCCGCTAATCGAGGATTAGATGCCTAATGGGGAGACAGCTACAGCGCGCTCCAGGGTCTTAGGAGCTCCCCAGCTGCAGCCTACTGCAGGAAATGAAATGACGACGACCAACCTGTTCCCGCATCCCGAGGTCCCGCGCCGAATCTACCCTTCGCCGCCCGCCGTATTCGCAAGGGTGCCATCAGGTTTTTTTTCTTTTCTTTTGCCTCTTCAGCGTTCTTGACTCTCGACTCCCCGGCCGCGCCCCTTGATTCGCCGCGCGAGGGCAAAGCCGGCGGTGTTCTGCGCAGGTGGTGGGAGCTGGGTTTCCCGAGAATCTGACATGACAGCTGCAAGCCATGACACGCGTGGAACACGTGCTGCAATGCAGTGCAGACTTGATTGTGTCAAATTGCATCCTCCAGTGGCCTGCGACAAGCGGCATGGCGATCAGCGCCTGCTCGTTGGTCGAATGCGTGCAGCCTCAGGTGGTACATCCCTCGGTCCCACCCCCCTCGTTGACTCGCATTCATCTTGGCCAAGACCTCTCGACGCCCCGTCGAAACGGTAGGCTTGTAAAGATGTCTTCTAGGCTCAACGGGTGGCTCGAGGCTGATGCCCTGGTGGTGCCCGAATACGGGGACCATCTCAACTTGACCCCAAAGCCCGACCGGCAGTTCGCTCGCCTAGACAGTGGCGGCACGGTTTTGCGGTATTATTACCAAACCAGGCAATCTTGAAACACCGTACGATGACATGTGTTATGCTAATGCAATCTCTTGAAAACGGGTACCGAGGATGCAAGGCATCATCCCACACGCTCCCCGGCTCCCAGGATACTCCTCTGCTGACGGAAATCCTCCCAGATTGCCCCTCACTAGGCCTCTCCACCTGATCGATCAGAGAATACCGGTAAGTTATGGCCTGGACAGGCGCCTTGGACGCACGCAGCAGGCGCAGGTCCCAGCCCCGGCAGTGAGGAGGAGACCAAGCATGACACCGTGACCTCCGAGATAATGCACACCTGGCAGGCCTGGCATATATCCTAGCCTGCGTAGGGATATCACAGCGGGGTTTTGTGGGCTCAACGTCCGCGGGTGGAGGCGTTCGCCACGCGATGAGGCTACTAATTGGCTCCGGCCGTGTGGACTCACGATCCAGCTCCCAGGGTCCTTGCGGGCCGTGGCTGGGACAACGAGGCCGATGGATCCTCGTGACAACTCCAGGGCTGCCCGATATCATGCGCAACGGGACTACTTAAGCTTTGCCATTGCAACCTTCAGTGCCTGACCTGGGGGCTTGGATATATTGCCTCAATCGTATAAGAAATCTCATTCATTATGGCCCAAGTCAGCGGGAGCTGCGACACCCAGTTCCAGGGCGTTCGTGATGCTTTCTCGAAATACATCGTCTCGGGAGAAGAAAACGGTGCGTCCCTGGCCGTGAACGTCGACGGCAAGGATGTGGTCAACTTGTACGGAGGATATGCCAACAACGACAGGACCAAGCCATGGACCGAGAACACTATTGTCAACATGTACTCGTGCACCAAGATCGTATCCGCGCTCGCCATGCTGAAGCTGGTCGACCAAGGCTCAGTCTCCTTCACCGACAAAGTTGCCAAGTTCTGGCCCGAGTTCGCCGCCAACGGCAAGGAGAATGTCGAGATCCGGCACCTCTTGTCCCACAGCTCCGGCGTCGCGGGCTGGGAGAAACCCATGACCTATGAGGACATGTGCGATCTCGAAAAGTCAACCGCAGCGCTCGCGGCCCAGGCGCCGTTCTGGGAGCCGGGCACCATGTCCAGCTATCACTGCTGGGTGTACGGGCACCTGATCGGCGAGGTCGTGCGGCGCGTTACCGGCCTCGCGCTGAAGGAGTTCGTCGCAAAGGAGCTCGCCGGCCCCGTCGGCGCAGACGTGCAGATTGGCTGCAAGGAGGAGGACTGGCCGCGCGCCTCGGAGCTGATCCCGCCGCCGGGCCTCGACCTGCCCCCGTTCCCCCCGGACTCGCTGCCGGTCAAGATCTTGAACCCCATCCCGAACCCCGCATTCGCGCACACGGAGACCTGGAGACGGGCGGAGATCGGCGGTGCCAACGGACACGCCAACGCAGCGGCGTGCGTGCGCCTGCTGTCCAAGGTCACACTGGCCGGCCGCGGCGCCGAGCCGGAGCTCATCTCCAAGAAGACGGCCGACGCCATCTTCGAGAAACAGACGCAGAACATCGACGGGTTCAACGGGCTGACCATCCGCTGGGGTCAGGGCCTGGCCCTGCGCGGCGACGGCGAGACGTCGCTCGACGACTGGCTGCCTCCGGGACGGGTGGCCCTCTGGGGCGGCTGGGGCGGGTCGCTGTGCATCCTGGATTTCGAGCGCAAGGTCACCATCTCGTACATCATGAACAAGATGCGGCTGGAGATGCCCGTCACGCCGCCGGCTCGGGAGTACCTGAAGGAGATCTACAAGAGCATCGGTGTGGAATGGTGAGGCGTCGGGGAGACTTCTGTGGTTCCGTTTCCACCCATTACAAGTGTCATTTTCTGCAGCGAAACAACATTTTTTGATTTGACGTTCCATGGTAGCAAGACGATCCGCATTTGGCGAGGAGTTGGGCTGGTTTGGTCGAGTTTCCGTATAAACTGCACGCACATAAATTTCGAGCTCTGTTTATACTTTGCTTGAACATAGTAATAAAGCTAACTAGGTAGTTATCGTCATCCAAAATTTCTACTGTTGCGCTCTTCACCTACTAACATATATGCACCTGGAATCCTGGAAGGCTTTACAACACACCGGGGATAGCCGCATATTTGCCCTTGATCTTGTCTTCGCCAAACTTTTCCTTGTACCATTTCTTCCCCGAAACAGCACGCGGCAGCATGGCAAAGAACTCGTTGAGCAGGAAGCACCGGGCCGGGGCGCAGGAGACGCCGGCGGCGATCCAGAAGCCCAACCACTCTACCCACTCCATGAAGTAGTGCGGGTACAGCATGTACTTGAACAGGCCGTTCTGCGGGACCGAGTAGTGCTTCTCGACGCCCTTCTTGCCCTGGCCGGCCAGCTTCGCCTGCCGCCTCGTCTCCTTGCGGCGGATCTCGCGAAGGTCCTCGTCGCAGAAGTAGTTGCCAGTGAGCCCCACGTAGAACAGCCCGATCCCCAGGGCGAAGCGCAGGACGGTGAAGCCCTGGGCGTCCCACTCGGCCTGCGTCGTGGGCCCGTAGGCGGCGAGCCAGCAGCCGATGCAGGTCGCGTTGCACAGCTGGAAGAAGAGGGCGCTCGCGGCCACCAGGGCGTGGATGGGCGACATGGAGGGCTGGATGAAGGGGAAGATGACGGCGCGGTAGCAGTAGTGCAGCACGAAGAGCCCGGAGAGGACCTTGTTCTGCCAGGGCAGGTCCGTGATGCCGTGCTGGGCCGGCAGCGTGTTCATGATGTACAGCAGCGTCAGGAAGCCCGGGCACTCCATGGCGAACCAGGCGACGCGGCCCGGCATGTTGAGCGGCGACTTGACCGACGTCTTGCCCATGCCGTACCAGCTGACGGCCCACTGGAGAGAACAGGCCTGGGACGGGCCGGGTCAGCGTCTGGTCATACCGGGCTTGCAGGGGCATTCTGAGGTTTGTGAGAGACTTACCACGGGGAACCATGTCCACACGGCCAGGATGAGCTCATAGTTCTCACGGCTTGCTGGGAGCCAGCCTTGGATGATGGCCATGGTGCCGTGATGCCCGCTGAGAGTCTTGACCCGGAGCCGGAATGAAACGATGAGAACGGAGACGGGAGTCTCTCGTGGAGAAGCGCGTCCGCGTGCAGCTAGTTATGAGAGTATACTTGCGCCAAAGCATCAATTGAGAAGTTTAGGGCATGCACGACCTGTCGGCCGGTTCTCTAGGCGCCTCAGTTTTAAGCTCTGGCTATATGGTCGGCGTCATTGTTTTCTGTTGCCGAAATAAGGTTGCATCTGGCGCACGGGAGCACGGGAGCACTGACAATCCGCACCACCCATTGGTAGCGGTCCCACATGTGCCATGGCTTGGCTGGCTGGCTGGCTGGCAGGCGAGTTCCCCGAAGCCAGCCAGACAGCCCAGCCGGGGTTCCTGAGTCTGGCGGGGGGGCCTTGGGGGGAGCTTGGGGGAGATATATCTGAGTAGGACGTGAGGCGCTCGTCGACTTACAAGGTTGGAATTGCTCATGGCGAACCTCGTGTACTCGTGGCTGCTAGTCAGCGGCAAAGCCCAAGTTCGTGTCTAGCGGCGCGTGATTACTTGTTGCTCTTGGGGACAAATAAGCAAACCATGCGGCCCTCTTCAAGTGACCGCCTTGGCATGCATTGGCCGTGGGCTTTCCAACACCGAGGACCCCAAGTCCAGCGCCACTGAGCATCCGCTCGAGTCCTGGACAACTGGGTGCCGCGTCATAAGTTAATTCGACAGCATCAGCCACACAGCCTGCCTACCCACCTGGGCAGTATCCATGGGGTGTTCAAATGTCGCCCCGACTTTGTAGGGAACACGACAGAGGGCCTCTCAATTGTCGGTAGGTGACCCGCAACCACGTGAGTGCAAATCGTATACGTGGGTTTCAACTCTTAGCAACATCGATTCTTATTCTCTTCGGATATACCTCAACCGATGTTGACAGGAGAACCAATGAATTGGCTGCTGCCTAGGTGGTGGCACTCAGCGCTGACGAGTACTCCGTGCCCCATAATTTACCCCGGGCCCCCGTCCAGTCCAGTACGAGTTGGTGGCTACAGCGGAGGCCCCTCGCCGTGCTACATAAGTTAGTACCTACACCACAGCACCATCACCCGCACCGCCACAGCTCTGCCTCCCGCCGGATAGCGGCTTTCCAAGACCTGGGCAGTCCGTCCACGATCCAACCCGCTGGCCCTCGTCGCTTGTGGTTGCTTGAATGATATACCGTGTGTGATCCATGTTCTAGTCCCTCGAGTCTTTGCCAGCTTCTCCCCCTCGACCGATCCCAGCGACGGCCGTCGAACCCCTATATCATCACGACCTCTCCTGGACTCGATTCAGCGATTGCCAGGCGACCAGTGTCCCCGAATGACGTAACATTGGAGCTTCCACACCCAGCCGCCGCCGCCTCCCCCAGCTCCCCCAGCTCCCGTGCCAGCTCGACCACAACCGCGCCGTAATCGATCTCTCACGTTCGCGAGGCCATTCGCTATATTTACTGCCTTGCCACTGGCCGGGCCTACTGCCGCTTTTCGCACCCAGCCACGAAGACCTCGATAGGCCGTGGCTTGCCCGCCGACAGACAAGCCCTGTATCGCCATGGTCACCCGAAAGTCAGTCCCCGAGAATGCGCCCATAAATCCCAGTGCTCCTCCTGCAATCAGTGTCGAAGGCGTGAGGCAGGAGCTGTGGTCTCCTACCGACTCGGACACCGATGGAGAGAAGATATGGGGCGGCGCGGGTGCGAACCAGCAGACCCGTGGCTCACCAGCGCCCGGTGTACAAGATGTGCCCTCGCCGCTGAGACCCGGGGCTGCGGGGAAGAGCCCCTTCGGCGAAGAAGAAGAAAACCCATGGGGAGATGCATCAGCCGACGGGGGCAAGTCCAAAGTCACGCTCGAGCACACGCCGACGGTCCTGCGGCCAGGCGGGAAGCTCGAGACGAATCCGTTCAAGCGGAAGCCCGTCAACCGCAGCCCTTCACCCCAGGCGGCCCAGGGCTCCAGAGCTTCGAGTAATCCATCTCCAACCCCACCGACTGAAGCATTTTCCGAGCTGCGAGTGGCCGACTCGGAGCAGAACACAAACCCGTGGAAGCCAGCCATCGAAGTCCAAGACTCGGGTCAAGGCCCCTCTGTTGCGGTGCCCGTCAGCCACCCGAACGACGCCGAGCCGGACATCTGGGGTACGGCACCCGCACATCCTCCACCCTCCCAGTCTACGCCAAAGCCTCCCCTGGTATCCCTACCTTTAGATGGAGAATCGCCTGCGTGGGACGAGTTTAGCCAGGTCAACGGCCCGAAACCGTCTCTGCCGTCCATGCCGCAAAAGTCAGACGAGGAGCAGGAGTTCTCACAGGATGCACATGCTTGGGATGATCTCGGTGCTCTGGACAAGGGCAAAGGACCTGCCGCGGCCGTTGCGCAACCACCAGCTCAGGGGACATCAAACGATGAGTGGAATTTGATTGACCACGAGCCCGCCCCGGCGCCACCAAGTCTCTCAAGACAGAGCACCTGGGAGAATTTCGTCGACGCTCAGGATGAGCCTAAGTCGCAGCAACCAAAGGTTCCTCCGGTGACACAGCATGCTGCACCAGAGGAAGCTTCAGATGAACCACCAACGTTGCCTCCCCGACAGTCATTAGAAGTACCTCCCTCCCAACCTCCGCGGCCAAGCACCCCTAGCGCGGCCAATAAGACGGAAACTTATCAAATCAAGAATATCAACTGGTATGATGCGTCTACTGGGCAGAACCCCCGAAGGTCGCCGATCCTCGTACAGAACGCCAATGGTCCCTGTCCCTTGGTCGCGCTTGTCAATGCTTTGACGTTGACCACTCCCGCCGACTTGACCAATACAGTACTGGTGGAGACGCTACGGTCCAGGGAGCAGATCAGCCTTACCCTGCTTCTCGAAGCCGTCTTTGATGAGCTCATGTCTCCGAGGAGAACGAAGTCTGATGCTTCACTTCCCGACGTCACTGAACTTTACGCATTCCTCAAGGGCCTTCACACCGGCATGAATGTCAACCCCCGCTACGTGCCAACGCCTGAGTTGATCACTGCTCACAAACGCACATCGTTGACACACGTACACCCATCGGAGCGCGGCGATTGCATACCAGGCACCTTTGAAGACACCAGGGACATGAAGCTTTACGCAACGTTCTCGGTTCCCCTCATTCACGGTTGGCTCCCACCCAAGGATGATCCAGCCTATGAGGCTTTCAACAGACAGGCTTCATCCTACGACGAGGCCCAGAATCTGATGTTCAGGGAAGAGGAGCTGGAGGATAAACTCAGCAATTCCGACACGGGTCTTACAGAACAAGAACAGCAGATGTATCAGGACATACTGACCATCAAGTCATGGCTCAACGTATCCGCGACGCAACTTACCCCTTGGGGGTTGGAAGTGGTCACGAAAGCGATTCCGCCTGGCACTTTCTCCATTCTCTTCCGAAACGATCACTTCTCTACGCTCTACCGCCATCCCCAAACCCTACAACTATTTACACTCGTGACCGACGCTGGCTACTACACGCATGACGAGATCGTCTGGGAATCTCTTGTTGACGTCAACGGAGAGCGGACTGAATTCCTCTCTGGTGACTTCAGGCTCGTTGGCGGTCCACAGCATGGACAATCTCAAAGTACTCCTAGGTCGTGGTACGCCGACGGCGAGTCTTCAAATGCACAAGGTGGGGAATGGCAAACTGTCCAGAGTCGTCGAGGGGGCAGAAATCAAAGCAGCCAGTCTGAGCCACCCGCATCGCCCATGTCGGCCAACCACGAACAAGAAGACCGTGACCTTGCCCTCGCACTCCAATTGCAAGAAGAGGAGGACGAACGCCATAGGTCAGAGCAAGAGGCCCGCCGGAGAGAAAGTCAGTTATCAGAACAGTTCATAGAACAGCAAGGACGCGGCGGTACAGCACGCACTGGCCCCTCGACTCGCGGGCGCGGCGCTTCTAGGGGAGGCATGGGCTCCGCTCGCGGCAGCTCAACCTCTGTGAACATCCCAGTCCGCGGAGCTAGTAACGCTGCCCGCGGCGGTGCTCGACCTGTCACGCAACACGTACGGCCTCTCGTTCCCCCAGCTGCATCAACAACGCACCGACCTGGAAATAATGAAGAGGACGATGCACCACCCAGCTACGAACAAGCTAGCAAGGCAACGCCGTACAACCCACCAGCGGGCCATCCGAATCATCCTTCGAGCACCCCTGGCAGTGCGAGTACTGCGAGAAGACGGCCGACATTGCCTTCCGTTACCCCCAGCAGCTCCGGGCAGGCTGGGCCCGGCACTCCAGTGGGTAGAGGTCGTCCGGTCCCCGTGGCCCAGAACAGCATGTCTGGCGGGCAGAGGGATAGGGACTGTGCCGTCATGTAGGCATCTTAATGGACTGTTCGCGCGTCTGTTTTATCGGAAATTCGCATGGGAGGCTGGAGTTTTAGCGCTGTGTTACCCGGGTTCCATTCGCCTGTACACTATATAAGTCTTGGATGAGCAATGCCAATCACGAATAGAAGTTAAGATTTATACGAACTCTCTCCTATCCCATGTAAGAAGTGCCATGTTGCCATGAAGAGCGGCTCTCCGCTTCTGCTCCGTAGTTTAGGATGTCTGCTGTATCCCCTTGCTTCGTACCATTCTAGCTATTTATGACACGGATATAGGAAGGATACCGGTAGTTGATTATTAACTGCGTTTCATTTTTTCACACTTTGCCTACTCCTCGCTGTTTGTCCACTCTTGACTTGACAATTGCCATAGATTTTCAACCCTTCACTGTTGACCTTCTCATCCTAATATTGGGAAGGCTTGGCCAGACCACAAGATTATGCCAAATTATACACTCAACACGAACATTGAACAAGCTTCAAGTTTTATCTGCAGGTCATTCGTGTTGATTCCTCATCTCTTCATCTCATAATCACTCGAGATCCCCAGCCTTCCCCCCTTCATCTTCTCATTCCAAACTTCGGGTGTGACTGCCACATTGAATACCCACAGAAGAACACTGGGATACCATGAAATCTCACTTGCCTAACTCTGCGGCGATCTCATCTAAAAATAAGGCAGTTCTCCGAGAACTCGAACCAACACAAACCTCCATCTCCATTCACTGTCCGGGGACGCATAACCACCTCTCGATCTCACCACTCACCACTCCATAACCCCCATCCAAGCATACAACAGCCACTCAAACTAAGAAAAGATGGCTCACTGCATCATTTGCATGTGGCCGGACGCGACGGCCTGTGGCCAGTGTAAGAGCGCGCACTACTGCTCTCGCAAGTGCCAGAAGACTGACCGGGAGTCGCACAAGCTGGTCTGCAAGCCGTTTGCGCAGATGGGCCCCCGCCCTTCATCTGATCACTACAAGGCTCTGCTTTTCCTGACCGAATCCACAGCTCCCAAGCCAGTCTGGGTACAAATCTCCAACACTGATGACTTCCCTTCCGTTGATGGTTCGTATGATTGGCTTGGTCCAAAGGGAAGGGGCTACAGCACGGAAAATACCCACGTGAACATCAACAGGCGCACCAACAGTTCCAAAGCTGCGCTTCCTCTCTGGCGGTGTGTTCCAATACGATCAATCTCCGGTTAATCAAAGTTTCGCCACAGCCGTTCGCCCGTTCACTGCAAACCCAAGTTTGCAGTTCAAGGGTCCGGTCCTAGCATACACGATGATCGAATACACCTACGAGCAAATGTTGCAAATGGAAGAGGCCGGCGAGGAGGAACCTAGGGAGTACGAATACCTTGATATTTCCCTCAGTTGCTTCAGAGACTTGGTGGACTTCTCGATTCACCATGAAGCCAGAGAGACAGATTGCATTCTCCCAAAGAAGACGATGGTATTATTGTCACCAAGTTTCACTCTGTTCATGACTGCCTAAAGAGTCAGCGGCCTCAAAATGGGCAAGTGGCTGTGAAAGCCCCATTCGCGGGCGGCGATCAATCCGCCATCTCACCTATCTCACAGATTCTGGGTACACCACTGCGACTGAATGCGCTCGACACCAAGGCTAAGTCGGCAGGCTACAATGATGGCTGTCCCAATGCATCTTTCCTGATGATGGACCTCGACATCACAAGCCCGACGTGGGGCACTATTACGGAAGCCTGGCGATTCCCCGGCTCAGTTCTGGTCGGTCAAGTTAATGGCTCGAACATCCAAGATCACATTGCAGCCACGATGGCCAGATTCTGTATGGAGGAGGTCTATCCACGAGTGAAGAAGGCATTGCAGGACGGTACCATGGAAGCGAAGGAGAAGACCATGAAACACGTATGCCTGGAGATGCACTACAACTACAGACGAGACGATTACCCATACAACTTGGCTGTGCCTCGTCGCGCCAATGTGATCAACCCCATGGACATGATGGCCGCATACCAGTCATACATTTCGAGCCGTCGCTTCAACTAGAAGGAGTTGAGAACAAGAATTTGGCGGATAGTTTTATTGGAGAAGCTTTCGAGTAGTAGCTTGCAATAGCTAATTAGCGCAGAGAATGCGAATAAATGATTTCCATGCGGCACGGCGCCGTCGAAGGCGCGATCATGTTACAATGCAGAGAAAAGTAAGAGTAAAATGGTTTGCCCGCAACGCCATCGTGAGCTACGAGTACACTCGGGGATCTACATGCAGAGCAGGTGGAAACAACTAGACTGAGGAGATGTTACCATTTTCTCGAAAGTGGATACAATCACGGTCATTTTTATCCGCGGCGCATACTCCGCCAATGACTGCCCCAATAGAAAGAGTGCATATGCACCATGGACTAGAGACACTCCACTTGGAGTGAAGCTGAAGTCGCCGCCAGGAAACCAAGCTGACAAGATAGTTCCAAGGGATTACTTCCTGGGCCGGTTCCCCTAGACCACTGTGATGAGCTGTGAGCGAGTCAGTGGTTTGCCTTCAGCCGCCGGGGAATAGGCGACCCGTTTCAGGTAGCTAGGTCGTGTTCATTCTTTGCCCTGAGGTGTTTCTCAGCCCAACCCGGTTGCTCGGCCGTAAAGATGGACATTGCCATGGATATTGTCAGCCAGCCACGCGGCCTTGCCTGGTTCCAGTAAGGCTGAACTTGATTTCTCAGGGCACGCGGCTAATCCAATGACCTTTTCTGGTTCGGCATAGGTAAGTTTCGTTTCCTGAAGTTGGCCATTCGCTGCTGCGCCGCTTTGATCCCCACATTGCCGGGCGGCAAGGCGGTCTTCGGGCACACGAGAGGTCGGCCCGGGCCGCTGCTGATATCGGCCCAGACGTTGATTGGACAGAGCGAGGGATGGCTGGGGTGACTGTGTGATCCTTTGCCCCTGCAGAAGCCTCATACTGTTTCGAACCCCGTTTTCCTGCATTTCTGCATGCTTGGTGCGTTGCTTTGGGATGAAGTCTAATCGCTGTGCCGCCTCCTGAACCGCTTTGCAATTCTCGGCGGCAGGTACTATGGCGTCCATCAATAGACCCATCCAGTCCAACAGTCTATTTTCAGATGCGTTGAACTGTTGTGATTTGATATTGTCTGTAGCGTTGGCACAAGCAATTGGCCAAGAGACAACGAGTGGCCGTCGGCTCGCCATCTCCAGCGGCAACAGTGGCCTCTTGAGCCGTTAACGCGCGGCACTTGGTCACTCAGTGATCGCCGAGTTGCATGGTAGCTTATGTGCATTCTGGCTGAAACCATGCCTGCCTCGTTCGCTAATTCGTGGCTGTGTCGATCAAAGTGCCTTGCAGTTTCCTGGAAACTTTTGATTGGCCCTTTTCGAAGAGCCGATCATTCTCCAGAGTGTGTGAGAAGTTGCAAAACACAAGGCTGCGGATGTGTTACTGCGGTATGCACAATCCCTAGGCCCAGTCACCGTATTATGTGATTCGATGCCATGTCTGACTAGCTTCTGTATCAAGGAAGGAAGATGAAACTGAGCCAGCCTCTACTGGGAAATAAGCTGCGGCTGGCTCCCAGATTGATACGGTTGGGTATAAATGTCAACGAGAGCCCAGCTATGATAACACTTCCCCGGCTATAGTCTCATCTCATCAATATTTTTAAGCTCTCATTGCATTTGAATCAACACCGTTGCCTCATGTCTTCAATTTCTCTATCCCGTCGGCCTGTGGTCGGTCCGGAGAGAAGTCTGTTTGAAGAATTAACTTATGATGGAAAGGTTGTTAAACGAGAGCCCAAAGACGAGGAGGGCCCTTCACATGACCATGTTGCCGAAAACCCCTTTGACAATAAGAGCAGCCGCACTCTCTTCGATGCAATCGATCAACTCCAAACATGCGGTGCCGGCCAGGATATCGATATCCCTCAAGTAAGCAACCCCCTTTTGTTCTTTGGAGCGACACAGAAGCTCGAACTGACTTCGAGTAATAGCTCGTTATTGTAGGAGGACAGTCTACTGGGAAGTCTTCCCTGCTCCAAAGCCTTGTAGAGATCCCTTTCCCAACAGGCCAGGGCTGCTGCACGCGCTTCGCGACCCGCATTGTGTCTCGACGCACACCACCTGGTTCCCCGAATCTGTGCATCGTCAAGATTGTCAAGCCGGACTTCGATCTTAACGAATTCTTCAACTACGGGGCTAATGACACCTATAAGTCTTTCGAAGAGAGATGTGAGACGCTGAGTGCGCAGAGATTCTCTGACATCGTGGAAAAGGTGCAAAAGGATTACATGGGAATCGACCGTGGCAAGCACAGAGGCGCAAAGAACTTTGCGACTGAGGTTCTAAGGGTGGAACTCAGCGGTCCTAATCGATCACATTTCAGCATACTAGACATCCCGGGGTTCTTCTCCACAGCCGCAGATGTACACCCAGAGGAAATGGCGGGCGTCAAGAGAATGGTCACAGAGTATATGAAGAAGCCACAGAATCTTGTCATGTAAGAATCGAACTACTTCTAATACCTACCCCTAGGCTAATCTCAACACAGCTGTGTGGCTGATGCCACCAATGACGTGGCCAACCAGGGAATCTTCGACTTGGCCGGCGAACACGTGGAGAAAAGCCGGCTTATCGGTGTATTCACCAAGTGTGACAGAGCCAAGGATTCCTCACAAGCCCGCGAGGTTGTCCGTACTGCCACTAAACCCGACGTTGCAGACGACTATACGTCAATGAAACATGGGTGGTTTGTGGTGCGGAACAGGAAAACCGAGGATGGGCCTGATTTCGATCTGGAAGCCTCGGAGGCATCACTGTTCAGTCAAGATCCTTGGACGAACGTTCCGAAGAGCCGGCGAGGATCTGCGATGTTGAAGAAATTCCTTGCACAATTCCTCAGCTCGAGAATTCGCAAGGAATTCCCAATTCTCCAAAGCAAGGTGCAGGATCTGCTACAAAAGAACCTCCAAGCTAGGAAGGCGTTGGGAGCTCCCCGGCCATCACACCAAGATCGTGTTCAATATCTCAATGATGTTGTCCATAGATACCACTCGGCTGCTAAACTGGCATTGGAGCAGCCCGGACACCTTCCTTCACAAGGTATGCGAGTTCGGAATCTTGTTGCAATGAGAAACCGTAAGTTCGATAGCTACTTGAGACTCAACGGGCATCAATTCGAGTTCGAAGACATCTTCAATCCCGTTCTCGGCGACGCTGGTCAACCTGAAGATAACTCAGAGGAAGAGACGGCATCATCTCAGCATGAGGTAAGCGATCTTGCAAGTCACAGCGCAATTTACATATCAATTCTGACCGCCACTGAGTAATAGCCTCCGCAATTCACCTTTGGAGTCTTGCCACCCACTCCTAGTGCTAGCCCAACACCGAAGTCAAAGGCCAAAAAGGTGAAAGAGCGTCCACCTCGGACTGTTGCTCAAGCTAGGAAAGAAGTATCGCCTATCCGCCAGAAAATCCGAGAAGAGATCGACGTTTTCCAAAACGCCGGCCTTCCAGGACTGTTGAACACTGACGTTTTCCCTAAACTCTACAATGAGCAAAATCGAAAGTGGTCCAAGATAGCACTTGACCATCTTCGAGGCGTGGCCCAAGACACAATCGCGGCAGCTATGGAGATCCTCAAGTACGTTGATGAACAGTGCCACTTAAGCTCCGATGCTATGGAAGGGTTGAAGAGTATAGTGATGGATTTCTACCGGACTGAATTCAAAGAAGCTCGCAAGAGATTGGAAGACTACATGGAGCAGGAGAAATCTTTCCCCTTGCAGACAACAAACCCGCGATTTCAGCAGTCGCTGGAAGAAAGGCGAATCAAAAGATACCAGGATGCTTTCCGACGTAACATAGACGATCTCCGGGACTGGCTCCACCGTGGGCAGCATACCGCGTCCACGATTATTGACAAAGTTGACCTGGTCCTGGTTGACTTGCATTTCGACGCGGCTACGAGAATGGAGAACGAGGTTCACGACGTCCTTCAAGTCTACTACGAGGTAAGTGGCTGTTCATTGGACCTGGAACGGTGTCTAGCCTTGGGAGAATATCCAGCTAACTCGCCCACAGCTAGCATTGGAGACTTTCATCGAGTTCACGACGAAACGCGTGATCGAAGACTTCGTGTCGAACAAAAAAGGACCACTGCGCGGCTTATCAACGGACTATATCCTTGGCCTGTCGGAAGCTGAGGTAGAGAAGCTGGCCCGCGAAGACGAAGCTACTTTGTTGAAGAGGGACGGCTACAATCAGCAGATTGCCAGGCTGGAACGGGCGCATGCCATCGCTGAAAACGCGTGGAGGCAAACGACGTCTTGTGAAGGTGAACTTCTCACCGCGTAAACCGCAGATCATTGAAGAGGGCATTGCATGCACAAAAAGCCTGGTCCTGTTGTAGACATCGGAAATCACAGCGGTTGACTTTCTTCTTTCAACGGGCATCTGGATACAATTGCGGTCTTCTTGATATGCACTCGAACGTGGATCGGATGATCAAGCCCGGAGTTCACGTCAGCAATTGCACGATATCTGCTGACCATGCGGTGCAGCTGAGGCTGATTGGATGGCGTTGATAAACTCCCGAATAGGTATATGTCGTGGACGGGTGGTTGACAGATGGGTAGTACGGGAAGAAGCCTTATCGAGCTCGATTTCTAATCAGGGGCTGAGTGGCCTAGTGTTAGTGGCGTGCGGATGCTGACACCGCACGCCAGCCCCTGCCAGCCGCTGAAGAAAACCCACTGTAAGCCATTCCCGAAAAATTCTGTCACCCGGGCCCGTCAAGGCGCACAGGCTGGGCGGGTTTAGAGGAACTACATAGTACCTGCAACTTTTAACTAGCTGGATTTGAAATCGAAAGGCAAGGCCATCGCATAACAACGCCCCGACAAGCGTGCTCCCACTCTACCCACTTAGTCCCCGAAATGCCGAAGACCGTAGACCTTTCTGGACAGCCCAGAGTTTCCATGAGGTCATTTTCGAACGCATTATTAATGCGCCTGCGCTTCACATAGGCCGTGTTGCTAGCGATTTCATACTTAAGCACCATCGTTTTCCCAAGTTGGATCAGATAGCGAGTCCAGGATAGCAATTTGAAGTCTCTCTGTGGTGATTTGACGTTTTCCCGATAGACCTACTTTGCACGTTCAAATCAGAACCATGTCTCCCTCACGCCTATTCCAGCCCCTCAAGGTGGGCAATGCCACCGTGCAGCACCGCATCGCCATGGCCCCCCTGACCCGGTTCAGGGCCGACGAGAACCATGTGCCACTGCCGTTCGTCAAGGAATACTACGCCCAACGAGCGTCCGTGCCAGGAACTCTGCTCGTCACCGAGGCTACCCTTATCTCCAAGCAAGCTGGCGGCTACCCCAACGTCCCCGGCATCTGGTCCAAGGAGCAGATTGCGGCGTGGAAGGAGGTCGTGGATGCCGTGCACGCGAAGGGAAGCTTTATCTACCTACAGCTCTGGGCCCTCGGCCGTGTAGCAAACCCAGACCATGCCAAGAAGGAGGGTATTGAGGTCAAATCAGCTAGCGCCATCCCCGAGGCCGAAGGCAAGGCTGTGCCCAAGGAATTCACCAAGGAGGACATCAAGTCGTTCACCGATGATTACGCGCAGGCCGCTCGCAATGCCGTCGAGGCAGGCTTCGACGGTGTCGAGATTCACGGCGCCAACGGCTATTTGATCGACCAGTTCATCCAGGACAACACGAACCAGCGGACAGATGACTACGGTGGTAGTGTTGAGAACCGTTCTCGTTTTGCCATCGGCGTGGCCACTGCCGTCGTCGACGCCATCGGCTCCGCCAAGGTCGGCATCCGGTTATCGCCGTGGTCGGACTTCCAGGGCATGAAGATGAAGGACCCCGTCCCGCAGTTCACAGACGTCATCAACAAGCTCAAGACACAGAAGCTGGCCTACCTGCACCTCGTCGAGTCGCGCATTAGCGGCAACGCTGATTCGGAGGCAACCGAGGGAGTCGACTTCGCTGTGAAGGTATGGGACAACACGTCGCCCGTGTTCATTGCCGGTGGATTCACGCCCGAAAGTGCCAAGCGCCTGGTGGACGAGGAATACAAGGACAGGGACGTGGTGGTTGTTTTTGGTCGCCACTTCATCTCGACGCCCGATCTACCTTTCAGGATCCTGAAGGGAATTGAACTGACACCATATGACCGTGACACATTTTACAATGCTGGAGAGACAAGGGGCTATACCGACTGGCCCTTCAGCGAGGAGTTTAAGAAGGAGATCCAGATCTAGACTTTACGACCCATTGTGTATAGACATTAGACCAATAAACAGCGTTTGAACTTTTGAGCACTTGAAAGCTTATTCCAAAAACATCATCTGCTGTGCCGACTGCGTATAGCGGTACATTTATCTTAGGATCTTAGTATTTATACAGAGACATGTCCCGTGCATGGCCTTTCTTATCGGAATCATCGAGGGGGAGTTGGGTTTGTCCATAATCTGTTGCATTTGGAGGCCCTGAAAGCGCAACCCACCTGCAAACCTGGGGGTTGACTATGGTATAAAAGGTATATCGTATTGTGACTAATTTAAAGCTTTGCTGTGAAGCTCCCGTCCCACAATGGTCGCATAGACTCTTCAAGTAGATTCCGCTCTGCGTCGATCCGCTCCTGAGTTGTTTTTAACACTCTTGGAAGTCCTGATTTCTCGAACGGGATCTCTTCCCGGATCATGGTTGCCACGCCTTTGCTCGACAAAAGTATCGCCGGCATACCATGCCCCGAAAACCCGGCGATTATGTACTGACCACTTTTGTCAGGTACCTGACCCAGGTGGGGCATAAAGTCGGAGCTGAAACCCATGACTGATGACCCTCGTTAGCTTGTCCGGTGTCTATGAAGATTGAGGTAGGTGATTTTGTGAAGGAGCCTTGACTTACTTCCCGTCCAAACCTGTTCCGCCTTTGCATCGCTCGACTCCCACCCGCGAAAGTTTCGTTGCATGTAGTCATCGAAATACGGAACAGCGTTGGCCACAAGCTCATCATCGCGGACGTTGTCAAACCACTGGTCCTTCATATGCCAGAACCTTTGCCCGGCACCGCCAACTACGATGCTCCCGTCGGCGCGAGGGATGAGGTAGTCGTAGTGGCGCGAGTTGAACCGAATACCGTACGTGTTCACGAGATGAGGACTGTGTGCACCCTTTGAACTGACGATATGGCTACACACGCCGCGGATTGGCACAATGCGATTGGCGTACTCAGGGAGGAGCTGTGACGTATAGGCGTTTGTGGCGTAGACTACTTTGCGAGTGGCAATAGTGCCTCGCGCCGTGTGAACTGTCCATAAACCTTGGTCGTCTCTTGTTGACGAGACCGATGTTACCGGAGTATTTGCCTGCAGGTTCAAACCCTTCACAAGCAGCCGTTCCAGCAACTGCTGTACCATCTTCAATGGCCACAGATGAGCCGCCGTGAACGAAAAGCAACACTGGGCATTTTTGACCCCTGAGATCTGTTATGTTTTGATATGAGCTTTAGCGTATTTAGTCGGGGACTCTCGACGGATTCCGGGGATTGTTGTGCAGAGAGGAACGTAAATAGGAATGAACTCACCCTCTCGGCGTCCTTTTTGGGAGTGAATGCTACGTCATGCAAATCAACCACGCCGCCCGTAACGAGTTCTCTATACGCCTCCTCTGTTTCTCTAGCATGCTTAGGGTCGAGAAAGACATCTATGGAGCGTGTGAGCTGAAAATCGCAGTCCAGCCCCTCGGTCTCCACGAGGCTCTTGACGGCGTATACATGCGAAGCCTCGAAAGCAGCCAACTCAGCTGCAGCTTCGGCTCCGTACAGCTTAGAATACTTGGACACGTTGTAATACATGTCGGGCTTGACGTGACCACCGTTCCGGCCTGTAGCTCCGGAGCAGACTTTCCGGGCTTCTAATAGCACAATCGAGGGCGGGTTCGGATTGTCTTTGAATAAGTGGTATGCGGTAGCGACTCCAGCAAACCCTCCTCCGATTATCACCACGTCGCATGCTTTGGGAAGTTCTGCTGTGCTGCGGTGGTCATCCAGGCTACGTGGGGACGCGGTCCAGAAAGACGGTACCGGGTTGGGTACCGGAGAGCGTGTAGGCTGTGGATTGCTTGCCATCTGAAGAATTGAGACGACAGTGACTGATACGAAAGCATTAGTAACTATGATGTCCGATTCATTGGGAAGTATAATTGCAATAGGACGGCTGTGCTGCTGACCGCAGTGTTAAGAGGATGGCGTACCTACGGTAACCTACTTCACCAGGAGCGAGCAGGAATTACGTGCTCGTCAATATCAAGTGTCCTACGCTATATGGTGACACACAACGAGTAAGCGAAATATTGAGAACCCAGAAAATGACTTTCAATGAAGATTAGAGCAATCATCATATTGCAATCCAGGTTGAGCAGTAATCACTCCCTAGAACTAGACGTAACTGGCTCTGAAGGTAATCGGGGTAGTGAGCTTCGACCGCGACCCCACATACATCCTGGTGAAGCCCTGACTCGCCAGAATCATGGCCGATCCTGGAACGCGTGAACAATTTTAGTGTGTCAGAACCGCCTGAACCCATTTGCGAGTTCAAGTTTCCATCAGTGCCCTGAGTGCATCGCTGTATCTAGACCCGTAGTTGCCCGACTGGCGAGCTACTGTACTGTACAGCACAATTCCGGCTTATCTCACGAAGATAGGGTTAGCTATCACTGCGCTGCGACAGCGCTGCAGGCTTTGAGCGCTCCACCTGAGCACTGTCTCCCAGGCCATGTTCGGAAAGCTGTCTGCCACCGCACTAGACAACTCTGTGCAAGGTTCTTCCTCCCAGACTGTTCAATAGGTGCCCTTGAAGCCATAGCTCACATTTGGCATCTCACTCGGACGTTTTCTGTGTCTGCGACGGGGTGAATGGTGGCGATATCCAGTGCTCGTCGCTGTAAACACCTGCCACTATGCGTCGTGGCCAACCGGCGAACCCCCTGCCAAAAACTGTCGCAAGACCTCGGGAGGGACTGATAAGACTCCGGCGCCGGCTCGCTAATGCCAAGACTCCACAGGGCAAGAAGTTCTCGGTATGCCCATCCATCCATGGCGTTGCGGGGCACATATACAGTGACGCGCACGAATACCGATAGCCGTAGGTGCACTGCACGGGAAGGCCGCCCCGCGAGGGAAGCATTCTGCAACGCCGGGCCGGGTCTTGTGCCTTATAAGCTTCTCGAGACTAGTACCCATGTAGCCTTCGTTGTCATCTGTTGCGAACGCGCACGCGTACGCAATTCTGCCATTCAGATCATGCGGTAGCCCTCCGCATGCAGCCTCGTTCATAGAGCTCTTATATCACATCTGAGAATCGCCGACACAGAGCACTGATATTTACGCTTCAAATCATAGCTGTACAATATCTTATTCATCTCATTATCATTACAGTCCCTGGCCTGGCACTCCTTGACCCAATCGCCTACCCGTAGCTATGGTAACGAGTCGCTGCCGCGGCACTCACGCGTGTTCAGGGGGCGCGAGGGTCGATGTCTCTATCATATCAAAATGGATTGACATGATTGCAGCCCTATGGGCCATACTTGGAGTGGCCTCGTGGACTGGTAGGCATCAGTTACCTCGTCATAGAAAGCAGCTTTATTAGCAGCTTCACAAAGCTCCAAGGACCTTCTCAAAAGCAGCAATGAGAGTAGGCACTGAATCGATAGTTAGCAATCGTTCTTGCACAGATGCAAAATATTGGAAAGTCACTTACCATGCTGTTCCTCGAAAATGAGCATGGGTCGTAGTCTGACGGTCTGTACACCACATGTGCCAGTAAGTACTCCCAGGGCCTTCATGTTCTTGACAAGCGCGGCGGCATCCGTGGTATCAAAAGCAATGTAGGTGCTATAAAATGTCAGTAGTATTCTTGGGGGAAAAAAGGTGCAACTGGTTATCTTTGACTCACCCTTGACCCTTGCCGCGAAGGTTCTGTACGTGGTCCGGGTACTTTTGTGCGAGCTTCTCCATCTCGGCGTACAAGACGTCTCCAACACGGGCCTACTGGATGTTAGAATGAATGATGCAGCTTAGCCAGCGAGGTCACCTACGCATTGTGCCACGAGGTCCTTTGCAAGAATCTCCTGGATGACAGCCTTGCTCATAATCACACGGGCCGGGTCGCCGATCCACCTGGTGACTGTTAGACCGTATCGCATATGGATCAGGGAGAGATACCCACGTGTTGAACTGGCGGTAAGCCTTGTCGGGAATCAAAGCGCGGTCGCCGAAGAAGTAGCCTGCAGTCTGGGCCTTTTTGGAGAAAGTAACAATATCAGGGGGCGATGTCAGGTTCCAGTGTGCGTGACCCCAGAACTTGCCAGTAGCGCCAAAGCCTAGTGCGTGTCAGTGTCATGCAAGACGCTGAGTTTCGAGCTCAACCCGATGTCTACTCACCAGTCTGGACCTCGTCGACGATCATCACCACACCGTGCTTCTTGGTAAGATCCCGCAGACCCTGGAAGAAAGCAGGCGAGGCGTGGTTATCACCACCCTCACTCTGAATGGGCTCGACGATGAGCGCGGCAACGGGGCAGTGCCTGTCTCATGTTAGCTTATGCATCAGCTGGCGACGAGGTCTACTTACCATGATGTAATCAAATCTTCTACTGCTTGCAGGCATCGCTTCTCCTCAGCGTCGTTCTCAGCCTCGTACTTCTCCAAGGGGTACTTTCGGGTGGGGAAAGGGGCCTGGGGCCAGTTGAACGATGGGATATCAAGCTTGTGAACGGCCTTGGACCTAGTGGTTGACAAGCTGCCGAAACCACGTCCATGGAACGAGTTAGCGAAACTCAAAACGGCAAGGTCGGGCGAGCCCGGCTTGGCGTTGTTGAGGCAGGACTGGATCTCCTCGTTGCTCCATTCAACGCCCTCTCCGCGCTCCTTGCGCCGGTAGAGCATGAACGAGGCTTTGTAGGCCAGCTCATTGGCCTCTGAGCCAGACTGGGCGGTGAAGATCTTGTCGAGACCTGTGGGAGCCACCTTCAGCAGGCCGTTCTCGAGGATCTCTCCCCACTTGCTCGATGGGAAGTTTCCAATGGCGGGACGGTTCACTAGCGCAGAAATCATCTCTGGAGACTGCGCAGCGGCGATGGTGGCGGGGTTGTTGTATCCAACGGGAATGGATGCAATCTGAGAGTAGACGTCGAGGAACTTGTTGCCATCAACGTCGACGATGCTGCGGGAGCCACGGTCAGAACATTCTATCAGAGACACACGAGTCTCGGTCTTCTTACTAGTTTCCATTGCTCTTGTCATAGTCGACGACGAAGTGCACAGCACGTGCATCGAAAACAGCGTCGAGCTTCTTCGCGCTGGCCTTGGACAGAGGTCCAGGGATCTCAGTCGTGACCGAGGTTTCGAGAACACCAGGCATCTTGATTGGTATTTTGAAAAAGACCGGGTGATATGTCTTTCTTCTTTTTTCTTGAAGATGAAAGAGGTTTGCAGCTTTGACGAGCAGGTCCCTCAGTCTGTCGGTGGTTGATTGTCTTATAAGGGCATCTTCAAAGCCACTTCCATGGTCCGCATAGAGCTTCCCAATTCGGTAAGAACCAGATTTCCAAGCTACGAGTCGCCTAGTGTGGAGGGATGTGTCGCGGATCCGGCGCGCATTTATCGATTAGCAATGACAAGCGAATGTGATCAATTGCTTATCAGTCCAGACCTCGGCGCAGCCGCAGAGATTCTCTGATTCGTGCCTGGTTCTGAGCCGGATTTGGCTATTGTATGCGCTTTCGAAGGACGACGAACTTCCAACCATCCAAAACCGAGGGCCGTTTACTCCACCTAACTTTGAGAGTCCCGGCGACAACCCTACCGAATATAGCTTCCGAACTCGGAAATCGCCTACCTAGTTGCAGTTCTGCGCGTTCGTTGCCCTGGCTGCAAGGCCTATCGTATATGATCACATAAGAGGCACATCATTGAGGTCCTAGTTACTTCATGTATCTATATTGAGTGCATATTGAGAACATCGAGAGTTTTGATCAAAAAAGATAACAACTCTCATAAGCCACAGCTGCGCGACATATCCTCTATCTTCTCGTAGTAATGATCTGGAGGAGGTATAGGTAGTGTCGGCTGCTCTCATCTGGATGAGGACCGGAAATCTGGTCTCAGTCATACGCCAAGCAGAATCGCTGGTGATGCGCCTAGCTCTAAGACAGCTGCTAACTTAGCGCGTAAAACTAGACCATTCTGTGGCAACTGCAAGAGCTGGCGACAGTTGTCGGGTGGCACTTGGACATAAAGATATCTCGGCTGTATGAGTGTGGGCATGATTCTGCATGCAGTATGATAAGTTGCAAACTATAGCGATCATAAACTTGAGCACAAGCTCATTGGATGGTGTTGGTCCCTATTTGCTAATATGTTGCCGGTCAGATCATATAGACGTCGCAGGTGCCAGCAATCTGGCTCTGTGATTAACAGGTGGGCTATGTCACTAACAGGTGGCGACATATTCAAACCTCAAAGCTTCGGAACACAACGAACCGATTAGGAAGTCAACTGATCCAAATATCGCAACGTTTCCGCGTAGTATTGAAGAATGAAACCCAGCCATTCCAGACTCATTCTTCCAGGAATGCTAGCCAGTGTCGGCTCCCCTGCGGCTGTTGACAATTTCACCATTGACTTAACCCATGGTCTTGGCCACATGATAGAGCTGGTCGATCAGACCCAGCTACCAGTCCACGAAGAGTATCCCAGGCTCGCCGAGTCGTTGGGCATAAGCCTTAACGCTTTGAAGTCACTTCAAAGAGCTTGGACTAAGAGCTTCGACTGGAGCGTTGAGCAAGCTGCTCTCAATAGGTCTGTTAGCTGTGGTCGAGCATACTGTTCGAAATTCCATCGGCTAATGTTGGGGCAGGTACCATCAGTACACAGCCACCGTCGAAGACATCACAGTCTACCATATCCACCAAAAGTCTGGTGATCCAAATGCGATACCTCTCATTCTAAATCGCGGTTGGCCTGGCTCTTTTCTTGAGTTTATCCCGCTAATCGACCCATTGACGACGGTATCACACACATCAAGCGGGGATACTGTGTCCTTTGACGTGGTGGTTCCTTCCTTGCCGGGTTACGTGTTTTCCAGCGTACCTCCAGTCAACTGGACGTTGGATGACACAGCACGTATCTTGAATACGCTTATGACTGATGTCCTAGGATACAAGGTGTTCGCAACTCATGGGACAGACTGGGGCAGCGTCGTGGCATATAGTATGTATGATAACTTCAACATGACAGTCGGTGCAGCGCAGCTTTGTGCCATACCCTTTCGTCCACTCAGCGATGATGAGATTGCAGCGCGGAACATCAAACTCGACCCGGACGCGCAATTTCAACAAGATCGACTCTTGCAATTGGAGACGACTCGGTCCGGATACAACGTGGAACAGAGTACCAAGGTCGTTGCCGATCATACAAGGGGATCAAAACCTGCCTATTCCCAATGCACTAATGCCTCATCCAGCCTAACACCATTGGCCTCGCATTGTTTGATAATCCTGTCGGACAGCTAGTTTGGATCGGGGAGAGCTTCATCGAATGTAAGCTCCATCAACACTCTGCTAATCTAGGCCGAATCGTAGCTAAGCAGCCTTCAGGGTCCGATCCAAGGGCAGGAACACCGCCAGCTTCTAAATCACCAAAAGATTCTTCAACATGTTTCTCTATACTACCTTAAAAAATCTTTCGTTTCCTCCGTTTTCACGTATGCGCAAAATCCCAATGCGCTCAAGTCAAGCTATAGCAAAGCGCGGACAAGTGCACCTATGCTATTCAGTAGCTTCAAGTACAACACAGTTTTCTGGCCCAAAGACGTAGTTCCATCAGTTGGCAACCTGTTTTCACATATATGTAAGATTTACACTCTTGCCCTTGCACTCTAGCGACCAGCATGGGTTGTTAACCTGCTGACAATTTGTCAATAGACCACGATTTTGGAGGGCATATCCCGGGTCTGGATAATCCGCCAGCCCTTATCGGGAATTTGAGAGAGATTAGGACCTATTGGAGTTACCCAGAGCAAGGTGGATGATTCTCTTTGAAAATAAGATATGGGAAAGCGCTTACTATAATTGTACGTAGTTCGACGTCATGGCATAACTCGATCTCAGACCTGGCAAACATGGCAGAGATCGAAACACTATCCGAGAACTATAATCTGGATTGCGAGCGATGTCATATCCACTGAGCTCGGGTGAATCGGCGTGGCTCTGCTGCTGATCCGTTCACTATCTAATCCAACGGGAGGCTCGGAGTTCTCTCAAAAAATTACTACTAGTACGCGTGTAACGATACAAATACCAAATAACTCAGCTGCCTTGAGGATATTGCGAGCACCGGCTTAAATTGATACTGGCAAGACTGATTCCGCACCGAATCGAGGCGTGACAAATCCCGCTATTGGAAACCTACATTCAACGTCGTCCGAAGCAATGTATGCTTTTCACTATCGGGAAAGAGCCCGTCCTCGAGAGGGCAGACATCGGTCCGCCACTGATGTGAGAGAACCACATACCAAACGACGGATGAAACCCCCTAGATTAGCCGCCCCAGAACAATCACATGTGTGTATGTATGCCTGTGCCTCGAGTCACAGCCACCTGAACACAGTACGTAATAACCCCGAGCCACCTCAACAAACCAGCTCCATCTGGTCGAATTAACACGACAAAGGCCTGGTTAGCTCAATCGGTAGAGCGTGAGACTCTTACGATTGTGATCCGTCGCTCTTGTAATGTGATATCTCAAGGCTGCGGGTTCGACCCCCGCATCGGGCTCAATTCCTGATGCGTCTCTGCGAAAGAGACACCGCGTGTTCTTTTTGCGGGACTTTGAAAGCCCAATTGGAAATTCAGATGTGGCTCTTGGCTACGGGCTTGATCCTTTCTTCAAAAGAGACAGTTCTGTTGTTCTTTTTGCTCTCCTTCGAGGCCTCATCAAGTACTGATTGTGCTGGTGCGGGACTAGCAAAAATTTTACCCCTGAATCCCCTGCTAGCGCCCTGGCAAACGCATGCAGGTCGACAACCAAAGGGAAGAGCCCTAACTTCTCCAAACCGATTATCTTCACGTATAGGACAGCAGAATCGCGTACTAAAACTCAGAGAGAAGAAGCGAGTGCGATTAGTTGTGATGGCGTATATATTTGGTTCCCTTTGCTCTAGAGCAGGACAGTCAGTGACGGGCTATTTGCAGAGTCAGGCAGTTCTTCGAACAAGCCCGCCGGTATATGGTTCCCCGCAGACTGTCGCATGTGGCATTCCAGGCTGGTGTCTATTTCGGCGAGAGGACTCTCAGAGGTGCGCGTTCCACACCACGCCACTTATTGGTTCCATGGGAATAGTGTGAGCGGGCCTATCTGGCAGTGCCTGCTCTGTAGCTGCTCACGAGTCGCACTTGATGAGTGCAGGTTGACTGTTATTAGAGAAGTTTACGGTGGCGCATGAGTACACTTGCTATATTGATAGCCATCCTCGCAGCAGCCGACCGTATAGGAGATGATCATCGATTGGCCAATCAGAGCTACAGCTTTGGGCACACTTTGGCCTTCATTAATCATTTGCGTTGCGAGATGCGGTTATCAGATAGTGGACGTCATGTTCTTATGGCGCGAATACTTCGCCCAACGAAGAGTAACAAGACCTAAGATACTGGACCATCGGAAAGATGCATACTGCCCCGTCCCCTGAATTTGCAAATCAACCAAAACAGCCAGACCTGGAACCCCGACGTTCACGATGACTTCAGCAGCAGATGGCGCCACTGTCATCCCGGCTATCTTACTAGGTTCAGCCCCCATGACATTCTACACGGTCGCATTGGCGTGGGTATGCTATCACCTACTCAAAGCTCTGTACAACGTGTCACCAACACACCCGCTTTGCTCGTTTCCTGGACCAAAGTTGGTAGCTGCGACTTACTTTCCCGAACTATAGTATGACGTTATCTGCACAGGGAAATACACCACACAGATTCGCACGATGCATGAGAAGTACGGTATGGTCTTCCTTACGCCTAGCGACTCGACTGTGGATGGCGCAGAGCTGAGCGGATTCTACAGGGCCTATTGTTCGCATCAACCCCAACGAGCTTCATTGCAACGACCCAAACTTCGTGGACGAAATATACGCAGTTGGGGGTCGGAAGATTTGCCGTACCAGGGCAAATGGAACAGCCGGCCGTTATATCACACCAATCCTAGGGGCGATGCCATAAGGATGTCGACCGCTATTTCCAATCATAGTGAGGAGGTGTTTCCCGATTCGAATGAATTTCAGCCCGAGTATTAGATGAACCCAAAGACCAGACCCGATTTGGATCGAAGGTCGTTTGTCTTTGGCAAAGGGAGCAGAAGGTGTCTAGGCATGAAGTAAGTGATCTTGGGTTTCATCTTTCAATCCTCTGCGAAGCATTTGATAGTGACTGACTAGCGGCTGACTGGAGCAAGTTTGGCGCTGTGTGAAATTTATCTATCCCTGGCCGCGCTTACACTACGCGTGTTCCCTCACATGAGGTTGTTTGATACCACAGATGAGGACATCGCTTATGATCACGATTTATTGGTTCCAATGCCCAAGTCTGAATCCCTTGGCGTACGGAGAATAATGGTCTCATCCATGCAACGAGGCTAGCATATCAGTCGTGCCGCGGCGCATTACATCAACTTTTCCCGAGAAAGGCGATGGTAGTGTGTTTTCAATGAGGATTAGGGTGCTAGTCACACTTCCGAACGCTCTTGTCGGCTGTATGCGATGGTCCGTCGGAGATGAGCGCTTGCGATAAGGCTAACGACGATCATTCCAACCTCAGAGCACCTGTATTGCACACATCTTCCGATGATAAGATAATCACTGATGCACCTGTTCCCCGGGGGATTGGAGCTTATCATCACAATTTTAGAGTTTAAAAGTGCGTCTTAGCTCCTCTTATCAGATACGCCCAGGTGCTAATTGCCATTAAGACGTGATAACGTACCTAGGCACTGTATGCCATGGACCTCAAAATGTCCCAGCTGCCCCTTCTACTCGTGGTTTTGACAGAAGATGCTAGATTGCTGTAATCGTAAATGTGTGAGAATAATACTGCAACATGGAATACTTGCATCAACGTGTAGCACGAGTGCAGGAGAAAGCCGAAGGAAAGGCTCGTCTTGCAGGATGGGTGCTGCCAAAACAACAAACCTCATTCGCACCCGAAGGAACGTGGACCAATATTGATCTCGATGTGACTCCGCCTGAGCGACGAATATGGACACCGCTCTCGGTGCTTGGGTACTGGGTCTCTGACATCGTGAGTGGAGATGATGAATGGAGCCATACAGAGGGAAATAAACTAACAGGATGCGTTACACAGCTTTCGGCCCAGAGCTGGCAGATCGGAGCATCTGTTCTGGCAATCGGACTAACATGGCGTGAGGCCATTTGGTGCGTCATTGTCGGGTCGGTGGTAATGTCATTTGCGATCGCGTTCAACGGAGCACCGGGAGCATACTTGCGTATTCCCTTCCCAGTCTGGATCCGCTCAGCTTTTGGTTACCATGGGGCAAAGTTCCCTGTTGTGTGTCGTATGGTCACGGCACTCTTCTGGCATGCTATCCAGACATATACAGGGAGCACGGCTATGACGGTCATGCTTACGGCGATCTGGCCCAGTTACGCGCGGATACCAAACCAGCTTCCGGCCAGCGCAGGAATCACCAGTCAGGGGCTTTTGAGCCACTTTCTCTTCTGGAGCATACAGCTGCCTTTTCTGACAATCCAACCCCACAAGCTGAAATGGTTCTTCGTCTTCAAGGCCTTTGTTACCATTACTGCCGCAGTGGGTACAACGATTGCTGTTTGTACCATGGCTGGAGGGTCTGGAGATATCTGGAATCAGACGCCGACTGTCTCCGGATGGACAAGATCTTGGCTCATTGTTTCGACACTCACCTCTCAAACTGGAAGCTGGTCTACAGTTGGAACAAACATCTCTGACTTTACCAGATACGTCAAAGAGCCGCGCAGCACGTTCATTCAAACCATTTTCTTCCCACTCATATGCTTCGTCATTGCACTCCTAGGTATCATCAGTGCTTCGGCATCTAGGGTCGTGTACGGCGAATATGTTTGGGATCCAGTAACGTTAGCGAGTCAATGGACGTCGCCTGGCGGACGTGCGGGAGCCTTCTACTGCGGACTGGCTTGGATGGTGGCACAGATAGGAGTCAACGTATCTGCCAACGTGATATCAGCGTCAAACGATCTGGCCAGTTTGTTCCCCAAGTATATTAACATCCGCCGCGCTGCCATCATTTGCACAATTACTGGTGGATGGATCATGGTCCCCTGGAAGATCATAACCAGTGCGGAGAGCTTGATCAACTTCATGGCTAGCCTGGGCATCTTTCTAGCTCCTATAATTGCGATCTCGATCGCCGACTACTGGATCATTAAAAAGCGACGTGTGCAGGTGTCAGCCCTGTATCAGCCAAACGGGCGGTACAACTATCGAGCTGGCTGCAACTGGAGAGCTATGTTGGCAATGCTGACCAGCATAGGCCCGACATTGCCCAGTCTCGTGGTGAATGTGAACGCGTCGCTAGATATTGGAGGAGCGTCTTACATCGGCTATTTGGTATGGTATTATGGCTTCCTGAGTGCCTTCATCGTCTATATTGGGTTGAGCAAGCTTTTCCCGGCGCAGGAGAGCCTTATGTCAGCTGAGGAATCATCGACTATAGAAGGCTTGGAAGCAGAAACAGTGAAGGAGACTTTGAATGAGTCCCCCAAAAAGTTAGATTCCTAGGATTTCAGACGGAGCAGTTGTTAGTGCTCGGATCACAGTGCATCTACGTAGATAACCGGCATTCGCGGGAGATAAATGTACAATTTGGCATTGAGAATAGTCGAGCACCAGACTCAGACCGCAGTCTCTAGAAATGAATATATACAGTGAAATATGCGCATGTAGCTTCCTGATCTACTATCTTTTATTTCATGGCTGGGATGTTGATTGTCTTAATGGTCCAGATTTTATTGTCAGCGGATGACAGACCAGAGTAGGTAGCGCCTTGGCTTGTTGCAATGGTATCGCCGAAGCTTGAGTCTGCCTCGTGCAGAGTAATGACAGTGTCGGTATAGGTTTGAGCGGCGACGGTACCAGTGCATCCATCGTTACACTCCGTGCCAGTTCCATAACCAGTCTTTTGGAATGTCAGTCTAGATACAACGAAGTAGGAGATATAATAATGGGTGGCCACTTACCATGTACGGGCCGCTGGCATGAGAGAAGCTGCTCAGCTGTTTACCAGTGCTTACATCCGTCGCTGTCTGCTTCCATGTGGTTCCATCGCTCTGCAATTCGTACAAGATCTCGACGGCCATATCCCCTGACACTGGGGAGGCATCTCCGTCCAGCTGACCGAAGGAGCCAAAGAGCGAGCATCGGATGCACCACTCGCCAGAGCTGGCACCGCACCAGCTGTTGTCAGGCCATGACTCCAGTGTTGTCTGAACAAGGTCTCCAGTTCCGTTTGACATGCCTGGCCACAGGAAAAGGTCTCCGGACTGGCTGGGGGGAGCGTCGCCTGGTATAATTGTGGTCACAGCCTTGGTGATACGTGACTTTGTCGGTCCCAAGGATACCGCGCCGCCCCAGCTATCCCTGCGGTCCAAGGTCTTTGTTGGTGCCAATGTGGCTGGGCGGAAGAGGTTGAAGCCCATCACTGCCGAGGGCAGGATGGCCAATAGGAGACCTGCTCGCATGGTGAATGGGGTTGTCAGAAATGGAAGATGGATTAGAAGACGACTGCAAGACTAACGAGAGAAGGATGATTGTCTCACAAGGAGAGCGACATCAATGGTATATCGCGCTCTATATATATTGTACAGTGGAAACCTAGTGCTACATCATTCATTTCCATCGTCACTTGTCAAAACTTTCATGGCTAGCGATGACCCTTCCAGCTGGAAATTGGTGGCCGCAAATAGATTGCGAGCCTGGTTGATACTTACGCCATACTGGGATGTCTTGGCTGGCTCAGGCTGGAAATGATAACAGCAGGGTCAAGAAGTGGGGATTTCGTCCCATGATAGAGCAAACATCACCACTGCTGAAGAAAGATGACGCAGAGGGATCACCATGAGGCCCTCGCCCTCCCCGGATCTCGGTAACCCCTCCGACATGAAACTGGTTCATGGTGGATCCAGTGGAGTAGGAACACGAAAAGCCGGTAAAGTCGGATGCGGCTCAAAACAATGGATAATTCAAGTAGCTTGCAGTCAGTTTAGAAATTGACCAAATAGCGATCAAGAACGGTATCAGGTCACATGGGAGTTCAATGCTTCGATTGGTCTGGTTCTGCGATGCACACTTTAAATCCTCACGGCCGTGAAGCTGGGAATCGCCATAGCGTAGGCCCATGTAATATGGGCCCCGGCCACGGCGAGCTAGTCAACCCTCAATCTGCAACGTACAAGGGAGGCTATGGGAATTAAATTCACCCACCAACAATAACTCCCGGAAAGAAACCTCGCGGGAGAGGGTCACATCAATGCACTCCAGTTCATGACAGACTTGGCAATTGCGAATGTCGCTGGTGAATCTGAGGTACTGAATACATTGGTAGGCATTCGGGAGTTCGTATCGTATGTCAAGCTCTCGCGACTAGGCATTGTCACGAGCACCTCAACCAAGATCCGGAGGATAACTACAAGCAAGGGGCAACGCATTTGAATACGTATACGGAGGACAATTTAATTTCTGTAGTATCCAAGCCCGGATGATACGAGAAATAACACTCTATTAATACGATCCTTTGATTCAAATCATCAAGACTGCAGCTCAAGTCGGAAGTTGAGTTATCTCCCAATTCGAAACATGGCCTCTGTGGCTCCTTTTTACAATGTAGTTAGCTGAGCCGTACGACGATGCATACATCTGCCTTCATCGCCAGGATGCCCCGACAGTAGCTGTAGTTGCGCAAGACGACGAGACTGTGTACGAGCGATTCGGGTCGCTCTCCCAAGTCACGGCGCCAGTGGACTCCACCTTCACAAACTTGTACTCGAAGGAGGTGCCCGCAGCCAAGCTCAGAGTAGTAGACCACTGAGGGTTGGTACTAGTGTATGCTGCAGCAGATAGCGCGGGCGCGGATGCTACGTTCCAGCTGCCCAGAGCAGGAATAGAGCCAACAATCTTTATTGTCTGACCAAATGATGTAGTGACTGCCTCGTTGAAAGTCACAGAAACGCTAGCAGCGTTATTGCAAGCCGTTGCTGATGGCGCCGCAGTACTCGTCTTCGTGACAGATGTCGTGGACGTCTTGAGCGTCGTTTCTGGGGTTGAGCCACCCCCTGAAATGGCAATATCCGCGCATGACAAGTATATCTGTCCAGTCTGGAAGGAATTCCACTTGAACTGGAGTAGAGTGTGGTTGGACGTGAAGTCGGGAATCTTGATCTTCTTCGTCACTGAGTACCCGCCAGCAATAGTCGTCTTGCAAGAGTTGAGACCAGCGTTGTCCACACCTTCACATGACCGTCTGTCGTTAGCATTGAAGGCGTTGCATGTGAACCAGTCATTCCGGTAGCATGCTTGACCGGATGTACAATCCGGGTTGTATCCACAGCTCTGACCAGACACATCGGTACAGTCTAGAAGTCCGGCGTCGAAGCAGTCTTGTCCAGCTTGCTTTTCAGCCTCGGTCGGCACGTAACCAGGAGTCAAGAACTTATCAACAATACTCTGGTCCTGGCAAATGCGGTAACTGAACATTCCTCCATGGTCACCGTTGGCATCCACACACCACTGAACGTCGACAACCTGACCAGGTGAGTAGGTAGCTACCGTGCTTGTGCCCCACGCACTGCCGGGGTAGTTATAATCAACGCTCACGCGAGCATTGTACCCGCATACGCCACTTCTTCCTACCGGGGCGACATCAAGATCTGGCCACGATGAGACAGGTTCTAGTATGGTGCACTCTGGGCAGGTGTCCGTGCCGGCCTAGAAGTCGTCGGGTTAGCATGTTGGTCGTCATAATAGTACACTCAAGAGCCACAATCCTTGGAGCTTACTTCGAAACCAAGCCGGGTACGACTAGATGGAATAGTCAAGTAGCCATGGCCAAATACCAGGGTGGCAAAGAGCAAAGGAGAAATCGTTGAGATCATGGCGTTCCACAGATCCCGGACTTAGATAGACACAAATCGACGACAGGCGATAGAGCAGATCAAATGATACCGGCTAGCTGATGTTGACCATAGTAGAAGCAGATGTGGCTACTTATAGTGGTCTTGCAACATTCGTCACTACCTGCCACCATAATCTCGTGACCTTGTCAATGGTATGTGACGGACCCGGATTAGGCAAGAATCGTGACCAGTATTGCGTTGATTTGTCTCTCAACATTATGGCCGATGGGGGAAAATGCAGTGAACGATCCACCGGGCAGCGTAACCGACGAATACTGGAGGGGCGGAGTTCATATCTGGGCGACAGCTAAGCTCCGCCCCGAGAGGTGACTTGCGGTGGTGTTATAAGACGGCCCGATTCCTGGGCCGAAATCTTCTAGTATTGTCTGGTTAACATGTGGAAGTCAGGCCGTCATACCAAGATAGACTCTCACAACCGATCCTGGTCTCGGCTTTACTATTAATTTTTAGGATATCACACTATTCAACTTGCTCATCACTTGGGAGGGTAGCGCATGCGACCAATCAAGGCTTTGCGGTCGTGAGATTGAGACTGCTGATGTTCAAAACGCCTCAATCGCGAACTACTATGCTCCACATGACCAAGAAAAAGAGAGGCCGAGATGGTGCGATGATAACCAATGGCCATCGTCAGAGATTCAAAAGACGATCTTGATTTAGATCGCTTCGGTGGTTGCCGCGCACGTGGGCTCCGGTGACAGATCCAAGAGCTGAAGAACTCCGACGTTCTCGAGCCTAGTTGCCTGGGATCGGCCGTTCTGTCGGTTCAATGCAGTGAAAGGGGAGGGAGGCACCGAACCGCACGAAATACCGTCAATGAGCGATCGCGTTCCCCAGGTTTGTGGGGTAACTGGGCGGGGCTATATGAGTCCCTATAATGGCCTGAAGCCGTCTGGGGTAGCACTCCGCCATGCCGCCGGGCCTTGGCATGAACGACATGCCCAAATTGCACAAGCTCAAACTTTGACACATTTTACGGCGTTTCAACAGATCAGCGCAAGACAGAGACTTCACGAGCCTTATCGAGACGCTTGAATACCTGGGTTTTGCGCGATATGTATAGACAAGACAACGACGCAACGAAGTAGCGTGACGAATGGCCAGGTTGAGTGGATGACGTCTCACTCTCCAATAAAGAAAAAGTGCAGTGGTGTGGTATATACAAACAATGTAATGATATATACTGACTAAGATACCTCACATACGATATTTAGTCATCAAGTGACATAACGAAGCCAAACTCGTCTACTCAAGTATGGTCACGGACTTCGAGCTGGACCCTACAGCTCTAATGTGCGCGCCGATTTCCAACGGGTTTCCTTCGAAAACGACAAAGTCCTCGGCCGGCTCGGGTGCCTTGATGCCCAGAATCTTGTAGACATTTCCACCGACGAGATCTAGTGCCTCTTTCTCCGTTAGCCTGCCACCTCCGTTCGTATACGCGATACCTGCCAGGATAGCCATGTCCCGGACAAGCCAATCCTCTTCGAGGCCAATAGCTGTAACGACCCCAGCATCTATGAGCTTATCAACCGCCGTGCCGTTCGTGAGAGGTGCGCCGGTTAGGGCTCGCCGCTCATCCCAGCTGTTGCGGTATGACAGGAGAGGGGCAAGAACGACGCCGACCTTAGCGGCAGCCAATTCATCTGCGAGCAGGTAGGATTCCGCCCCACCAATGATGACAAGAGTGATCTCAGACTTGCCCGCCTCTTCTACAAGCTTCTTCAGCTTGAGGGCACCCGCGATTCCATCTGCACTGTGGACAGTGAGGGAGAGGGGAAGGTGGCCCGTCACAACTCTCCTGAGAAAAGCTTCTTCGGAGAATGGGTCGGATGCAGTATCATTTGCTTCAACTGCCTTCAGCAGTTTGTGTCGTAGGCTACCCAAGGCAGCGGAAACTGAGCCGCCAGCCCGTTTGGAAGTGTCATCAAGAGTGTAGTGGACTGCCACATCATCCGCAAAAACCGCTCCCTCCTGTAGAGTATGGAGCGCACCAGTCTTGAAGCCAACACTAGTTCCAAAGTGTGTGGCGCCGCCGGTGAACTTTGGCGCCGAGATAGCTCTTGTCACACCATATCTATGGGCGTAGTGTAGCTTTTTCGTGTCGAGGCGGAGGCCATCAACTCCCCGACTGAAGTTCTCAGTCGAGGCACCATTGTCGGTATCTTTCTCGGCGTCAATGGCATTCAGCCCAATTAATGATCCGAATGCAACAAACGACTTGGCCAAGTGACCATTCTTTAAATGAATGATGCGGCCACCAGAGTTGGATGCAACTTGGATTTCATAGGAGCAAGTTCCGACACAGCTGATTTTGCCATTTGTGATAGCCACAGTGAGGTTGTCGTTGCTCTGAGCACTTAGCCCCTCCGATGCAAAGGACTTTGCCACACCCGTGAAGATAACATCAGAAACCTCGACGAAATTCTCTTTGGCGTTCACAGGATCACCGCTGGCGTCGAGTGGTCCCGTAAAAGGCTTAACCAACTCTACAGGGTCGTCAAACTGAGCAGTGCCATCGATCCAAACTTGAACAGGGGTGGCACCAATACTCAGCGGATCGCTGTCCCAGACAACAACATCAGCATCAAAACCAGGCTTGACCTTTCCTAGCCTCTGACCAAGGCCAAGACGTTCTGCTGGGGCGGTTGTTACACTGGCGAGAGCAGCGTGGTAAGGCAGTCCATAACCGAAAGCCTTGGCAGCTTCGAAGACAACATGTTGGGCATTCAGGACTGGATTGTCGCTGACGTAGATTGGTGTCAGGCCGTTCTCCCACAAGATTTTGCCAGCGTATTCGGAACCAACATAAGACTCGGCCTTATACCACATATTGTCGGCAAACAGTGCTGAAGCGGGCGGAGAGTCTCCCCAAGCGCGCTTGAGGATCTCGGGCACCAGGTAAGTCTGATGTGCGTGATGGAAAGCTCGGATCGGGAACTTGAACTCGTTCGTGTGATCGACGAAGGCCTCAAGATCAGGAATGGTGTAACAATGCGTGTTGATGTGAACTTGCCCTCGAAGTGCGGCACTGAGTGACTCCCACTTGAGCTCCTGCGGGAGGTAGCTGGCCATGTTGTCAACACCAATGGCTGCCGCTTGGTCACACCAGTCATCTTGGGCTTGAATGAGGTTCGCTGCCGTCTCAAACGCATGACGGAACTCCCATGACTCGCCCAGTCTGCTGACAGGTCCGTGCTCGCCAACTTTGCCATACACTCGCTTGGCGTTCTCTCCGCAGGCCATCTTCATATATCTCCAGTTCCGGTCCGGGTCAGCAAGCATATCCGTGGCGGAAGTCTCATTTCGCCCGTCCGACTTTCCCACAGCGTGCTTGATGACGAAAGCTTCACCGCCGATATTGTTTCCAGACCCTGGCAATACCAGACTAGTTGTTACACCACCTGACTTGATCACCTGGATCTGATGGTCAAGTGGGTTGATGCCGTCAATGGACCTGACGTAGGGCGTGATATCGGAAGACATCTCATTGGTGTCTTCATTGCCGACAAGCTGCGGCAGACTGTCCACGCCCGAGTGGCTATGCATGTCGATGATGCCACTGGTGAGCTGGCGGCCTTTGGCGTCCCAAACTAGGACATCGGGTGACAGGAACGCAGAATCGATATCTTTGCCGACCGTTTGGATCAGTCCATACTCGAGATAGACATCAGCGTTAATCCATGAGTACCCTTTTCCGGCATGGGCATCATCAGCGCTTGTGCCCTGCACAGGCTCTCCAACCCATACCGTCGCATTCTTGATGAGTGTTGGCTTGTGCCCATCAATGTACCTGGCATTGCGCTCACGGCCGAGGCCAATTGGGTCCTGGGGCTTCGCACGAAGCCTGGAGCATGTCGCGAGATCAGCCTCCAGCTTCTCGACAGAGAGCGCTGCGGCGTTCTTCGATCCAACCTTCGGTGACGATATCTGTCTCCACTGTGCGTAGACAATGAAGCCCAGACAGGCCAGCGCTAGGAATCGCATGCCCCGCGAGCGGCGGAAGTGGCGGCGTTGGCGCCACTGTGGACGCTCAACGGCGCTGTAAGGCGGTAGTTCACCCTTCTCGGACTCCATCTCATTCACTCGATTCTGATCAGATGGAAAAGCAAACAAGAGTGAGATTCAATGGCTGCAAGAAGGATAGAGAAGATGGCCGTTCATCATTGAAGCTAGCCTTATCTTAGAAGGTGATGCAACCCGAACAATGTGGGGTTCAACCAGCCCCTCGATTTCACCTTACACACAGTGCGATTCTTTGCCATCGCCTTTCCATTCGAGCATAGCCACGAATAACACGACCATAATGGGGTGTATTCAATTAAAGCCTCCAACTTGCGAAGACATGGAGCCCACTAGTACCCGTACGTGTTGATGTCTCCTTGGCCCGCGCCGCGGGCTTGCTGAAGCCTTCTATTCTCGCGCTTGAGCGTGGCCCTCATAAGCCAGCACATGAGTATGGACATCAGGGAGAATGCAGCCGACGCACTAAACCCGATAACATAACGGGGCCCATCAGTCTTCGGCCACAAGTAGGCCCCATATACTTGCGCAATCTGAGCACTGACATTCGTCATTGCCAGCGCCACCTGTAACTGTGTTAAGCTGCCTGAAAATGAAGAGGTGAGGAACTGTACATGATCAGACATACCGCTTTCTTCTCTTGGCTCTGGGATAATGTTGTGGCGATCCACCCAACAATGGCAGAGTTCACCGAGTAAGCACCAATCGGGAAAATGAAGCATGCTACATATCGCCCGGCCGTATTGAGAGTCGAGGCAGCAGTGACGAACCCAATGATGGCGACGCTAAGCCCAATGGTAATATGAATCGTTCGTTCGTGGAATCGTCCAGAGCTCCAGCCAAGCAACACTGTAGCAACTCCTGCGCACAAGTAAGGAGGACATGCCAAGAGAAGAGTTACAGTATTGCCAAAGCTCATTGTTTGGATGACACTTCTGCGATTAGCACAGTGTGTCAAGAAGTTCTCATCTGGGGGGTTTGCTACTCACGTTGGAAGGAAGTTAATGAAAGACAGGCCGGCATAGTGAAAGTTCTGGATTGCACAGAATACCCAGGCTCGTGGATCCCTGAGCGCCAGACGCAGCGCGTTCCAGACACCCTCTCGCTCCTCAGCGTCGACTGGTTGGTCTCTGGCCATCCTCTCCCGAGCCAACTGGTGTTCTTCTTGAGTCAACCACCGGGTTCGGTGATCTGAGTCTGGGAGGAACCAGAAGGCTGCTACAGCCGTCAAGCCGGAGGCTGAGCCCTCTAAGAAAAGCAGCCTGACAGAAAAGTCAGTCAGCGACGGTTCCGCTCAACCGCAATTAGAGTAAGTTTACCATCTCCAGCCCGCCTGCCCCCGTACTCCATCAAGACCTTCAAAAACACCGGCGGCTATGAGATTTGCAAAGCTCAATCCAGCCATTTGAGCACTATACAGCAAGGCCATCCGAGATGCGACTTCTACTCAGGGTCAGCAATAATATTCTTAGCTCCTCCATGTCATACCTTTGCGTTTGTAGTATATCGATAAGAGGTACAATGCTCCGGGATAAAACTGTTTGATGTGAGTACATAACCCAGGGCTGTTGAAGAGCAACGGACCGGTGCTTCAAAGAATCCAAGTAGGAAGCGGCATGCAAGCAATGATTGATAGGACCTGACAAAACCAGTGCATGCTATATTCACAGTGAGCCTGAGGGGGTCAAAGAAATGGTTAAGACTTGAATGACCTGAGATCAACGACCAAACAAGGGCGCATGAGGCTAGATAAAAGCCCGGCCGAACGCGGGTCAGGAGCATGTTACTCGGAATTTGCATGAGAACGTAGCCGATGGTCAAGATAGATACTGCAGTGTTGAAGTTTTCCCCGGACATGCCTAAATCGCGTTCCAGGTTGTTGAGGCGAGCTTGGGCCAGAGCTCCACGGTCAATGTAGTTCCAGAAGTACATGAACCAGAGGATTGGCTATAAGGCGGTGTTGTTATTATTGAGCACACATGAGTTTCAGTAGGAGGGCTTACCATGACACGCCTGTCGAGTTTGCGCACGAGTCTTATCTCCTTTGGATCCGTCTTTGCCTCCGCTCCGGCATAGTCGCGGCGACCCAATGCTGCCTTACCATGAGAATCATGGCTACTGAGCTGTGAAGGTTCATCCCCTACAGCAATTCCCTTGACCTCGGCCATATCACGATAGTTACTGCTATTGCCCGATGGATTAATTTTCTTCAGATGGTATTACCTTGCGCTTACCGTATGGTATGATGTTGTCGATAGATTGAAACAATTCTTGGCATGAGGTGAGACTGAAATCCCCCTCATCATAAGTCTTGGATGCCAGCGTAACCCCAATATAGCCGGTATCTAATTGGATCGTTAATACCAAGGAGGCCTGCAGCACACAGCATTCGTCACGCAATTTATTGGCATCGCGGCATATCGCTTGTCGAAGCAAATGCATTGTGTGATACGCAGAGGACGTCTAACGCCCACAGCGAGTAAGTTTTGCAGGTTGTTATCAGGTTAGACGTTTAGCCTTAATATCACGTCCAGTGTTATCTACACCCAGCAGCACGCGCTTTTTTCATTTGATCAGCTACAACATGAACCACAAATTATAGCCGTGTGTAGCCTACTGACCATATCTTAGAAGTGTGGAAAGCTGGAATTGAACTCGCGGAAATAGTTAAAATTCTATCCCTTGGTCAGCTTTTATTGGATAATGGTTGAAAATTCCAATCACCAAATAATGTACACCCCAAGCCACACGAATTGCATCTATGATTCCTGCAGAGAATGCATCCAGAGTAATACATATAGCTATTCCACGAGGCTGAGTATCCAGGTTGTGGGCGAAGAGGATCTTTGACACAAGATGAGACGACAAGTCAACATGAGCCAATCGTACAGTTGCATGTAGGACCCAGTGTAGCAACCATGTTTATCGCTAACCCCAATCAAGCGAATGTGTGTTTAGATACATATCATCGTTATATATCAATGAGAGCGGGCAGAATAGCACACAGGTAGTTGTAACTCCAGCAATCTACGGCTGTCAAAAGGGTTAACCGGCATTCGCCCCAGGTCGCGCTATCCTCTAACCAACCCCCTCGGAGGCATCCCAGTTTGCCAGTAGTAGGCGGGGTTTGGCTGACCCCCACGCAGCATTCCAGCAAGGAGCAACTCCACTATTTCCCCGCAGACAGACAAACAGTCACTGCAAGCTAGTCACCATGATACCTAGAGGTAGCAGGGAAAGCAAGCCGAGCTAGTCAGCATCTTTCGCTGAGTGCAGGTTCCTTGCAAGACACGTAAGGGCTTGCAAATTAGCTGGAGTAGCTTGCACGGGCACTCGTCCTTTATCACAAACAGAAGGAAACAGTAGAGCGATGGCTGATACCAAACCAATTGATGTGCTCGTATACGGGCTCGGTGGGTGAGTAACTCCGAGATCCTGTGGCTCGACTCGCAGTTTACTGACTTGTGAAAGTATCGGGTCTTTCTATGCGTTCATTCTTAGCCGCTCTGAACAGGTTCGACTGACGGTGGTCGCACGGTCGAACTACGATGCCGTGAAAAGCAAGGGGCTGAAATTGTTAAGCCAAAACCACGGCGAGCACGATGTGAAGCCACACAAGGGTAAACCAAGTTCAAGATTCGATTCATGGGATGAATGCAGCTGATGGGCAGCTTAGTGGTCCGAACTCCCGCCGAGGCTGGTGTGACATTCGATTTCGTCGTATGTGCTCACAAAGCCATCGACCAGGCATCTGTTCCGGATCAGATTGCCCCAGCAGTAGATGAGACCAAAACAACACTTGTAATTATACAAAACGGTGTCGGTAACGAAGAACCTTTCCGACAGAGATTTCCAAGTGCGACTATCTTGTCGTGTGTTGTAAGTGGTCTAATGACATGGGGTGAACAATGTAGAAGATACCTAACGTACTCAGACATGGGTGGGAGCTAGTCAACCGGAGCCAGGGGTTGTCAAACATATGCAGTCGGAGGATATGCAAATCGGCTTGTTTCCCAATGCCAGCCGTGACAAGTCGTCAGAAGAGCAAAGACTTGAGGAGTTCGCAGCACTCTTGCGTCATGGTAATACAATCTTCCAGGTTGTGCCTAACATTCAGGTCCAGCGATGGGAGAAGGTGGTGTGGAATGCTGCCTGGAATTCTTTGACTACCTTGACCTTGATGACAACGCACGACTGGTTGAGCTCTTCCGAGGATGCAATGCCAATGACGCGCCGTCTCATGACTGAGGTCATCGATGTTGCGAGGAAATGCGATGTACCCCTTCAATACGGCCTGATAGACCAACTTATCAACAAGATCTTAGCCATGCCCCCGATTGGAAGCAGTATGCAAGCGGACTATAAGAACGGGCGGCCGATGGAAGTTGATATTATCCTCGGGTATCCTGTCAGAAAAGCAAAGGAGCTCGGGATTCCCGCGCCGACGATCGAAACTATTTACACCATTTTAAAGGCAGTCAACTTGAGGTTGACCAGAGGATGCTTGCTTTAGATATGAAGTTATGCTATATATGATAGAACATCAGGCATTATTTTGGACCCATCCGAGGCAACAAACGGGGTTACGCGTGTTGTCTCAGAACCAACATACTTATATAAGAGCATCTATAAATTATTGACTACTAGAGATCTTAAAATGTCACAGTTTGACCCTTCGCGAGACCTCACTCTCTGCTCGTTCGCTATTCACCATCTCGGGGGCAAGATCCGTGACCTCCACAGCGCCGATAAGAGCCATGCTTGTCTCCAACTCCGTTCTCAGCATTTGGACTAGCCTTCTAGCGCCCGCTTTTCCATAGTCAGCAGTTAGTGAGTACAGGAATGGCCGTCCTACACCAACAGCTGATGCACCTAGAGCAAGTGCCTTGATAATGTCCGTGCCCCTCCTTATACCGCCGTCTATGAAAACCTGGAATCCCTGTCTTATAGTCGGCGACAGGAGATAAGGCGCGTACTTTCGTATCTCCAGCAACGTTAGCATAGGGGCCTGAGCCGTGTCGAGAGATCTTCCTCCGTGATTTGAAAGTACAATGCCCTGAACTCCATGTCTGTGTGCTAAAATCGCATCCTCCACAGTCTGGACGCCCTTGAGAACAATAGGAAGACGGGTCACGCCCTTCAGCCACTTAAGGTCCTCCCAGATAAGTGTGGGGTTTAGAAGACCAGTCGCAGAGGATTTTGCAACACCTGCTTGGGTCGCTTGTTCCCCTGCTGCTACTTTAACACGGTCATCTCGTTCCCGCCGGCCAAGAACTGGTGAGTCGACAGTTACGAAGATAGCAGATGCACCTAGGGACTCGACTTTCTGGACTAACGCCTTCGCTTTGCTCCTGTCGCGACTTGAGTAAAGCTGGAAGAACAGTGGCTGGTCCTTGCTGATACGTGCGCTAAAGATAGCATCATGCGACTGCGACGGACTCGTAGGCATCATATATATAATTCCTTCATCGCCAGCCACCGATGATAGGATTGTTTCTGCCTCTTTATGGGCATAGCGGCCTAGACCTGTCGGTGAAATGTAGAGAGGCAGTGAAGAAGTGTGCCCGAGAATATTGATTGATGTAGAAATCGACTCGACGTTCCTCATAATGCGGGGACGGAGGGAGATTTTGTTGAAGATACGTCGGGTATCATCTAGGCTTATCTCGCCCTCAGCTCCTGATGAGTAGTACGCCCATCCAGCTGCTGAAAGGCATTTCTCTGCGACCTTTTCAAAGTCTCCAATATTTATCAGCGAGGTTAATGGCGGGGACGACGCTGCCGTTGCTTGGCCATTGCCCAATATGTCTTCGTTCGCCAAATCTTGCTCTGCCAAGTCGCCTGGCTTTATTGCACCTACACAGCATTCTGCCGGCAGCATCTCACCGACCAGCTCGGGGTTGTGGACTGTTTCGTAAGAGTTTGTGGCATTGCGTCCAGCACATTTGAGAATCAGCCCAACGCCTCCCGGGTGTTCATCTAGGAAGTCTACGAAGGTGAGTGAGGACGATTATCTCATGACTAAGGGTGCTTACTGGTCACATCCCAAACCTTGCCATGTATCACAACCCAGCACGAATCTCTAGTGCAGTGTTTGGCAACCTCCGATCCCTCAATGGTGATAGCCATTTCGTAATTCGGCAATTACCCTGAAGCCAGCTTCATCTCGCATGCAAACGTTATTCAAACTATTTAGATCTGTACCTTATCACATAATACGTGTCAACAAGCGTGGTCCACATTCATCTAACGGATATTGGAGTTACTCGACGCTCAAAGCTCTACCGATGCCCAGGATTATCTCCAAAGGTCCATGCACACCCTGGAGTCCCCCATTTAGGTGGGGGTTCGCAACTCCAAGTTATCGGCTTGGGGTTCCGAGAGTGTGTCACTAGTAACCCCAGGTTGCTGGAGTTACTCTCCACTATGAGCCCATCTTTCTCCAGGTATTGCCTAAAACAACGGAGCATATGCGTCTAGCGCTGTGTGGGGGAGAGCAGCCGAAATAGTTGGGGTAGGTGAGCGCAATGCCGAGCGCGGTAGTGGATTTTAAGGTGAGTGAATGAGGGTCTGACTCAAGCACAGCGAAAGCTGACGTCGAACAACCAGGAATTTCCCTGTCCATTCGTTAGCTTCACCTAGGGGCCTGGTAGATTGAGTTAGGTGGGGGCTCGCAACCTGAACCGTTCGACCCCAGATTCCAAAGGGGAGGAGAAGGCGTTTGGCTAGATCTGGGGATAGGAATTAGCGTGAATGTGATTGCGGAGAGACATTCTGATTGATTTAATCTAGGCGGTGTCAAGATATATGGCCATATACATATGCTGTGGCGATCAGCAAGCAATTATCGACTGTTCTCAAACACGCCCGATAACGTTTTCATCTCTTTTTAAATTGAACTCCCATTGACCTATTGCATTGCTTCCATCATTGGCCGTCATGGAACCGGACCTCAAAAAGAGCTCTTCTGAGCAAGTCGAGGACATCAAGCGTGGCAACCATGCTGATGATATCGTCTCTATGCCCGCCAGCCTCGCCGCGCTGAGCGACTCGGAGCTTCAACAACTCGGTCGGAGGGCAACATTGAAGATGGACTTGGTCATAATGCCGATCCTTGTGGTCATGTACATCCTGAACTACCTCGACCGTCAAAATATCGCGAGTGCCAAACTGGCAGATATCGAGACAGATCTGGGTTTGAGCAATGTTCAGTATCAGACGGTATGGTGTTGTTATCCCAACCTTGACCAGCGGCAACTAACAGGTCACATCACAGGCAGTCAGCATCCTATTCGTCGGTTATATCCTCATGCAGATCCCTTCCAACATGATCGCCGGCAAGATCAAGTGGCCTGGCCTTTACATATGTGGAGGCATGGCCGGTTGGGGAATCATATCAGCTTTGATGGCTATCGTTCACAACTATGCTGGCCTTCTTACTGCAAGAATATTCTTGGGTTTTATTGAAGCGATATTTTTCCCGGGTGCACTGTACTTTCTCTCTCTGTTTTACAACCGCAGACAATTTGCCTTTCGAACAGCAATACTGTACTCTGGGTCTCAGCTCGGAAACGCTTTCGGCGGGCTTTTTGCCATTGGCATCCTGCGACTGGATGGTACTCATGGCCTAGAAGGATGGCGCTGGGTAAGTTCTCTTTCCCTGCCTTAGCAAGCAGGTCGAAAACTAACATGGTCCTAGTTATTCCTTGTCGAAGGTGTTATGACAACTGGACTGGCTATCGTGTTCGCTTTTCTCTTGCCCAACTCTAACAAGAAGATCCTCGGGCTTTCAGCCATCGAATGCGACTTTGTCCAATGGAATTATGCATCCGACCAGGGACAGGCTGACGAGCGGTCAGAGATGAGCGCTGGAAAAGGTTTCATGATGGCAGTACTTGATCCAAAGACATGGCTTCTTACTGGAATTCTCTACGCCACCTACATCGTGGGGGCAGTGGCCAACTTCTTCCCATCAGTCGTTGCCGGCCTCGGCTACGATCGCACCACAACGTATGGATTGACCGCGCCGCCATTCGTGCTGTGCGTCTTCTGCATGCTCATCAACGGGTTTCACTCCGACAAAACCCAAGAGAGGTTCCTACACATCGTGATCCCACTGTGTATCACCCTGGCGGCTAACGTAATCGCCGTGTCGTCACTGAACATAGCGGCACGTTACACTGCCATGATGTTATTACCAGCATCGTTCTATTCGGCGGCTGTCGTAATTCTCTCTTGGATCACAGGCTCACTGTCACAGCCATCCATCAAACGTGCTTCAGCAATCGCATTGATCAACTCTCTATGCAACACACCTAATGTTTGGGGAAGCTATATCTACTTTGGTGCCCCACGCTACGTTGTCGCCTTCATTGTCAATGTAGCAGCCACGGCAGTGGCTATTGGCTTCGCAATTGCCACGAGGATGTACCTTGGAAGACAGAATGTGAAGCTGGAGAGAGGACAGGACCTTGGAAGGAACGGTCCGACAGACAGGCAGATCGCAGCTGGATTCAGGTACCTGCTATGAAACAGGAGATGGTCAATTAGTGGAGAGGCTTAGCATTTGACTTTCCCTCGCAACTTGAAAACCAGGTGGCGAAATTCAATTATGCCGATGCTGTTCCGAGTTCTAGGAGTAATAATTGCCTGGTTTGAATTACTATGTAACGTTATGTATGACGAGTACTGCTAACTACCTGCATTCCTCCTGCATGCCCCATTCCCTGGCCGCCTGCGCTACTTGTAACGCAGCTGCTTCAATTCGTCTAGCCCTTGTAGCAGCATCATTCTCCGATTTCCCGCACGCATCTGATTGCTTCATTTGTTGGATCAACTTCAAGACGGTCATATAGTCTGACTTTCTTGGTTGGACCATCTCGTTCGGTGTACCCCCATCGGGCCTTTTCCTTGTACAAGAACCACCAGCACCGTCGTATAAGCAATTGCTGCAGGTGCTTGATAGAATTCCTGAGACGACAACGCATTTCTTTGATGCACCTGTACGCTCACGGCATCGGCTGCATGCTTCGTCCTGACTTAACACCTCCCCTCTTTCGTACACCATCATGGCTTCAACGTCGCTAGTCGCGCGCAGGTCTGGCTCCCTCGTCTCAGATCGTCGCCTCCATGCTCGACAAATGGGACGTGCACCAAGGGCTTGTATTGCTGTCGTTCTCCGGGTGTCTCTGGGTGGCAATCGTACAGGATCGTAGATATATTCCCACACGACGGGCGGTTTCTTCGACTCCTCCAAATCCAGTTTTAGAATATCCTCTGCCTCAGAGTAACGAAGTCTCATTTCGTATCCATCGGGGCTTTCTGAAGGACCTCGGGGTGCTCGCCGCGACATAGGTGTTGCGGTCCGACGCGAAGCTTTTTGGGCATCCTCGGTATCTGGCACTACCGCGCCCTGGTCTCCAGCATGTCGCTCCGGAAATGAATCGCTGCTCTCGAGACGCCTCAAAGTCATACGCGCCAAATGGTGTTCAAATGTCATCTTGGAAGCCGTATGGAAGCGTCCAACATCTGTTTGATGAAATTCATGGCATGAGGTCACGAACTGCAAAAGAAAGAAGGAATTCGAAACCTGCAAGTCACAAGATACCGATTACCTGGACTGGGGGGGATCTAGACCGATGCAAGTTACTTTTACGTATTGGCGCATAACTACTGAGCGTTGGTCTGTACCTAGACATCATCCTGCAGCCGCTGGGTCACGAGAATTTGGGCGGTGTTTCTAGCGAACTACAGCGGACTAGCCACTCTAAGTCGTAAAACCCGATCTGCCGGAGTGGCCAAGTACTTAGACAATGCACCAACCGTAACCGGTTGAGGGCCAGAGGTTCCCCGGGGGAATCTGGGGTTCTCCGTAATATGCAAGCGCATAAGCAAGGCTGGAGCCAGGTGCGGAGTCATCAGCAAACTCGAATATGTGCTGATCCACAGCGGCGGGTTCACTGATATTCTGGGGAATGGCATCGGGGTAGCCCTGGTGGACCTACGGAACACTCAATGACACCCCCCACGCGGTATCAAAATGGGAAACGTGAGTCTCAGGCCAGCTTGAAGCAGACAATTCGAGATCAGGTGTTTTTGCTGTTGGCCAAGCAGACGTGCCCTAGATCCAGATCCCCTCTGTGGGACAGTGGACATCTGCGTTTGAAACATCACACGGAAAACTTGGCCTTTTAGCGGATACCTGCTGCACGACCGGATCATGTGACTGTCACAAGGCACGAGGTCGTGACCGCCGCTAGTAATTGAAGGGTAATGCTACCGAAGGATCGTGGGGGTTCATTGGCATGAACATGGTCGTACCCGCTCTATGTGGATCCGAAGGGAGTTGAGTTGCGTGTTTGCGGCGCACAGTATCCTCCGGCAAGCGGTCTTGTCAATAGATCGTGCATCCGGGCGACAATTGGCGGTGCCGGGAAGCCGAATGTCAGCCGGTCCTGATCGGAATGATCCGTCTTATTCCCCCGTGGGGGTCAAGCACAAAAGGGGTTCTTAGCGCCACCAGTGGGGAACTTGCCATCCCGACAAAAGATACCTAACTAGGTATCCGGCTCCGGAAGGAAGATGCGAACAGTGTGACAGCTATTAGCTAAGCAAAACTCCAGGAGGCTCACTTTGTAGTTGGCCGTAGTTGGAAATCTAAACCCTTGCTCATACCCTATTCCTACCCTTCAAACACGTCCCGCTTCAGACACTTCCTCCGTTGCAGTTCAACAGTCGCAAGCAACCACTCCCTACAACATGTCGCCTTCAGCGAATGGAACTGCGCAGTTGAGCAACGGGACCAGGTCTCCTTCTTCAAGTTTGACCCCTGGTATCTACGTTCCCACCGTAGCTTTCTTTACACCTGACGACACCATCGACGAAGCAATTACAGCACAGCATGCTATTCGACTAGCAAAGGCTGGAGTTTCGGGTCTTGTCACCCATGGCTCTAACGGAGAAGCTGTACATCTAGATCATGCTGAGCGATCTCTCGTCACCAAAACTACCCGTCAGGCCTTGGATTCGGCAGGATTCTCAGAGCTGCCCGTGATAGTTGGCTGTGGTGCACAGAGCACGCGGGAAACTATTCAGCTTTGCAAGGAAGCAGCTGATGCAGGTGGATCATATGTCCTCGTTCTGCCACCGGCATACTACGGCGGACTGCTGTCAACGAATCACATCATCTCTCACTTTATCACCGTTGCCGATGCATCGCCGTTACCCGTGCTCATCTACAACTTCCCTGGAGCGTGCAGCGGCTTGGATCTAACTTCAGACACAATTTTGACGTTAGCAAAACATCAAAACATCTGCGGCGTAAAGCTTACATGTGGAAACACGGGAAAATTGGCTCGTGTTGTAGCCGGAACATCTGGGTCAGACTTCCTCACGTTCGGGGGTAGTGCAGACTTCCTCATTCAAACTCTGGCTGTTGGCGGCCACGGAATAATTGGAGGCCTTGCCAATCTTGCACCAAGAGCCTGTCTTGAGTTGATGCGCCTCTGGCAGTCTGGGAAGCAAGACCAAGCGCGAAAACTCCAAGAAGTTGTCGCAAGAGGAGACTGGACGGCTATTCAAGGTGGCTTTGTGTCTGTGAAGGTGGGACTGCAAAAGTACTACGGGTATGGTGGAGAGCCACGAAAGCCGTGTACTCTTCCCGAAGGAATAAAGCTGACGGAGCAGGAGGAAGGGTTTGCTGAGCTGATTGGCACCGAGAAGGCTCTCGCTAAGTAGCCAGCGGTATAGCATAGTAATCTATTCCAATAAACTTGCTATACCCACGATTATTGACGATGCTGCATACCTCGGGGCCTAGCAGTTTGGCTATAGTAATCAAGACTTGATTATACGATAGAGTGTGCCGGTTGGTATAACTTCCTTTAGATACATCATAATTGATGCACTTTTGATAATAGCCCCTTCACGAACTTGTCCAGTCTTGAGGTTTGCCTTTTCTTTTTTAACCGAAGATGGACTTGACAGAACTGCCAGTAGACTTCTTTCAATCAAAAGGTATGTACTTTGTATTCCAGATCGCTTTTCAGTTTATTGTAGAAATAGTGCGGATCAAGCACGTACTGGTATCAATCTGCAGTCTAGTGAACTAACTGATATCTGAGGCGCACTGAGGAACATTCGCATGATACCTAGCTATGCCCTTGCTTAACTCGATATTGACAGTCCATGTGCTGCCTGCCGCGATTTAGTAGTGGGTATTTCATTGTGGAGCCAAACTCAGTACCCCCACGCATACCCCGAAAAGCTGGATGTTGTGGTACTAATTGGTCACTAGCAATATTCTCCACGGTACCAAAGCTTTGCTGAGCAAAACAAGTTGCACTCGTGAGATTACGTTGGAATCATTGCTCGGGTGAGGATTCAGCCGACTTCATCGCCGAGTTTCGCCCTATCCTCCGCATAAGGAGCTTGAGGACTCTCGCCTTGTGACCCCCATCAATTGAACTTCCCCGAGAGGAACCATCGAATGTAGTTCGAATCCAAAATGGAAAGTAGATGCGGGGCACGACAGGGCTGAACTTGAACATACGAACCGTTAGCGGTGTATTTCGAGGCCAGGACCATAGACCACTCAAGCGTGTCAGCGAGTATTATTAACTTGAATCGCCTTTGTGCAGAACATTAAGTCTTACTTTGGACCAGCTCTAATCAACCAGTCCATCCATTATGTCGTATTTGGAACGCCTCTTCTCGCTACAGGGCCACCTCGCTCTTGTAACTGGCGGAACAAGAGGCATAGGTCAGGCTATGGCTCTTGCGTTAGCCGGGGCAGGAGCAGATATAATTCTCATTCAAAGGGACGAGAAAAACACCGAGACAAAAGTCAAGGTCGAAGCCTTGGGTCGGAAGGCATTTATTTACACTGCAGACCTGGCGTCTCAATCAGATGTTGAAGGACTTGCCAAACGCATCCTGAGCGACAAGCATGATGTGGATATTCTGGTGACATGTGCGGGGATCCAGCGACGGCACCCAGCCCATGTTTTCCCTATGAGCGATTGGGATGAAGTAAGTGCTAGCTATCACATTTGAGATACGAGCGAGTCAATGTTGATCAGAGCACAGGTACTTCAAGTAAATCTACGGACAGTCTGGACCCTATGCCGCGATTTTGGGGCTTACATGTTGACACGGAGTCCCGATGCAACCGGCAGGCGCGGTGCCATTATTAATGTGGCCTCCTTGGTTTCATTCCAAGGCGGCTTGAATGTTCCTGCCTATGCCGCCGCGAAAGGAGGCATCGCCCAACTGACCAAATCTCTATCTAACCAATGGTCAGCAGATGGCATAAACGTGAATGCGATAGCACCGGGGTACATCGCGACGGACATGAACGAGGCTCTGATCAAAGATGAGAAGCGGGCCGCCAGTATTCTGGAGCGTATCCCTACAGGTCGGTGGGGATCACCCGAGGACTTCGAAGGTGCTACAGTATTCCTCGCTGGGTCGGCATGTCGTTATGTTAGCGGCGAAATCCTTACTGTTGACGGAGGTTGGATGGGACGATAGTTAGGCTGGTTAGTCAATCGGGATTATTTACCTTACTATTGTGCAAGAAATTGCGAATGGTAATGCATATTCGTCTCAAGACTGGACTTATATGCTGTAGAGGCACAGTCTTTGTGATTCATTGTAGGTAGGGTTCAGGACTTAAAGGTGTCTCCAGAAAGCGTTCAGTGAAAGTCTCCAGAGCATCTCAGAATGACAAGATTATCTTGAGTCAATGATAAAAGGCTATTGTCAGTGTATGCATAACCTTCAATCTAGTGACTATCTACCACTCTCTAATGCTTCCGTCTGGTCCGTGGAAGACTTTGCATTGCCAAGGCTTTGTGTCCTTAGCGATAGCCCTCACCTTCTCCTCATCAACCTCGATACCTAGACCATAACCCGTAGGGGCCTTGACGTAACCCCCTTTGCCGATGTCAAAGACCGAAGGGTCTTTCATATAAGTCAACAGATCGATGTCGTCCCCGGCCTCGGTGTTGTAGTGCATTCCCAAACTCATCTCCAAGATGGCAAAGTTCGGCGACGTCAAGGCAATGTGCATGCTAGCAGCAAATGCTACTGGGCCCAAGGGACAGTGGGGAGCGATGGCGACGTCATAGGCCTCCGCCATTTGAGCAATGCGCTTGGTCTCGCTGATACCTCCAGCATGCGCAATATCGGGTTGGAGGATGTCCACACTGGCGTCCTCGAGGAAACGTTTGATATCCCAGCGCGTGTACAAGCGCTCTCCAAAAGCAATCGGGATCTTGGTCATCCCTGCCAGTTGCTTGATAGCCTCCGGGTGCTCGTTCAAGAGGGGTTCCTCGATGAACAGGGGCCGGTGTGGCTCCAGGGCAGCGGCTAATTGCTTCGCCATGGCCTTGTGTAAGCGGCCATGGAAATCAAGCCCTGCATCAAGCCCCAAAGATTTGACTATCTTGAGACGCTCTACCGTGGCATCGAGTGCCGATGGGGAGTCCACCCAGTTCAGGTCTTCCGTGGCGTTCATCTTGACGCATTTCAGCCCCTGAGCAAGGCGTGCTTTGCTATGCATTTGGTCAGCACGGTATGAAACAGATCCTCAGGGGGTTTGCTCCAAGCTTACGCAGCATTTTCAACATCGGAAGGTCTGTCACCACCTATCCAACAGTAAACCTGAACCTCATTCCGGACTTTGCCGCCAAGGAGCTCATATATCGGCACCTTCAAGTTCTTGCCTGTTCAGCGGTCAGATTCTGGGGCTTCATGTGGTTGCTGGTCCAAGATGCACACCTTTCAGATCCCATAGTGCGATATCAACGCCTGACATGGCTGACATGAAGACTGGCCCGCCGCGGTAGAACCCATGTCTCCAGAATGTTTGCCATATGTTTTCGATTTCACTAGAGTGGTCGTGAGCCGATGTTCTCAAACACTTCTTATGCCAATACTTACTTTGCCTCTCTTCCGACTATCCTAGGGATCATCTCCTCTAAGCAGCCTTCGACAGCTAGGTCGTGGCCCTCCAGGGTGGCCTCGCCCCAACCGAACTGCCCATTGTCGTCGGTAATTTTCACCATCAGCCAACGCGGCTTGACCCGGAAATACTCGACAGTCTTGATCTTAGCCATTTTTGCTATTTGTTCGCTGATTTTCTGTCCCAGGTATCAATTCGAGGAATGAGACCGTTTAAGCTGACAGCCAGTGTAGGAATGCCAACTATACATGGGGCAACTTCAAGTACTCCCGCCTACTGGCCCGGACGTCACCTTTGAGAAACCTCTCTCATACGCATTGACCATGGACCGTTACGCTTCCCCGATCCCGCAGCGTAACTCGACTAGTTCCCAACACGGGGCCCCGTAATTTGACTTTGACCCCCAGCCTAGCTGTCCCCCACGTACATCGGGAACTTCTCCGCAAGCCAATTGTGGAGTCTTCCCCCGCCTGGGGCAATCCCCATGTCGAGCTGAGACAGGAAAGGAATGCAGTCAGGCCTTTCATGCGACGGTGACTCGACTCGCGGCTCAACACGAGGATTCCATTATGCAATTATTGGTAAATCTCACATATCTCTTCATCACCATGGACCGGGGTTGGATGGAGCACCGTCGAATAGAAAACCTAGTATGCATGAGTTATGTTCGTCATTAATCCATGTCAACTCAGACACTTGTCCCTGCTCACGCGTTTGGCACCTGGTTGAAACCACAACATGCGAAGACGGCAGTTTAGCCATGAGTGGTGCGCCGGGTGAGTGCTTCTAGATCTATATGAACTTTTCAACAGCTGTCCAGAAGCCATCCGGGTTTTCACACATGGGCAAGTGGCCGGCTGCTGGAACAATCGCAAGTTCTGCGCCACTCTGGCCCAGGTTTGCTTTGAAACCCTCCATTGCTTTGACAAGCGCTCCTTTTCCATCCCCTTCGCCGACTACGAAAAGACCTGGGACTTGGCAGTTCTTCATTTCGGCCTTCATATCGTAATCCCACAGAGCCTGGCACCCGTATCGGAAACCTTCGATGTCGTTGGTGGCCACCTGAGTTGTCATCCATTGAACTACCTCGTCATTCTTCATGGAGTCGGGATGGAACCATCTCTCGACCGTCTGCCCAGCCAGCTTCTTGATGCCAGGGGACCCATCTTCGAGCTTTGACTCTGCCACGGCAATGCGCTCCTTCCATGCATTCGTGTTCGCCGGACTGGAGGCAACGTTGAAATCACACGCAATAAACTTGCTCAGTGTCTCAGGGTACTTGAGGGCATACTTCAGTGTAGTAGCTCCACCCATAGAGACGCCGATCAGGGTGTCGAGCTTTGGGATGCGAAGAGCATCTAGTATGGACTTGAGGTCGTCGGAAACCGCATCCAATGTGACTGGAACAGGCGAGGGGATTGCGTGCCGCCCTCTTGTATCATATCGTAGAATCTGGTACTGCGGCCTCTTGGCCTTCAAGATCTCGACGAATTTGTCCCACATATGCAGTGACGTGAGGAGAGAGTTGCAGAAAGCAATCACTGGGGCCTTGGGATCCGGGTTCCCTTCAAGTCGGTAGGGTATAGACAAGCCGTCCACGGTCGTTACATACGAGTCAATGACGGGCTTTGGGTCATTGGTCGTCGTTGTCTTCGCGTCCGCGGCCTTGAACGATGACGTCGCTGCAGGCAGCTGAGATAGTGACGAAAGGTCTCTAGGTGCGGGCCCAAAGGCGTAGAACAGAGAGAAGGATCTGCGGTCTTTGATGTTCGCATACTTGTCGGTGACGCGCACACGCCATGGAGTTGCCATGGAGGCCTTGTGCTCCTCGCCTCCCAGGCCATTCTCCTTGGCATAATCATGCAAGCCCCAGATGTACGTAGGACCTCCGGTCTCAAGGCTGGAAGTCTTGAAGAGGCGTGAGCGCAGCCAGCCAGGAACCTTGGACAGCATGTCCAAGTGCTCCTCCTTGTACCACTTGACGACTTCTGCCTCGGCGTCGGCCCCCTCTTTCAGTTCAAGCTGTACCACCACCAGCACGGTTCCCTCAGCCTCGTCGTTGGTCAACTTCTCGATGGGCAAGAAGAGAGGCGATTGCTTCTCCGCGACCAAGTCCCAGAAGTACCTGGTGACTTGGACTTGGCCAATTGTTTCAGCCTCGCGTGGGGATCGGTTCGCTCGCAAGGTCGTGTAAGTCTCGGTCTCCAAATGCGACATAGCAGTCACATCGTACGCTGCGAGGTAGGTCGGCTCCTTGCCGTCATTTGCTCGATATCTCAGACCGTTGGTGAAGATCTGTGGTAGACGGAGGCGAGTCGGACCGTGCTCGTTATTGTACCATTCGTGGAACTGTGCAGCAGGCAGCTCGGGCTTCGGCTGCATAGTAACGCAGAGCATACCAGGGGGAGACATTTTGCCAGCAATGGATTCAGCCAATTCCGGCGGCTTCTACGACAGGCTCGCTATGTACGTTAGTCACCGCAATGGATTGCACCGCAGGCTCTTTATGAAGACATCGTCGAGATGACCTACGTTCCGGTGGAGGTGGGGTAAATATTTACCCCTCGGTTTGGCGATGGATAGGAAGTCCGGGGTACTGCTTAACCGCGTGATTTGAACTTCGCGATATGCCGGATGATCTAGGATGCTCGATGATTTGGCTTGCTATATCTTCGAGAAGAGATTATTGACATTTTTCGGCATGCATTATTACGTGCAGACATCAATCGCACCCGTCCGTCGCAACTCTATCCGGCAACACGGCTCGGCAATTGACCGCGGGGAGGTCGCCATCTTTGACCCGCGTCCGCTAATTCAGTGGAGCTGGAACCGAGACGATCGCGACCACGCTCGGGGAGGCACGGCGTCGATTGCGGGAGGCGACGTGTATGATCTTATATTATAACGACCACCTTCGGAAAACTTCCGGGGATGCAGGTCCCGATCGGGAAATTTTCCTGTACTTGCCTTGCATGACGTCGCGTGGCCCCCGGCCAGGTTGCCGCGCTGCAAGACGCTGAATGCTGACCTCAGACGGATAGCTTCGGAGGGTTTCGTATTCCTTCCGAACAGAATCCTTCCGATCCGTGGCTTGCCTGGGACACTGGCAACGCCAGACATCCACCATGTAAGCATCGTCTTGCTTCTGGGGACGAGGCCACTGTGAGCATCAAAATAATGGAGCACCCGAGGAGCGCCCTACGCCGGACAGCCTGTGATATCTGCCGCCAACAGCGGCTGAAGTGTCTGCGCGATGCGCATCGGCCAAGCTGCCAGAGATGCTCGCGACTAGGAAAGACATGCGTCATGGCGGAGGCCCGGCGTGCTGGTCGGCCCCGTAAACCTACGGAGACATCGTCGTCGAGTACAACGGAGGCCCACGCATCCCCGTGTGCCTCTGCCATTGCCAGCAGCCCGGTACCTCAGACTCCTCCGCACCGTGGGCCGGATGCACTCCCTACAGCCAGCTTTCCTACCAAGCTCCCAACACCAGACATAAGCAAGAGTATACCAAGTCCGTCAGACACTGAGCAGTTCAGCGAGTTCAGTGATTTCTATTTCTCCAACTTTTCGGGCAATCGGAGCCTTCCTGCTCCCCCGCCGCCAGAAAAGTCCGTCTTTACCAACCTTGATTCTCATGAGTGCTTCAAAGAGCTGTCGCAAATTAACATTGAACTGCACGCGCTATGGTCAGTCGTCCAAGCCAAGGGGCCAGCCATGACGTTTAAGGACTTCATTTGCGATGGTCCGTCATACTCTCAGGGCACAGGTGTCTCAATGGCCGAGAGAACCGTGATGGCGAGTCAGAGATTTCAGGTCACTATATCCAATGTTGGATATATGTTGAGTAAAGATCTCAAGCCCCATCTTGACCATGATTTCGTCAATATGGATGGTGGTGAGGGCTCGTTTGACGCCAACCTAAACTTGTTCGACACATTGCCACTACTTGAGCGCGAGTCAACAACTGCGGCGGATGCTTTCGAGATAGTCAACGACACCGACAGGCCGCATACTCTTGGCACACCACTTGTTCTTATCATCATAAGCTGTTACGTGCAGCTGGTCAACATATTCTCGGAATTGTTCTACTGCATTCACGCCGAGCTAAGGCTGCTAAAGAGTGGACCAATACCTTTCATCGAGCACCTCAAGTTCATCCAACTAGGTGGCCTTGGCATAATGGATGGGAGATTACAGGGTATGCTGTTGTGCACACTGGTAACTCATCTCCTGGATCGCGTCGAAGGGACACTAGGTATCTTGCCCGACACCCAGCGCCAGATGACGGCACCCCTTCAACAGACGCTGCTGCAACTCCCTCATCATCGCGAACTGTTGGAGAAAGAGCTGGACAACAGCGGCTATGCAGGCAGAGGCAATCCCAAGAAGCTCAGAGATACGGTCGAGAACCTGAAACAGATCTTGTCATCGGATCCGTCATGGTGATATACCAAACAAACAAAGTGGACGTCTTGGATTGTCTACTTATCGGATTAAAGCATAGCTTATCTGAACACTGCACTGTCTTGTCCGCCTGTATGCTCTATCTAACAATTGCAAACACGGCTCCCTCAGCTACCTCTTATTCAGCACCAACGTTGACATATTATGCTTTTCCTTTCAAAGTCTGAACATAGGAATCGAACTTTTCGGTCTTTGCAGCTGCCAGGTCAAGCGTGAATTTCCCCTTGCCTGTGTGCACAGCTATTCTGGAAGCGTTGTTCGAAGGTTCAGTGGGTGGCGTCGTTGCAAGGCCGTATGCAACTGTGGCTGCCGCTGAAGGATCAAGTTTCTTTGCTGCTCCGGAGGCTGTCCACTGGCTGCATCCGGTGCAGAGCGTTGTCAATGTCCAGTGCGTGGCATTTACGGATGAGCCCGACAAGGTCGTGTAAGTAGCTCCCGCGTACGCTCCGGGAAGCACGTGGCCACTGTGTAGTTCTGAGTACCATTTTCCATCCATCGTTTGGTAAACAAACTTACGTCGCCCAGCGAGAAGAGACAACTGTACTGTTACCATTTGCCCATCCAAGGGTCAAAGGGTTATTTGCCATGGCGCCACCCCATGCAATCCCAGCCCACCCTGTAGCCTTTGGAGCTACGATTTGCAGGATGATATCAAAAGGTGCCGCCGATACGTTGGGGATAGCTGCTCGAAAGGTCACGCCCCCTGCGACAGACTCCGAAAAGCAGACACCTGCAGCATCGCAGTACTTGGCTGCGGCAGCTGAAGGTGCTGCAAGAGCTGTGCCGATCAAGGCGACTCCGGCTGTGACTGATTGTAGTATGTGCATTTCGATGACTACGTATCTGGGGAGATTTATCTCTCGATAGCCTACGCGCAAACTGTGGCCTGGCGCGTGCCAGGGCCGATTGATCGTTTTATACATTGCTGCAACTAGAATTCTATGACAAAATTCACTCACCTTTACCCGTCGTGCTGTGTTTTTCCAAAGTGCAGCATTCCAGGCGTTGATATTGGCGGTGCTATATACGTGCGCTATATGAGCGCCTGTAGCAACTCCCAAATGAGTCGGATCATACTGGCTTCTCCATTGAAATGGGGATGCATATTTAGTCAACCGAAATGGCGTTCTTGGGTCGGATTATTAATAGCTGTGTCCTATTCGTCGTGGGCGCCATGGCGCAATACATGCGGCCGCTCTTGCGGGATCCTCGAGGTGCCGCTATGCAGGTACGTTTCGGGCTTTCAGATCAGGAGGCGGCAAAGTCTAGATCGAAGTGGGGAACACCACGGCATATACCTGACAGCGGCCGGTACGGTCCTCGAATGACGCAGTGCCTATTGCCAACGAAGTATTGCACGGGTCGCGGGTGCTATACCGGCTAAAGCTACCACTATATCAGCTATCCGGCATCGAGCACGTTGACTAGCCGGTGTTATGCTCTACACCTTAAATGTCCTGCCAATCTACAGAAACTGTGACTAGTTCTTCCAGCATTGATCCGGCGAATGCAACGTACACCTACAACTCAGCAATTCCAGACGTATGCATCTAGATTTGACTAAAGTCATCACTTCGTCGCTTGACACTGATGAGTCAGATAGGTCTACTTCAAAATGCTAAATGTTGTCATTATTCTGGCTAAAGCAAATCTGTAATATGTAATAGAAGTTATGATTGTGAAAAGCCGCATCCAATGAGGCCGCTATGCTCGACCCGATGGACTTGTTAGGAATGCACGCTCATGCTATGCTGGTGATATTGAGGGGGAGAAGTAGGTGACTGTCATAGCAACCTCCAAAATGGAATATGTGGGTGCCATTGTTGCGGCCAACGGGAGTTGCAACTCTCTGTTCGTCAACAAAGGCAGGGTTGCTCTTGACGCCGCCCAGCGTGATCATGGGCACATTGCTCCCCGGCTCATATGTGCCACCTGCGGCAGGGATTGTAATTGCAGCAACTCCGCTGCCAGCATCGAGCGCAGTGGTAAGCGGTTGGACGGGGGAGATCGTGAGCACGAACGACTCGCCGGGGTGGAAGCGGATCGCGATCGGCCATAATCCGACCTCGATGGGGACAATCTGGCCCGCACTTAGGAGCTCTTCCCGATCGTGAGTCAAATAGGGTTCAAAGTTGGTCGATCGTTGCGTGTCTAGGGCTCGGTGGGAGACGCGAATGTACTCTGTAGAGGAGACTGTAGGGTTTGACGCCGTTGCGCCAAACCCAGCGAACGCACTGCCGTTTGCCGCACGCTTTTCTAGAAGGAATTGCAGCTCCATGTCATTGGAACCATTGGCTTCAACCCAAAAGCGGACCTTGCTGTAACCGTTGATCTCGAGCAGCTCGCCATGGGGGACTGTGTACTTGAAGGTCAACGACGAAGAGTTGCCCCCAACCTCATAAGAGGCTACTGTCTTATTCTTGAAGGCGGTGGTAGATAGGGCCCCGTCAGCCTGAGGATAAAACCTGGTGGGAGTTGTCCCATCCACCGGCCATGTTCCCACGGGCCTGTTGAGCTCATCCTCGTGGCCAGGGTCCAGAATCGCTAGGCGAATACGCTCGGTTTTGTCCCATCCATTGTCCAAGCCCTTCAGGAAGTGGTCGAAGAACCTGCGAAGATCCTCAACGTGCTCAGGCACATAGTAATCCGGCCACTCAAACGAGTTGTGAACTCGCAACCACTTCGACTCAGATTGTATTCGGCGGAAACCATCGAATGAGCCGTGTGTGTGGAGTACATTCTGGTAGCTGGCCACGATGTAGGCGGGTACCGTGATTTCCTCCAACCGTGCAATCTTATCCTCCCAATACTGGTTGATCAAGCCTTCCCCTACGATAAGGCGTGGGGAATCTTCCACAAATCCGTTCCCGGCGAGTGAGGTTATGATCGACTCCTGGAATGCTGGCGCTGGAATACCACCGCGATTGGTGACATGACGGTATAAGTCGGCAAGTGCCTCCCATGGAGCGATGGCTGTCAAGTGAGGTGGATGTTCCGCAGCAGTGAACCACTGAGACACTCCCAACCAGGAGTTCCCAGACATGGCGACTTTCCCAGAGCTCCAAGGCTGCGTAGCTATCCACTCAACGAGGTCATAACCATCCTCAGCAAGCTGCCTGCCCCAGTACGTAATGTTGCCCTGAGACGCATAGGCGCCACGCGTGTCGGGGTTGACGATTGCATATCCCTGAGGAACCCAGTAAGCCGGGTCTGCTGCCTCGAATTTCTGTAGGTCCGAAACATTGGCAAGCGGAACTCCAGCCCGGCCAGCAGAATCGTCTAAGTTTTGACCTCCGACTTGCTTTCCATAAGGACTGTATGCAATGATTGCTGGGACTTGTTGGTCCCCCACTGGTCGGTACACGTCTGCGTAGATCGTGACACCATCGCGGAGTGTCAGTGCTACATCCCGCTCAAATACAATGTCACTCGTCAACGCTTTTGCACCTTCTCGGCGAATGGTACCATTTTTTAAAGTGAGCGTTTCCTGCTTAAAGCCGGGGTAACGAGCACGAGCCGCATCGGTGGGCATGAGGCGCCTGTATGGGATCTTATAGGCGTCATTACCATATATACGAATGGTACCGTCAACAATTTCAGGCACAGTGGCATTCTGAGAGTGTACCACAGGGAGGAAAGGAGAGCATGCCGCAGCTGCAATAAGAAGAGCGCGTTTCAAGGCCATGACGGTGGCCTGATTGTGGACAATAGATGATAGAACTCTGGGTTGAAAGAAACAACAGAGTCCTCTTAAAGATATCTTCCTGCTGTATTTATATGTCACTGGCAATTGCTGGCAAGAATGATACCATATCCTCAACTACCTAGGGATGGGCTGCCGAGGTAGAATGGCACAGAAATCTGGATTTTCCAACAGTCCATCCCACATCGCTTACGTGAAGATACTAGTGCTGAACCACGATCATTGGAAAGCATAAGATTTCATCTAAAGCAGTGGGTCATCCCAGTTAAAGGCGAGCTCCGACTTCAAGGCGAAGACAATAACGGCCTGCGTTCGTATGAGCGGATTATGGGAACATGCTAGCTTTGAGGGTTAGTATCGGTGCCCTGAGACCCCGGCTGCCGATGCATTGAGGTGCGCAGTGAAAAGCTCGGGTTGCACGAGATACTGCACTTCCCGCCTCAGAATGCCGAGGAACTAATTCGTACGCAGTCTACGACTTTTATGGCTCTACAGCCAAGAAAGACAAATTGGGCAGCAAATCCGATAGCGAAAGGAATTACTGGGTTCCATGTACATTGGTTTTCACACTCTATGACTGCATAATAGAGAAAGGGGTATACGTTACATGTCAATGGCCGTTGTCGCTTCGAAGGTTCGTTGCCGTTTCCGCCTCCCACCAAACAACGGAATCCCAGGATGCGGCTATTTTGCAGGCTGAACCAGGGGCTCGCTAGCTTTGCGGCTCAAAAGAGCCGTGCAATCGCCGCAAATTGAGTTGATCTGTTGACGACATCCGCTGAGTCAGCCGCGATGTTCCTTTGAGTGTGGGGACAGCGGAATGCATAGCGGAACAAGTTCCACGTGCAGGGGACAGGCAGCTGAAGAGTGGGCCTTCGCCTCGTCGGCTTCTCGGGCGCCAGCTGAAGCCGTCTACAAAGAAGCTGGGCAAATCGTATGACATCAATCATTTTTCTTGTGTGCCGGAACAGAGTGTGGACTTGCTGTCACACCAGCTCTGGTTCCTTCCCCGTTCAAACGCACCGCTTCGGGTGACGCCAAGAGTCCTGGCAAGTTTTAGTATGGGAGGTATCCTCAAAAGGCGGCTGTCCCATATTTAGATGACTGATGTTAGCTGCCGAGTGAGCTAAAACCAAGGGATATACAGGTTTGACGGGCCCTGGGGAGGTCGGCTAGGCCATGATAGAGGCAAAACCTAAAATCACAAAGGGCATCTTGCAATGAAGAATCGGGGATTGGGTCAAGAGCAACAGGGTAAATCATCTCTCCCCGTCTCTGAAATACTTTGTGAAGGTGTGGACCTATATAAGCGGTAGCAGGCACATCTTGATTGGCTCGCAAGTTGGGCCAGCCACCTCTCCAGATCAGCCATAATGCAATTCTACAAAGTGCGGTAGAGGACGGTGGCTTTATAAGATCCATGTCACTATACACCGAAGAGATGTATACACCACAATATCTGAGATGAATCGATATACCACAATGCTCTGAAGCTTGATAGGAGATACCAGGCTTGTCGGGTGGCTCAAGTCGGGCGAGGAGTGTTGGGACATAGCCATCGACGTTATTAAGGAGGAATTGAAGAAGACAGTAGCGTGTCCCGAGCTTTTGGGTGTATAACCATGCCTCAAATCCGTTGCGAACATGACCATTGCGAAAAGTAGGTTGCAAAGATCATAGCATGTTTAGTATAAATAGCCTCTAGTTAGAGAGCCCCTACCTACATGTGTTTCCATTAGCGCACAAGCATGTGCAGGGCAAGAGGCGGCAACTACCTAATTTAGTCCTAATAGCTGCTGCACCCAGAGGCGGGTAGTGGATAGGGCAATCTCGCTTGTCACACTGACTTGGCTCTATTCCATTTTGATTCCACCACTCCTAAGTCAGTGATAGTGTTACAGACGGCGAGAACCGCTGGACCCCTGTTGCCCACAGCACTAGTTACCAGTTGCGCACCTGGCAGCCGACAGTCGACCAGCTGGTGATTTACCTAACTAGGTAAAATGGGCATCCCAGCCTCGCCGCATCGACCCGGTAACAGGACTTCGTCGGATGATCCTCATATGCCTTCCCCGAGACCGAATGGATCTGGCGCATGATGTGTTGTCAGAATGCTTCTACTCAATGCGCAGTCCTTGAAGCTTGTGGAATTCGTCGGTCAGACTCCGCCTTACGCCATCCTTTCGCATGTCTGGGAAGAACAAGAGGTCACCCTTGACGATCTAAGACTTTCCAGATATGTGGCTGAAAGCAGGCGAGGGTATCCCAAGATCCAAAATGCGTGTGCACAAGCGCTCAAGTGCGGACTGTCCTATATTTGGATTGACACATGCTGCATCGACAAGAGCAGCAGCGCAGAGTTGTCCGAGGCTATCAACTCCATGTTTCGGTGGTACCAGGAGTCGGCTGTTTGCTTCGCCTTCCTCGCTGACGTTTCGGCCGTCGATGACATAGGCCAGGACGATTCGGAATTCTCACGAAGCCGTTGGTTCACCCGGGGCTGGACGTTGCAAGAGCTTCTGGCTCCTGAGCATTTACAGTTCATGTCCAAGAGTTGGACCGAGTTAGGGACGAAAGCCTCACTTTCAACTTATCTGACCAAGATCACTTCTATCGACAAGGACTATCTAAACGGTGAAGATCTAGGCACTGCTAGCATTGCGCACCGCATGTCGTGGGCGTCGCGGCGAGCCACCACAAGACTGGAGGACATGGCCTATTGCTTATTGGGCATTTTCGATATACACATGCCGCTCATCTACGGCGAAGGGATCAAGGCCTTCCGGCGACTGCAAGAGGAGATCTTGAAAGACACAACGGATGAGTCTATCTTTGCATGGTGGCGAGACGATGACAGCGCTAATCAGGGGCCAAATGGTAGATTGGGCGGTAGTACAATACCAGGCGCCTGCGGTATTCTGGCTCAGTCACCATCGGATTTTGCGTTCTCGGCGAACATCATACCTTGGAGAGCCAGAGACGATCAACCGTGTGTAGTATCGAGTAATGCGATCCAGTTGACGTCCTACAGGCATGGAACTGCCATGCTTCAGTGCAGGGACAGGCTCGATCCGGGTCGCAGAATATACATTCCTCTCTCTCGCTTTATGAATACAGAACAATTTTTCCGAGCAGGGCCCGGGCCACCCGACTATATACATCCATGGCAGGTTGAACCGATCACGGTGGGCCGCGTGCAAGTAATGAAAGACAGGCCCCGGCGGAGGCATCGCCAGGCTGCTTCATTTCATGTAATGCTCCCGGTGGCCGCTTTCAGTCCCATCGTACGGATCGGGGACGTCACAGGCAGCAACTTCATCTGGGAGGACAAAACTTGTGGGCTGAGGCGGGAGACTGCCGGAATACCTTTTATTGTCCGCGTTTCCTTGCACGTTGGGGGCGGGGATGCTTACAGACTTGCACTCTGGTTGCTCGCCTGGAGTAAGTGGGAGTTCAAGTTGGACTACGTCGCCCTAACTCCACATGGAGATACCTTCGAATTCGACAACGGAACCCCAGGACGCATCGCTGGCTCGTCCCATCACGCGGCACCAAGACACATTACTGACCGGTCAAAACCTGGTTATATTGTCAACGTGAGAGACTCAACATACATTGACACTTCGCGTTTCAATCACACGCGTTTTGGGGGTACAGTGCAGAAAGAGCTGTCGCCGACAGGCAACAGTTTGTACATCATCTGGGTTACGATGGATGTGGACTTGCTCTCCATGGGACCACTTTTGGAAGATGTGACTGGAAAAGGATCATCGAGGCGCCTGGGAAAAGTCAGAGATTGGTTCTCAGCTTGAATGAAATCCGCTACGGATGATATATATCTGAGCTGTAATTGCCTGCAAAGTAGCGCTATATGGCTACTTGAGTACCAAGATGATCGCCAATTCGCCCACCGAGCTTAAGGGCCAACGTCTCCGTCCTGTTTGTTCTAGTCATGACGCTGGCGCTCGAGGGCTTCATGTACACGTAACTGGTTAGGTCGCGGTAACACATCTCTTCGGGTCTGGGCCGCAGGTCGACGAATAAAAGGCATCGTGGCAAGGTGGGGTGGGCAGACCACAATCACCACGAGTTTCGGGCAGGGCGTACAATCGACGCCTAACCCATGCTCATGCCCAACGCTCAAGTGCAGGAAGATTCAACACGTTCAAACAGACACTCGTTCGTCTCCATGCAGCAATATAGGCTAGTGTGGAGCGTGGAATCACGTCGGGTCACCACTGCTTTCCAGGGCTTTCCGGTGCCCTGAAGTCGAGATAATCAAGGCTGCCTGCCACCCACACTTGCCATATGGGGGGAACAGGCTTTTAAGTGCATGCAAATAGAATCAAAAGTTGCGGCACACGGATGCAGAAGCACTTGCCTCCAAGCTTCCGCTGCCAGCCCCATTCCTCTCCCATCTCTTCGCTTCCTTCCTTTGTTCCCCCCTCAGGGAAGCACGGAGAAGAACATCAACCACGCCTGCTGGCAACTCAGGCAGACCAGGCAGCCCACTGCAGGTGGTTACTAAGTAAAGCCACATTGATGGGCGACTGGGTTGGGTGCAGTTACCAATGTGATTAAGATCGTTGGCGATAAGCCAAAACCAACGACAGCCCAGCCCTCCCAAAACTCCCGTGTCAGGTATTGGCATTTGGGCATCATCACTACATCGACCGACCACTCACTTTATGTCTCTCATTTTTGGTCCCTCGTGTCCCCCTGACACCCAGCAAATCCAACTACCCACCCTAGTCTTGTCGTCGGTACTTCATTATCGACCCACCCGGGTTTACCAACATCACCAGCAGCAACCCTGTTCCATCGCGGACATGTTTGTTCCCGTGCGGAGGTAGCCTTGCGCCTTATATACGACCGCAAACGCCATGTCCACCAGCACTGCCAGCCTTCACTTTGTTATGCCTCCTGGACTCGAGAGATTCCATCGCTTCGGCGACCTTCCCTACGATATACGACACAAAATCTGGGAGATGGCCATATTCACACCTGGCATCCACTTCCTAAAGTTCGAACGGACTCACTTGCCAGACACTGGCCTATCTGATGACTCAGACTCGGACTCGGACTCGGACGCGGACTTGGAATCAGACGATGGAGAGCCTCAGCCCCAGGACCCTAGAAGGCCAGGGGACAGCAAAACCATCGCAGTGCCATCCAGGAAGTTCTCGGCCAGCCTGAGACCGATCTTCCCTTTACCGGCGGCTGATATGTCGTACTATATCACCGCAACCCAGACGCTCACCCAGCTGACACTCGCCTGCAACGAATCTAGGCACGAGGTAGAGGTTGTGGTACGAAAGCCGAACAACCTTCTTCTCGACAACGGTCGTCTGATCTCCCTGGACTCGTCCTCGGATATTATCTGCATCGACTATCCGGACCTGATGAACGCGCGCGGCCTCTCCCGCTGGGCCGATACCCTGGACCTGGACCAGCTGGCCGCGATCCGGCGCCTCGCCGTGCGGTACCATCCGGACTGGGATCAGACACGGCGCCTCTGCCACCTGTGCGGGCGCTACCACGGCGGCGTACGTAAGGAGCTGCCCCGTCGGCATCTGTACCAGTTCGCGGCCCTGTTCCGCAACCTGAAGGCCTTCTACTTCGTCGACCACCTCATCGTTCGCAAGCCGTTCCTCGACGAGAGAGAGCATGCGGACCCGCGCTGGCTGGGGCCTCACGACCGACGCAAGGTCATGGATATTGTTGCTCCTCGCGGCGCCCACAGTGGCAAAGGCGAGCGATTCCAGAGCGGGGGCCGCACATACTACGAGATTGATCGCGAACTATGCCAGGTCTGCAAGGTACACTCGCATGTGTTCAACAGACTGCAATGGGTACAGGAGAATTTCATTACGCACTGCGAGAAGAGCCTGGAGTTACATCCTAGTCCGAGAATGGTTCGCTTCGGGGTTCTGGCGTGCGAATGGGAGCAGGAGAAGCTGGTCCAGGACCAGACACAACCAGCTGCATTGCCAAGAAAGACGCATAAGCTGCATCGCGGACGCCATGCCCCTGGAGATCCGAACCTCGTCAACGCCATGGCGGCACTGGCGCTGGATGGCCAGGGGCAAGAGTTGATCAGACAAGCAGGAATTCCGGTCGTCTTTGGGGACCAAGGAGCATCCAAATACGACTTCACGTTTTCGGTGGAGATGTGATGCGTGATAACACCAAGAGAATCCGCGACTGCTAAGGGGGCAGATTGGCCACATGAGGAGGGGATTCATAACCAAAGCTTGCTTGTTAGCGTGTGCTAGGGCGTTCAGGAGTTTTGGTTTCATGACAATACCCAGATAGATGCGCTGGAAGGAATGGAACTTGTCCGTGCATCCTTCAATATGTCGCAACGAATAGTATCGTTCCTCTGAACTGCTGTCTCACAATTCACAAGGGACACTTTGATCATGTTGATACGATTCAAAAGGGTTTCCGAAAGAGCACATTCACTTCTCCAGCAATCTGCATCGAGCTATGGTATGGTAGGCGCAGCAACGATTGTCCTTGAACGCCGCAATACTTTCGTGACCTCATAATTTCATCATGGACCCTCCATGATGCGGTTCGCTTTCTGCTAGCATGAAACACATCGTTTCATTTGTCGTCGTGGCCTCGTCCCTCAATGTCTAGTTCATGTATGTCCACTGCTGACACCAACATAGCCGCCAGCCACGATAGCAGTACCTTTCCTGATCTCAGCCTGCTTGGTGGCAAGGTCGAGCTCCTTGACGAGACAACAAGCCGCCAAAGCCTTGAAGCTCTGGTAGTCACCTCCGTGCGATGACCTGTCCCAGCTGTTGCTCTGCTTACCCTGTTCCTGGACACAACCAACGTGCAGACACGCGATGCTGAGCTCCAAGGCCGTCGACGCCGAGGCACCGCCATGCTCCTCGGCGCCAACATCGTAATCCTGGTCTTCGTCATCAACACGGACCTCCGCCATGGCCCGCTTAGTAATCAGAGCCTTAATCCATTGCGCGATGCGGGCGAACTCGTCCTTGAGCTGCGATGAGCGGTCTCTCTGCCGCCGGGTCTGCACACCCAACTTGTTGAAGATGTTGCCGGTGAAGACCTCGAGCTCGGTGATTGTCTTGGACGCATGCTCGGAGTATTCTACGCAGGCGGCGGTGATGGCGTCTTCGTAGCTATGAAGAAGAGGTGAGTCAGAGTGTGCAAGGTGAGAGATGGTCCGGGAGGAGACTAACGCATGCCGGATGTTCCAGGCCTCGTCCACACATCTCGTCCATGCAATGTCACCAATCTTCTGTTCGCATTGTTCAGTGACATAAGACATGAAACCAGTCCAAAGTTCGCCTTGGGCACCCTTTCGGTGCTTGATTTGAACGTTCTCGTTCCAAATCTTCTTCTCATCAATAGCGCGGAATAACTGCCCGAGGATCTTCTCAGAGCGGTAGTACTGGTAACGAGGTCTTGAGTCTTCCTCGTCATCCTCATCGGCGGCGGGACCCGTCGGCGCCTCGAAGATAATCTCGGATCTATTCTGCAAGTGAGTGGGTGGGGCAGGGGCTAAGAAGTCTGGCCGGTATCGATTGGTCTTAATAGCCCTTAGTGTCTCTAGGCTCACCGGTACTCCCGTCTTGGAGTAATCTACTCCCGTCGAGTGCAGTTTAGCCAGTAATTGGCAGCCTACAAAGTGTCAGTCCTGTTCTCCCTGTCTCTGGTATCTCCAGACCTTGGTCTACGGTTCCAGCATCCTTCTGATCAGCCAGAATCATGTGCTTCACGGCGATCAACCCCAGGTTGTCCGTCTTCATAAATTCGACGAAGAAAGCCGTCATATCCTCCCGCTCTACGCGTCGGTTGAGAGTTCTGGGCTCCACGAGTGGATAGTCTGCCGGCACGAAGACTCTTTTACATTTCCCGACCGCAAAGCTATCCCAGATGATGTTGTATATATCACCGTCGAGATCGCCGCCGCTGAGCTGAGATGGCAGGTCTCGGGTTCCTTTTTGGGAGAACACAATGCAGTTTCTGAGGAATCGCAGCGGGTGACTCGTAGGGGGTACCCTGTTGGTTGCCATCTGGATATCGCCGGGGTGTAGAGCGGGAGATCTGCAAAAGTTTTATTAGCCAACTCATTGACCCGCGGACAGGGTGTTGTCTCGAAGAACTGCAAATTCTCCGGCTAGTCCACATAGGTTCAGGGCTAGAACTGAGAGCTGAGTATTCAATGACTTACCGAGTTACAATCATCTCGCGTTCGTCGAAAAGGAGGTAATCGGTTTGTACCACGTCAGTTTTCTCAAATGTGATGTAAACCTCTCCTTCCTCTAGAAATCCGGTCTCATCAACAATGCCGAAAAGGGTGACTCCCGTTTCGATAGGGATCCTGGCCTTATGTTTGAGAAGTCTCAGCTCCCGCAGGACCACTGCTTCTACAACAGAGCAGAGGAAACGGTCCTTTTTGTAGTCAAGGCCAATCAGCTCCAGCCGGCGCAGGAGTCTCGGAAGTCCGACTTGGTCAGCAACTTTCTGTCGTTTCAGAAAGGCTGTGGTGTTGTAAGTGGTGGAAGTAATCCTTCTGAGCCGGTTCAGCTCCTTGTCCTGCTCGCCCAGGAACCACTCAGCAGGCACAGCCATGTCTTCAAGTATCTTGATCATTTGCCGGTTGAGGACTAGTGGAATTGGCTTGCTCGCCTGGTCACAGATCTCCAAGTTCGCTTTGTCTTGGCTCTCAAACTTTACCATGGATTGGCCTGCTGGATTATCAACATATCTTCTCACATTGATGTAAATTCGCCACCCAGCGCGACGGACACTTACGAACAGCCATTATTCTTCCATCGAGGCTCGCATCCAATGCGAGCATGCCCTTGGCGCCGGCCCAGCGGATTTGATAGCATGTCGCATCTTTGCGCTGTGGCATTGCAGTTTGGATAACATCAACGATCTCCTGTGATATTATTCCAACGCCGTCTGTGAATCTCCTCTTCTTGTCCTTCGACCAAATGTCCTCGATGATGCATGGCTTGATACGATTCTCCTCTAACGGTATGGCGAACGGCGTCTCGGAAAATGCTTGACCGATTCTGGCTGCACAGCGGGCTGGCGAGTAGATATTCCCAAAGTCTCCCAGATTCTTTATGACTGAAAAATAGGTGTGAAATCCTGACGAGTTGTAGAAAGGCGCCATAAACCACACTGCGTGGCTTCTGAGCGAAGAGTGAGAGAAACCCAAAAAGTCAAACTTTCTGCCGCCAATGAGGATGCCCTTGTTTAAAATATCGAGAAACCGCTGGTACACAGCGTCGTACGATAGTCTAGGGTTGAAGAATACATCCTGTCCGTCTTCGTCGCAGAATTGGACGCGAGTGAAGCAATCAGTATGGTCGTGAAATCTTCTCAAAATGCGATTTTTCGCTTCGGCCTCTGGACCATGCAGAGTCACAGAAGTCGGAGTAACCTGTACTTTGTAGACCATGGTGAGATTATTGCGGGCCTTTTCCTGTTGTCATATTAACTTTCCATTTCATTTAAGGCAATGGCCAGTAGTACAGCGTGGTAGCACTTACTGAGACGAGTTCTTTAGTGAGATTTAACTGAATCTCCTTCTCATTCGCCTCAATATACCGAACGATTTCGTCCACGTCAAAGGTGGATGCATCGATATCAGGTGCCGGAAATGGAATCTGAGAAAAGAGCTTTTTGATCGCCAGTGGGGAGACCAGGACAACCTAAATAATTATCATCTGCACGAAGGCCAATTGGTTTACGGTGAAGTCGTACCTTGGATGATCCATTACACCTCCCGACGCTGCCTGATGGTTTACCCACCTTCGATGCTGTGTATAGCCGCAACAGTAGATCTTTGCCTTTCCAAGGAAGCAAGTATCCATTTTGAACAAGAGCTTGAACTTGGAAAAGTATGCCAAACTGTAGAGGATCCAGAAGCTCTGACACAGTTTGATTGAACGCCTTCAGCCCTTCCGGAAAGCCGGGGTTCGCGAGAGTAGAAGCAGGAAATCCGTGTGATGAGATTGGCAACACATCCTTTTCCCGTAGCTTGTTGACCTTCTTCTGAAAGTCTACCGGGTAAAGATGAAGACGGTATATGAGGCATTGACCAATAATCTCAGAGTGCTTCTTAGTATCATGTGGCAGCTCAGTGAGCCTCTCGCGTGTAGGCTCCGGCGGGCCCGATGCGGATATACTTAAGTTTGCCAAGATTGATCCGATGTCAGATTTCGCTGTGGAGAAAAGCCGAGGTGGTTCCCACAGCGTCAAGGTCGCCGAGGTAGGATTAGAACACGTGAGGATGGCTGCGATGATGCGATAAGGTATCTCGATCCTGATGTTGTCGTCCATGGCTTGAAATGTGACAATGATCTTGTCTGGAGTAAACTTTGAGATGCCTTGGACAAGTGACCAGTCAATCTCTGGGCAGAAGGCCAGCTCTCTCGCTTGGTCATAGTCGTAGTAACCGCACGAGAGTTGATAAGTATCGAACACGACATCTTGGTGCTTAGCCTCGTTTGGTCTCCTACGGCTCAGTCAGTAAGATGACTCGTCTAGGAGGATTTGAAATCAATAGTGGTGTACTGTTCTTCATTGGGGCGGTCCTCTGCCTGCTTCGACAGAGCCTTGAGCAGAAAGTTATCAATCTCGCGGTTCGATCTTTTGCAAAAGATCTGTTGACTGCCCAGAATGACTAAGCGCGCCCTCATGCGAGGCTGGCCTCTGTGGTTCAGTAGTCCCGTACTCTGTTCTCCGTGCTGTCTCAAGAACTTCTCGCCGTCTTGGACGCGCAGAAATGCGACGGTTCCGAATTTTTTCTTCCGTTGCTTCTGGCACATCCAGTCTGTTATGTTCAGCTCCATCATGAGGGGTGTCATGACTTTCGTCAGCCGTGTCTCGCTGAGATCGGCTGGAAGGTTTCCCATGAAGACCTCCATCGTGTGAAGACAGAGCCTCTCAAGGGCGACGCGTGTCGTGGGGCGCGTAAGTATCGTCCACGCAGGTTAAGAAACAAGACTCATCATCGCCCGAAGGGATGAAAATAGACAACGGTAATCAGTATGCAAACGGGAGTCGCTGGCGGGCAGTCCTTGGATTGGACGCTGCCCTGATTTGCGTTGAAGACAAGTAGCAGGCAGTACCTTCCTGGAGCTCAAGGCAGATGATTGGCCAAGTGATGCGAGAGGCCGGACAAAGCAAAGCCTCGTACCTTGAGGGTGTTTCTGCCTAACCGGGCGTTTGCTTATAAACCTGACAATGCGTGGAATTGGCTTATCTTGGCTTTGATTTACAGTGGGGGACGGGCATCAAAATGCCAGCTATAGATATCTGGCTCTTGTCTTTGGCCGATGGCGTTCACGGCCGTGTTGCATGTTTGGTCGTGTTGTAGTATCATTCTGCGTATGCATCATTATTGATTGCCACAAGCCTGTGATGCCTTCTGTGAGAGGCTCCCGACGTCCAGGCCCAGGTCGTGACGCATCTCAAGCACCTCCTGATGCCCCGCACGGTAACGGGCAGGTACCTAAGGGCCTCCCCTCTTAGCGTTGTTACCGCTAAAATGACCCTTTTATTCAGCGATGTAGAGAGACATTCGGAGGGATTGCGCACCAGATATACCTAGGTATTCTCTACCCCTAGCCAGAATCCGCGCGAACGGTAAGCCCACTGATTTTGGTTGAAGCCATCTTGTCCGAAGCAGTACTATGAAAGCAGCCAATGACCCTCTCGAAATGCAACACATGGCAATCTCTACATCTCTAATTCAGGCAGCGAGCACCGTTTCGGCGACGAACTAAACGGATATATCGATTTGGCATTTGCAGGAATAACGCGAGGATTAATTCATATGTAGCGTATCTGGTGCCAAGGGCAGGAACGGGCCTACTATGTACATAGCTAGAACTGCGTCCCCAAAACAACGAACATACATAGGAAGATTCAGGAACGTGCACCAAAAATAGGCCATCAACTGCTTCCAGAAGCCAGAAGGGGCAAACAGAGAAGTGTAAAGAGAGGTAGGTACCTAACTTATGTGGATTTTGGAGTGAGTAAAGTCGGGTCTTGACAGCTGACGAGCTCAACCCCCAGCTGCCGCCCCTAGCTTTTTCAGAGCATGCCGGCTCGCTCGCTCCAGGAAAAACTCAGACACATCATTATAACTGAGACCTCTGTCGCAAATAGCATCAAAGTCCTGAGAGATGTGAACCAGAGCAAAAATAAACCATCTGTAATGTAGATTGCATCAAAAAGGAGAGGGTTGGGTCTGGCCGGGGATTGAACCCGGGACCTCGCGCAACTTTGCTGTAGGGTGTACCCTAAGCGCTGGAGTAGATGTTAGAATGTTGTTCTGAAGTGCTTCTTGGAGCAGATGTCCTTACCGAATCATACCACTAGACCACCAGACCTGTGATTGTTGATATTTTTGTTGGCAATGAGAGATTAAGTCGAAGTGCGATGTGGATGCTTGTAGGGCTCGGCCAGTGACTCATGGAAACTGATGCGTAACGTGGTGGGCCACAGCCTCAATGAGAGAGATCCAACAAACAGAGAGTCGCCCAGCTCAAAAATCTCACCGAGCGTCTAATGGTTTGGCGAATATTACCATCACGGGAACAAAAGGCTACACAAATATGGAGCGTGGAACCCACTTGCCTAGATGCAGAATATGAATGTTGCGGGGAGCTTCTTGGCTGAACTCTACACTGCAAAGGGGGAAGGGATAGCTCGGCGCATATATTGCATCCCGCCTGGTGCATTGAAATGTTCTCACGAAATCGATGCCCAGCACTCAGACGGATTAGCGACTTTGATCTAGATACGAATGCGCCTAAGCAAATCGGCCGATACTTCAAAATCCCAACCCCTCCTCATAGGCCCTCCACTTGTCGCCCACTGGCTGGATCAGAGTATAGCTTCCTCCACCGGTCGCGTTGAATTCCTGGACGCCGTTCACCAAGTAGAGAGGTGTCATTTCGCCATCGTCGCTGAAGAACAACTTCGGTCTCTCTCTCCTGTAGTACACCGTCTGGCCTACGTCCGAGAATTCGACAGTCGTATTGTACGCAAGTGTCCGGTTGTTGAACGTCCAGGGGCCTCTCCAATCCCTGGCGAAGCAGTGCGCACCAACCCGGGGCCCTTTGAGGCCCAAGTCGATGTCGACCATGTAGTGGACGAGGAAGTGCCAGTTTCCACGTTTGTCACGCCAGAGAAATGGATCTTCGGAGCGGTCTGAGTTGTGAGGTTCGACAATGAGATCGTAGGGCACTGTGTACTGATCCGCGTAGTAAATGTTATTCTTCTCCACGGCCAGCAGTATCTCAGATGTTTCACTCTCGGGGCTCCAGAGCGGGAATGGTGCGGGATTGGTAACGTTGTAGAGAAGGGCTTGGGGCTTAGTCCAACTGCGCAAATCCGGCGAGCTTGTCACCGAGATCGTGTTGTTGAACTTGCTGGACTTGCACGTTCCGTTGGGCGTTTCCATGTCCTGGCCAATGAAATAAAGCAAGTACAGGCCATCTGCTGGACTCCACATTGTTGTTGGATTATGATGGAATGGCCCGAAGAGATCTTGTGCCCACGTGTACGGGCCACGAGGTCCACTCCGCGACTCGGCCCTGATGATCGTGCTGAACGGCTTCCATCCGCTGAGCCCACATCCATGGGACATTTGCGAGGTTATGAGGTGGAACAGGGTTTTGTCCTGCGGGTCCTGGATGATATGGCCGCCCCATGACGAGTTCCCAGCGCCTTCTTTATAGAAATCTACGCCCGTAGCGTTCGTGTGGTTATAACCTGTCCATCTCTCGACCGGCTGCAGATCCAATTCACTACAGTCTGCCGCCCTCCAGCCCGTATCGCACGTGCAAGTCGAATTGGCAGAGCAAACACCATTGAGACTGCAGTCATCGTCCGCTGCACAGGCTATAGAGAGACGGCCAAAGCAGAATAATAAATTTAGTAGAAGAATTTTCAACGTTGCAATCATAGCGCATACTTCAGTTTGCAGATCGACGTGTAGTATGTAGTCAAGATTGGGGCGATAGACCTAGCCAAAGTGTACACTTTATAAGCGTACATACGTCGGCACCGCGGGGCTTTACTCCAACGCGCACTCGGCCTATCTCTTCGCTGCAATGGACGGAATAATTTTGGTCAGCCAATATACCCCGCAACAAAAATCTGTCTAGTATTTGTCTTGGTACTAATCTACTCCATATTCGATTGATCTGAAGTGACCATCAAATAGACGAAACATATCCAAAAGACCACGTTAAGGAACCCGCTTTCCAGAGAAAGTAATCTCTGTAACGGTGGAACACGACCTGACATCGAATTCTTTCATAGATGACAAGATGACTAACTAGATTGGAGAGCTGAGTGTCGGGTTTTTTGGTAGTATAAAGCGTTGAGTCACTGTTTAATCAAAACTGATCGCAAACTATATGCGCACATCCAAGAAGACAGCTTTTGATCCAATCGTTTCTGAGAACACTGCCATCTTTACGATCATCTGAGCCAATATACAACTGTAACTGTTACTTTCGGAAACGATTTAGTGTGCAATTCATTGCATACAACGCACTGAAGCTTTCGCAATGTTCATTGCATTGCTCTATAGTACCTATCGATCTCGCCGATTCCTTCGGGGCCGCGTAGCATCGCGCAGAATAGTTGGGCTTTTTCAACCCCAGAGCTTCATAGGATAGCCGTCAATTTCGACGACTGTTCTGTTCAATAGTTGAATATCACACTTGCACAATCCGAAGGGGTAGGTTACAGGCTCATCATCTAAGTCACACCGCATACCGAAACCCTCTGGACAAGGCTTTGCGCACTCGCCATAGCTCGTCTTGCCTCGTCCGCAACCGGATTCCCATGTGCAGACACAGGTCCTGTGTGTACCTTGTCAGCATTCATTTGACCGGAATTACTTCCAGGAGACACTTACGCTTGATCCGAATGGTCTGTATCGGCGCAAGTCGCCTTGAAGCCATCCTTGCAAGTGCCGTCAGTGCAACCCTTCTGCTTGCAGCCACGGCCGTCGAACCAAATCGTTGGCTTAGCCCCGATAGATGAGGTTGAGCTGCTCTGTACCGTTGTTGTCGAAGTTGATAATGTGGTTTTGTCGGTCGGGGCTACAGTGGCCGTAGCGCTTGCACTTGTTTGTGATGCCGTGGGCGTTGTTGCAGGTGCTGGACATTGATAATCAGGAGAGCCGGGGTCTGTATCCAGACCAATTCGCATTAAATGCTCAAGACCATGGCCTGAGTTTGAACCGCAGCCTTCCTCCAGTTAGCGAAGTCTCTCACTTCAAGTGCGGTTGACGTACTGTTTTGAGGACCCCAGGCTCCGTTGTAAGCGACCGGGACAGCGGTAGGACCAGGAAAGGGAAGTTGCATCCCTTTTGTCTGCGCGGACAGGGGTACTCGATCATATGCAAGGTCTATTACCTTCTTCTTAAGCTTTCCGCAGAACTTCGCACCGTCTTCCGGGCCCCAGCCAGGCTGCCAGGTAAAGTCGTTCGGGTTTTCGGAGATAAAGTAGGCAACCAATCCTGCCTATAGGTTTTGTTTCAGTATTATATGGCCACCTAGATTTTAACCTGGATATTTCTTACCACTTGAGGAGCAGAAAAAGAAGTTCCCTCGACCTGGACCTCAGCACCACCTGGTCCCATCGCCCTCAGTTGATCCCAGCCCTGCGCAAACTACAACAAGACCGTAAGCGACATGAACATGTAAATCTAAAAATTATTGCATCGTTTGTTTGTACTTACCACGTTGATCCTTCCTCTAGGTCCATTCGGATCAGGGTTACCCTCAGGACTAGCCCAAGTTCCGACTCTGCCATACCTGTCCACCACTCCCACGTTGATAAAGCAGTTATCGCTCGCTTCCAAATTACTGGGCAGACCTTCTCCAGTAAATGAGATGGCAGGGTTAGGGTTAACATCGGGTTTGAACCCATAGTTGCCAGACGAGGCGACAAACACAATTCCCCGACTGCGGAGACGGGATATGTAGTCTTGGTAGACATTTCTCACCTCCTGAAACTTATCAGAGCCGAGGAGATCAAAATAGTGTCTCGTCGTGACTAGTAACATTAGCCCCAAGTCTTGAGCACACTAATTTGCCTCAAGGGATACTCACACAATGAACACTGTACTACAGCTCGACCATTGAGTACGCGTTGACGCACGATTTGCAAGATTCTCTCGAAAGCATCTTTTAGTGTCTCCGGCGACAAGACTGATAATTTCCAGACACCGTCTTCCTTGAAAGAAGAAAATATCTTGATGAGGTAAACATCTGCCTGGCTTGCCACTCCATATTTTGAACCCGCCGCTAACGAAGCGACCTGTGTCCCATGACCCATGTTCTTTATCGAGTCATTGGGATCGTCCGGTCCCAACTTTCCCAGAACTGGGCTAATATCGACCATATTTTCAGGACCCCATGTGCTTGGGTCTTTGCCTTTTAGTGTGATCTCGTTGGGTACGACGTAAGTGTATTTCCACAGCTTAGAGGTGTCGACTCGAAGATCTGCGGCCACATTACCTGTTAGATCGAAGCCTGTATCCATTACGAAGATTGTGACACCCTTTCCAAGGCTAGAGTCTCTCTTATACTTCTGACCCGTCAACTTTTGTTGGTCGGTGGACTTGGCACTCAACAAGCGATGATGTGGATATGCTGGACCTTTCCAAGAAACATCAACTTCCTCCAATGCTCTTCTTTCAAGCGCTGAGCGATCATCGGTTTCGCTGTCCCAGTCTTCGATGTCTGACTCGGGTGGTTCAAGCCCAGCCAGTTCCTCGTGCAAGCCATACTCAGGGATGCTCCACTTCACTCCCAATCCCTGTGGATCTTCTTCCTTCTCTGAGAGCTTTTTGTAAAGCCACTTGACGAAACGATGCTGCTGAAAGGCCTGCATGATCGGGAAACCTTGTACAATATCGGTAGTGAAGACATAGGCGTAGTCCGCATACTCAGCCAGCTCTGGCTGTATGCCAAGCGCATATCCCTGTGACCTATCGAGAAATTTGCGAAACGAGTCAAAGAACCACAGAGGCAAAGGGGCAGCCATTTGTACTGTCCAAGAGCCATCTCCAAACAGTTCTGTGTGCTGTGCGAGCTGCATACGTGAAACCATGTGGAATGCCGCGGCGCCATTCACGATCAGCCCACCACCGCTGACGAGTCCTTTCTGTCCAGATGGGTCATTGTTCATCAACTTGGTTCTTAACCTCTGAAAATATGCTTGGACCCTAGCGACATCAGAGGCAGCAGGAGATATCAAGAAGTTGGCCATGTTGTTCAATGATTCCATTCTCCAAGGGGCACGCTGGCACAAGTCGTCGATGCCTGGCTGTCCGGCGAATACGGTCTGTATATATGTCTGTGCTGCACCAGTCAGGGGCTCAAGCGGATTCTCTTGATCATCCTGCGCGTTGAGCAGCGAAGCTTGGAGTAGAAACCCTTCCCATTGATTGCCTCGGGTGTCTTGTAGTGATGTGCTGAGAGCCTTGGCCTTAGATGTGATGTTATCGAAGGCGCTCACTTCATCACCAAGAAGCTGTTCTGCGTCTTGGGCCGATGGTGCATCGAACCGAGCCACGAAGTCGAATACAGCAGTCAGGAAAGCTCCAATAGGGTCTTGTAACGACTTTGCATACGCAATATAGTCCCCTGCAGTCTTGCTGGCGAACGATCGAGCTGGCAAAGTGTCTGCAGGCGCAAGAATAATGGGTGGGAGCGTACGCTGTTTGAAGGTAATCGTATACGGACCTTGCGTAGAGACTTGTGGTGTCGACGAGTTCCCTTTCGGCACCGTGATCGATGTGCTACCTATCTGGACGTGGTCTGCATAAATTGCGACATCGGTTCCATCGCGAAGAAGCAAATATGATGGATCGCCTTGCAAAGGAACCAGATAGTCAACAGCATCAATAGTCACGACCTGTCTTGCGAACGCTGTCAAACCCAAGCAGTCGGTCGGGGCAGGAGCTGCCGATGAGGAGCTAGAACTAGATGATGACGAGGTTGATGATGATGTTGTGGACATGCTCATAGTAGGATCCGTTGGAGCAGGCGTAGTTGGATTCGGAGGGGGATTCGGAGTGCCCGTTGGCTGTCCAGGTGGTGGATTAGTCGGCGTTGGCTCTCCACCTCCTCCACCACCACCACCGCCGCCTCCGCCGGGTGGACCAGGAGCCGGAGTAGAACTTCCTTTGCCTCCGCCGCCACCGCCCCCGCCTCCTCCTCCTGGAGGGCCCGGAGCCGGAGTAGTCGTTCCACTCCCACCGCCACCACCACCGCCGCCGCCGCCTCCGCCTGGAGGGCCAGGAGCCGGAGTTGTCGTTCCACTCCCGCCGCCACCAGGAGGACCTGGGCCAAACGTAGTGCTTACACCAATGCTGGTAAATACAGGAGGCAAGGTAGAACTTTGGTCGACGCTGGAAAATACAGGAGTCAAAGTGCTATTCTCGCCCACGCTGGAAAACACAGGAGGCAAGGTGGAACTTTCGCTGATGCTGGAAAATACCGGAGGTAAGGTGGTGTTCTCACTCATGCTGGAAAGCACAGGAGGCGAAGTCACGCCGCCAGTAGGGGGGCTCGTAACTGTAGACACCCCTTGACTTGGCACGGCATCAGGTGATGTCACACTCACAGTTGGGGAACCTGTCGGTAGGAGTGTGCCACTCGCTGTTGTTTCACTTTGGCTCGGAAGTCCGCTCATGGTGGGATTCTCTGAAGAAGGCGCTGTGGGAAGAGCTGTGCCAGTAGGGGATTCGGTCGGAGCTGTTGTACTTTGATCAGGTATATCGGGAGAGGAGGTCGGAGAAGTTCCCAGAGGTGCTGAACTTGTGACAGATTCGCTTGGTCCACTTCCACTAGGTGCATTTGTCGTAGTTTCTGAAGAGGGCGGAGGGGTAGGGAGGGTCATATTGTCAGAAGACGTGGAGGACTCTGATGAGCTGGACGAACCTGAAGGAGTTTGCGTGCTAGCCGTTGCGCCTCCAGTGTCACTAGGTGAAACAGGGTTCGTGCTTGTGATACCTGCAGTGGTACTGATGCTCTCCTTGCTGGTAGAGCTAAACTCAACCGTTGAAGAGTCGGTGCCACTGGTGGTCGATGAAGTCATGGTGACACTACCGCTTGCTGTAAACTGTGCAGTAGATGAAGTATTCCGGGAAGCTGAGATTGCAGTCGTGGGGGAACTCGTGGAAATCTCCCCATTGCTGGAAGTGGGAGACATCTGAGTGGTCTCATCACTCGTTACTAGCGGCGTACTTCTTGCACTGCTTGTTCCTGAGTGTGAACCGGGTATCGAAGGAGGGGATGTGCTGCTCGTGTCTGGGGGGTTAGCACTCGCGGCGGGAGATCCAGTCGTTCCGTAGGCATCCGTAGATGAGACAGTTAGTGTGGCGTCAGACGCGTATGCACTGGTAGTCCAAGTCGAACCCTCTTGAGAACTAGTAGGGCATGGGCAAGGCGTGTAGCCTACAGAAGCAGACGCGAGAGCAGGGGCGGTATCCTTGAATCGGGTCACAGGTAGAACCCAAGTGGTCACCTCTGTCACAACCGTTGTAGTGACCACTTCTGTGACCACACCCGTGGTAGGTGGAACCCAGATTGTCACGATTGTCCGGATAGTCGTATCGACCTCCGAAGTGATGACGGGACAAACGCATGAGTCGGAATAGTTACCTCAATATGTCATTAGCATAATCGTTACCAACCAAACAGCATACGAATAGACTTACCAAGTGCCAGAGTGAAAGTACCGAACGGAAGCAGCAACCACGCCAGCAAAAGGAGTAGCGTCATTGTCGACTGCGACGTCGGTCAGTGACCGGTACGGTAACAATTCAGTGTCCGAAAGTTGCGAGGTTTATAATCATGAGCGTCGATCGTATAGTGCATCAATAACGGAAATCTCGTGCTTGGGGGAAAAGCATAAGAAGAGAGGAGGAAAGAGATTCAAGCTGGTAGATATCCGAGATTTAATAGTTTGGTTGGAAGAGCAGAGTGAATGCAGTTGCTTGAAGTGAATTCATGGCGTCAGCGGTTCAATTAAATGCAATGGTTAGGACCATATTCAAATTCACCAGGACCTTCAGCCGGTATCAATGCCTGAGCCAGTATTCACTTAGATAGAATCCCCCTCGCAGTATATTGCGGTTGGATACATACTAGCTCGGTTGAAAGAGGATCTACACAGAACAACTATTTTGGATTCTGTCTTTAACATATAGGCTATCCATCTCTCGTGAACTGCAGCTCTGTTCTTACCCATGCATTATCGAGAACAGGGAGCATACATTACGTTATACAGAGAGCAGTGACTATAAGCTTGAAAATCAAGTGATTCAGTTTATTCCGTCGGGCCGTAGGCGAAGGTCTGTGGCTTCCTAGTGTCTGTCTCAACTCACAGAGGCAATATTAGCACTATTATCTTCATCTGCCGCCGATACAATGCATCATGCTGGATTTAGTGATGAACCTTCGTTAGAGCCGCCAGACTTCGTTTCACGCACGGGCTGTTCGTAAATCAGGGCAGTTCATTAACTATTCAGGGTGAAGCTGTATAGAAATCAGACAAGCTATCCAAAGGAAGCTTAAAAAGGTCTGAATTAAATCCTAGATAGTGGTAGAACTTGGAAGTATGCTCTCCAAATTTGGAGACTTCACGAATGGTATGATAGCCTGCATTGTAGAATTTTGACTCATCTGGAGGACATTATGAAGCCGAAAAATTCGAAATACCATCAAGCACTACAGAAAATTATTCAGCTATTCTGGCTGACCTATTGATCCAGCTCCCTTCCAGCCCTTTTTGCGACAGGTTTTCACAGGAAATATGAGCCTGGAATCGAATGTTGAGATATTTTGATCAAGCCACTAATTCAGGGGATTAGGACTAGGTGAATGCAGACAAGCATGTTGCTTGCAGCACTCGTCGCTTCACCTTTGTAACGACCCAGGCCGTGCCCTGTGCATAGACAAAAGTTGATGGAGAAGGCGGATCCATAGTGGTAGCTTAAGGATAGTCTGAGACTATGATAGATGTCAAGGCCTGATGGTGGTGTTTTTGGAATATGGCATACTGGATGCTGGCCCGTCACTGATAAGTCACCACGTTGAAATGTGGCACCTGACTATACTGCCAAATAAGGGCCTGATTGACTTTAGCACGGGCTACTGCGAGTTCTGGCTAGCATGAATGTGTTTTAATTGGCTGTCGTATCTCAACGGAATCACATGACTTCGCTGTGTCTGCCTAGTCGTATTGCAGCCTGGCGAGTTCTTAACTGCATCCTCCCAAAAGAATTTTTTTAACGCACCTGAAGTTATCAGCAATTTCAGAGTCCATATGTCTTTGATACATGATAAAGCATGCAGAAGGAACAAGACTCGATACTCGTCGGCAATGTGGCCAGGCTGCCCGTTTCAACCCGCCCGGCACCACTCGTTGTCTATCCCCATCAACCCTTACCACCTCACCTTGTCACACGGATCACGGAAGATGGGCCTGGCGGATACTATGGCGCGTTTGCGGCTCGCACGTTAGCTTCTCAAGCAGCTTCATTTGTCAGCTCGAGGTCAGATGCAGATGACACACTCTTAGCCGGGGTTATACAGAAATTTCTGGAGTTCGCCCAACAAGACTGCGAGGCGGAGGCGGCAGCAGGAGGCAGATCGTGTGATGCAACCACGCACTCTTGTTGGTTATGCATTAGATTGACATTGCCGACGGATAGCTGGGTGGTTCCTCGCTGGCACACGGATGGGCGCATGTTTGATTGTGCTTGCCCCACGCCGAAGATGCCGCACTCCAAGTACGCCTTCTCAATACTCGGCCCATCAACCCGGGTAATGATGACAGATCCAGCTGTAAATGCTATACTGCAATCCCGATCGGAATCAGGGCGGTATTGGAATACAAATGAGCCAAATTCTGAGCTTGCAGAGAGACTAGCACAGTATCCAGAAGCTGAGCTCCAACCAGGACAGATAATCCGGTTTAGCTGGGGCCAACCCGACTCTCCCGTACATTCTGAGCCGGATTCTACGGCCTCACACCGGATCTTCATCTCATTACTCTTTGGAAGCGAGGCTGAGCTGCGTAACATGTGCGAATTCAGGGAAGAAGAATACGGTGTCTGGTACTAATGAGGGAAGCTTCAATTCTCTGAAGTATGTGAGAAGTGAAGAAAGTTCGTAATCACATGGTCGTTTCGAGTTCAAATTGAAATGTTGACTATATTGCTATGAGCCCACGTCATGGCAGGCATACTGGCCAGCCACACAAAGATCAATCAAAAGCGAGAAAGCTATACCAGTGCGGTGACTACGCATGAGTAAATGTGTAGTTTTCATGACTTACCTTACTAGGTTCAATTACTAGGGGGTCTTAATCGTCCTAGTCTATAGGAACAATCAAATCGGAAACTATTTGCACTTCGATTCCCCTGCCATTCGCCAGGCCTATCGCAAACATTTCCTTCGCCGTTCCTTTTCCGTAGTCGTGAACGCGGAATATCGGGACAGATGGCCGCGTAGTATCCTCATCGCCTGCTATCCAGGAAACATAGAGCCGGCATAAGCGACATGAGATGGCTGAGTACGTTAATGAAAACGAAGACTTCACCTGTTACATATGGTATCTAGCAATACGGTCATGTGTAGAGGGGAATGCCATGTCAATGAAGACCGATTGTAGCGCTCTCCACCTAGGAAACTAGCTCTATCCTCTGATTGTGCACTCACTGTAGCTCCATAGGTGCAATGGCGCGAAATCCACTCAGCGTTCTCCTCACTCTGAAGGGGTCACATCCTCAAGGCAGAATCTCCGAAGAGCTCGCGTCATATTCAAGGAGTCCCGCGATATTGATCGCGTAGCTGGTTGGTCGTGTGACCAAGTCTTTCCACGGGACCTATTTCCAGGCCTGTATGTCGTTGCATCGAGTCAGGTCGATGTAGCCACAGCTCATTGCCATCTAGATCGCTCCAAGCTAGTGCATGCAGGCCTTGGTCCCGTAGCCCGAGCATGTATAGGAGGAATACGCCGCCGTACCACCGGAGGCTCTGAGTAATCGCTGAGTCGCCTTTGTCAAGCCACGTTCCATCCGCTCGACAGTCTGCTCCTCCAGGATCCGAGACCGAATAGGGAAGAGAAAAGCCACAAAGTCTAGTTCGGCCCTTGCCAGCTCATTATAGCCAGTGCAGATCGCGCATCTATAAGCATGGACAAGTACAGCGATATTAAACTACTGTCAACAATGTGACAGTGAAGGATGCTTGCAGAGAACCAGGCAGAATCTACCAGCGGAAACACGACTGTAACATTCGTGCCCTGCAGCGATATATTCCACCAATGGATTTTGGTGCTGGTCTCACTCCGCAGTCGACTCTCGCGAACACTCCATCTTGTAGGGTCCAACGTGCATCTGTTTCATGGTCCAATGCAGTGCGACACACGATGCCCTATCCCGAGAGGTTGATAAGAGCCTCACGGGCGTGGCTCGGCGGAAATGGGCACTATGCGAGCGTAACGTACGCGTTCTCGGTTGCTTGATAGGTAAAAAGCTACGGCACGGCCATATGGAAGTCAGGATATCCTGCAGGCTCAGCAGTCGAGCCAACTATCGTCCAACAGACAGGCTGGCTTGAACGGGACCATGGACTGGGGCAACGCCTTTGCTCCTTCCCGGTGCCACATACCTAGGCGGTGTCCATCAAGGCCGCATCGATTCAACCGTGCTCTATGGATTACCAGCAGTGAAGCGGGTGGCATCTAATCTATGCAAGCCCTCCGCGACACCAAAACCGTGAGACGCGACGGGGCTCCAGATGCAACACAATAGCACCGGAAGGGCTGGTTAAGCAATAGCACCAAGCCCCATACTGGGTCCAGGGCTAACGCAATCGATCACGGTGAATCCCACGGTGACCGGGAGGAAGCCATATGAGGATTGACGGCTGGTATTTCTGACCCGAGGTCCTGTCGTTGTCGCCAATGGCCAGCATCCAATCTCGAAATGGGCACCAGTTGAGATCTGGGACGGCTGAAAGCGGTTAGGGGCAGCACCACACCCGCTGGAGGGAGACATGCCGCAAGTTGCAGTGGAACGATGCCGCATCGGCCGGCAACCTTGGAACCGGGGGGGGGGGGTGCTGTCCAGTGGGCTGTCTGGCTGTCTGGCTGTCGCCAGTGGACGCTCCACTGGACGAGTGAGTCGCGCCCCATATTACCCGGAACTGAGGCAAGGAGCTCCGGGCCCAAATGAGTCTAGAGCGACGATCCTGGGCGCATGTAAAGTTTACTCGCATGTGCGGACGATCCAATGCGCCCGATGCAGAAGCGCGCATTAATCAATGGACTGGCGCGGCGATGGCATCTCATTGGTCTCGAGGGTCCCGACAGCTGATGGGGCGGGAATTGTCGTCGTGGTCCTGCGGGCTGTGTGTCCATGTACGTCCCGCAGCTCTTGGGCGGGCCCCCGAAGGAAAACACCCGGCAGGTTAGGCCTGTGTAAACCTCGGGCGGACTACCGGGCAGGTGGCCTGGGTGGGCTCTGCAAAGTGCATACTCGCCGGGGGTGCCCATACAGAAGGGTCTCGCGTAGGTCTCACCTAAGTGAGACTACCCAGGCAGACCTGCAGAGAGCATCGTTGACTCGGCCCTACGTTCTCTCCGGCTGCAATGCCGAAGCTTGGTTCTCCTTGATCGACTGACTCTGATTTGTCTTCCATTGCCAACCTGGGCCGGCGGGCTATCTTGAACGGCCCGGGGAATTCATGATGGACATATTTCCAACTACCTAGGTATGAGTCTTCCTAGTGTATTAGTTGGACTGGCCCGTCTCAGCAAGCACGTGGCGTTGATCCACTACTATAGTCGCCTATGGCTGGTACGCCTCCGTCCTACAGGGGTCGGAGTCGAGCACAGTCTCCTCTTTCCATGGCCCAACTCGGTGCTTCGGCGCCCAGCTGACTTCCCCCATATGGAGAATCTGGGAGCCTCTTGGCGAGTGAGAGGCCGGCTGAGCGTTGAGAGCGGACGGAGAATTTGAGGGACTGAATTCCCGACCAATAGTGGAGGTTTATAGCGCCCGGCAGGCGAAGTGCGTCCCACCCCAGACCAGACGCCAGCGATGATGGCGTGTAAGTTATATCGCATCGCGTACGGGGGCCCTGGACGTTACATACCTAGGCGAGGCGGTCTTCGCCTGGTCGGTCGGGGGTCGCGCAATCTATCAGGCTGTTCTGCACGCCTAAAACGCCAGCTGACAAGAGCGGCCCATTCATGTGAAACGCCGCCCGCAGCCAGCCCGTCAAGCGAAGGCCGGCCGGTCTTGGGGGATTCTTGGTGGCTCTTGGTGGCTCCCTGGGGAACGAACCTGGGGCGTTGACAGGCACCTGGGCAGTGACAGGGCCAAGACGTCGCCGTCTGCTGGAGGGGGCCCTCCTGGGGCCCGTTGGCCCCATGGGCCGGCTCAATCTAACGTTAACAGGTCCACCGCGTTAAATGCCAGTTCGGGCCGGGCTGCCGCAACGGCCTCCTCCACGTTCCCCCAGTGGGACGACCAGGGGCCCCCCTCCCTCCTCCCCAGAAGCAAAGCACACATTCGCATCCGCATCCGGGGTCCCTCTCCACTGGCCCAAGGGCCCAAAGGGCTCAAGGGCCTGCCTGCCTGCTTGCCGTATTTAGACCTGCACGACCCCGCGGGCGCTGCGTGGCAGACACAGGGAGGAACGGAATCTGAATGGCCGAGCCAGTATCACGCTGGCAGCAGCCCTGGAGACTGATCAGACGACACTGCTAGGCCTGGGCTCCCAGGGAAAAAGGCTGAGATGTCCACGGCCGAAGTGGTGGCACAGCGCAGTGCTGTGCTCCCCGCACCAGCGCCGGCGACAGCACCAGCATTGGCGACGGTACCGCTGGCCAGCATGTCGAAGCCGCCCTCTGCCTCGTCCGGGCCCTCCTCGACATCAACAACAACAACAACCACCACGACCACCACAACCACCGCCACCGCCACCGTCGACAGGATCCCCGTCCCCTTTACGTCCAGCAGGCCCAAGAGAGTGCGGAGCCCCGGCCTCAACAGAGACGAAAAGCAAGGCCGAACGCCAAAGCAGCGGCAGCGCAGTTTCACGAAGACCATGGAGCCCCCGGTCCTGTCGTTTTACGGCGAAAAGCCCGTTCCCCTGCCCTCGCGATTTGGCCACCTGAAGCGCAGGCTGGCGGCCGGCCACGAGCCCGCGCTGGAAGCCTCCTGGGGGCGCTTGTTAGCCGCACTGCGCGAGGAGATCAAGCACATCGAGCGCGGAGGGACCGATCTGATACCCTCAATTGACTTTAATGACATTGGCAACTCGATTAGCGTCTCCGATTTCAGCGAAAGAGTCAAGCGCTATGGGATTGGCGTGGTGCGCAGTGTTGTCGCAGAATCCGACGCCGAAACCTGGGTGAGCGAGACCAAGAAGTACCTCGAGACCAAACACGAGTTCAAGCCGCCGCCAGCGCAGGACCCGACGTGTTTCGACTTCTTCTGGTCGCCGTGCCAGGTGCGCGCAAGAGCGCATCCCAAGGTGCTCCAGGCGCAGCGCTTTGCCATGTCCATCTGGGACACCACGGACGACGACAGGCTGGCAACCAGATTCCCCATCTGCTACGCCGATCGCATCCGGATAGATACCAACACCACGAGTGATCTCAATGTCGGGAACGGCACGAACCTGGAGGACGCGCTGCCGCCCGCGACCTCGTCTACGCTGATTGCACAGGTCGACAATGGTAGTTTAGAGCGGTGGGAAGTAGACGGCTACGGCCGCAGTGGGTGCTATGATGCGATCTGGAAAGGGGAGTGGGAGAAATACAACCCCTGGGACCCGACAGGCCGGATCCACGCCACGACCGACTTATACAACGGCGCCGGAGCGTGCAGCATGTTCCGCATGTTCCAGGGCATTCTTGCGCTAACGACGGTCGAGCCCGGCATGGTGCGGCTGCTGCCGTCGCCGAAACTCTCCACCGCATACTTTCTCCTTCGCCCCTTGTTCTCGCCCAAGACGCCGGCGCCAGAGAAGCGCGACGCATCTGCTGAGGAGTGGCAGGCTTACCTGGACCCCTCCAACTGGGCCCTCGAGAAGGAGCAGACGACCATCATTCATGGGGCAGTTCCTGGGCACGCGCAGCGCGTGACGGACACCTGGCATCCGCATCTGCAGTTGAACTCGAGCCTGATCGCTCCTCCCACTCTGAGACCTGGTGACTATATTGTGTGGCATCCGGATCAGGCCTACGTCTTTGATAAGCCGCCTCCGAGCCTGTCGATGCTTGTTTACACACCCGCAGCGCCGCTGACGCAGACCAACGCCCTGTTTCTGGCTCGGCAGCGGAAAGCGTTCCTGCGCGGCCACCCGGGACCGGACTTCGACTCCACCGGAAGTGGTCTAGGCAGCGAGGCGCCCCACACCGGCCGTCTCGACGAGAAGGATATTGAGGCGGTGGGCGGCCAGGAGGGCCTACAGGCCATGGGACTCGCGCCGTGGGTGATCGACAAGGCATTGGTGGAGGAGTCCAAGGCACCGACCCCGACCGAGGAGAAGGAGAATGGGAATGGAGCGTTGAGTCAGGGCATCAGCAACGGCAGAGCAGAGGGCAAGATATCGGCGACGGAGGCCGACCTGGCGCGAGAAGCCAATATAATCCTATTCCCGGATAGATTTGACTTCTGGATGCCCAGCCGCATGGGGACACCATCAATAGACAACGGATCCAAGGGGAAAGAGAAAGAGATCAAAGCAGAGCAAGCGGCTTGATAAGTCATGCTTCGTTTATTAGACGTTGAGCGAAGGGAGGTCAGGTCCTGTATATAGCTGTGTTTTGGGGGTGATTCCGGCCATCGTGCCGTACATGGTGAATCACGCGGGTTATGGTATCCTTGGTTTGACTATATCACTCGCACAACGGTCTTCGTGTGGCTGTCCACAAAGTGAGGACAATCTAACTTGGCGAGGTGATGAAACTATGCACAACTTCTGTTCCTCCTCAAAGTCACTGGATTCGTGCTTCAGTCCTACCCGGCTCACTGCGCCGCACTGTCAAGATCGTTGTTGGCCTTTGTGATATCCACCATCACAGATTTATCTTGTAGATGTGACGCCTCGTAAAGAGTCAAGGAGATCCCGAACACAACGCCTCCGGACTTCCTTCCTACTTGGGTCATTAGGTATATGATGATCCGAAGTTTGGGCTAAAGGCGTCTTGGTAAGGTTAGTCGTTTGTTGGTTATACATTGGGCGCATAAGAGGCTACTACACATCTAAACTTCAATGCACGAAATCTAGAAGGCAATGCAGCACTTCTGGTTCTCCAAAAACCAGCCTGCGTGGGTTCGACATTCACTCGATGGTCGGATCGGTCAATATATCTCTACGGTGCCACCAGGTTGGTCACTCCACTGCCGGAGGCATTGATAGGGCACTGCGAGAATTGGCAACTTATTTATGCTTGGTGCTACCTAGTTCCGCTTCTAGCAGTCTGGCTGTGCTATATGATGAAGTGGATACAGCCGCTAGGTCTTTGTGAGAAAAGACTTATACCTCAAGTTGGTAAATGCCGGTGTTGCCTGTCCGTTTCCCCAGACATAGTTAATTCTGGAAACCACTTCCGTTGTAGGATTACCCTTAGCCCTGTTCACAGTACTAAGATGCGTGATTTTGACAACCACATCAAGCAATTGAATGTAATTCAGGGAGAGCTTATGGGCATTGAAAGCGCATCTGGAAACTTCATGTAAAGAGTCTTTGACCACCTCGGGATGAGTTGGAACCAGTCACGAGTAAATGCTTCCCCAGACCTATTGCTCTCCATAAAAGTGAATCATACAAATGGCAGGGACAGAACACCAATTCTTGAAGCCAGTTCAGGCAAAGCAGAATCCGATGAAAAATTGAACAGGGAGTCACTGCACTCGTGAAGTGAAACTGGCCAACCTCAGTTTGCTCTCAGATATCCGAGAACTCCACCACATAATGCTCCTATCAGACCACCAATACCGGTTACGAGACCAAATTTCTTATTGGCGCCTTCATTCAGACGGCAGAGCAGGGCACCAGCCATGGCACCACCCACAGCACCACCGAAGGCACCTATACCAGTATACTTGAGCGACTTGTTCTTTTGCTTCCTACGAGTCTCTTGTTTCCTGTATTCGAGTGAGTTTGAGAGTCTAGTGAGAAAGAAAAGCTCCGAAAGGTCAAAAGATCATGGGTGCTGCTCACATTGCGGCCAGTTGAGCTTCAACCAGTAGCCAGTTCATACTTCCTTCAACCTCCCTGATAACCGAGATACCCCTATCACGTGATATCCCGTATCGAATCGAAGAAGACAGTGATCCACTGCGATATTTGTAGAGGAACTCCTTAACCATTGTTTTACAATGGTGCATCTCGCTCTTTATAGTTTCCCAGGCGGCGTCGACATAGCATTGCCGGACTTCTCTGGCAAGAATCTTGATCTGCTTATAAAGATGCTTCAAATGACGTTTTCGACAAGCGATCTCATCGCTGGCGGCACGTATTCCAGATATGATTCGGGCTGCTTCCCGGCTCATGTGGAGGAATGATCCAGCAGCCCCAGCGATCTCAAGACCGATCATCTTAGGGTCAAATTCAGTGGAATGTCTAGGAATGGTCAGCCAGAGTGCAGAATTGACGTATCAGACGTTGCGTCAATACCATGTGTTCGACGATAGCATGCGACTTTACATCGAGGGGGGAACCTTTCGATCCTAACGAGACAGACAATTTAAGTGTGGGAAACAAGTTGAAAGATTCAAATTGTGGTGCCTCCTCTATGTTTTAAATGTGTTGGTGGGCCAGTTACCCAACAATAGAAGGCATGGAAAAGCTGATAGAGCCTACCTGACGACGCCCGGTTGGGGTAGTACAGCAGATGAGCTTGCGAATAGGCTGGTCAAACGTGGAGGTTTCCTGCAAAGAAACTCAAGCAGAATATCATCGGGTAGCACTTCGATGGGGAAATTCGACCAGTTTCTGCCTTAGGCTTTTGTCCGATGGCGATACCTTCTGAATGCGCTAACAAATGAACCTCGCCAGCGACGGTCAAGTTCTGCCCGTGGAGGATCTCGCTAGAGTCAAGGTCCCTACCAATCACATTGCAAGAAAACCACGATCTGACGCAGGGGATGCACCACAACCTTCTATCTCTAAGAAATTTAAGTCACTTCTTCTCCCCCCCTCTTCGATAATAATGTCTGTATACCAAAGGACGGCAAATGCCCGCGTTTTCATGGTATTATATACACACAGAAGATCTCTTCATTATAACTTCGTCGAGCCGACAGTCTCGTATCGAACTGGTGTTTTGACACCTATCTAAAATGCATTTGTCGTAAGAACAATACATTGGATTGCTAGACGATTGATTAATCACAAGCGTCCAACTTCCACATATTCATCTACTTCTCAAGACATCCACACTATTGTATTGATCAATTGAAGACTTTCACCGTGTAGAACCCTGGTTCCTGATAGGTTGAATCATAAGCCTGTAGAAAGGGCATGCGACGGTATACTTTGGTGTATTGCCAAAGGATATGCCTGAGCCTCTTGTGAAAGGAGGAAGACAAAGAACTACAAAAATACGAAGCAATATATGCCCTAGAAATTCCCCGCCGCCGTGACAGAGGAATCCGACGCCACACTGACCCCATTAACCACGACCGACTTCCCGCCAGTGCTGGTCACCCGGACATCGACCGTGTCCTTGCCGAAGCCGCTCTGGTTCTCGAAGAAGTTGTAATCGGAACGCGTCGTCGCCTGCCACGTGGCGCCGCCGTCTGTCGATACCTCGAGCGAGGCCACCGGGGAGCTGTGGTTGACCACCTGCATGCTGAACCAGTAGGCCGAGGTGCCGCTCTTGTTGTGCAGGACCAGCGGGCTGGTGATGGGGCACGCCACGGGTGTGTAGGATGTGGCCAGCTCGCCGGCCGACGTCGCGCCCAGCACTGCGAAGGCATCCTGGAAGAGATCTAGGTGGCCAGCGTCACACTCGGGACACTTATCTACGACCTATTTCGGGGCGCTGTTAGTCGAAAACAATTCGTCTTATCGTTGGGAATGGCACAGGGCACGAGTGATAAGGAGGTATCATGGGGGTGAAAACGTACCATGACAGTAATGGAGTTCCCGCTGGGACCCGTTACCTCGAGGCAGGCACCGCAGTTCGCTGCATTGTCCCAGCTGGAACCCGAGAACGCAGTGCCGTAGATGCCCGACGGCAGGGACGACATGGTAGTAAAAGAGCAGGCACCGCCGTTCAGATTGCCGCCATAGAACGTCGAGGTGCCGGACACGCCGTCACGGGGCGAAACGCCCGGCGCAATGTTGGCCACGGGGCTGCCGAAGACCAGCGGCAGAGCCGCGGAAGCGAACGTGATGGCGGTACGGGACAGCATGTTGAGTCTCTGACTCTGTGCCGGTTCGACAGGTATCACTTGGCAACGATGAAGGGCAGGTGAACTTTTCTTTGCAAAAAAACCAATGCTTCAAGATCTCTACAGGTCTTCTCGAACTCTTCACCCTCAGCAGAGACGTCATCTTGTGTTTCGCCCTCATCTTAATTGATTAATTCGGCCCACCGTATCCACCACCGAACGCGATTGGGCCCCGGTGAGTCCTTTCATCTCCCGAACCCTGATCTGAGGCAAGGGAAGCCGGGGGGAAGGCAGAGAACACCGTTGGTGAGACTCGGGGCGCCGGGGCCACCGGCTCATGGCCGCTGCAATACACCCTTTCCCGCGGTTCAAATGCCGGCGCACAAGAACTGGTAGCTCCGTCTCCGGTATATTGGTTCTGGAGAGTGGAGACAGGGATACCGCTGCTAGGCCGTGAATAGGAGCCGGATCCCAGGAGACAAGTGGGGTCGCACGATCGGGTTCCTGCCGATCGAAACAGCACGGAACGGGACGGGACGGCGATGGTAAACATTATACTTAATTGATAGCGGAAAACCTTATTCGGACAAAGTCCAAATACTGAGAGGCGACAAGGCCGGGGTCTCAAGAACCGCTGACGAGGGTTTCTGACCGGGGAAGGGTCGGCAGCCTCGCACGGGAACCACTTCAGTGTCTTAATGCCCCCGGCTTCCAGATTTAGAGGCAGCTGTGCTTTTTCTGCGCCTTTAGAGGTGTCCGAACCATAGTCATTCAGAGCGCATGGCTTACAAAGGGCGCCTCCCATTCCTCACCGAGTATCCAGGCCCCTGTCCTCTCCTGCCCTCGTCAATACGAGGAATGCAGCGCTAACGTAACATTAACTCGTGAGAGACTGATCTGCCGTTGTCGCGCTCTTGATCACATGAGATTGCCGGGAAACCTGCGCGGGACTGATTGATACCAGAATGACCAAGGCCCACGTAATAGCGGTGCACACGGACTGAGCCATGACGAGGCCATGATTCTCGCCGGCGCTGATTGGGAGTCCCTGCGATGCCTGTTGTGGTTTATCATCTCTTCATGCCCTGCAGTATCCGGCTGTGGGTTGTTGCCTGTTGCCAGGCCCTCGGCTCCAAAACCCCGGAAGACGCGGCCGGTAGTTGTTTGAGAGTGCAGGTATGCCAGAAGTTCCCGGGTCACTGTAGTCCAACGCGAGAGTTTCATCAACAGGAAGTACAGAGGCTGGCCATCAGAATGCGTGAACAAAGACCCCCAAGGACTGCGAGAGATTGCTGCGCCTTGCCCACACGCCCTGGACTCCACTGATCGCCTCCACTGCTCTCCATGTCAAGGACCATGCAACATCTCGACACTGTAGCTTGCCTCCGTAATTAAACGCCAAAACCCCCCATGGGCAAGCCAGCCCAATACCATCGACCGAGATTTTCCAGCTGGGACGGTGAGACACAGGTTGGAGACCCGTCGACTATTGTGCGGAAACGTTTATACGCCAGGACGGTACGGGGAGGGTATACCACGACGGGGGGCTATAACGCAATAGTGGACCGTGCCCCAGCAATCGCTGACGCCTTATCGTTTAGGTAATCGGAATAGCGCAATCGGCGCCCCGTCCGTCTCCTCGGTATTTGTACCCAGTCGGTTGAGATTTAACTAAGGCAAGTGATTGCTCGCGCGCGCGAGCTCCCCCAGGGGCCGCGCCCACCCCCTCCCCCGCCCTGCCCGCCAGTCAGTCGTTCTCTGGGAATCTGGGCGTGCGCGTGGCGTCGCCCACGGGCGGTACCATAGTATAGTTGTAATTAACACTCGGACACGTGCTTGTTGGTTCACACTCATGCGCGTGCGGCAGCGGTTGCGCCGAGGCTTCTCGCGCCGGGTTTTTGGGAGCTACTCTATGTAATAGTTAATTGCCAGCGTACCATTCTTATGTATGCTACATAGGACCCTCTCAGGCAGAGGGAAGAGCCACAACTTGCCAACAGCTACGATATAGTCGCACAATCCAGGCATCCACTTCGTTATCTCCAGCCTACCGTGGAACAAGAGGCATGGCCCGGAGGTCGCAGATCCCCATCCCCCTCGTGCGGTATCTCGAGGGGGATTGCATTATCGCGCACTAGTCTGGAACGGGGACTCAACGCCGTGGGGGGCCCTTTCGCGAAGCTGGGCTCCTCAAGCATCGGCACCGTCCGCCCCCCTCAATCCCGTCCGGCCTCTCCCACGAAAGGAGGGTATTCGAGCCAGCCAGCCAGCCAGCCAGCCATCGAGCCAGGCCCGGGGCCAGGGTCGGTTTGTGGTGAACCAGGCACAAAGCAAGGCTTCTGAATCGTGCTGGCAGGGGGACGCTCGACGGTCTTTCCCTTCTACGAGCTTCGTCTGCTCAGTTCCGCCCCAGTCGGCTAGATGCGCATCGCGAGGGACATCTGATTACCGGCCTTGACCTCTTGACGACACCTTCTGCCGTTCGGGCCTAGATCCCGGGGGGCGCCAAAGACGAATTTCGCACCAGTACCAGGTTTCTTACATGTTTCTCAACCCCCTCCAACACACTGCTGTAAGACGCCGGGCGGCGCGGCCGTAGAGTGCGAGGTGCCTTGGTTACTCAGAGCAAAAGCGGCCATCGCAATGGCGAACTCCAACAGCAATCCACCCCCTCCCGGAGGGGGAACCTGGGCGACGCCGCACGATTGGGCAACGTACCGCGAGACCATCGCGGCGCTTTACGAGGGCCAGAACATGACCTTGAAGAAGATCATGGAGATCATGGAGCGCGAGCACAACTTCTTCGCAACGTAAGTCCCGCCCATCTCTTTAAGTCGTGCCAAGGATTCCAGCCTAGAACCCCCCCCTACCTTCCTAATGGAGGGCAAGGCAGACCCCATATCCAGCAGCCCACTCTTGAAGCTATACGTTGGGCGGACACTGATGGTGAATGGTGAAGCGAGCGGATGTACAAGTCACGCCTTAAACAATGGGGCCTGCGCAAAAACTACAGATATGAAGAGGTCAACGAGATCATCCGCCAACAGAGCAGCCGTGTGACGGCCACAAAGCCACCGGCATCAGCTGTTGTGGTTGGCGCGCGTGTACGCAAGGGGGATGGCAAACGGTCCCGGCCTTTCCGGCGCCAGCCCGAGGCTATTATCGTCCACAGCGGGTCCAGCTCCGGCCTCTCGCCCTCGGAGCGCACCACTATGCAGAGGCTGACACCGTCACCGACGGCTCTGAGTTGTCGCATGCCAACCCCACCCAACGAGCCTGCTCTGTCCATGCTATTTCCTCTCACTCCGCCGGCCGATCTGAGATATCCCGAAGAGGCCGGTTATCACATCCAGAACTACTTTGCCGCAGCATTCGGCCAAGGCATGTGGACCCTCGAGGACCCGGAGTGGCTGACCTCCAACCGGCATGTCGTCGACTGGTTTAACCGCATCGCTTTGGCCCGGGGCACGTTGTCGGGCGGGCATACGAAGCAAGGCTTCAAGCTGCTTCAGCGTTGCTTCGACGAGTATAGGGATATGCTCGTCACCCAGGACCCTCGGCTGATGATTTACACCTGCGTAGCCATCATCCTTCTCGTGTCGTATCCCGAGGTGATTAACATGCTTCTGAAGTACATCGCCAACCTTGCGCGCATCATCCACGGCCCCTCCCACCCGCTGCACCAGTTCTGGAGTCAACTGCAGCACATGGGTCTCATCAAGCTGCTTGAAAATGCCAGAACGCTCTTCGAATGCCAGGTCGCCGAGTTCGGCAGATACCTGGCCGAGGACAACCCATTCATGCAAAGCATCACGGTCTTTTCGACGAGGTACCTCGCCATAGCTCGCCTCATTGATTCCGACACGGCCGAGCGCCAGCTGCGGAAGCTTCCGCGTGACGGAGATAATGGGCGACTTTCCATGGCGTTGGGGCAGATCCAGGCGGCGGGAGGCAAGTATGCCGAGGCGCGAAAGACGATCCTCGACCTGCTGGATAGCCCGATAGACCGGGTCCGGACCAAGGCAGGGGCATACGACACGCTGTTCCTCATCAGCCGGATGGAAGGCAAGGAGGACCTGGTGCGCGACGCGTCAGCAAAGCGCATCACCTTCTGCCTCGAGACCTTTGGTCCCAAGAACGAGTGGACCATCGACGCCGCCTCAGATTATGAGACGTTCCTCCGCGAGCTAGGAGATACCGCGGCGGCCGACAGGGTCTTCTCCGACTTTGGTATCCAGATGGACAAGCTTACGGAGGGTGTCAAAGAACTCGAGATCAAGTGAGTTTGAGCCCAGGGAGCTATAAATGCTCACTTGGTCGCACCTGCGCCGGCCCTGGAGGAATCACCACGAAAGATGCACCTTGTGGACGGTTTGCATACCGGCAAATCCAGCCCACTGAAATCCCAGGTAATGGACAGTCGAGGGTGGCTCATGGAAGAGCAATGCAAATCGACACATCATCGATGGGGCTTCATCTCCAACAATTCGAAGAGCCGTTCATTTTCCATTGCTTCTCGCGATCCCGCCTTGGAACTTCCCAGGAATCAGGAACCAGGAACCAGGAGGCTGGTCCAAGCAGATCGTTGGCGGAGGGAGCGGTCGAATGACCAGGTTAGCATTTCGCGGCGACACTGCCCTTCCTAGCCCTCAGGCCTATCTTATACCCCCGGCATGCTACCATCGTTTCGCTGCCGGGCGATTGAGTACGATATCGAGGGCGGTTCCGCACAGCTCCAGACACCGTGCCTAGCCGAAAGCCCGCCGGTGCGGGTGGCCCAGGGCAGGAGAAGAGGAGCTCCGGGATCCTATGTATGATTTCCATGTCTGTTTGTACAGTTTAGGGGACCTTGAGGGACAAGATAGGACTGGGACTGGGACTGGGACTGGACAGGACGGGACCACCGGGGGGGATCCATACCGGCGGGGAACAAGGAAAATTGGCAATCCGGGGTTGGGATTTTTCTTTCACCAAACGGCAGGGCGGCACGGGCGACGGCACGCATGGTGTTTGTTTTTCTTGCACAAGGCAAATGCGGTCTTTCCAGGGCTCTCGAGGCGTAGTAAAACTGATGTAGCAACAAAAACTAAAGAAGCACCGGAGAATGAGTTCAATCACCATCTTCACCATCCCCACACACCCCCGGACATTCCAGGTGACAGGCAGAGAGAGGTGGACGGAGGGAAGGGGGGGAAAAATAATAAAAGGCGAAAACATGGAAATTCTCAATTCCTGAACCCCCAGAAATAGAAGGATCAATTTCGATTTTGTTTTCGTTTTCGTTTCTCCCCTACCCCTCACCGCATGCCTGCTCGCGCCTTCCGCATCGAATCATGGGATTTTTCTGCAACACGGGGATCGGCCGGCCGCTTACCTAGGGCTGAAGGCAAGATTCGGCTTGCTGCAGCCAAGAGGCGTGATGCGACTTCGATGGGGACCGATTCATCCGAGGATAGCCACCCGGGGGCCATGGGGCATGGGGCCTGGAGGGAGGAAGGGGGAGGGATCATGACTAACTGTTGTGCACGACGGCCTTGAAACGCGCGCGAATTTGCATTGTGGATCTCACCGGTCGCGTTTCCATAAAGTAAGAAGAAGCGGTGCCCCCAGGTCTGGGATACGGCCTGGGAGACGTGGGTGCTGCATGGGCCAAGGGGGAGGCAGTGGTATGATGATGATGATGATGGTGATGAGGGATGCAGATGCTTTCTCGGGTCGGACGGATCGATAGATATACAGAATCAGCCAGGGTCAGCTTTCTACGAAAGAATACAGTTAACAGTACAGTAGCCGGAACCCATGACTTCGAGAGGACGAGGTCCGCGTTTCCCTCCCAAGTCAGCCCGAGAACGCCATCAGGAAAGCCCAGGACTGTGCCACCAATTTCCAAATCGCAATGCCGCCATCGAGCCGATTCACAGCTTTGTCCAACTGCCAGACCCCCATCTTGTCTTGTAGTAGGCCACCTCCGGGACCCTTCCAGATCGCTCAGTTGCCTTCTGCTCCGGCTCAGACGGCGCTGTACCCGCCGCGACTACCGCTGCCCTGCACCGTGTTCAGCGCCCTCCTAGTCCAGTCCTTCATCAGATATGGGATGTCGCGGATCGTGTCGCCGTGGGGGAGCAGGTCCCATCCGCGAGCGCCGTAGCGGTTGTAGTTGAGCCACGACCCGAAGATGAGGTAGGAGGCCGTGCCGAGGAAGACACTGTGGCTCTTTGTTAGCGACCATTATGTTTCTTGGCTTTGGCTGCGCGTAGACAGGGGGGGTTAATGTAGACGTACATCATGACCATCCAAGTAAAGAAGCCCCAGTGGCTGCTCGGACTATCCTCGCCGGGCTCGGCCCTGCGGTCTGGGCAGGCGTACTTGGTCTTCCACGTCAAACGGAGGACGTCAACGTCCTTGTCGCTCTCCAGGGGGCCGTAGCTGTTGAAGATCAAGGCCTGCTTCTCGTTGTCGCCGAGCTGTACCGGCTTGCTCTTGTCGTCGTCGCCGCCGCCGCCTCCCTCCTCATCCGAGACGTACAGCAGGGGGTCCGTGTCGTCGGCCACGCTGCGCACCCGCATGTTGTCGGAATCGTCACCGCCGGGCACGTACTCGTCCTCGGACGTCCACTCGGCCTCGTCGCCCTCGAACTTTTCGTCGCAGATGAACTCGATGATGGCGCGCTGCTGGCGCTTCTGGCTGTTGAGCCCCGTGTGGAAGCCGCCCTTGAGGATGATGCGCACGCCCTGCTTCTCGGCGTCGGCGTTGGAGTCGCTCGAGCTAAGGTTGATGATCTCGTGGTCGAGGCTGCCGCCGCCGTACTGCTGCAGGTTGCCGGCTACGGCAAAGGCGTCCTCGATCACATCGACTTTCGAGTCGCCCGTGCCCACCAGTCGCTCTACTGCACACACTGTCGGATGGCGACTGTTAGTTCTTGGCCTTCTTCGCTCCCTGCGTCCCGGGCCTGCAGCGCGACATTCTACATACCTCTGGTGTTGTGCGGACACTTCTGTTTGTCATCCACGTCGCCCTTGCGCTTCAATGCATGGCACAGGTCGGTCGTGAAGGTGGTGTTATGGGAGTTGGCTCCGACCTGTTGGCTGATGGTGACGGAGTGGGGGCCCTTTTCAAACAGGGGCTTGAGGTTGAATTTCCGCGTGTCGGTGACGAGTTTGTCGCAGATGAGCACCGACGATGCCGCCGGACCGGCCAGCAGGAGCAGTATGGCGGTTGCCTCGGCGGGCGAGGGTATTTGTGAGAAGCGCATGACGCGGGTTGTGATGAGGGCGAGGAGCGAGGAGCGAGGAGGTGAAGACGGGTGAACCGGAATGGAGGGTCGATGGTGAGGGCCTTGTCGCGAGGTATGTGCACAGGGCAATCTGTGCCCGTTGGCTCGAGTGCGTACACGAGAGGCGGCCGAGGGTTCGAGGAGGAGGAGACTCGGTAGGATCGGATGACCGCAGGAGGAGCTGTGGAGGCGTAGCTCGGAAGATGCAGCAAGGGCAAGGGGGAAGAAGGTAGATGCTGAAGTAGAGTATGAAGGAGAGCAACGGAGAGTGCCGCGTCACGAGGAGCTATGTCGCCGGTACGACGGGAGAAGAGACGGTCAGATGGGGCCGGCTCATGTGCTCCCAATACACAAGAGAAGTGGTAATGAAACTTGGTGTTGTCTGGCAGAGAGACGGCCAGCTACCTAGGTAGGATGGACGAGAACAGTAGGTAAAGCGAAGCAAGCAAGCAAGCAACCTGCTGTTATTAGTCAGACCTCAAGCCAACTAGAACCCAGCTCATGCCGGCCTCTGGCTGTCTGGGTGGATTCGAGTGCTGGGATCGGATCGGTGCTAAGGTTTGGGCGTCTTGGTGAATCAGATCAGGCCGACCGCAGCATCTGTCGTCATTGGCGTCCAGCCTCGACACAGAGACAATCACGTGATCATCGCGTCCTGTCTCGTGTCGAGAGTCTGCAGCATTCCTTTCGGACTTGTTACTTGGACCTGATGGCGCGCAGTAGTAATCACAATATAGTCTTTCCTGCCGTGCTTGGCTTCTGTGCCAAATGAATCACACCCGCTCTATTATAGCTCTACTTTGAGTTCTAATCTGCCGCCAAGCATCTCGCCGACAACGTCTGTCAAGTCCGTGATGGACAGGCGGACGCCCTTACGAAAACATCATGACAAAAATATCTGGTTTCGAGAGCAAAGACAACGCAGGGATCGGCTGTCCCGTCCCGCATCATCGTCTTCCGTCAAGAGGCGGGCTCCAATTTCTCGGACCTCTTGCGCAGGAAGCGTGATGCGTCCACCAAGCTCAACCCCCTTAATCCATACACAGGAAGATCGTTCCCGCCCTAACCCCCCCCCGGCTCCGTTGCTTTCCTTTCCATTCCTTTCCTGCTGCTGCCGCAAAACGCAAAAAGACACCGTCCGTAAATAAAAAGTCTGGGGTATATGAGAAGAAGGGAAATTTCGGAGAACCGTCGACCATGATGAGATCCCAGAAAGGAGGAGGGAAAAAAGCAGCCACCACTCGTAGTGTTACAGAGTCTCGTCGGTCCAGTAGAATCCAGTTCGCCGATGTAAAAAAGAGGAATAAAACGCCGAGCATGCCAAACGCCCCTTGTTCTTTTTATTGTCCGTTGCGTCGTCGTCGTCAGCGGCCTCTGGGACCACCACACATCACACATCACAGCCTCGAGCTCATCCCCGCCACGCGGCTCATCGTCCGCACGGCCTCGCTTGACAACATCTGTCGCATGAAAAGCTCAGTTTGCCGGTACGTCCAGGGCCTGTACTACATGCCCATTCCACCACCCATCCCGTTCTGCATGCTTTGCTGCATTCTCTGCTGCTGCACAAGCTGCTGAACCTGCGCCTGAGCCCTCTGCCCACACTGGGTCTGGAAGTTCTTGTGCACGTCGGCAGGGATGTTCTGCGGCGCGCCGTACTTGGCGATGAGGCCCGGCATGTGCTGTGCGTACAGAGCGCGCTGCCTCTGAGCCACCAGCTGCTGGTACCCGCTGTTGGCCATGCCCGGCTGCTGGCCGGCCTGTTGCTGCTGCTGGTGCTGCTGCTGTTGTTGCTGTTGCTGTTGTTGCTGCATCATCTGCTGCTGCAGTGCAGCCATCTGCGCCGGGTTCATACCGTTGGCGGCGTTCATGAAGTTGGTGTTGCCCATTTGCCCCTGCATCTGCTGCGCCTGCTGCTGCTGTTGCTGCTGTTGCTGCTGCTGCATCTGCATCTGCTGCTGCTGCTGCTGCAGACGCTGGGCGAGCTGCGCCTGCTGCGCCTGGTTCATCATCTGGGCGTTGCCGTTCATCATCTGCGCATTGTTGGCGTTGAGCATTTGCTGCTGCAGCAGCCGTTGTTGCTGCATCTGCTGAATCTGGGCCATATTCTGCATCTGCTGCTGCGGGTTCTGGCCGTTCATCATGTTGCCTTGCATCATGGACTGCTGCATCTGTTGCGCTGCGATGCGCTGCCGCTGTTGTGCCGCCATCATCTGTGCCGCCATCGTCGGGTTCTGCATTCCCATGGCCTGGTTCATAAGCATAGCCTGGCCCATCTGAGAGTTCTGCGCCACCATGCCCGGCGGCGGACTGGCCTGAGCCATGCGGGGGGTCGGCATCGGTCGGCTCGCAGGTGTTCCATGTGCCATCTGTGGTGTGGCGCTCGGCATCCGGGGTGTCCCGCCGGGATGGCTCTGCTGACTGCCCCTAGCAGACATGCTGACAGCCATAGGGGCTGACATGGGCGGATGGTTCTGGACCACGGAGGAGGGCCGCGCCGGACTGCCTCCCATGCCCGAATTCGTTTGCTGCATTACGTGGCCGTTGCCGACCATAGGCGATGACATGTTCTGAGGGGTGCCCTGGCGCACCACGGGGGACGACACGGGCGCTTGCGAGACTTGCTGAGGGAATCGAGGCACGGGCACGGCCCCGGGCATAGAGCCAGGCGTCGGATGGCCATGGGAGGCTTGCGACATCTGCTGCTGCATGTTCGGCGGCGATTGTGCGGCCGTGACCTGGACCTGGACCTGGGCTTGCGCGGCCGCGTTCGCGTTCGCCTGTGCCTGGGCCTGGGCCTGGGCTTGAGCTTGAGCTTGCATGGCGGCACGGCGCTGGGCTTCCTGCTGCTGGCGCTGGAGCTGCTGCTGGCGGGCAGCCTCTTCGCGCCGGAGCTTCTCGGCTGCTTCTTGTTGTCGGCTCGCCATCATCGCCGCCTGCTCGGCCTGTTGCTGCTGCCGCTGGGCGTTGAGTTTCCGTTCCTGCTCCGCCTGCCGTGCCTTTTCCTGCTCCTTCTTCTCGGCATGCTCCCTCTTGATCTCGGTGATGACCTTGAAGCGCTCGAAACGGGGTTCGAAAGCAACGCCGCCGGATTGGCCGGCGCCTTCGCCTCCACTGGCTCCGCCTTGGTTGCTGCCAGCGTTGGATGAAAGCCGCTCGTCGAACGTGAGCATGTACTTCTCGCGATCGGCAACCAGAGCCTCGTCGGCAGCACGTTCGGCCACGGTGCGTTTCCTGGTCTTGGGTTTGGGCGCCGGCTCCGAGTTCTTGTCGCTGGCCAGGCGGTTCAGGAGAGCCATCATCTCCTCCTTGTTCTTAGTCGTCTCCAGATGCAGAGGATCGGCCGTGGCGAGCAGAATCTGGGCCTCGGCAACATGGATGGTCTTGCCGTCCAGCTCCATGCGCTCCTTCTTCTGCTTCTTTGCAGGCGGCGGCATGCTGGCAGCCGTCGGCGTGGGGGGGACGGCTGACATGGGCGTGGGCGGCGGGATGGTCCCATCGGCGGCCCCCTGCGGAGTCGTGGCCTTGATCATCAAGTCCATTTGCAGACTCTGTGGGGTGGGGTGAAGGACGACAGTGGTCGTTTTAACCTTGAGGGGGCCTTTGCTTTTCTGGCCATCGGGGGCTGCTGGAGCAGGCATATTCTCCTTGTCCACACCGTCCGAGTCGGAGGGCTTGTTGTCCTCGGCTGCCGCCGGTGCACCATCGGTGTTCTCCTTTGGGTATGGGATATACGGAGACGGTGTGATGTAGGGATTATAGTTGTGGATGGAGAAGGGCGTTGTCTTGTTGGAGGCCGAGGTAGGCCTCGCGACGTCCTTTGACTGTGCAGGAGACTTGTGGTCGTGGATCTCGACAATTAGACAGCCGTCGTAGAATGAAACTCCGCCCTCGGTGAAGTAGGGGAGTAGGTCGTGGGGCACCGTCCTGGCGCGGACATGGTCAAGAAAGACGCGCATGGGCGACTTGTACGGGAAGATGCCATCCTGCTGGTCGAAGCGGAAGTGGGTCGGATAGAGATGCACAATAAGTGATGGCGGGCTACCAGCATGTTTTTTGAGAATATACTGATCGGTTATAACTGCGTGAGTTGTTAGCATCTGGTATAACATGCAAGACTAGAACGCAGTAGCGCCGGGGAAGATCTGGGTGTCGGAGGACCAGAAGACCGCTTACCTTCAGGACGCGGCTCAAAGGACCGGGGCACTGCGCTGTCCAGAGAAAGGCCGGCGGACCGCAGGCCGTTTGCCCTCACACCCCGCGCCGAGCCGGCGACCTGGATAGAGGACTCCCGGCGAAGGCGATTCGCGGCGGCACGGTTGACGCCGTTCATCGTGGCCGACGTCGGGGTGGGCTGAGCCTTGTTGCCGCCGGTGGGCGTGCGCTTGACAGACATGGAAGGAGACTGGGACGGCGAGGAGCGGGACGACGCAGCGCCATTTGTCTGGATGCCCGGGGGCGGAGGGCGCTTGATCTTGGTCGCGGTGGCGCCGGTGCCGGGGTTGTGGTTCGGGACAGGCGTCGCCGTGGCGGTAACGACAGGAGCCATGATTGCCGGTGCGTGCGGTGGGTAGGAATGCCGCGCTGGCTTCCGAGCTGGCTACCGAAGCAGGACGGCACCGCGTGCGTGGGTGCGTGTCCGAGGGCCCTGACAACAGAGGGATGCGGCGCGGTCGCTGCGAGTCGTCAAAGGCCCTGGGATGTGGGAGTCCGGGCGGGCGACTCGCTCATGGATGCTGTCGATATCGCGCTCGAGGTGGAATGGGTGGGCGGATATATAGCCGGATGCGATGGATGGATGTTCGGTCTGCGGCGGGGGGGAGGAGGCACAAAGTCGCGTTGGAGCACCGAGTCGGATCGGATGACGTCGAATACGAATGTCAGCGATGGATTGAACGAGGCCGAGGGCCAGCCACTGGCTATCGCACACGGGCAGCGGGCAGAGAGCGACGGAGCGAAGGGCCTGCGTCGGCGGGATGCCCGTTGTTGGCCTTTGAGACTCTCTTCTTTGAGGTGGTGGTGGTGGTGGTGCTGGTGGTGGTGCTGATGCGGCTCAACTGGTGGACGAGTGGTTTGAATGCCGGTGGCCGCCGCCTCTTCTCTCCAACAAGGGGGCCATGGGTGTGGGGGCCCACTTCTTCCACCTGTCTACCCACGACGTCCAATAGAATGCCGGGATGGGACGCGACGGGCCCCATTTCTCCGCCCAACCCTGCTGGCACGTGACCTCCTTCATCGAAACCAGAAATCCGGGGTAAATCTAAAGGATCGGAGGAGCCTACTCGTCGTTTCTGGTGTTGGCTATCTGCCAGTTGAAGCAAGGTGCTGGGTTCTTTACGTATAAGCACGAATTTGAAGGTGCACTCTGAGGTCCATGCTTTTGGCACGCTCAATTCCACAGCTCGACGCATCGCTTCAGGCCGTGTAGTTATTAGTGATGGCTGGCTAAAGTTGAGGACTTTATTGGACACACCCCATCACGAGTACTTCATACTAGCATTAGGGATGGGATAATCATTATAGTAGAGGTGGTATGGAATGAAGAGCCACAGTCTGGTAAGCAACAGGGCTCTTTCCCAGACCGGTCTCTCCCTCACAGTGACGAGCACTTTTGCACAGTGTCATATTTTCTGGGCTAGTAGACCCTTACAACGTATTCCTCCTGTCCGAGAGTTCACTATACGGCAAGTAGCTCGGCATGCTACTTGGCGATGTACTTGACCGCATGTTATATATGGACATCCAGTGACGAAAGCTGGGCTGGTCAACTAAGATATTTCGGATAGACATACAAATCACGCGTTTTTACACTCACAATCCATACCATTCTTCGAGTTGCGTCAATCAAGATGCAGATATGGCAATGGCAGTATATCAGTCCAGCCGAAGACTAGTTGAGACCTACCATCAGCCCATCTGGCAGACTGGCGCCAAACGCGGTGGTAATCTCGTACTGCGCTTGTCAAGATGGCTCCTCTGCGTATAAGCAACGCTCACAGGCATTAATTCACTGCTCGACGCTGGTAAACCGATAATGGGCTATGTCGACCGTGACTGTCGTGTATTCAAAAGTCGATGGCTGGATGGCGAGCATGCCGAAGCGAGCGATCTAAATCAAGCCGAAGGTCCTCAAATCACCGTCCCGTGCTGCTACGGATCGCTGGCTTCATCCGCATCGGTATTGACCACAAGCGTGTCGACGAATGCGAGGCCACCGAAGGTCTTCTCCATTAGTGGCAGGTCGCCTGCCGGATGTTGAGTGGAAGGAGTTGCCGCATCCCAAGAGATATTTTGTAGCGCCAACATGCTAGTTACATTTAAGCCGTGGTTAGAACTAACTTCAAATGGGGGTCTTCAACTCGGTCCCCGCCTGCACAAGTCACGATGATTCTACAGTCTTATATACCGCTGTGGAAGCCTATGCCAGCTGGTATCAGGTCAATAACAACTTCATGGTTTCGGGTATGGTCTTTACTTGGCCATACTTGGTGACAGCACCATGGTATATGCTACTCGAAGCAGCGGAGGAGGCATGACCCCCACGATGGACACACCATGAGAGCAGTGGTTCCCCACCTAAGCCCGGCTGACCATGACAGTGGCTATCCTGTGCTTCCGGGAGGAACGAACCATCACATAGAAACGACACGCTCTTCATGAGCCGTAATGGTGTGAAATTGCTGACATGCAAGGACTGAGGCCAACGTGTCAAGTAGTCAATGGGTGTCGGAATTACAAAGCCACACACTTGGATAAAAGCCACACACTTGGATATTACTGCGCTTGAAGGTACCAGCACGTTGCGCAACTGCAACCTAGTACTTGGCGCTGTGAGGGTAGCCTCAGTATCAGCCACCCTCAGATACGCCATTCCTTGCTGTTCCCAGCCATTATAGGGTCTAGGTAGTTATGCGACAGCGAGATATAAGCAGGTATGCAGTGTGTGGCTCAAAGAGTAGCGAACGACTGAGCATTCCACACCGTTTCATACGGCCGCAGACCCTCCAACAGATCGAGCTACTTCAATGGTTCTTTTGTCTTGCCGCAGAGTCACCAGCATCTGAAAAAGCAACCCGAAAGCCTGGCTTTTGAACTGGCAATGTGACCCTCAGGAGTCAGGAGGCAGGTTTCAACTTGGCAGGCTTTCCGTCGGAGAGAACTCGCCGTTCCGCGAGTGAGCATGGACCCGAAATCGGGTGTTGGCATCCGCGGAGCCTTGTCGCTATCCGTGGATCATGTGCTCCAGGTCGACGGCATCCCAGCCTGTCCCGAATTTGATCGAATATGGACGCATTGACTTGGCGTGTCATCCGGGATCCGGCAAATCAGGCATACATTGCGAGCATCGTCACGCCTGTAGGTTGACTGCATCTTGCACGCTGCACCTCAGAGTGAATTGGGAGGAGGGAGTCGCATTCCGGCTGCATCCTGTGCAGTGTGGATGAAGGTCTGGCGCTCGGTGGCAACTAATGCTGTGTCACCAGGTCGAGGACAAAGACACATTCGAAGCCAGCCTGCTGCTTGGTTGGAATGCTGTCGATAGATGGAATAATACAGTCAATACTAGAAAGCGTTACAGTGAGATACGCCAGTACCCAAGGCGCGATGCGCATTCGCACAGTAGGGCCGACCGAATAACAACACTCAAAGTATCATGTAGGTACCTGAAGTACATACAACAGGTAGCTAGAGTAGTCGAACTCATTTGTTGTAGTCAATCTTGTTTGTATTTTCTTTGAGATGAAATGCTGCTTGGACCATGTAGCCCACCCGAATGAGGGTACTTTTCTGGGGCGCTCCGTAGTTCTTCACCGCTACCTTGGTGCTTACGGGGGCTACAGTCGCAGGATTAAGGGGCCATTATCACCGCTGAGCCGTCCTGCTCCAAGCACCGCAGCAAACTTTCAGAAGATTGTACAATGATCACTGTAAGTATGGTTCTTCTTCCCCCGATGGTGTCTCTTCACTGCCTCATGGCTACATCAAGCCTGCTCTGCTGGGTGTTCGGGCAAGTGATGAGCAGCCAATTTTTCAAGCACCTTGGGGTCGTAATTAGGCTGGTGGTGCTGGCCTTTGAGTTTCTCGCTCCACCATACTTCAGCCGTCTGCAAGACGGCAGTCCCAGCGTGGGAAAGCTGGCTATTATAATGGTGAGCTTTGGGAGGTCTTTTGCGTGATTTTGCCTTCTAGAAGTTCCAAACATGAGCCTGTGTCGGATTTGCTCTTCTTACTCTCTGTCAGTTTCACTTAATTAGTGAATATTGATTCTGTCTGGAAAGCTGTGAAGTCTTGTTTAGAATCATGTATTGATGCTTCAAGAAGGACTCTATACATGGGGGCTGGCTATGACTTTCTCTCTTGCCTACGTCGCGAGCGCGGTGTGAGTCTACTGCTACATTTGCTGACCCTGAATACAACCTTAGATGATCGGTTGGCTTGATTTACCGTCACCATCGTACTGTCACAATCAAACAGATAGTCCGAGCGTGGTGGACGATTCTGTAGGCGCTAAAGGCCGTGGGACAAGGAGTCATTGGGGAGGGAAGGGAACAGAGAGGGGACGGTAGATAGGGGAGCTCCTCTGCAAACTCCCTAGAGGGCGACGCAACCTTCTGCCGTCGACCGCCAAACTACGGGGTTTGTGGACATTGCTGCGTACGCGGCGTCCACCCACATGTCAATTAATAATTCTTCCTCACTCCTGCGCACGTTTGGGCTGACGCGACCAGGCTCATCACGTAGCGAAGGTTCAAGTCATTTTTCGAGAAACGTATCATAGATCTCACTGGTTGTTTTCTACGATAATTTGCACGTTTTGGGGTTTCAAACTTTGCAAGCAACCGAAGCTTTGAGGAGGTCGTATTTTAGCTAGTGTTCGCCTGATTTATCAAGATCCCTCGGCCGCGAGCTGCCGTTCATGTGTGAAGGAAATTCTCCAACGTATCAATAGGCTCTTCAGGTAGACAAAAGCCCTCACTTTAGATGATCACAACGGCTAGAATCGCGTTGGGGGAAAATTAATTCTAGATTCAGAAGACTCCCGCCAGAGTTTCGGCGCAGCGCTTGACCTTTACTGTATGTCGTGTCGCTTTGGCGAACTACTTGACAACGTAGCACCGAGTACTAGTAAATAATAGTGTGGTACCGACTGTGACTAGACTACTATTGATCATGCAAGTCCGGTACGAATTGTGTACATTTGCACTTGCATGTGAGGTACCAGAAGCTTCTCCATACTGGACCATGACATGGTTCGACTTGATGTGGTTCGATTCGGTAAATAGTATTGTTACTGTGTCGCCATATACAACACGAGAAACATACAGCAAGGTCAGATCCGCAATTTCCTGTGATCCTACGTTCCAGGCAGTATCAGCAGGCAAATGGGTGGTCAGGTAATGGCTATGTGCGACGGAAGCTGACCAAGGCAGCTAAATTAGCCAACTAGGATGTCTGACGTCTTGCACAGCGTAGAGATTGTCGTGTCGTTTCATTTGCCATAGCAATCTGCCTAGAACACTGGGATTATTGTGCCTCAGGTCGGTTCTGTCTTCACTGGACCACCACTGTCCATATGGATGTATAGAGCGGTTAGAAACCCACCACCCTCCGGGGCATATGATAGTCTTAACACCAAAAAAAGGTTGGGCCGAACACAAAGGGCAATATCACTACGAAACGCCAATTGAATGAGGATTTTCGCTCTTGGCATATCGAGTTCAGTTCATTGCGCTACGGCTCTGTGACTCATTAAACATGACGACCCCTGCGAAAACTTGATTCTCTTGACAATGACTCTTAAGAATTATGGATATCCCGAGCCATAGGAACTCAAAACCCTAGCAATTATTGTTGTCGCATTTCACTTCTGCAGATACACCGTCCCTGGTCTGCAAAGGCTGATGGGAAAGTCACGCTGTCGCACACGGGATAGCCCCTAACACATCAGCACGGTCAGAAAGAAGGAAATAAAATCAAACATGACCTTGGTCGATTAACAGCTGAAGGTCAGACTCACATGTGTCCCTCCTCATTACAACATTTCGTACATGCATGGAGTGGGGGACACGTTTACTGGGTTCCAATTCCTAACACCCGATGACAGCAGTAAAGAATGCTGGATGCTATCTGCTTTGGGGCCATCTCTGCTGAACGGGTGTCATGCCCAGTGGTCTCTAGTCTAGTACGCGCTTACTGCCCTAGAAGCTCAGGAACGGACCCCTATGAGGGCGGGGGTTCTGGCACAGCCGGACCAGCGAAGGGAATACCTAGAGTTGCTAAGTCACGGGTACATGGGGCCTGTGGCTCCTGCAACCATTGTGATGTACAAATCTAGGCTTCTAATTCCCGCTAAGGGGTGAAACAGATACCAATCATTTCATACAACACCCAGCACAAGCAGCAGCCGCCCACTACCCAGCTCCAATGGTGAACCCATATGGTCGACAACAATAAGAACGTCCTTCTTATCCGTGGAGTTGAGAGGTATATTAGTAGGTTAGTAGGATGGTAGTCGCTATTAAGTTCCACGTCAGGCAGCTGTTAACGAACGAATCCGAGAATGATATGACCGATGTCTCAATCGCAACTACGAAGCCTAGGGATAACTCAGAAACATGTCTCACTATAGACGAGACCAGCGAGACACAGTGCAAGTGAGCTCTCATATTCAACAAGACACATGAAATGCGATAAAAGCAAGGCATATCATCAGCCATGCCACAACAGCTGCTCCACGCCGTCGAGTGGAGTCAGTAGTGCAGGCTAACGAGTTGGTTCCCCTGGGCGGCATGGTGTACGTGTAATCCCAAGTTTGGCGGTGGTATTCAAGTTGCAAACTATATACGAAACAAAATGCAGCAAGATTTCATGTCCATACCCGTATTTCCAGTCATAGCAATCACATCTCGTACGCCAAGAGCCCTACTCCTTGCCCTGCACCCGGCGTGCCCAATCGTCACCAACCCGGAGACTATCAACCACGACGACTCCTCTGCCGCGGCCGACCCGGTCCTCCCTCTGCCACCATTTCTCCGTCTTGTCAGGTCTCTCGGCTTCCGACTCACTGTCCGCGAGCCCGCCATGGCCACCATCGGCGCCGACCACCAAGATGACGTCATATCTGAGCCAGGATTGGAGGCGCGTGATGTGAAGACCATTATCACCAGCCAGCGACTCCTGCAGGTAGACGACTTCCGGCTGCAGGTGGTGCAAGATGTGAACGTGCCCATTCTCGGTGGTGAAGGGCATGATCATCGACTCCTTCTCGACCAAGCCGAGAGCCTGCGAGTAGACGGCGTTGAATGCCGGGTCCACATTTGCTTTCAATCTATAGCGTTTTAGCCGGATGAGGCATGGCACAGAGAGTACTGGAGACACGTACAAGGGGCTCTTGGACTCATCACCCGGAGTCTGGGCCTGGTTGTGACTAATGTTTGAGAATGACGAACTCAGAGAAGCTGGAGGCAGGTTACTTGCCGGCGCATCAAGGGAAGTGTCCTTGAGACCTGGCGAGTAGATCAAGATGAAGAGCTTGATCTTGGAGAAGTCTGTGTTTCGGGGAATGTGCGAGAGGATGGACTAGAATCGCAAGCAGTGTCAGTAGGGGGTCCAGCAGGGAGATGTTGGGGTGGGAAACCGTACAGCATGTTCGTGGAAGCCGTCCTCATCCAGGTCGTCCAGGTTGGTGTCGGCAGACACGACCACGGCGACCGTCTTCCTCCGCTTGCTGGGCTCGCGCGGCTGGGCCGGCTTGTCCTTTTCTCTTCTAGACTCGGCCTCCTGCGACCACGTCTCGTGGTCGGCATATGCGGTCTTGTCTTCTTCTCTGATGGCAGCCAGCGCACTACCCATGGCTGCGCCAACGGCTCCCACACCGGCCGTCACAGCTTTGCCGGCATTGCTGAGGAACTGCTGGGGACTTGGGGTCCGGCGTAGCGCACCAGACATGGACTGCCCCCATCCTGCATTTGCTTGTGCTTCGGCGTGCGGGTCGGTGACGCCGTAGGTCGCGCCTTCACCGCGGGAGTACGAGTCTCTGAGATGGCGGTCGCTTGCGCCGTACGCTGGGTTCTCGCCGTAGTCTGCGTTTTCATAGTCGAGGCCGGCAGGCGGGGGATCCTCCTCCTCTTCCTCCTCGTCGCCCTGTCGCTGGCTCCATGCCCAGGCGGCTATGCCGACGGTCGCGACGGTGATGGTCACGGCCAGTGGAACCCAATGGCTCCAGACGCCTCTCCGGCGAGATCTCGAATCGGACGACATTGAGTTTAGGTCGGGCTCATCGCAAATGTCACGAATGCCTAGGAGGCGATCATACGCAGAGGCAGGAGCAGGGGGGAGCAGTCGGCGGTGTTGTCAGCAGTCAAGAATGCCCCGAAATTGGTGGGCTGGGAAGCCATCAACAGCGTGCAAGCTGGAGATGGCGGTGGCTGGTGTTGACCCCCAGTGTTGACCGACAAGGCTGACGTACCCTTGCACGCCCGGAACCACTTGGACGAGTCGGGCGCCAGCCGAGGCCGATCGTTAGCGGGGCAACCCGACCTGGGCACCTGGGCCACTGGGCAACTGGGCCACTGGGCAACTGGGGGCTCCTCACTCACTCGAGGCCGGTCGGCGGCCGCGGCGCGCTCATCTCCAGCAGCCGAACTTGTACCGGGCGTGACCGCGCATGAGGTCTGTGCCAGGCCGTAGGACCAGGAATAAGACTGCAGGTGAGGGAGAGCATTATCATGAACAATCAGATGAATAAAATGAAACCATCTCCCACGCAGGAGCCGCGAATAATCCAGAAGCCATTCCGGTGATGTGAAATGCATTGAAATCATGTGACACTGCAGTTTTGAGGGCTATGGTTGGCTCAGAGCCTTCGATGCCCCACTTGCCAACATCATTTTGGCGATGACTCTTAACCAATTCCACCTCGATGCCCATCGACAGCATCATCGGCTGAACCAACTGCGACTGTGCATGTCAAGATCCTGAGGCTTGAACAAAATATTCCGGCAGGGTAGCTCATCGTTAGCAGCCCTTTTCGTTTGAAACCTCCAGCGCGTTGAAGAGGTGCTGTTTGAGAGCCGGCGGGCGCAAATTCTCACCAGTTCATCCCACTTCAATCACCCCACCAAGCCCCGACTTGCACTGGAAAACTACCGGAGGCGCCAGATCCAGCTCCCACCCAGGCGTCATGCCGCACGCCGTCTCGATGCCCTCGCCGGGCTTGCAGGCCATTATCCTCTGCGGGCCAGGCTCGTCATTCCCGACCTTTACGGCAAACCCAGATGAGAATCCGAAAGCGCTATTGCCCATCGCAAACCGGCCCATGGTCTGGTATCCAATTGACTTCTGTTACCGCACGGGAATCACTGGTAAGTTCGGCTCTTGTCTGTTCTGATGTTATCTCTTTTCCTCTGTATCTTGCTTTCTATGGAGGCCATGGCTAGGTTACAAGCATTAGGGTCACTCTAGGGTAGCCACTCATCCACGTACTTGATTCTGGGGTCAGCGGTGTCCGGGACAGCATAATCTACGCCACACAGCGTTGTCGCCATTGAATAGAGCTAATTCAGGAGATAGATATTACACTGATCTGCCCTCCATCAGCAAAAGAGGCCATCTCTACAGCTTTGAAAACCAACCCATTTCTCACGGGGCTGCCTCATCCCCATCCGGATCTCTTGGCCCCGGCAGACCTCGATCAGAACACGGGCACGGCAGAAATCCTGCGGCTGCCCGAAGTGAAGCAGCTCATCACCTCCGATTTCGTGGTTCTTCCGTGTGATTTGGTTTGCGAGCTTGGCGGTGACAAACTGTTGCAAGCATGGATGGTCAAGGCCGCAGCTCCGCTGAGTGCTCCTCTGCAGGGCAGTGGCGGCTTGGGCGTATACTACGAGACCAAGACTGCCACCCCTATCAAAGGTGAAGAAACGGACTTTATTGCAACCACGGCTTTGTCGAAGCCGACAGCGCCCGCCTCGAAGGACTCGTTGCTGCCACAGCTGTCAAAGCTCGCCTTGTCCATGCCCACGGATTCTCTGAAGGACCTGACAGAGGAGAAGAACGGCTTCCCCATCCGCCGTGGCTTACTACGCAAGTACCCTAAGCTCAGGATGCTAATGACTCACCGGGATGCACACGTCTACATCTTTCCACGCTGGATCCTTGATTTCGTCGCAGAAAACCCCCGGCTGGAAAGCATCGGCGAGGACGTTATCGGCTGGTGGGCCAAGGCCACTTGGCAGGATGGATTGGCAGAGAAGTTGAGAATTCCCGAGATCCTGGCAATGTCAGACAGCTCGAATTCAAGGCGTGAGAGCGCCTTGACGGCTGGATACGGAGGCGATTCTTCTCCAACGACGGGGGTGCAGTCACCGGATCCCGCATCGCCTCCACAGCAGCCCACGAAAAGCAAGTCGAATGCCACTGCCAAGTCACAGAGCGCTGCAGTTCCCCTAGTCTTGGCGTATATTCAACCGTCTGACCCTAACGGACCGCTCATTCGGCGAGTCGACACTGCTCAGCTCCTCCTGAATGTTTCCTTGCAAATGGCGAAGCTACTTTCTGTGGAGGAAGCCGGCGGAGAAGCATCTGTTTTTGCCCACAGCAGAAAGGTCGCGTACCCGGAAGGGGTCAAGCCGCGTACGACAATAACCAAGCAAGATACGTTGATCGCGGATAACGTAACCGTGGAAGAGAAGACGTCGATCAAGGAGTGTGTTGTCGGTGCCAATTGCCAGATCAAGGAGGGCGCCAAACTTTTCCAATGCGTGCTCATGGATGGCGTCGTGGTTGGCAAAGGATGCAAGCTCACCCGTTGCATTCTGGGAAAGCGCAGCGACATTGGCGAAGGATCTACCTTGACCGAGTGCGAAGTACAGGAGAACCTATTGGTGGAACCGAAGAGTAAGTGGTGCCCCGTTGAAACTCTTGCTTGTTCATATTGCCTTTCGGCACCCCGATGCAATCGACTGACATTTTACTACCTAGCCGAGGACAAGGATAACAAGCTCATGAGCAGCGAGGGGTTGGAGGCGACGGAGCAGGAATTGCAGGATGCGATGCAGGATGATGATGGCGATGATCTGATGGAATAGGAGCCCATGTTATCGGTGTCCACTGTGTCAGTCACCGTTCGAGCCATTCTATAGGCTGTTGGTGGCAAGTACCTGCAAACCGGGGGAACACATCACGCGACAGTGCGTTGAAGCATTTCTAGGGCCTGGCGCTGCCCGAAGAGTAGTGCGGCTACCCATAAAGAATAGAATAGAAAGGGACCACCTGAATCCATGGATGCCCAGGTACATACGTAGGTCTAGATGAGTGACTGACCAGGCCAAGCCACTAGCGATCCTTTCCGGGCCTCATTACCCGCGCTGCAGAGAACGTACCGTTCCCATGTCTCTACTGTGAGCTACCGTACTTGCGCAACCCTTTTCCTGCCTGCCGGACCGACGGGTCAGAATGGAGAGTTCAAGCAGCGCCCGGCTCGGGCTTTGCACTCTCACTTTGCCCGGCTGTAGTGCGAATCGGAATCTAAGACAATAGAAGACGCAAAGGTTAGTTTCTGGGGGGGGTTTTGAAGACAATAGAAACTGTCGCATGTTATAGGGCCTTTGTCGCGAGGGATAAGATATGGGATACGCAAGGTGTCAACTGTATATTGAGCCCTGTGTTGGTCTCTGTAGGTGTTGCACTGCGGTTCCTCATGCCCTCTGTGACTACTTCGTCTTCTTATGGCCAGTGCCGTAGCTGTCAACCGTTCCCGCACCTCTCTATTGGTAATCGCTCTAGGTTCAGTATGGGTCACTCGTCTCTACATATCATTATTCGGTCATTTTCCTCTTTCATATTTTGATTAGGTAGTATTTCCAATTCCCAATCTGTGGTGCGCGAGCGTTGAAACTGCAAAAAGGGTACAGCAACAATCTTCTCCGCGAAGGGCACTACACCTGCTGCACTCAAGGCCTGTAGATTACTGATCGGCCTGGCTTCAAGCATGAGTTATCCTGTAGGATCCGATGACTCCGCTGAGCGGCTAGAGACTCATCTCACAACACCGTTGAAGACCAGATTTGTGTTCACCAGTCCCGCAATACCCAATAACACCTTGACGCTTGCATCCTTTGATGCAAGCTATCCGATACCATTACCAGCAGATACTGGAGCACCTAGCATCGCGTGGTCACAAGTCGCTTGGAACAGGCATCCTCTGGTAGTCTGCTTCATCCGTTTGGACCTTGACCACCAGCCAAAAGCTGCAGGCGTGTACATGCTTTGAAATCCACTGCGCCGTTCCTTCTCACGGCACCGTCCCTGATTCGTTGTGCTGAGTCTGCAACAAGGCCCATTCAACATGATTGCGGGTCCATGACCAGGGGTTTTATAGGGGTCAAAGAGAAAAGTCCCACGCAGCACGGACTTTTCCCGCATTGGTCGGTCACTCTGTCATTTACTCTCCCCGACTGGTTCCTTCGACGGCTTCATCCATGTCTCTCCCCACGTGCGTCGCGCCTTTCGCTGCGAGAGGTGACATATCATGTTCAAAAGCGATCGGCGCCGCCTGGGCTGATCCGAATGGAGCTTGTGCTGGGGCGTGCCGTCAAGGCTGGACCGGTAGGCGCGGCAGCATGCCGTATTTTTGTTCACCTGCTTCTGCACTTGAACGGAAATTTGCTTTAGGCAATGAAGTTATTTGATCCTTGCTGTACGTGCACTCAGGCGGATCTGCATGAGCCAGAGCCAACGGATTTTCTGAATCGAGGCGACTACAAGGCGACGTCGTTGCGACTCGACAGGGCAAATGCGCTTTTCTTTTCTGTCGCAAGTTGGATGGCAAGTATGCGTGTGGCCATTTTTGTTGAATGGTGTACCTTTGACCAATCTTCTTGCTAAGAAATTGCGTAGGTTGCGAGAATTTCTACGTCATACCAGGCAAGATCATTGCCGCGATGTGAGAAACTGGCAAGCCGATCGAAAGACTCTTACATGTTAGGTGCTATTTGTCACACAGAGCGAGATGAACTGGCATTCTACATTTGCGTAAATCGCCACTATATCATACCGAATGACTGTGTATGAGGACCCTTGGAGCCCAGTACCGGCAGGACTCAGCGCGATATGTCGCAGAGCATTGCAACTTTATTGATTAGGTGTTACCCCAGAAAAGTGTGGGGTGATTGAAATCCAAGAACACGTAGGTAATCCATTCAATTATTTAAACAAGTACACAAGCCTGGCATGTTGAGCCAAGAACGGATGCTCGTTCCAGAAACCAGGTCCTTGTTGGATGCATCTCCCCACAACATGAGCCAAGCTTCCCCTGAGGCTCCCCGGTGCTTTGGGACTACGCAGCCATCAATCCTGGTCAGCGATATCTGGTTTAAACAAGTAAGCGACATGTCTGATTCTTCATGAGATGAGTCTATTCGATCTTTGCTTTTCTGCATGGCTCGCTCCCTAGCCATGCACTATCTCTAGGTTACATAACCTGTGCAAAAATGCTGCACTCGGCGGACCATGGATGTTCCTCCTAGCTGAGGTATTGGACTCGTGGTGACTACATTGATCCTTGAAATTCATGACCTCCTCTCCAACCGGCGAACACCCCGGTACCGTGCCAAGTCTGGGGCACTCCTGGCGGCACTCCTGGCTAACCTACATATCGCTCTGCGGTTTTCGTAACACTCTACGGAACGTGGACGCACGTCAATCACATCGGAGTTGACGAGCCTTGACAACTCGGATAAAATGAGCTTCACCAGCTTCCGCTTAATTCCTAGACGTGGAATTTTAACTCAGTCGTAATTCGTCAGCACGCTTGTGCCACTGATGAATATCGCCTTCGAGAACATGACGTGATACGCCGAAAGCTTACAAGCGGCGGAAGCAAGTATCAATGTCTCACTCCTGCCTAATCGGACGATCCGGCAGGCGTGCGAGACACGTTTCTGAATAACTCTATGATACTAACCTATCAACATGTCTGATTCGACTTTGGCACGATCTTCCGTCCCACTCCGCCCCGCCCCGCCTACCCCAGTGTCTCAGATTCAAGCCGTCATGAGTTTCTTTTTGGAAACATAGCGCTATATGAATCTAAGCTGCATATCAGACGACATTGCTGATCTGATGGCCTGTGTTTTCTAGCTGGAATTAGTCATTTAGGCCCGACAGACATACGAACAACAACTGAACAGGATGCCGCCAGGTTCACCACATGGAACAAAGAATCTTATTCGTAGCTTCATCAGGCGGCTTTAAGTCTGGACTGCGTCAGCTGTGCGACAGTGGGAACAGTACCCGAGACTAATATCAGTGATCGAACCTCATAAAGCGTACTAGCGAAGTGCACTGTATGCATGGGCGTCACTCTGGAATAGTTGCTATGCACGGTGTTTCGAGCACTGCTCCAGGGGAACTACGACCAAAAGGTCCCCACTCATGCATGAAGGTGGTCCATGTTTTATGACATATTTTATGAACTATGCCCCCCGACCCGTCTGCACATTTTGGAGCAATTTCGTATCTCTCCCCAGAGTTGCATCCCAAGCTCAGCCTACTTCGTAACGCCACCGATAGCCTTGCTTGACGTAATAATTCTGGTAGTTTCCATCCTCTTCTCTTGTTCTGTTGTGGATAACGTAGTAACCTCTGACAAAGTTGTCTCGTTCTGACTCTATCATTGCGATGTGGGTCAGCTTATCGGTTACAGACTCATTGAATATTCTTGAGTGGACCTTCATAGGAGTAAATCAATGCTGCTCACCTGTGCCGCGTTCTCTATGTCCACGCTTCTTGCATCTAGATGGGCTCATATGCTCCTGGACTATGAGGCCACCTTTATCCTGATCAGGCTCGTTCTCGTTGCAATGCCCGCATTCTGGCCATAAGTCGCAGGGTACGACATGTTCAAATTCAAGGTCTTTGAACTGACAGTTGAAGTACTGCCTGATCCGACGACACATTGTATCAAAAATGGGTCTCGCTTGAGAGGTCCTAAGTTTTGTCTCTGATAAGATGGACCGTTGGATGGTATGTTTGGTTGATCAATTGCGATGTAGCCTGATTTATGTTCTCAACTGTGCACATGTCTAGGTCAGGCTGGTGACTATTCAAGAAGCTTTACTCCTGGCGTCAACGTCGGAAATGACCCCCATCTGACGCAAGTGAAGTTGAATTAGGAAGGTCTCTTCGTGACTGAGGAAGATATTTCTTTGAAAAGAATCGTATGATATTGTGGAAAACAGATCCTAGCCACCAGCTTAAATTTGCCTCAAGGGTTAATGATCGCGGAAGGAACAAACGTTCTCGGTTTCGTAAGCGTCGTGTACGTGATATGTCATTCTGTATGACACGCTACATGCTGCTATAGGCGAACGCTTGACATGTACGTGCTTACAAGACGTTTGGACGGGAACATCCTCGTGATAGCATGGGTGATACACTACGTTCAATGCAGCCTGTGACGAATCGGATTTGTCCAATAGTGCCGATAAATGTGATCGGGATTGCATTTGTCGTATTGAAACTGCATGCTTAGATGCCATTATTAAGCGACCCTGCAAAAGTTGACAGGAGTGGCTAGGGCTGCAAGATTTGCTGGGACCCGGGACGTGTAAAATGAGTTATTGGTTGACCGAATGCTATGGATCAATGGGGAATGACAAATGGAAGATCTCTTCGGAGGCAACGGTTCTCTATCGATATCACTGCAATGAACTGCTTCATGCACAAACAACGTCGCACAGCAAGGTCGATGTAAGACCTTGAGGTACTGAAGCAGTCGGGCCGCGCAGACACATATACTGGCCGGCTGTTGTGACCTTGTAACACACAAGGGCAAACCACCAGAGAAAAAGGACTCATCGTGAAACCCAATTAAAGCGTTCAAAAACGTAAGGGAATGACCCTTTCGAACACACGGAAGAACGATGCAGTATCTTAAAAGCTGGCGCAGGGATAATGCTACGTCAAACGGTTCAAGACAATTGAAAAAGGCTTGCTGTCTAGGAAAGGAGAGATCTAGATCTACGGATTGTCTCCGATGGGATAGCTTTTGACTCTCCACCAGTATGTCGTAGCGTAATCGACCAAGGCACAAGGGGAGCTTGAACCCCTGGTCTGGGCTGCAGACTCTTATGGGAGCTTGAGATGTGGTATTTCGGACCGCTAAGAGGCTGATTAAGCCATCATTGATCAGACATCCTAAAAGTTGCAAGGTGGTCGGGTCAGGCCAAGTGTGCGCTCTACAGGAGACGAATAAGAGATCGGCGACACGGTATCGATGCTAGACTATTGTGGCGTCTGACTTGCATGGACCCCAAAATTGACAAGTCATTACCCCGGATTGAACGTGTTTGGCGCAAAGATAGTCTCTACTGGTGAAGGAATGACGGCTTTAAACTTATCTCCTGGACGGGGGGGGGGGGGGGGGGGGGAAAACAGCTGCATGTCATCTGAATGCCGAACTCACAGGTATAGTCCTTCGGGGGCGACCATAGTGAGCCTCATTCCCCGGGAGAAAACGGTCTCGTCTCACACGCGGTGGGAAAGCGCGCTGGAACGTTTTCACTCGACGAGTTCAAGCAGACTTGGACAAGACGCACATGTATTGAAGCAAGCAGATTACTCATCAATGCGAATGTGGGATTTCTTCAAATCGTATCGGCATATTCCTAGCAGGCAAGACGCTCCCTCCTGTCACATGACTCGGGTCGATTGAGACCTGCAAGCCTAGCGGGAGCCGCCCTGATGCAGGCGGAAGCTTGCTTTCTACACCTTCAACTGGCGACTACAGGCACCCTAGCCGACAGTGAGCACTATATGTTTCCTTACCAAGGCATGTGGCTTACAATTGCCAGGTATTGGGCTTCCCCTCCGCCAGGCTAGTTTGCACAGAAGTCAGCCGCCTGAAAAGCCTGCATCTACAGCTGTCTTGTGAACCAAGACGACTAGGGACAATATTAGATGACCTCGAGGGCTGGTCCTTGCATCTTTGGCCGTGGACTGGGGTTGCGCAGCCCCGAAACTGATCTTAACAACAAAGGCGCTTCACCAACAAGTGGGCAAACTGTTTGCCCCAAAAGACCAGAATAACACAATCACCCTCATGACATTATCCAGGGGCTTGAACATGAAAATGTCCCACAAGCCATGGAGGGCCGAATTGGCCGACCCGTGTCATTGGTGAAAGCCACCAAACAGCCTTGTCGAGCTGCCGACCAATGTCTAGACTCTATTGCCCCTTGGGACATACTTCCAATTAGTCACAACTATACCACGGCGGCAACTTTTAATCATTCCTCGGCCCATTCCTGGGCCGATAGTGTACTTCAGCCACTGAAACATTGTCAGGACGTACATTGCTTGGCGGGATCATGTGAGAGATCCAGTGCTAGAGACAACGGTTCCTGACGTGGTTTGGGTCGTGGCTATTGTGAAAGTCGCAAAACCTACAATTTCTTGATGGTTACAGTGGATGGAAAGCCAAGGACCACAATCTAATAATATGCTGGACTTAGTCACCTTGGGGTAGATTTGGTCAAACCTGACTGCGGCCATCAGAGTATGCATGTTGGCCCCACCTGCAGGAGAGATCCTTGTCGACCCAAGCCGCCGGGGAGACTGTAGATGAGCGAAATGATCAGGCCACTAGATCTGCCGACTTTCTACCGTACTTTTTGGTGTCTCGATCCACCGTAGGCCTTGCAGCCACACCCTCCCACCCCCCCTTTTTAGCGATCATCCCCACTGCCTCGATTGTTACATACATAGGTATGTAGCTCGGGTCGCGGCCTGCTCGAGACGTCTCAAAGCCACGACACGTTTTTTTGGGCAGCATTCCTGGGAAAGGCCCCGCTGCAAGTGTCCAGTATTGGAAACACTGTTCTTGCTTTGCGCCTGGTGGAACCTCTGCGGACCCCCAACACAAGTTTGCTAAACTCCACCACTACCGTCCAAGGCCCCTCTCCTATAATTATTGCACGCTCCCTCATTGCTCCTGCATCATCAAACTGGTTCATCTAGTCCCAGTATACCACCAACAAGAGATTGCAGCAATTATAATTCGACACTCGGATCCGGCCCTGGTACACAACCGTATCACAATGGACCAGTTCAGCATGGATTTATCGTTTGAGTTTGACTCCGACTCCGACTTCTGTTTCGATGACAGTCAGTTGTCGAGTGCTTCTTCCGCTCGAAGTTTCTCGAGCGCCTCGAGTTCTGCACCCATCACACCGCAACCTGGTCAATGCACGCCATCGCAACAGGCATCTCGTAGCTTCAGTATCTCAACAGGATATGTTGAGATCACTCCTGCGGCCTCTTCTATAAGCGAATACTTTTCTGAGGATATCAAGTGTGAAAGACCTTCTCCTTCTCCGCGACCCGCAACGCCTGCAGAGAAGCCTCCAACTACGCCATTCAATATGGATGTCATGAATTCATCGCTTCCCACATTCAGCGGTGCGAATGACTTCACGAGCCCACATGTGTTGGAACAGTACGGCTTTGTGGACAATATGAGCCCACCCCCAGGATTTGAAACACACCGCATGTCACCAGGTGATTCGTCTTTCTGGGCTATTCAGGGCGATCTTACATGCTTCAACACCCCTGGCCTCACACTATTTCCCACAGTACCTAGCCAAAGCATGCATCGACAGTCGCTACAAGACAACCAACCCGGACGCCAGATCCATGTGATGAGTGCGCGGCAGAGATCTAACGCACTCCAGGACGTTCAGAATGGAAGTGAAAGCGGAAGACGAAACGCCAGGAGGAGGCAAGACCCTGACGTCGACCTTCATTACTCTACTGCTAGAGCAGGGGAGTTTGTATGCCAATTTGAGGGCTGCGGGCTGAAGTACCAGAGGTTAGAGCATCTTAGACGCCACACATCAACGTAGGTACACTTCCACTGCATGGCTGCCATCCTATTACTCACGCATCGCCTAGGATTCACCATCGCTTACATGACTACGAATGCCCGTTCTGTCCAGGCAAGCATTTCAACCGCATGGACAATTTTGTGTCCCACGTCAACCTTCATAGAAAGAAACCAAGGCCCACATCACGCACAAAGCCCCACCCAGGAGCAGAAGCCTTTTTTCAGAGTTTGATCGAAGGAAGAAAGCAACGTAAACCTAAGAAGACGTGAGGCGGTAAGGTGGAGCCAGAAGGTCAAGTTGCCAAGATGAATTGCGAGAATTCTGCACACGTATGGCATCGACATAACTACGAAATCCTGATTTGCATATTTCTGTTGAAAATAGGGCTTGAGCGGTTGAACTTGGAGTTCGGCAGTATTTGGTATCTGGTATATGGTATCTAATTCTTTCTTATGGCGGTCATGTTTGTTAGTTGTCAATATGCGAACGAAGCAAAGTGAATGAGCGTGGCCATCTGATTTCTCTTGCGCGTGTGCATCTGGTCTCGGAACTATGAGATTTTCCATCATGGGGCGAACAGGCATGATGACATTGAGCGTCTACTGGACTATGAACTCATTCCTGGCGACAAAACAAGACTTGACGACCCGCGGGTTTTGTGCTGTCTTGGGTTGATCTTTGCGTGACTTGTGGAATGAATGCTTATACCATTGACTTACTTGCATATTTGCACTGTAAGTCACGTCATGCAAGACAGTGGATGGAATTCGTTTACACTAAAAAGGCGCCGCCAACCGTAGGCTGGGCTGAGCACATATCCTGGTGTGCTTCATGACAAAGTCTTCTTCAAGTCGTACCACCAGACAACACACATATAGAGACCAAAGAAGAAAGCGGCATTAGATCAATGCCGCTTGGCGAGGTGCATGCCAAGAGACGCAGGTCGTTATTTCCGAATTGATTACCACGCTCACTACCTTGGAGTTTGCCAGAAGCTTTCTCTTAGTGGTGGCCAACCTTCCCGGTGATCGGTATGAATGCCAATTTGTTTCATAAAGTGTCACAGCCGGCTATTGAGCTCACGTAGACGTCGTTCGATTTGAGCCTCAATCTGCGTTGGACGTTATGAAAAAGCAAATCGGGCGGGCATTAGTCTGTGCTGGCGGAGGTCCTTTTCCTCAGAGCGGGATGAAGTACCCGGAGAAAGCAGACCAAAAAATTGAGACCCGTACTGACTGACCATTTCTTTTGTTCCATGGCGGAACGAGTGGCTGGAATTGTACCTGTCGAGATCGACCGAGACAGGGACTTGTCTAGGTATTGCCACATGACGGTGATAATATGCACCAGGGGTGTAACTTATGCTTTATTGCATCAAACAGCGACCGCAAGTGTTTGCCGAAGTAGCAACACATAGTTTGCAGTGCATCAGGATGGACCGACATTGTGCAGGCGATTTGATTACCCAGAGAACCAATGGTAGCCTTCGGTTTAGTTGTTGTTGCCTGTCGTTTGTTGCCAAAAGTGCTTTGCATTAATGATGACCCGGGTTTGTACAGGTCGCCCTGCTAAGCCGTCATGGTGTCTCCAATGATGAATCTGAGAGAGACCCGGCAATCTGGGACCATTCAAGTGGAGAAGTCGAAGTCGAGATTAGCAACCAAGGACGTGAGAGTGGGGAAAGCTGTCCCTTTGACAATTCTGCGCACCGCCCTGTTTGGCGTTGTTTGAATAGTTGAAGGTCTGGACCGGTAGTCCCCCACGTATAATCTGTGTTCCCCCAAGCTGATGGGGGCGGAATCCCCCAGAGCTGTATTGCGGGATTGCTTCTTGCCAGTGTCACAAGCAAGTTCGGCGGACGCAACGTTCACCGCTCCTCACTGCATAACTCCAATGCGACCCTAGCTGCAATCCGGGAGCTTTATCACATTGGCCGACTATTGTGCACGCTTCGTCGGACCGATGATCTGATGGGTCGGGTGGTGCGACCAACACCTAGAGGCCCAGCCTCGTCACGCACAGCCATTTGACTAAACACCAAGTCGGCCCATCATCTCGGCTAAGGTCTGTTGCAATATCAGAGAATTCTGGTTTCTACTGCCAACAAGGCGATCGCGATTTGCATTGATACCTTCCATATTTGGCCAGCCCAAGGTCACAGATTTCTTAATAATACCCTACTGCGTCCTGCACCATGTACACGCATATAACCAGCCTGCTTATCAATTCACTGCCATGTCTCACTGCAGCTCTAAGGCGTATACATAGCCGTGTTACAGCCTCTATACTGGACCCCTTTAGCAATCGCCTGCTCCGCGCACGATGGTGCTGTGATATCGAATGCAATTGGACAACGTCCGGGAGCGAATGATTACTGATTAAAAAACATAAAAGAACAGTTTGACAAACTGTCAAATAATCGTACGCGTGATTCATCGTAAAAGCAACCCCATGCAAATGTGACGGGTACTGTACCCGGGTGCATCCAGTCGTGGTCTCGGATAGGCGTTGTCTCTACCGCAGTTGCCGCAGTCAGAACCCCGTTCGGATGAAGCAGCTTCCGCCGGAGGCTTTGCTCGGCAGACATTGTCTGCCTGAAATGTCGAACTACATGTGTTCTGCTGCATTATGCTGTCACTCGCGTTGGGTGCAGAACGACTGAGTAAATAGGAGTTACCTACGGGGGAGGAAAGCTTTGCCATCTCTCCGCCTCAATTTTACTAGGCCCGATTTGGGAAAGATCATTCACCGTTGCTAATGTGCCGCAGGAGACTTCAAGGGAAAACTGCGGCCCCAGCCGCCAAGACAATGTATCATATGCTTTTCATAGACCTGTGGCCAGACGATGAGAAGAGGCGATTGACTTCAGACTGTGACTGCTACTGCTATGGATTGAATGGTTGATAAGACCAGCTGGAAGATAAGTTGGCAGCTGGCTGCGCGAAGTGCACAGCCACATAATAGTGGCAGTGCATTTGCTTGTGTACGATCACCAGACCTCATCGTCGTTGCTGAGGTGCACCAGGCGGGGATTATGGAATTCATCAGCAATGTTGCGCCGAATCGGTGCGGATCTATTCATCGTCCCTATTTCAACCTGACCCAAATGCCACAATGGATGCGTTGCCCTCGTACGAAGAAGCTACGACGGCCGCAGATTGGCTTCAGCTGGCAGCACCCTTCGTAGCCACCGGTGACTGGCGCCGGTGCTGTTTGGTCAGCAGCCATTTCTATAGACATTTCGCAGCTCGTTTGTGGTTGGACCCACTTGTGACCTCGAGAAGATTTGGACTGCACCCTAATGATGGTACGTTGTAATGAGTCTTAACTCTCACCTAATTTCAACCAGGCATACGCACAGTATTGGGCCCCATGCTGACATCCACCAGATCTCGCGTGGTATAGAAGATTCATCAACATCCAACTTAAATCAGTGCGGCTCAGCACGCGAGCACTGGTGCGGTCGTTAGACTTCCGGGATTTCGCTGTCAGAGCTTCTGGTCTATATTCTACGGAGGCCAGCGAAAGGGCGATATCCGAGAGCTTTAGGGAGTTACCGTCTCTCTTCCCACGGCTCTTATGTCTCCTCGTCGACGGCCACCCAGAACTGAACCCGGAAGCACTCATAAAGAGCGAGCCCGGGAAGGAGGTCGACGGACCGGAGAACGCGCTTCAGTTGCTCGATCTGGCCCACTGCCCTCATGAGCTCACATCTCGGTACTTTAGACCAAGGTACTTTCGAGACCTAGTCTACCTCGACCTCTCCGGCATCCCAGGTTCAGTCAAGAGTGCAGTCATCGCCTCCCTCAAACCCGAGTGTCTTCCCGAGCTACGTGTGCTGAAAGTCCGGGGGCGTGAAATGGATGATTCTACGGCCGTTATACTGTTCCAGACTTTCCAACGACGTTTGTGGAGCTTGGACATATCTGAGAATAAGCTCACTGATGCCTGTATCAATGCGCTCATCGAGAATTGCTTCACTGCGTTGTCGTATCGCACCGACACACACTTTGAGATCGAAGGTAAACTCACAAACCCCCGCCGTGTTGGTAGCATTACGCAGGGCCCATTTGAATTCATTGAGGAATCAGACTCAAGCGGGTTTTTCAATCACCCAGCACGGTTTCTTCCAGATGCTCCACCATACCTACATCGCGCTGACCAGGGAGACTTGCAAGAGTGGCAAGTTGTGCGATCAACCGGTGCAGGACATTCTAGGGACGACAGCGCTGATGGTGTCAGGAGACTGCTGCTCAAGGATGCACTATCAAACACCGTCTCTTCGACCGGTACTGTAAACCAACAGATCCGCACCAGTCACGGTGGTATTACCCACCTATATCTAAATGGCAACCGCTTCACTTCCGGGGGCATCGAAAGACTCGTGAAACATTCTCTAGGCAGGCTAGAACACGTGGAGTGTGACTCATGTCGCGTCTGGTCACCATGTCTAGCGGTCCCAAAGTCCTTGCCTGAGTCTCTTCAGGTATATGGCTTCTTTGATTCGAGCCATCTGCTGCGCCCCGTCTTCTCGTCAAATCTGCGATCTTTGCGCCTTCATCATTCCGTAGTAACACACGTACCCAGTGTCACGGCAGACGGTCTTACGCCGCTGATGGCAAACATACACGCAGAGACTACCTTCCGCGAGCGTGTTCAGTTAGCATATCCCATCCCTTTCTCGCCGGATATGAATCCTCGGGTGGTTTCCCTCACACTCACTGGGATTCCGACGCGCTCAGTTGGGCCCCTTATCTCTACCTTGACTCGGTTCCTCGACTTGGCCTCCGCGCAACAGCAAGCGGTGGCTTCTGCCTCAAGACTGTCAGCCGAGCGAGGCTCTCCAATGTTGACGGGACTGAGACACATTCGGCTTGAGCTGGAGCCGGATTACTCGGATGATTCTCCCAGCCTATTGCTTGAAGGGAATGGTAATTTCGATGATATTCTTGACCCTGCGGGCGACACCATCCAGGGGGGCCCAGATGTACCAAGGGAAATTTCCTCGAGAGCCACACAAAAGCCCACAAGAGGGGCCAGTAGTGCCTCAACAAGCATTCCGGATCCTGCGGTGGCTCATGAGTATCTTCATCTTCCAGAGAATGAGTACCTCAATTTCCGGGTTGATGCCTCGGAATCCTGGAACGGAAACATGTTCACCATACCAGTGTGGGTGGGCAGTGGTGTCCCAGGACCGCAGCCAGCTGTCAATGAGTACATGGTCAACTTGCGAGATCGTCGGCTTCACCGGGACGTTGGACCAGCGATGCCCAATCATGTAGAGGCTGGTGTTCCGTCCGGGTCCTACATCTTCTATGCTGCGTGGGATTCCATGGTCTTCCCTAAGCGACTGCCCAAGATCGACAAGACCCCGAGAGGGTTGGTGCGGGATGTGGCCACCGCGATCAAGGAATACAGACAACAAACCAAGGGTACTGCAAAGCATTGGACAGGACGGCTGGAACTTGTGAGAATGGAGAGTGGTAGGAGATATCAATCATCAGACTACTGGCGCTAATGAGCATATGCTTTACTCAAAGCCATTACTGTACACTTGTAATGATCGATTAGGTGCGATGCTGGATCATCCTGACGGTGAATGTGTGAATCAATGGCCCTTGCTCAACTTCCGCCACGCAATATGCGTCCCCTACAACATGAACGGTTCGAGCCCTTCAATCGACTTCCCCTCATGGGCGATGCGAATCAGGCTCAACCGAGTAAGCCGCACGGCCAATGTCCACCAGGCTCGACTTGATCCCCACGGTGAGTTTCTAGCTTCCATTTTCCATCGTTGCCTCGAGTGGCTTGGTAAAAGTAGGGCCAGTGTGATAGAAACGATATCTCCTCCACGCCCGGCAACCGTTTTACGTATCTCTGGCGAACTATCTCGCACCACTGTAGATGCGCAGGCAAAGAGAAATCTTCTGCATCATCGATTTCTAGAATATAAAAGTCGCAGTCAACTACGTCTTCGGGAAAGGAGAGCCTTTTCAAAAGTTTGATGTTTCGCAGGTTTTCGATTCGTCGGTCGTGACCCAAATCCTATTTGGGTTACCTTTAGTGCATCAGAAGTCTGTTGGCTTCACCTTACTCACACACTCTATTCTCGTCCTCGCTGACTTCGTTATATTGGTTTCACTCAGAATCAGCCATTCGAGTTGGGGAAATGCCTCTGCAATCCCAAGCGCATAGAGATCAAACTCCGATGCATTGATGTGTAGTCTCGTAATGTTATGCAATGCGTATGGTGGTCTCATCCAGTTCGTGAATTTATTGAGATGCAGGCCTTATAGTACGCTTGGCTTGCAAAGGTCTATGACAACTCGGCTTTCGTAGCATTCTTCAAGTCTCAGAAAACGAATGTTGAGCGATTGGTAAGCTGTAATAGCTTTTTCAAACGACGCGGCCTGGTTCCAGGTGAGTCCCCAAAGGTTCAAGTTCAATGATTCAAGCTCTATAAACACTCCTGGGTTTATCATCTTCGCCAGTTGCTGAGGGAGTTGAGGACTGATCTGCGCAGACATGCAATCAATCTCAATTGCACCTCGCCAGCCCCTCGAAAGGTCCGATTCGAGGATAGGGTACCTGCCCGGCCACGCAGCTGCAGGTTGGATCGCAAATGACACCCGCCTAGCACCAGATGTGAGTATCCGAGCTGTCGCAGTTATAATGACAACTTACTTCACGTACGGGACCACGTTTGGAAGTCGTCCATTAGACTGTCCGGGACCGTGTCTTTCAAGGAAGTTCAAGATATCAAGAGAAACCACCCACTGACATCCCTGGAATCGCAAGGCCTTAGCCCAGTAGCGTATCAGTAAGGTTCTCATTTCCATGCTTGTAGCGGCGATGCCAGTGAGACCTCGACCGCCGGCCTGCTTGGCAATTTCGAGCCAGACCTCATTGGGAAAGGTGTTTCGAGTTGCCATGGTGTCCGTCACCGACGCCAGTACCAGGTACCAGTACAGATCGATGTTGTCTGGGTGGCGAGAGTGATGAACGTGATTAAGTTGAAAGGTGCACCTTGAAGCGCTTGAAGCTGCGAAGTAGAAGTCGCAAGGCTCGCGATAACTGCAAAACGTCAGGCAGGTGAAGGGCAGTTGAAGGAATTCGGGTAGGTAAACTGAAGGAGCGCAAGCGAAGTGAATCGAGTATTGCGGGTGCCTAATTTCGAAGCAGCCGTTTCTCAATTGTTCACATAGGTATGCATTTTCAAGAGGTTGGCCTTGGCCTTGGGTGCCCAAGCAGTTTCTGGCGAAACCCTTTTGGCACCATCCCCCAGTTTAAGAGCCAGGGAGCAACCAGCCGAATGTTGTGCACTGCTGTGCATTAGGTGATGCCGTGATTATTGAATTATTTCGTGACTGCTGATACCAACTTTCCCCGAACCGCGTTGTGTGTCTTTCGAAAAGCTAGTGCAAATATTTCCTTGTGATTCCAGTGTCACAGAGGAATCTGCCCAGAGTGGCACCAAACACGGCGGCCTGGTGTGGTGGAAGAGCGTCTGCTGTGACCTGATGATACTCATCCTACGCGCTGACCTGCATCAGAAATATACATAGGCAAGTTACCTCCCTTTTCACATTCTTCTCTAGGTGTGTGGGAAACGTCATGTTCGGAATGAGCATGTGCCAAGTATTTTCTTCTTTTTTGAGCCTCCACACCACAATATGATAACACGTCGAGCCATCATCTGGCTACGAGTCTGCAGTCATGAATTATATATATAAAAGCATCCTTTCCCATATTTAGCAAACATCCAGAGTGTTTACTATAACGACTCCTGGTGTCACAGTACATATCCTTCACCCCTTGATGGTACTGCATGCGCCAACAAACTACGGAGATGCCTGCAAAGGGTTTCATTTAGCTGATGACAATAACAACAAAATATAACCCAAATCAACATAAACGCTATGGAAACCCATGGACTATTCAAATTGCAAACCTATCTGCTGACCAGGCTGTGTCATTCTTGGCATGATATCTCAGATTGGGGCCCTCTAAGCGATCAGCGCCGAAGGAGTTTGACTTGAGCACTGTGACATACCAATCCCGGTCAGGGCACTTCACGTGGAATACAAAATCGCCCTCACTGAGTTTCCAAAGTCTCCAAAACCCATTAAAACCACCAGGAGGTCTGTTTGGGACATGTTGCCCGTCGTCTGGAAATCTGGCATGCCCTGGAGTCCTAGGTGCGGTAGCTATGTTGAGTGTTAGTGGAGCCGCCTAACCACAGCTGACCTCACTAACACGCTACCACTGGTGAGCCGGGGGGG